AAGTAACGAGTTCACTTCCAAGTGAACAACCCGATAGTCTTCTTCTTATCATAGCATACCAACCAGCGAACACCCAGCCAAGTTTAGTTAGCCAGTTTGAGTATTCGTTACATTTAGATCTACTATCTACTAAACGTTATAGGAAAGTTAATTAAGATAAGAAGTCCTCCTAGTTCTCTTAAAGCTTTATATCCTAGGGTTTTTTATCTAGCCCTTCTTAATTATAAAAGTTATAAAAAGATACTATAATATAGTTATCTAGGCTTACTCTCCTAGTTATAAATATTACTAACAATTATAATTATTATATAGGTAGATAGAATACATATAATTAGTATTATAAAGGTATAATGATAGCTTACGTTACTAAATAGAATTAAATACTATTTTAGTTCTAGCTTCTAGATACTATATTAATTAATACTTATCTCTTATATAAATAGGAGTATAAGAATATTATAAGCGTAGGACTAGGAAGCTATTTAAAGCTACTCTCTAGGTAAGACTTTATTATATTAGTTATTTAGTCTTTACTCTTACGCTTAATACTACTATAATCGCGAACCGCTCTACTTATACGAATCTAGGCTAGCTACGAGTTTATACGCCTACTTAATAAGCTAGTCTAAAGATAATACTATAAGTTAAAGGGGGTAGAAGTACGGTAATAGTACTACTTTTATTATTTTATAGTTATAATAGATCTATAACATAATCGAAGTAGAATTAAGGTAATAAGGAGATAGTATATAGTTTATAATATTACGTTATATAGTAAGTGTTTTAATCCGTATTATAATTTTACTAGTAATACTACTGTATAGAAGAGGGATAATAAGTAATCTAATAATACTAATAAAGAGATAGACTCGAGTAATAGTAGAGACTCGGATTAGTTCCGTGTTTGGAATCTCCCCTCCTCTCCTCTCCTGACTACTAGGAAAGGAGCAGGAGATCCATATCTTTGGCCAGGAGAAGGAGAGGAGAATGGGTCACTTGTCTGGAAAGGAGTAGATAAGGAGAGGTGGGCTTCGGGAGAGGAGTAGGAAGGAGAGGCTCAAATAAGGTGGAAAAATGAGGCTATTCGCAAGTACGCTAGGTTCGTCAAAGTACGCCAGTTCAAAGTACGCTAGTTCGCCAGTTCGCCAGGTTCGTCAAAAGTACGCTTCGTCAAGAGCTACGTACTATACCTATTTGTACTCGAGTACCCCCTTGCTATAGATCAAGGACGTGCATGTCTACCTAATTTCCACCTGTTTCACCACCATATTTCAGACCCATTTCAGACCCATTTCAGACCCACTAAAACCCACAACACCCAGCCTCAGGAGTACTCCCGCCCTCTCCTATTCGGTGTCCTGGCGAGGATAAGGAGTACTGATTGGTCAGGGTTGGAGTAGGAAGGAGAGCGCTCTAATTTGTACGGATAGGAACGGAGAATCCGTAGGATAGGAGTGGCAGGGAGAGGTTTGGAGGGGAGATTCCAAACACTGGATTAGTTAGTACTTTATTAATCTTAGACGTCTCTTAGAATAGCCTTAATTTAACTCTTTAATATTAATATACTTAAATAAATACTTGTATTCGGAAATTATTACTTAATTAGGAAATTGTAACCTTAAAACGCTAGACGTATATATAAAGTGTTAAGGGGATAATGTCTAGAATTAGCTGAGATAAGAAACGTCGTTTATATAGTTGTATTATATATAAATTATATTGAAAAGACAAAATCTGAGTAAATTCCTTCAGCCTAATTTGAGTACGAGGCCGAAAACAAATTTTCGTGCAGACAAGGAATTAAGACACCTTGATACGCTCGTCTGTTTTTGGTTGACAGGAACTACTAAGAAAACTCTCCTAACGCTTCTTCTGGTCACGATAACCAAGTATCTACATTGTATGCCTGCAATGTCAGGCGTAATGTTATCGCTCTTCATGTAACTCCTGAAAATAGTATTGTAACAGAAAGACTCAAAATCTAGAAAGATTAGCTTTGATTTCCCCCTTTTTAATCTCAAGTAATCTACTGGTAGTAAAACTAAGTTGGTTGTTTTAGGCCCTCTAGCCAAACGAGTCTTGAGGCGTGAGCGGAACAACTAATGATGTATTTATCCTTTATCGAGGATGTCGCAAGTCGGCATCTTCCGACTTTTGAGTTTTGCCTATCTACGTACCTACCTAAGCGCAACGTAAGCCTGTAAACGAAGATGGAACATTTTCAGTTGCAAATAAATGTTTAGCTGGCACGTATATGGTTTCTTTGTAGGTATCTATAAATTCTAGAAAGTTAGAGATAGATACATGAAATTCGTCCCCGTTTGCGGTGCAGTACAGTTTTTCTGGCCATCACAATAGTCAAAAACTTCAAGACTGATATCTTCAATGGGACCACAACGTCATTGGTACCAAAAAGTGGCAATGTTGAACTGAAAGAAACGCCATCTTTCATGGTACCTAGATTTTTACAACTCATCTGTTGACTTCAGGGCGATCGCCGAGCCGCCGGCTGCTCTCGCTTGCAATTGGAATTCAACATAGCAAGGACCTATCCCTCTCAAAGTCAGCCGACTCCCGAACGTGCTCCCAATATCCATACACAATTGGATAGAACAGTTCAGAAAGCGGATTCATGTACTGCAATGATGCACAATAATAAATGCCACTTTCCCTAAAGAATCAGCATCTTGAATTTTTTCAAACGGACATGTTCCTTCTTTGGGGGTTGCCTTCTAGATTTGGCCTAGCACAGGGTGGGGCATTATCCGCTTCACCAAAACAGCACGAACACCGCTTTCTTTCGAGCGTCCTCCAAGGAGACTGATTGCAAGTCATCAGTTTTGCGGGGTAACTTTCGACTTTTCGTGAAAACGCTCAATGCTTTGACCCCAAGGCAGTACGAAAGGTGGCGTGTGAACTTGCTTGCCAGCCATACTTCTAAACCCTTTTCATGGCTGCTCTAGGAATACAGAAGCATTCAAGGAATATTCTTGTCTTTCACTCAAAGCAATCTTTCAGCGAAATGGCATTCATAACTTAAATCTCCTGGATTGCCAGGGGGGTTTGCATGTAGATCAAGGACGGGCACGAATCTTTTGGTGTGGATTTTGATGTGAAAAATAACGGAGTGCTAATAATGCCCTGTTTGGAAAACCCCCGGGGGATCCAGGAGATAGGAGTCTTGCTGGATTGTTATTAAGAAAGTCATGGTTGACTTTGAAGAGAAGAGACTCTCTTCAAGTTATGCGCTTGACCAATCAATAGTACTCGGGACACCACCAAGGTAGACTGCATGCGATAGTGATTAGGCAAAATGTGACCAAAGTCTCAAAGCGCTGTAGAAAGATGAAAAATACCAACAGTACAGTATCTACAAACCCTTGTGTGTGCCACATGTAGAATGTGGGTGTGATCAAAGGCAGACCGATTGGTTCATTCGCCTGGTAGTAATGTATTGTAAACCAAGTGCGGGAGGTGAGTTTCATCTCGTCTGAACATGCAACTTGTACAGTAACGGGCGGAACGGGCCACACCCCGTTCGAAATTGAACACCGTTGTAAATCGTTCTTGAGGCATACCTACCGGTATGGGTGGCGAGAGTAGCAGATATGTCTTATACGCTCCGAGCCACCGAAGTGCTTGTAGGATATGATTCTCGTGCGCTTCAAAACGCAGTTGTGATTGCTATGGAAAGCGAAGTAAACGAGGAACAGCAACAATGGATTCTTCAGTGGAGTTTTGCACCAAATTCAATGAGCCGAGACTCCATCAGCGTAGACTCGCGCAGACTCTGAGTGGCTCGAAGCACAAGAGACATACGGTTTGCCACGGCAAGGTCCACCAAAGCCATAAGGCTGTCAACCCCCTGTTGAGGCTTCCTTAATTTTATAGGCTTTGCTCCGAGAAAAATGGAGAATGGCACTTAGACGGCGAGGTTTTGTGGGGACCCTTCGCTATTGTTTAAACCCTCTACATGTCAGTTCAGTATCATGGAGCATGATACTGTAGTGACTAACACTGCTAATAAATTTCCAGGATCGACAATGGCTTTCTGAGAATGAAAAGAACATTATTGCGACCATGGCAAGACTTCGCTCTGAAGCCGTTGCTTCTAGCAACATGTCAAAATCTCTTCTTTCTACAATAACAATCCATAATGTCTGCGGGAGGTCGTGGGCCATGCACGTGAGAATATCAGCCGAAAGTTTTCATCTTTACTACTGGTACAGTATTTATTCGTGCCGTGCGTTTGAAACTGGGGTAGACGGTTGGGATAAAACGTTGAGACGAACACCACCCTTTCGCTTCCAGTGCATAGCTCCTTGGAAAGGTTCGTCTTGCTGCAGTCCCCTTGATGTCACGATGTGTGCGTTGAAAGGCATCAAGTTTTTGAAACCCCCTGAATGATTCGCTACAAACGCAAAATTCTTCCCAAAAAGTATGACAGTCGTATGTGCGTTACCTTATTCGTCTTTAGCAGTCATGGCGCACATCATCGTAGGATTCAAGCTTAACCCCGCATCGTCAAAGAGAACCCGCCAGCCTTTTTCGGCACCCTTGATGGCGCAAGAGCAAGAAATTCCCGGAGTGTGTACCAAAGACAGTACCTACCGGTAGTCGGGAATTGTTATTACCAGGGGTTTCGTTATGCTTCGGGCAACGTCGCCTCCCCATAATCTGATGTCTCGTACATGGACCGAGGGCCGATCCCGTGAAGCGTTGACTTCATACAGGTCATATATCCATGAAGAAGATCGATTCCATACCCGGTTTTATCTCTCGATCTCCCTTCTTGGCTTGCCTTACGCTTTTGTTCTTGCATACCGACAACAACGACTCCACAAAAGTAATGACAGCAGCAAAAAACAAAAGTCATACAGCCACTCGTCGAATAGGAAACAAAAGAAGTGAAATTTGGTTGAGAGAAAGACATAAATGGGCGGGGGAGTTCCCCATGAGGCGGTTGTAACTTCAGCTGTCCTCCTCGTTTACTCGACAATATGTCTGATTTTGGCCATGTTGTTGACATTCTTGCTTTGGAGCTTTGGAGAGAGGTTTACCTGTAAGTGTGCATCAAGAACTGACATAAGAGAAGCGCTAATCAAGTTCTAGACGTGAGTATTGTGAGTACTCAATTCCCCAGAGTGGAATTATTTCCTTTTGAGTGGATTTTTGAGAGGAAAGATCCAGACTCTTTCTTGCTAGTCTTGCGAAACTTTCTTCCCTCTACTCTTAAAACATTCTCACAGAATAATACTGACTATATGTTGTGCAGATTGCCACATTCACGTCAGTTAGCACGTTTGCGTCCATCATCCAGCAGATACATTACGCAGTCCACTGGCGAAATATAAAGCAACTCCAGTACGAGCGAGCTCTTGAAAATTTAAGACACCCAGCTCGAGCCTTTGGTGGTGCCGCAGGAGGTTTAGATGATGCGCTATTCTATATCCGTACGAATCAAATTTCTCCTTGAATCTTGAATTCTCGCTAATTCTAACCAGAATTTTATACTTACAATGTGATGTCACTCAACATCCTCTTTTGGTATTAGATACCCCTTCATGTTGCTACAGTGCTTAATTGACTCCGGAGATAGGGCCACGTTATTATTTGTCGGCTCGTGGAACATTAAGGCGACTTGGTTAGGAAATTGGCGCTATAAGTTGGCACCAGCCTCCAAAATCTTTTCAGTTATTTACCCCACTTTTACGGTTGGCTTGATGCAATCCGATATCATCGCGGATAATATTCCAGGGTTTTTCGTTGTTGCTAATTCTACCAGTAAGTTTCAGTCCCCTGAAATATGCGGCTCAGGAAGATGGCTGATTCCAGAAGTGATTTTGGGCTCGCTGATTGGAGCTATCTTGATGTTTTTGACGTTGTTCAAATACATCAAAACCAGACGCTTGGTGTTACAGTCTGGCGGAAGAGGAGGATGGTGGGCTTCTGGCGGATCCAAAGAGAGGCGTGCTCCAGCATTAAATACAGAAGAGAGTCAAATTGGAGTTACCACATCTGACGGCACTCGAGATGCTCTATACGACAGAAGTTTAATCATTCGCTTTTGTATCGGCTTCACGATAATGACGTAAGTCACATTGGATATTCACTTTTCACCCAGCCACTTTCTTTTGCTAATATATTGCAGGTTTTTTGTGGTAGCTGTTGTCTTTTTCAATTTCTTTCATTTGGCAATGAAAGCAAGTTTAGCATTGTCCGGTGGACCAAATCTTGAACCTTCTAGCGCCATTACTGACCTCGCATTTTTCGCACCAGGGGTGACAGCAAGTCTTGTCACATTCCTGGTATTCGGAACGACAAAATCATGGCGTCAATACCGTGACTTGGTATTCAGCGGGTGTGGAATTATGACCGCTATCAAACATAAAAGGTCTCGACAAGCAGCAGAAAATAGTCAAAAGGAACAAAGCTTGGAGTTTGCACGCCTACCAAGCCTACCAAGCCTAACACGAAAGCTGAGCGACGAAGAACGAGCTCGAGGCAAAGAAATAGAAAGTCGGGTAAGAATGTTCTCCATTGACTCAGGAAGTGTAAGTCCAATAGAACACCCGAGCTATTCAACACCCGTGCATCGTCCTGGTCCTTCATATTCATCGATTGGCACCCAGACATTCTCATCGGTCGGTACACAAACATTCTCATCGGTTGGTACGCAAAGAAGGGATTCACACGCCACTGCTCAGCCAATACAATTTCATAGAGTGTTTCCCTCTTACGATTCAGGTTCAGGAATCGAGATTGAAGCTGGAAGAGGCGATCTAGTCATTCAATATGATCCGAGAGAAACAATAGGAAGAGATTATAGTAGTCGAGTGCAAGTTCTCCCTGGAGGCAGGCTAACCGAGGAGAGGCCCACTCAAGACTTTTACGGAAGGGCTTTATGAGAACACATCAGGCCTCCTGGGGTGAGTGGAAATAATACCACCACCTTGAATGAGCCCCTTTAATTAGAGTTTGGAGTTGTGGGTCACATCAGGGGTTAAGCGAGGTCCATCGGCCACGACATGGGAAAATAGACTAGCATTGAATGTCTTTATGATTGTACTAAAATGTAAATAGGTTGACTTAAATATGGGGGTTCTGGTAATGGAAGGAATGGATTTGGGAAACAACCATGGGGATACGGTCATTCAAGCTGTTTTCTTTTTCGAACTTTTTCCAACACTTAACGAATATATGCAAGATCTTGCTATTTTTGTACAAATCGAGAGTAGTATAAGGTCAAGTTTCCATGTAATGAATTGTCCAGTTCAATTCGTAGCAGACAGCAAATTACGCTACAAAAAACCCCGCGAAGAGGGACAAGTAGAGGCATGACAGACTTGATTTTGAGAATTTTCTTGCGGTTACTAGTAACATTGCTTATCTAACGTGCTGTGACGTATTAATATTCCCTTGAACTAGAATCCAGATCCTCTTGATTAGCAGTGATGCTTCAATTAACCGGGAAAGACGTCACTGCTGTGCCTGAGCGAGCAACAATTCCTCAGCGACTCCATTTTTGAAACAGATTTCCATAAAAAGAATTTGAAGAATTGACCGATACACCTGATCCTGCTAGGGAACGTGAGAGTTCGTGATTATGTTCCCAAGGTACTCCTTCTTTTACAACTGTCTTAACACGTCTAAAAGCAGCGCTCGGCAAATGGAACCTATTCTATTTAACATTAAAATAAAATAGAATATTCTATTAAAAAGGCTCTAGAATTTTACAGAAAATAGAATTCTAGAGGCTATTCTAACTAATTAGAGAGTAGTATTTAAAGGAGTAAATAATAATTAATTAGTAGACCTATACTAAATTAACCTTAACCTACTATAATTACGTTAAGCTCCTTATTACTTAAATCCTTTAAAAACTCTTTAGGAATAATACCCTAGTCTTAGAGGTATATAATCTACCTAACCTTCTTACTACTAATACTATATCTATCTTTTATAATAACTTATCCTCCTTTAGAAAAAACCTACTTAGATAATACTAATATAGTAGGAATTATAAAATAATCTCTGGCTATTTAAAACAGGATAGGATAATTTTATTACTTTCTAAGCTAATACTTTAAAACTTATAAATAGTCCTCCTTATCCCTTAAATATAGCTTATCTAAATATACTTAAAGTTCGTCTTTAATTATATATACTCTATTATTTTTAAAGGTAATAAAGGGATTCTCTTAGATAGAAGGCGGCGTATTTTATTAGCTTTATTATTATACTTATACTTTAACTTCTACCTTATAGTACTCTAATTTAACTTATGTTTATCGGCTCTTATATTTATTATATATAATAGTGATATTATTCTTAACCTTCTTATAGACCTTACTTATTATTCTTCTATTATTTATACTAACCTTCTTAAAGAAATATAACTTATACTAAGAATTAAGAACTATAGTAATAGAAGGAGCTATATTTATAAAAGAGGATTTATAGTATTTATAGAGCTTTATATATACTACTATAGTAGTATATTATATAGTCTTTATTATATATATTATCTTTATAGTAGTAAGCTAGGTTTAGAGAGTAATAAAATATAGAATCGTATGGTAAAGGGTGGGATATTTATTAGCTTAAAGAGTAGTTATTACCTTTCTAAAAAAGATAAAAAACTCCCTACCTACTTACTAGTACTCTAATCTTAGTCTAATAAATAATAATACTTTACTAATAAATTAAATCTCTAAGTAGTATAAAATAGTTAAATTAGTTCTTTAAGTTAAAAAAAGCGCTCTAAAAATAAGTTAGTAGAATTCTATTAGACTAGTATATCTAATTTAATCTCTAAGAAATTAATATTGAAAGAATAAGTTATAAAGATAAGAGTATTATAGAACTAGTAGTAGTAAAAGATCATACTTAAAGTTTATATTTTAAAGAAGAAGGATTAAGACTTAAGACTTAAATTAAAACTATTATATAAAGTTAGCTAAGATAAATTAAAGTAATAATAATTATACTTACTCTAGGATTCTACTAAGGCTATATTTAAGAATAAAAGCGTTATAAGGTTTAGTAGGTAATATTTTTAAAGTTGTAATTCCTTTTTATATATAAAGGTTAAGTATATATAAATAGTAGTAAATATTATAGTCTTATATATTAAATTATAAGTATAATTTTACTTTCTATTCTATAAGTAAATATTAATATTACTTCCTAAGTATAGATTTATATATAAAAAGAAGGGTATTATTTAATAAGGTATTATCTTAAGTAACTAAAATAATTAAATATTAAATATTATATTATAAGATAATATCTATAAGAATCTATACTATATACTTACTAGAGTAAACTAGATCTACTATCTTAATGATATCTAGGACAGTTATATAGTAAATAAATTTAGAGTTAATCTAATATATAGTTACTACTATATATTCCTAGTTATTAAATAAGGTCTAAGTATTAGTTATAAGAGTAATTCTACTATTATAACTTATATATATTACTAACTTTAATTATAGTATTTTCTAACCTTTCTTAAATTCCGACTTTATTATATGAAGTAAAGTATATATAAATATATAGTTAAGGCTAGAATAGAGGTATTTAAAGAGGTTCTTAGTTAACTTTTTCTTAATAAATTAAAAGGTAAGATTATTAGTTATTATATAAGCTAAAAGAAGCTTTATATATTTAGTCTTCTAGTTAGTAACTAATTCTACTTATTATTCCTTAATTAATTTCTAAGAGAACTTAAGCTATGATTTTTACGCCTTTTATATATTCGCCTCCTTTGTTAATACTAGTATACCTAGGTAGTAGTTATAGTAATAGGTTTAGTATATAGTAGTACTAGTAATTTTATAACTTATACTTCTAATAGCCTACTTTATATAACCTAGAGTAGTATATAATACTAGTGTATTTTCTAGCTTATATTAGATAATAGCCCTATAAAATAAAGGCTTTTAACCTTTAAAGAAGTAGTTATCTATTTTCGGAAGAAGTAGAATAGGTTTAGAGACTCGGTAAAGTAGGGTAGGGAGGTAGGAGCTTTAGGTATTTTATAGGCTTTGTGAGCTTCGACAAAGAGTATAGTTTAATAATAATTAAGTTAATCGAGGTTGTCACGGATGCCAACAAAGGATAAAGCGTATACAGCTTTTGAATCAATTGCTAGAACTAAAACCGTAGGTACGAAGAAATCAAACTAAAGAGAGAAGAGAATCTGAAAGGAGCGAAGTTATTTAAGTTGTTCCAATGCCAAGTCTCGTCACGTGCTTGGCCAAGCGAATGAAATCCTGTCAAATGAAATCCAGCTCCGTCACAGAGGTACTAGAGAGCTAGTAAATAATACTAGGGCTCTCTACCGGCCTTAGGGTATATATAGAGGTAATATAACAATAGTTTAGTTATAGTATTAATAAGAATCTATACTCTTTAATACTACTAATACTACTAATATATATAGGCCTAGTAAAATCTAGGCTTCCTATTTGTCTACTAGAGCGGCCGGACTTTTCTCGGGGTTATATAATTTTGTTCTATGGAATTCTAGTAGAATAGAGGGTATATAATAGAATAGAATTCTAGTTGCCGAGTGCTGTCTAAAAGTAATTACGGATTCATAATCCTGCATCTACATCAAACGATATTCAACAACTTCAAGTCTACCGTCACAAGTCATCCTATTCGAGTATTTACATAGGACTGTATACATACTGACGTCCCAAATGTTAGGAATCAAAAGCCTTTAAAGAATTAGATTATACAACCGGAATGAAACCCGATACTTATAGAGGTCAAAACTCGGAAAGAAATAAGAATTAGTCCTCAAACAGTGCTCAGGCAGTGACAGTCACAGGCGAATAGCAAAGTGAACCGATTGGGTAAGAAATCAGTTGTCATTTCATTCGTTCTCACGATCTGTTGATCAGATATGTAGAGGCTATACACCTATTTTCCTATCTTACACATGGCAAAGCCCTAATTAGAAGCCTCGGCTTAATCCAATCTCCCCACAACGATCTTGAGAATATCTTCTATCGATATCTTAGCATTCTTGGGATCTTTTGCAACCGCCTGCCAGTGTTCGCCATGGCGAGGTTCGCTCGTGATACATTTTGACACGACGTCTGCTCGTTTTTCCTGTGGATGAATGTTAGATTTAGTTGTATCGTACGATTCGATTTCACTTACATCTGTGCCATGCTGCAATAAGAACTTGTAGTACCAAGCCCACGTATCACCCAAGTCACTGTCTAAGATAATTGCCTTCTCGAACCAATTCTGCGCCTTCTCAAGTCTTCTCTCGCCCCAGAATATTCGAGCGATGGTGACAAACAGTAGAGGATCATTGTCGACTTTCTTGATCGCTTCCAGTGCACGGGGTTTTCGCTGGGTTCGTGGCTCTAGATACCAAATGGACTCAGAATATAGTAAACCGCTATTAGGGACTTCCTGCAAAGCTTTTGCCATGAGAACTTTGGCTTGTGAAATGTTGTTTGCACGCCTCTCAATACGGACGGATTCGGTCCATAATTCCGGAGATTTGGGGATTGCCAATCGGGCACGATCTAATACACCACGAGCCTTGACGATTGAGCCTACTCTCTCTTCGAGGCGAGAGTAGAGTAGCCATAATGGCACTGATTTAGGGCATGCTTTTGTGCCTGTGCTGTATGCATCACGAGCCTGTGGCGCCTTTCCTTCTCCATCATAGATTTGGCCTTTCATCATCCATAGCTTCGCGGCACTTGGAAATAGTTGCAATGCTTGATTAACCAGATCCAATGCGGCTTCGATGTCTCCAGATTGACGCTCGAAGGCCACGCTCTTCATCCATACACGGTCGGTAGGCGCTTCTTGTCTTGCTGTTTTCAGTAACTCTCTCGCCTGCTCTGGTTGATTATTCTCGGCCTCCAGCTTTACGGCAGCAAGCCAGATATCTTCATTATTTGGGTTTTGGTTAAAGGCCCGACCCAGGACCCTTCTCGCATTATCGATTTCTCCAGCTTGCCACTTTTCCTTTGCCAACATCATCCATAACACTTCACTCTGAGGACAAGCTTCAACTGCCTTCTCGAGGAGCTGCCACAGGGCTTCTTTCGTTCCATGATTTTTCTCCAAATCGGCAGCAGCAAGCCACAATTTTCTGCTGTTGACGAAGACTCGAAGCGCATAAGCATACATCGCACGAGCAGTTTCGTATTTGCCTCGTCCGATGCTCGACTTTGCATCTTCCATCCAAATTTCTTTTCGGTCGTCGTCCTCATCCAAGCTCCATCCCAAAGTCTCCCTAATGATTGCACCACAGGTCAAAATTGCACCCTCTTCTTCGCACTTTTCAGCCTCCGTAATCCACTCTTCACGCTTCAACATAGCAGATTTTTCCGCCAGAGCGGTGACTGCACGCTTCATGACGTTAACCTTAGCGGCATTTCCTCCCATCTGCTCCTGGAGCCGAGCAGCTGCTATCCAAATTTCATGCGATGTTGGAATTGCTTTTCGGGCTTTGTTCAGTACTTTTTGCGCATTTTCGGAGGTCTCCAGCCTCGCAAGTGCAAGCCAGAGTTCTACAGAAAGAGGTATAATTTCTGTTGCTTTTGCCAAAAGAAGTCGCGCGTCTGCGGGGTCCTCCTCCAAATTAACCGCCTCCTTCCATAGCATTACTGATTGTGGAATATGGTCTAGGGCCTTTCGAATGACTGATTTCTTTGCACGAGATTCTGTCTCAAGTTCCATAGCTGCAACCCACAACTGCACGGATCGATCGTTTTTCTTTATTGCGTTGGCAGCAATAATCTTTGCATTGTGGTTGTCATTGAGATGGATATTCTCAAGCCAAACATCTTCGCTCTTCGGACAAAACTCACATCCTCGAGCAATGACATTTCGAGCTGCTACAGTCTTCCCGGCCAATTCTTCCAATCTTGCAGCAGCAATCCAGCCAGGAGCATGCTTGGGATTTGTTCTAATAACCGATTCTAGCAGAACTCGCACTCTTTTAATATCTCCAACCTGTTCTGCACCATCACCGATTTGTGATTTAGCTAGACTTGTCAGGTATCCTTTGGGATCGATATTTGTCGAGCTACCGGCAACCGAATCGGTTCCACTGCCCTGAGAAGCCTGGTCCAATCTGACTTGTAAAACTTTGTCTCTGGCAGCACCAATATCCGCGAAGTTGGTCATAGTTCCGTCCTGGTTATCTCCCGGGTTTCCATCATCCGCAACTGTTGTCCCTAGCTCAGTCGAGTCCCTAGCACCAGCAATAACACTATCCGGGACGGCATAAAACCTCTGTCTTAACGCCTGCTTGCTTCTCCGGTTCTTTCCTGTCAGATCTCCCACTTCAGGTAATTCGGCCCATTCCTGATCGCTGACTGTTGAAAGGGCGCGTTTTAAATCTGCAAATTGCTGCTGGACCTTTGGATTATCGCGCTCGTACTGCTCTCGTTCGGCCTGTTCTCGTGCTTCCCTGTAGGTAGAAACGTCGGTAATCTGTTCATCTATTCGCAAAAATGATAAACCATTTGTGACTCGAGAACATGGGGAGTAGAAATATGAAAATGGAGAGACCAACCTTCTGACCTTCCGCCGCCTATCCATCTTCTCATCTACCTCTTGGTAAATTCTGTCTGCTTCATCGTCATCTTTGTCGAATGCGCCTCCAGCAAACAAACCCACTTCGTTCTCTGGATCTTGAAATCTTGAGTCATCCTCGTCATCATCTTTCTTTTCTGTAGCCCCGTAGGCAGTTGGCGCTGCCGCTCCAAGTTGTGCTGCTCGTTTTGCGAGCGCTTCTTTGATTTGGTCCTCGCTGGGTCCCTCTCTCGCAGGACCCAAATCGGATCGCGTTGTGAATCCAGTAGCACCACGACCGAGACCTGCAACGTAATTTTCTGGCGCCGGCTGGTTGAGAAAGTCACGTCTACCCGACATGATTGCGGTGTAGGGGGTCGTTGAATTTGGTGTGTATTCTCGAAGGGAGTTTGAAAGTTTCCATTTGGTTACTGCGCAAGGCTGAAATAGATATGTAAAGCATGTACCGAGGTTCTCCCGAGGTCAACAAATTGTCAAGACGCTATACTCACTACTGTAGGGGATAGGAAATAGATGGTGGATATATATCTTGAATTTAGCTCTATTAGATTGTATAGCATGATGAATAAAAGCTCAAGAACACTCGCAGAATTGTTGCAATAACATGATCTATTTCCATTCACCTATACCTTTTGTACATGAATAACATACATAATACAGTCGCTTTTCTCCTACTCAGAGGAAGCTTACTGAAATCATCTTAAAGTAATAGGCTTCTTCGCAAGGATCTTCTGCAAAATCTCCGGGTGTCTATGCACACTAGGAGTAAGTCCCATCCCAATTGCCCTCCTGATAGTTCTCGCGATCCGCCTCTGGTTTACAGGTCTCAGCCCAGTATCTTTTGAATGCTTAATCCTTCCCATAGCCGTCATGTATTCGGAAACCATAGAGAAATTCTGTTCATTATTAGCGTCGTCTGCCATGGTCCAGACTAAAAGGCGAAAATACTCTATAATGGTCCAAAGGGTTCAAATCCAGCGCATCAAAAGCATCTTGGGCTGGCCGTCCTCTCCTCCTCCACTTGCTCATCTCCACCCAACTCAAGTCATGAGGCGAATACACATCTCCCTCTTTAAAACGTCTCGTAATCCATCTGGTTAAATTAGACTTCAAGGAGTGCAGTTTCAATTCTTCCTCCGTGGTAGGCGTAGTAGTCGATTCCCCAGAACTCGAGTCTCTGGGCGCTAGTGTCATAGATTCCCGACGAGTCCGCTCTTTTTTCAAATTGATGGAATCATTAAGAAGCTTCGAAAGGCGCTGTGTAGAATGGACATTTCCAGACTTTGGTGTATGTTCACCAAGGCGGGTACTCGGTCGTCTCGGGAGGATGGTTGTTTCGCTGACTGGTCGGCGCAGAGCACTTAGAATCTGGGCAGCTGGAGATTCCGAAGAGCCGAGACTATCGATGTCATCGAAATGGGAGGAGGGTGTCGGCGGTCCGTCTAGGAATCGTTACAAACTGTGCTGTTCGGGGGAAGAGATATTTTGCTCACCAGCGCGGAAAGAACGAGACGTCGAGAAGCTCGCTTTGAGGCCCGGAACCTCTCGACAGACTGTCCTCATGGAATTGAGACACTCTAACCGTGGAGGTGCCATTATGATGTTGCGAGTGCCCAAAAACTCCTTGGAATCTTTCTAGGTAGGTAGGTGTATCGACAAAATACTAGTGTCGGCAATAGTTTTTCCGTCCCCGGTACTGGGACATCCAAAATAATTTTGAGCTCAACTTTCACCCCGCTAAAACATCATCGCAACGGCACAGAAAAGATCAGGACAAGATGGTACGGAAACTGAAGCATCATGAGTCCAAACTCCTTCGAAAAGTCGATTTCACAACCTACAAAAGCGACAATAACCATCGCGATGCGGCCGTGATACGGCGATACGCCATCCAGAAACCCGGAGATTACCAAAAGTACAATCGATTATGTGGTGTAAGAATTTTCTTCTTCAAAAGAAGCTTTGCGTGCGCATTAAAAAGGCGTATACTGACAAGTTTCTAGTCGTTAAGACAACTTGCCCATCGTCTTGCAGCCCTTCCACCCGACTCCGAGTTTCGTCGCAAACAAGAAATTCTTCTGCTCGAGAAGCTCAATGACATAGGCATCCTCCCCTCCACTGCATCGACAGCGAAACTATCAGAGGTTGAAAAGAATGTTACTGTATCAGCATTTTGTCGGCGACGTCTACCTGTTGTAATGACCAGACTGAGAATGGCCGAAACTGTACAAGCCGCGACGAAGATCATCGAACAAGGACATGTCAGAGTTGGTACCGAAACTATTACGGATACGGCATTTCTGGTCACAAGAAGTATGGAGGATTTTGTTACGTGGGTCGATGGAAGTAAGATCAAGAGAAATATACTGAAGTATAGGGAGAAGCTGGACGATTTCGATTTATTGTAGGATGTGGAAATGGCTTAACAGAGTTCCCGCATGATTCGATATCTAATTAGGGGTGCGAAAAGGGATTGTAAATGCACGGCGTTTGGAATGAATAAGGAATCAAGCATTGATGGAGTTATGGAATGTTCCGCCGAGCAGATTCTATATGATCCTCACAAGGCCTATGATACCAATGGATTTTTTTCTCAATATTGCATTTCAATTTCTATGAAATACTATCGGTCCTCCCGTATCTTAATAGAGAATAACCTGTCCCTGTCAAGAAAGTAAGGGAGTCGAGTATTACTGGCGCAAACATCAAAATCAAGTGTCGGATAACGAAAACGCAAGGACTTCCCATATTCTGTTCCATATCTCCCGAGAATATCAAAAGCAACCCACTATTCCTGCTACTTCAGAGCTTCCCAATCCACTTTTGCGAAGAACTTTCATGCGGATGGAAAACTGCGGATAATTCGAGTTTCGACTGTAGTTGCGGTCGGTGGATGGGGACGAGTACCTGCTGAAGGTTCTCTCATATCACTAATGGACGCTGTCGTTGTACCTATATCTTGGAGTTAGCCTACGTAAAAGCTTCTCGAGCTTTTACGACATTGAATTCCATTATTCAAGAGCCCACAAGACAATCAATTCCTACCAACCCCATTATCTCAAACAGGGATAATGAGATCCATTCCGAGAAATTCTTGAACAACCACAAAGCACAAAACCCAGGTGGCCCAAAAATGTCGAATGATAAACACAATCAGACTTACATCCTGGAATTTCCTCATCAGTTGGACACATAATCGGGGGCGAAGAACCAGATGGCTTTGTTGATTCAGACGAGCACACAACCCTATGGATCGTTCTAGTGGCCATAGTACTAACAGTCGTCGTAAACGGCAATCCCGTATCGTCAGGGAAAGGATTCAAAACCGTTAAGGAACAGCCTCCACAAGCCAGTAGTCGCGTGCGCGTAGTTGTGCGTACATGTTGTGTCTTCGTTGGACCGAACTCCATAGGCGGAGGCTGGAAATACTCTGTAGTGCAGAAGGCAGGAATAGTAGTATTACGAGGCCCTTTTTGGGGATTGTATGTGTAGTGTCCATAACGGACATTGGTCGTCTGTAGCTCGGATCCTGGGTCCATTCTTGTGGTTGGGAATGTAGGGTAGGTTGTGGTGATGAATTGACGTGGAGGTGGATGTTTTGTTTTTGTGACTTCGCTGGGGTTGCATGTGATGATGTTGGTGAGGCATGCAAGCATGCAAAGAGACTTGACAGCTACCATGATTGCTGCCTTTCCAAAAGAACGCTATCCTTGAAGTGTTTGGAAGTGTTGTGTGGAAGTGCTGTGAGATTTCTCTGGGAAAGAGGTCAAATGCACTTGCCTTGTAAGAGGAAAATATCGGTGATACGTCATTTTGAGCGACTAACTCAATTACTTGGTTCATTTAACAAGTTATACAAAAAGCCACAAGAATGGTGAAGCCAAATATCTGTGCAGATGGTGTTGGGGAAATTACGTCTTTGTAAGAAAACCTTCACTCACTCTTTCTCTTTGTCCAAAGTACAATTCATCAGTGAAGCCTGTAAGAACAATCCACACCCAGGTATCGTTAGTGTTTACCCTGTGCAACACCCAGGTTCCTAGCATGTATATTTAGGTACAGTACGTTACAAGCTCATCAATTTTGTATACTAATGTAACAATACAAGTACTCGCTTAACGCGAAAAACTTCGACATTGCTTCGTTGAATATTGCGCCAGAATCCTGATATCTAAATTTACTGACTAAGAAAACCTGGATTTCAAAGAGCCAGAAAATCCCATTAACCCAAACTACCCCCTGAAGAGAATAGATTGTATGAGTCCTTCTGAAATGATATCGTTCCCTGCAGGTATAAGGTTAAGCAGAGCTCCCACTAATCTATCCATCTACCTCATAATCCCTCACTTACTACTACCAAGTGTAAAGAACATCTTTGAAATCTTTTCCAACAAAAGCAGGGTCCAGAATACTGGTACGTATTAGTGATTGAGAAGGTATTGAAGAGCTTAAAAGACGCGACAAATACTGTACTATGACTCACTAGCAAGGCGGAGAGAACGAGAAAAGCGGGAGCACAAACTCCGGTACAGCATACCTTCTTAATCACACCCATACAAGGACCTCCATCAAATTCCTCTGAATATCAGTCCGGGCTCAACGAACATCCTCCCAAACCTTCATATTTCAAACAACGCGCTCAAGGCCCATAGGAAACACACACACACGCCGCCATTACACCAGCAATTCCAAAAGAAATTAAATATTTATATCTGACTAGTACTATCTCAAAATAAAAAAACTCCCCCAAATAAAACTAAAACCACCCCCAAACAAAAGAGAAGAAAACAACAGTCTTTTCTAAACAAGGAATGTGGATGTTACGGTATTGCATGGGGGGTATCCTAAAAAGAAGAATGAAAGACAACGGCTCATCCAAAAAGAGTAATCATTCATCCATCCAATCCACATCGACAATCCAATACCCTGTTTCTCGTCGCATGCATTTCATTCATCCCGTCCGTTCCCTTCAATCTCGTCGCTTGCTTCGGAAAATGGGTATACGCATGCTGTTCGTTATACCCACTGTCCATCCATATATTAAAATTCGCCCCTCATGTCAATTATCATCATCATCATTATTCCTTGATAATTTCTTCACCGAAACCGCCGGCTGCTGCCTCGTCCTTCTTTGCACCAAACGCCCATCCAATCCAACTAGCCCTCTTGGCTCGCTTCTCGTCTTCAAGCTCGGCGCTAGTTTTGCGCATACTTTCGTTCTGATCTTGGACGAGTCTCAGTGGACGTGGTTTGTTTCCCGCAAAGGTGGTGGCTTTCTCGCCTCCTCTTGGTGGACTTTGACTTGGTGGCGTAGACACTTCGCCAGAATCACCGCTCGTGCTACTTGTCTCGCTCTTCATGCCGGGGAAATTGCCAGATGTGGGGATCTGTCCAACACTTGGAGCTCGATGTTGAGCGTTTGGATTACCACCCGAAGCAGGAGGGGCGAAGAAGGATTGAGAGGATCGAGGGGTTCGTGGACCGTGAAGTGGTGGCGATGTTTGTCCTCCTCTATACATTTGGTTTATGACACTGGCTGCACCGTGACCGCCGGTGTATTGTTCACTCATTGGACGACCAGTTCGGAAGCTGGTGGAACGGTTGAGACCAAAAGGAATGCTTGGTGCAGTATCCGGATCTGAGAATCCAGATGTTGCGACTGGCATCTGTGATTGAGGGCGTGGGCGTTTCGATGCTCCCATGGCTACGGATTTGGCTCGTTGAAGGACCGAGGCACCGCTGGCTTGCTCTTTTGGTGGCGGAGGTGGCGGGAGGTCTTTTTCTGTGTTTGCTCCAGCTGCTCCTGGTTTGAAAGCGGACGACTGGTCCAAGATGGCTTCGAAGTCTTGATGCATAAGTAGTCGTTCAATAATCTTGTTGATATATAGCGTCAGTGCTTTGTTCTGATCCTTTGCCGACTTTAGTTCGGCTTCTAGACGCCTGTAGTTGTCGCTCTCTCCTTCTGCAAGGTCTGATAACTCGTCTGCCAAACTCGGTGCTGCAGTTCGGCCTTCCAATGCGCTCAGGGCATCTTGGTTTGCTGCAGAACCCATGAACTCGCTCTTGGAGAAATCTCCAGCCAACGTCTTCTCGGATAATAAAAGTTGATAGCTTTCGTTGTCCTCCATTAATCGTGCATTCGTCATTCGTGCTTCCAATAATAATCTCTCAACCTCCTGCATGCGCCCACCACCCATGTTCTCTGACTCGACAAGTTTGATTTGTGCTTCAGCAAGCTCCAGTCTTAGAGATTCAATTAACTTGTCTTTCTGAAGAACCAGTTTTGAGTTGTTGCGAGAGTCGCTACGATTGAGACCTGTGGCGGATGGAGGTGCAAATTGACCTTCCAGGTTCGGGGAGGAGTTGTTGGCTACATGAATTAGGGTTTGTTCTCGAGTACATGGCAAAGAAAACTTACATCGTCTGGATAACCGAGACTCCTCGTCGACATTTGACTTTGAGCTCAAGGAATCCTTCAATCGCTGGATAATGGTTTGCATCTCCTCTTCCCTAGTAGCCATTTCCTCTCTTTCTTTGGTCATGGAGCTTCTCTCGCCTTCGTAGATATTCTCCAACTCCCGGCTCTTCTTGAGGGCCTTGCTCTTTTCATTTTCAAGTTGCTCTAATTTCTCGTCGGCCTCGTGCAGGCGTTCTTCGAGTTTCTCGTGCTCCTTTACAGACTCGTCTAGTCGTGACTGCAGCACCTGGGATTGTTTCTGGTACTGCTCCGCTGCCGTTTCCGCCTTGTGCAAGCGCTCTTTGAGATCATCCAACGCTGCGACCGCCTCTGCTCGTGCGTCTTCGTTTACATCGGAATTCACGCTGTTTTGACTCAAATTCGACATGCCGGCGCCGGGTCTCGAGATGGAGCCACGGGCAGAAATATGGTGGCCTCCCCCTCTTATCGATCGGGTGCGAGGGGTGCTGTTCGCAGTTGGGGAAGAAGGAGCGGGCGACCGTCCTGCGACCGGCGTTCTCGCGCCGGGAGGGTCTGTCGAGGGCCGTCGCCCACTTGGGGTACCTGATAGCGGTTTCTTGGTGGCTGCGGACATTGTTGTGGGTGTTCAGAAGCGGCCAAAAGAATACTTGAACGTAAAGGGGGGGGATAAAGAATGCTGTTGTTGTTGTTGGTGAAGAAGCTCGGCGTGGACTTTGCGGTGATGGGTGATTCGGTTGCTAGCTCAACTCCTGACGTGACCCCTGTTATTAATAGCAACCACCTGGGCAGTATTGCACTTCAACTTAGCCGAGGGATGCCTGAAGAGAGCAATCTTTGACGTTATCGATATTTTGGGGCAAGTTGAAGCGAGAGAGTTCGCATGAAAAAGGGGCCTTAATAGTGCGCTGCAAAATCAGTGAAAAGACTTGGTCATCGGTGAGTGTACAAGTAGGGCTTCCCCCTAAGAATGTTGCGATGTGTGCGCTGTTGTTGACACCGACCAGTGACCAGTGACCGGGTGCAGGTGGTTGTGAATCAGAGTGGGTTTGCATAATCTCTCGCGTCCGATATGATTGCGACGAGGAATTTGATCTCCCCTTCTTGCCCCAGGCCGTCTCAAGCATTAAACATTGAAACGAGTTTTCGCATCGTCTTACATGGTCATGCTTGAATCAGTCCGAATTACAAAATGAAGCTGAACTGACCGTTGGCTGAGGTGGAAGCGATCGAGCCCGTGAGGAGGAGCTTCCTCAAGGACAATCCCTTCGTGAACTCCCAGGGCGTCTGTTACTTTATTGGTCTATTGGGCTCCAGATGCGGTGGTATCAGATCAACCTCGGGTTCCTGCGCGGGACCATGAAATCCAATGATTGGACCATGCTCCACAGCCTGTTGTGTTCCAGTGTAACGGATGCTATTTTCCCAAATTTCCTCCTCGCCTTCTTCAGATGAAGAAAAGCATGCAGTTGATTCGTTGATTGCTACCAAAATTAGGTACACCAGAGGAAGAGGGCAAAGCACGGAGTTCCCGTGATGATAGTCATGTGATAATGCTGAGTAAGCACAAAGCATAGGCTCTGGTGGGCTGGCCGGCGGACTATCTACCGACACTCCGATCTGCCAAGACTAATCACCCACCAGCACAATTGCATTTCGTAAAATATCTCGAAACTTTTCCGCATCGTCAACCTCAGCGTCAACAAACCACCCCGCAACTACATCCATCATCTCCTGCCGGAGCGTATCAACCGTACCACAAATCTAAGATCAATCAGATCTTCACACGCAACGATGGCACCAACAAAGAAAGCCAAGAAGTCCGCTGACGGAATCAACTCTCGTCTTGCACTGGTCATGAAGTCCGGTAAAGGTAAGAGTCTGGAGATACCCTCAACTCTGCGACACTCACTAACCGATTAATCACAGTCACTCTCGGATACAAGTCAACCCTCAAGACCCTCCGATCCGGAAAGGCCAAGCTCGTCATCATTGCTGGCAACACCCCTCCTCTCCGAAAGAGTGAACTCGAGTACTACTCCATGCTTTCCAAGACCAACGTCCACCACTTCCAGGGCAACAACGTGAGTATACACCCATATCCCCTCTTCAATGGATGAAGCATGCTTCTCCAGGCTCCTGGCGATCAGATCTCGGTCTGTGAAGGAGTGGCCCAGCGAAAAAGTCTCTGACTTTGGAGGGTACAAATCATTTGCTTACTTTTCTCGATGACAGATTGAATTGGGTACCGCATGCGGAAAGCTTTTCAGATGCTCCACCATGGCCGTGTTGGATGCAGGTGACTCCGATATCTTGTCTGGACAGACTTCTTAGGTGCATATCTGGAGGAAAATGGATTAATAGTTCATTCATTGGTGTAATGCATAAATCATAGCATAACGAATGAAACGACTTCTCAATACAATTCTGGAAAGTTTGGTGACATACCGTTGAACGTATTTGATCTAGTTGGACTAATTCTCATGTTGCATTGAACATGAGCTGGAGGGGCCTTCTGCCCCAAATCGTCGGGTTCAACGGCTCTTTCGATTTTTTGGTCTTTGGTGCAGGAGTGATTTTGTTTCATGGCTCTAATCATTAGATTGTGGGAAGCTCGAAGCGTTTTCCCAATCTCTTTGAAAGGGTTGAGTTTTTAGTTCTTTCTGCAAGAACGTCGGTGAGTTGTATGCTATAGTCAGGCGGGGGCGATGCCTTCGATGCTGATAAATCAAGTTGCTTGGAAATCAAAAATTCCTCGCCTTCGCAACTCCAAATTAAAGTGACTCTGAAGGCAAATAAATAAGCAGCCAAATCCTTTAAAAGCCTCCGTTCCCAGTAACAGTGAAGTGGTATTCCTACGTTTTTCAGACTCTTGCTCACAGATCCGATCCCGATAGCCCTGCAAATTTCAAAATAGCCGTAGTGGGCGTCAAAATTCGCTTAAGGATTGATAAGCAGCCAGGCTTAACTGGTGAACCCAAGAAACCATCAACTCATTCCAACTTCAACAACACCCAACGTCAAGACCACCTCGAAATCATTCAAGATGGCCCGCCGCCCAGCGAGATGTTACAGATACTGCAAGAACAAGGTGCGTAGCGCTCTCTTCTCCAACGATGCGACGGAATCTGGAGGGAGGAGATTGGGATTTGGATTCTGGGTGCTTTATCGCCATGAGGACGAATTCCTCTCGACTCTGAGGATGGGCAGCGCTCGCGCGGGCTTCAGGCGACCAAATATGGCCATTAGCTAACATTTCGGTTCTTGTAGCCATACCCTAAGTCCCGGTTCAACCGTGGTGTCCCTGACCCAAAGATCCGTATCTTTGATCTCGGCCGAAAGCGTGCGAACGTCGACGAGTTCCCTCTCTGCATCCACTTGGTCTCCAACGAGTATGAACAATTGAGTTCCGAGGCTTTGGAAGCCGCCCGTATTTGCGCAAACAAGTGAGTGTGCCTATGGTGGATTCGGCGGGGTTGAGGATGGAAATACTGGTCGGGACGCTGGGATCACCAATCATATTGGGGAACAATGGGAGGATACTTTGAAGCATCTACTAACAAAGTTCATCAGATACTTGGTCAAGGTCGCCGGAAAGGAAGCCTTCCATCTCCGTGTCCGTGTCCACCCATTCCACGTCGTCCGTATCAACAAGATGTTGTCATGTGCTGGTGCCGATAGACTGCAAACTGGAATGCGTGGTGCTTGGGGAAAGCCAAATGGAAGTGTTGCCCGTGTCAACATTGGTCAAATCATCTTGAGTGTCCGAACTCGTGATTCTCGTAAGTTTCAAAGGGATATTTTTTAATTCTGATAAAGTCTAACACTCAAGTAGACCGTGCCACCGCTCTCGAGGCTCTCCGACGATCACAATACAAGTTCCCAGGTCGCCAAAAGATCATTGTCTCCAAGAACTGGGGTTTCACACCTCTCCGTCGTGAGGAGTACATGGACAAGAAGGCCGCAGGAGCAGTCTTGGTTGATGGTGCATATGTTCAATTCTTGAGCAACCACGGAAAGTTGGCCGATAACATCAGACGTTTCCCAGCTGCTTTCCAGGAGGCATAGGTTGGTTCGTTTGCAGGTTTCGATGGGATTATGGGCAGAAAGGCGTATAAATTTGCAGTGATAGGATGAAAATGCTCCTTCGCATTCATTCATCTTATTATCATTGTATCTTAGGAATTGCTACGACTTTCATCATCAACGTTTTATTTCAAATGCAAATGGTGATTTTGAGTTCCGGGAGATGAGATATATAAGTATGGAAATACATACTTGACCCATCAAAGGCACAGGCATGATGCTTACCGTAAGTATACAGGGTCATGATGCTTGTCAAAAGTATAGAAGGTGCTGTAGTAAAGATAGATCAGTCTCCGAAATACGGCGTGGCGGCTGTGGTCGGGTATTGGCTTCAAACCTCCTGACTCAAGATACCTGACGGGGAGTACTGTAGCGAAAGGCTCCTGTGATGGTTGGCTGGCCACACCGCGGGGGATTAATGAACAATCCACTTTTCACATCATGTTCCCTCTGTATTTCATCATACCTATGAATAGTCGGATGTAGCGCGATAAGACACTATTCAACTGTGTGCCCCCTCTTTTAATAGCTCTATAAAGTGACTTGCATATCTTGGGACTGCGGTTCGGGTGCAGTAGGATATGATATGCAGGTTCTAATCGGCCAGCACACAACCATGCCACTAATGATTACTTTTCCTGCTCTCGCCGTCTGATATTACCTTTTTTTCGCCTGGTTTTTTTCATCAAAACATCTATGAGAATGACTGTAGATTAGAATAGACATATATGTAGATATATTACTCATCCTCAGGGATTTGCTGCATCTTCATCGCCTGATGATTGCCTCCACGTGGTTGGAATGCCGCGCCGGTGAGAATGGTGGTGGTGGACCTACCCTCTACTCAAGTACAAAGGGAATCCCAGCGTCCACGCAGACACGCAGGGTCTGACTGATTACCTATTGAACGCAATACTGTATCTCCTTTTGTCTTATTCAGCCCAACACTTTCAATGACAGACTGACCACACCATCTATTATATCTGTCAACACACACATACGGTGCCAGAAACACACCAGAGTTTCTCTCGAGTTTCTACTCCATCTACTCGTACTCGAAAACAAATTTCACTCTGCGGCGCCACGATAAGGGCAGGGCTTATCGTAGAGCTTGTTGGGTTCAGGTTGCATAAAGCTAACGTGCGCCTCTGGAATACATCACCACTTTCCCATACAGTACCGTAGCGAAAGCCTGTTTCTCGTGGGAGGAGGTCTGTTCCGTTCCCAAATCTTACAACTCCTATCCTCGAAACTTCTACTGCGGCAGTCATCCCCATATTCCACATACTCCCCTCCACAACCAACCGTTACTCGACCTCGCTGCGTCTGGCTGCATCTCGCTGCATCTCGTAGCTCACATCTCCAGGACCCCTCAAAGCTTCCTTGAAGCTTCCTATATTACGGAGCAATGGCGTTCCGCCATTCTACGTATCAGGCCCCACAGCGCGTCTACACTTTACCAGACAAGAGCGAGACCCAGGCACTTGCAGAAAGGCTTGCACAACCATCTCAAAATGTGGCAGAATCACAGGAATGGATTTTGTTTGACCCCTCAGCGGCTTCGACCACCGATCGCACCTACACCACATCTTCAGCACAGACGCAAACCGCTGGTCGGTCTCGTATCAGTGACTTTGGTAGTTTAGATACAGCTGCGAGGAGCTACGGTTATGATGCGGATGGCAGAAGCGGGCACACAGAAGACTTGGAGGAAGATGGGGAGCTGGATAGCTTGGATAGCCACCTTCAGGAGTTCAGAGCGGAGCCGAGTGTGTATAGGTCGAGTGGAGTAGGAGAGGCTAGCACATCGGTACTACCGCAACACGATGGCCTTGGGAGCTTCCGGGTCGATCAGGCACTTATGGGTGATGATATGCAAGAGCAGTTGTACGCCTTTGAAAGGTATAATCCTCGGAGAATAAAGAGGCGACGGGAGAGCTTAGAGTTGGGCCAGTTGGAATTGGATAACGAGAGGGCTGCAGAGGCAGAACGAACACGACGGATTGAGAAATGGAGGATGGAACAGAGTCGGCTGTTGGTAGATGAGATTCAGAAAGAAACGAGAAGGCGGAAGATGTCAATGGCAAGTGAGAGAAGAAGTGTTGTAGTTGACCGAGAACAAGAGGACATTGCCACGTTGAGCACAGTGGATTCTTCCGGCTCAACTGACGTGGCTGACGACACCGAAACTTTCTTGAACCGGATCACGAAGAGACTGATCCATGACTTGATGGGCATTGACGATGATCTACTCTCGATAATCTTTGGAGAGTCGATACCAGTGGATGACGACCTTTCGTCTACTCCTCGAACAAAAGCAACAAGCGATATCCAGAATGGTCTCATCTCAATGAATGGATCCGAATCTTGGGAGTATCGTCTCGTAGAGCGAATAGCCCGTGAGCTGGGACTACTCGTGAATGGAATTTCCGACCACCCTGGTGCTTTCTCAACATACTTAAACTCGCAACAGCCCCCTTTACCTTACGCAGGACTCCCTATCATCCCAGAAACTGCTCGCGACCAACCTGTTCCATCTCAACTTCAAGAATCGACTCTCACCTCACCCAACCCTGAATTTCTTCCAACCATCCAAAACTCACAAGCAATGCCAATCCCAATATCCGGCACCTCCCTTGCCCCATCTCCGCTACGAGAAGACGACTCCACGCCCAGAGCATCAAATCCCCTATCTAGAGAAGAATGGGAACGAGATCTTGATGTAAAGATGGTCTTCCGCTACCTTCGCTCACGCTTCACGACCAAATTCCAATCCTCACCTCCTGCACCGGCTCCGATTTCCTCCCCTGATTTCTTCACTACCCATGGCACTTCTCATCTTGCCACAGCATCTACGTCCGAGACCGCTGCTCGAGCAGCAAGAGTACGACAACATCACCCTCTCGTCACCCGCCAGAACTCGACCCCGCGACGCAGGCAAATCGAAAGACGGACTTTCAAAGTTTCTGTTCCTGGTGGCGTGGCGGGTGGTGGTCTTGTCAGAAGAGGAAGTAGTAGCTGTGCGAGCGAGCATCTGAGTGCCGCGGGAGCTGCACTGAGTGCTGTGGGAACGAAAAGAAATAGTGGGAGCAGTAGACATTATTGGGATTTTGGTAATGGAGGAAGTACGGTTGGAAGTGGGAGCATGATTGCTAGCACTGGGGGCATGGGAAGTTGGGGGGAGGTTTGATGTGAGGCTTGACGTTTAAAACGTTTTCTATTCTATTTCTTTCCTGCAGAAGATCCTTGTTCTTTTTTTCGTTAGAGAGACGCTAGCAGAGAGCGCTGAGATAGAATGGGGATACGGATAGATGGATTGAAAGTTGCATATATGGATGAAAGGAGGGCATTTTACGTGTGAGGATTTCTACTTGATGGTTTGACGGGGCTCTGGAGCATATATTCATGGATTTGGCGTTTTTGTTTGCTTACTACTACGAGGCGATGATGTTTTCTTCTGATGGATGATGGATGATTTTACGGACTTATACTATGTCTCTTCTCTTCTCACACTTGCTAGGTTTCAATTAGCGACTCTTATTTTTACTGCTTTCTCACTACTTTCTTCGTTTCTGGAATTCTCTCTATGAATTCCGCGACTTGTGTATTTTTAGGAGATGGTTTGTGGTTTCATACTGTAATATTATGAGTGGGTGTTGAGTAGATGGGGATTAATATTTATTTACGTAGAATCACTTGGAGGTTATTTTATGGTATTATGGAGTGATATTGTGAAAGAGTGAGAAAGGAGCATGGCTCTTGAGATATTGGAGGGGAGGCGAGGTCAATGCGTCACGTATGTAGGGCTGACGCTGACTCATAAGGTTTACGACCCCTCCATGACCTCCAGCTCCCCTCCAAACCCAAAGTCACAACTTCAGTTAAACATACGAAGCAGTGACGATGGCGACCCCGAACCCAATTCTCCCGGAGAAGGGAAAGAATAATATCCTCATTACTAGCGCACTCCCATATGTCAACAATGTTCCTCATTTAGGCAATGTCATTGGAAGTGTACTGAGTGCCGACGTTTTCTCGCGATTCTCGAAGCTGAGGGGCAGACCAACGCTATTCATTTGCGGTACTGACGAATACGGCACCGCAACAGAGACGAAAGCTTTGGAGACGGGCCAGACGCCTCAAGAACTCTGCGACGAATTCCACAAGAAGCACAAGGACGTTTACGACTGGTTTGAGATTGCCTTTGACCACTTTGGGCGCACAACTACAGAAAAACAGACGGAGATTGCGCAGGACATCTTTTTGAAGCTTCATAAGAACGGTTTCTTGGAGGAGAGAACGACCACTCAACCATACTGCGAAAAGCACGAGTCTTTCCTTGCTGATCGCTTTGTCGAGGGTACATGCCCAAAATGCCAGTACGATGACGCGCGTGGAGATCAATGCGACAAGTGCGGGAGTCTTCTTGACCCCTTTGAATTGATCAACCCTCATTGCAAAATTGACGGAGCAACTCCTGTCCCACGAGAAACCACCCACATATTCTTGCGACTCGATAAAGTCGCATCAGATATCGATAAATGGTTTTCCAAATCAAGTCAAGAAGGAGAATGGCCACAGAATGGTGTCAGCATCACAAGATCATGGCTGAACAAGGGATTGGAAGGTCGAAGTATCACCAGGGATCTCAAATGGGGCACGCCAATACCATTGCCAGGATACGAGAAGAAGGTCTTATATGTTTGGTTCGATGCTTGCATTGGTTATCCCTCCATTACGGCAAACTATACAAAGGACTGGGAGCTGTGGTGGCGCGATCCGGAAAATGTCAAGCTCTACCAATTCATGGGCAAAGACAACGTCCCCTTCCATACTGTCATTTTCCCTGGGTCGCAGATTGGAACTGGTGACAAGTGGACCATGTTGAATCACTTATCGACCACCGAATACCTAAATTACGAGAACGGGAAGTTTTCCAAGTCCAGAGGTGTTGGTGTATTTGGAGATACTGTCAAGGACACTGGAATCCCCCCTTCGGTCTGGAGATATTATCTTTTGGCCAACAGACCCGAGACTGGTGATACGCAATTTGAATGGAAGTCCTTCATCGCAGCCAACAACAGCGAACTGCTAGCCAATCTCGGAAACTTTGTCAATCGACTTATCAAGTTTGTCAATGCGAAACTCGATGGTGTTGTTCCTCAATTCTCAGCCTCATATACCGATGAATCCTTCGATTTCCCTAACTTCATATCCGAGGTGAACGCTCTCCTTGCCGAGTACGTTGCTGATTTGGAGGCTGTAAGATTACGTGCTGGAGTACAGAAGCTTATGCAAATATCTGCACGTGGTAACTTGCTCCTTGCAGGCCGTTTGGACAACACCAATCTCAAGGACAGCCCAGAGAGAACGCATACCATCATTGGACTCGCTCTCAACCTTTCATATCTTCTCGCATCGCTAGCTTCACCATACATGCCATCGACAGCCACGTCAATCGTAGAGCAACTTAATGCACCTTTAGGTCAAATTCCCGACAAGTGGGTCCCAGATGCTCTGCCCGGTGGCCACAAGATTGGTAAAGCTGCATACCTGTTCACCAAGATCGATGACAAGAAGGAGAAGGAGTGGAGAACGAGATATGGAGGAACACAAGCATCGAGATTGGCGGAGGAGGAGGCAAAGGCTAAGAAAGCTGCGGATAAGTTGAGAGATAAAGAGCGCAAGAAGACAAAGAAAGAGGCGGCGAAGAAGGGTGAAGATGCGAAGAAGGAAGAGGTTGAGAAGAAGGTCGAGTTACCACTTAGAGGAGTTGTGGCTGAGGAACAGGCTCCACCACCTGCAGCGGCACCGTGAGAAAAAGAGAAAAATAGTGTTATATAGCGAGCGGATTTTAGAGCACTGTCCATTTCTCGCTAGAGACTCGAGAGGAATTTCAACAATTATTTAGCTTTCAAATACGGGCTATCGTTATCTATTGGTGTGCTGATGATGAATTGTGAATATGGAGGCGTACTGGAAGACCGGGTGCTTTGACGGTCTTCTAGCACAGCAAACGTTAGTTTTCTATTTGTTTGGGATTGTTTTGATGCTGGTGATGTAATGATTCCAGTTCAATTTGTCAGGAAGATTACTATCAGTCTAATGTTTGTATCGTACTTTCGAAGTCAAAGGTATATAAAATTTTGAGTATTGGATAGCGAGCTTGGGCATGAACGATAAGCGAGTTCTGCGAGCTGGCCTGGAAGATAGGAAGGCACCATCACGTCCCTTGTATTAAGCCAGGGTGTTTTAAATTTATGGTATCATTTCAAACAATTTCTTGCGTCAATCGCTCCAGGATTCTCTGAGCATAGTCTTATCCCCCATGAGCTGCTCGCTCTGTAAGCGCGAGATATGGAGGTTAGATTACCGCAGTTGTCGTGCTCAGAAGTTGGACGGCTGATGTTGGGTAGGTTGGTTGAATGGATGAGTTATTTCGGGAGGTGGTAAGGGCTGTTTTATGAGAATGGGAATTGAGATGGGTATGGATGATCGGGGTGTAGCGGTTCGTGATTCTTTGGATTGGGGGTTGTGGGTTTTGTGGGGGTTTGATGTATGTAGGTATGGAATTTCTTACCTCCAGGTCAGGTCTTTGGGAAAAGGGTTGTAATGAGTAATAGGCTAGGATTGAAGTGAGTTACAAACAAGTGAAAGCACCAACTACCCTTCGAGCGGCACCATATCTTGACGACAAAATATATCCTCCAAACTCTTACATTAAAACGTAATTCTATTCCTTTCGAGTATCCAACTCCTTCTAATCCCAAATTCCCAAATTCCCAAACACCGTCAACCCCCCAGAATTCCAAAACCCAAACACAACCACCCGAAGTGAAAACAGGTGCAGGGACAAACGGCATTTCTCCGCCGCTTCCCAAGTGTCGATTTTTCGAGGTGCAGAGCCCGTTGATGTCATAGCAGTGCGATGTGCAACAAAACTTTGGGAGATTTCCTGATTTGGTAGTTGGACGGTTAGATTCACTGTGTGTTTCACGGGGAAACGGCGATGTTGGGTTGGAAGTTCCGGTTTGCAAGCTCCGTGTGCCGTTCTTGGGGGAATTCACTATGTGGGTGTCGGGGATTTGGGACGGGGCGACGGGGATAGAAAGGGTGATGGAGCGTGTGTGTTTTTGGGGATTCTTTTTGGGGGATGGGGTTTGTGTGTTGGGGAATTTGAGGGAAGGAGTTGGGGAATAGTATGATGGTGATTTATAAGCTTGTTCTTTTTGGAGCTGGAATGTTTGCTTTTGTTTTCAAGTATGGTTTACGTACACTTTATACCTGAGTTCTGTGCCTTATCTCGTATACTCTTAGGTCTCGCAATTGAGTTATCACATTATTATATCTTGTAACCTGCCCAGATTTCTAAAAGCTAGTGGGTTGTGAAATGCAGCACTTTGCTAACGGCTTCTAGGCAAGTATGGCAATCAGTTGAGACGAAAATGGCTCGAATGGAATCCATGTTGAATGTTGAAGTGGGAGGGGGGGTTAAAACCCACTTGGATTTGATTCGATACTAGGAATTGTGGTTCTAACTGACCAACGCTCGCTTAGTGAATCATCACCCATAAGTGTAAGTAAAGCGCACAAGGGTTATATAGCGGGACACCAGGAAGGTGGCCGATCAGTAACAGATTCAAGATAACCTGATTCAGTGGAAGAATGACTTCTTATTAGCTTTCAGTCTGTACTCGTGTTGGGTTTTAGGGGGAGGGGCAATGATCAACATCTATTATCTGGTGTAATTATAAGTATACCAGTAATCCTAAATAGACATTGGCACAATGATAGCGTGTAAGTCGACAAAGCCTAGTTATAAGAATATGTGCTAAAATACTTGTGGCAATACCATTCTTCACAAGTGTTCTCACCACTTAGCCACCACTTTTCTATTCACTTCACTACCCTAGCTCCCTCTCTCTTCCATCCTCCGTCTTCGCCTCCCAGAATCAACTCTAGATATCCAATATTACCTACCGCCCGCACTCGAAGAACAAAAAATAATAGAAAAAGATAAACGTGTGAATAAAAAATGGCAAAAAACAAGCCCCGCGGGCTCGGACTAACTCTGCATCCCTACATCTCTTTGAGTTCGGGAAGTTGGTTTATCTCGCAAATCAGTGGCAGCTTCATCTTCCCATCTAGACCATTTGACCCAGTGGCAAGCACACTGTATCCATTTCGACTGATTTGCTGGGAAGAATTGTGGTATTTGTTATTATAACATTGTCGAGCGGGCTATTGTGAGGCGTTGGGTAATTCTCGGGTAACCACAGCGCCGCCTTTGCGCCCCAGCAACCCCTCCACCCCGCCATCAACTCCAAACGCGGGTTACCAAACTATCACTCTCTCATCAGTCTTCAAAATGCCCCACGACACATTTGACGAGGTCCTCGGTCTTGAAGAAGAATTCTACAATGATGGCTACAAAGATGGTCTCGCGGACGGCATCGCAGCAGGCCGGATCGAGGGGCGAAAATTCGGACTTGAAAAGGGCTTTGAGAAATATGTCGAGAGTGGAAGGTTATATGGGAAATCACTGATCTGGGCAAATCGTCTTCCTCAACTCAAGCCCGTGTCAAAACCCCCTTCCAAAGTCTCTGAATCAGATTCTTTGCAGAACCCAGAGATTGTTGAGAAGGGAAATGAGGAGGTGATGTTGAGTCTACCACCATTGCAGAATAACCAGAGATTGGTTAAGCATGTGAAAGTTCTGCATGCCTTGGCTGAATCGGAGAGTCTGTCCACAGAGAACTCTGAGGATGCGGTTGCGGATTTTGATGATCGGTTTAAGAGGGCGTTGGCTAAGGCTAAGATTATTGAGAGGATGGTGGGGGAGGGGATGCCGAAGGATGGGGAGGAAAGTGGGAAGGTGGCCCCGAGGAATGATGAGAATATTGAGGATGCTAGTACGGGGAAGCTTATTGCTTGAGGCTTTCGAAAGATGGTATTAATTGAAGCCACTTGCTTGGGATGCTGCTCGCATCAGATGGATAGAGGTAGGAAAGGAGCGATCTGGGTTTTGGAGACCTTGAGACTGGGCGTGTCGGCCCAAAATGATTGAGTTGTTGAAAGATCTAGAAATGTTACAGTAAGCCAATCCCCTTTTGTACTCCGTTGTTTCGATGTTTTCCTAATGGTGTTCAGAGAAGAGTCAAAAGATTCTTATCTTTCCAAGTGGTTTAGGCCCTCACAGGCTCACTGATCGCACTCTGGCAAGCGGCGGGGGATGGGGCGATATTAATATGAACGGGATATTTGGCTACACGTCACTGTCATTAATACCCGGAAATTTATCACACTTCGAATCCATTATGTTCGGTCAACTCATGTGTATTTCCACTGATATCTGGCGACTAAAAATCCATGATAATGCTAGTAATTGCGCAACCAGAAATCAACGTAGAAACTCAGAACGAGACTCTGGCTAAGAATTGCTGCCTTCTCAACGCGAGTGCATACCTAACACACCGCTGCGTAGATTCCCCAACCTTCATGCCTCTTTGTCATTTTCTCCAACAGAGCTGGCTTGTTTCGCAAGGTGTTCTTGCAGCCACTTTTTCTGTAAGGCTTTCGTCTTGCGAACTTTAACTTCTTCTCTAATAATCGGTCTCAACTCCTCAGCGATTTCGTCCCTAATCTCTGCCTTCAGCGCCTCCTTGCCTGTACGCTTAACCTCCTCCAATAGAACTGGTCTCAACTCTGCCTCAATCTCCTTTCTCAACCCCTCTTGTTCTGACGAAACTCGCTCTCGAAGACGGGTTTGAAGATAATCTTGAGCTCCTCCTTCAAAGCCGCACGCTCATTCTCCCTAACTTGTTCTGTGATCTTGGGACGAAGCTCCTCTTCAACCTCTCCACGAATTGCCTCGCGCTCCAAGATTGGAAGTTCCTTTCGGGCGAAAGCGAAAGCCTCTCTCTTCGTGGCCTCTCCTTCTTCCTCGCGGATCTTCTTCAAGAGCTGAGGTCGAAGCTGTGCCTCAATCTCCACTCTCAAAGCAGCCTTGACCTTTTCTCTCTCTGCCACCAAGGTCTTTCGATTCTCCTCTTGCAAATCAAGCATAAGGCCATGCTGATGCTCTTTGCGTACCTCGTCCTTCAACTTGGATTTCCACTTCTTCTCAAAAGCGGACTTCTTCTCATTAACGAATTCACCTTCCATTTGGTCCTTGATTCTGCTATAGAGCTCCATATGGACACTTAAGTTGTCGATGCCAGGGCGTGCTCGCTCCTGTTCAGCCGTGAAATTATGCGGCATAAACGGTTTGTCTCTCTTATGTGGATGAGCATATCTCTCTGCGCGATATCCTGTTAGTAAGTTGCTACACAATCTTCGTTGCCTCTTTGAAAACGGGATATTGAGTTGTAAAATTGGGAAAGCGAAGCTGGGGGGATGCAAAGAGACATGTGTATAACTTACTATCATCTCCAGCCCATTCATGGAGAGAACGTCCAGACTCTTTGTTAGAAGATTCAGCACCTTCAGATCTTTGGCGCTTATCTCGGTGATCGGATAGTTGGTTGCCGGCCATTGTTGTGGATGATCAGGCAGGGACTGCAGAGAAGGGACAGCAAGAACTTCAAAGCCAAGTGTACTTAAGTCTGAATTTTGGTGGTGTTACGGTCGCAGCAGGACGTGGGGTTCTTGAGTATTACTGTAAGTGAGTGCGTGAAATGTCGTGGTGATATCCAGATATCGTATTGAGGTTGACGCGCAACAAGAAGCCCAGAACGCTGTAAAGTTCCAGAGGTACCTGATGCAGGAGGTTGACTGTCGCAACAACTGAGATGAGTCAAGTCGTGGCTGTGTCCTTGAGAGGTTGGGAAAATCAAAGATTAGAAAGTTGAGTCTGATATAAAATCTTGGGTGACTCAGGCATGTGAGGCAAGTATACATTCACCCTCCCCCCTCAACGTCAACCGATTAGTGGACCGACCTCACCTTCAACCTCAACTTTTCCTTCTCACAAAGAAAAATCCCTCACACCTCAAAGCATTGATTGATTTTTTCCAGCCCCCCGCAATCACAAGAGTAACAATTGCCAGAAACTAGTCGGTTTTCACTTTTTTCGCTTTTCACGCCAAGCCTTAAGCGAGCACAAAAGTTCTCTCGCTCTTTGATCTTGCTCACCACTTTTCAACCTCCTGGAGCATACAGATCGTTCTTTACAAACTTCCGCACTTCAACATTTCCACCTCCTCAAGCAGCCGCGCTACAATTTGTCTTGCTGCGCACAATTTGTTGCGACTTCTTCTCTTGCTTGAGATCGAAACAATACTCATTCTTCTTTGCCATTGCGCAGTTACAGCTATCGGCGTCGCCAAATTCAACACCATGTCGTTCAACAATGAGTCTGGCACTTACGACCCTTCTCAACGTCGTCCAAGTAGCAGCGCTGACAGTGGCTACTTTGGTGATTCTTTCACCTCTGATTGCACTACTAACAGCTTGAATGACGACAAGGTTGACATGGTCGTTGACTTGACTGATAGTAACCTTGAGGACGATGAGCTTGTTCTTAAGCCTGACGGACTTCTCAATTGGTGGGACAAGATTACAGAGAAGGCAATGCCATTCTGGGAGGCCTCTGAGGTAGCTGAACCAGAACAAGATGCTTCTAGTAAGTTCTCTCTCAGTCTCCTATCTTCCAAATCTATTCGATCTATTGCGCTATTTGCGATAGCCTCATTTCGCACTTTGTGCTCTTTCGCAATCATGTTCCTTTGACTGCAAATGTTTCTTTTACCTCTACACACCATACACCCGTCGCAATTGCAAACTTTGGACAAACAATTCTAACATATTTCTGCGCATAGAGAAAGAGAAGATCTCCTACATTTTCAGCGCCCTCGAGTCCGGCATCCAAGGCTTTTCCCAATTCACTCGTGCTCTCTGCTCGGAAATCGAGACCCGAGACCAATCAATCAATGAGCTCGAGCTTGAAAACCAAACCCTGGCCATGCGCAACTTCGCCCTAGCCAATGAGCGCGATGTCGTTACCAAGGAACGTGACGATCTTGAATTGGAATGCCAAACTCTCGCCATGCGCACCTCTTCTCTCACCTACGAGCGGGATACTATCACCAAGGAACGTGACGCCATTGTCAAGGAGCGTGAGGCCCTCAAGGAAGAGAACGGCACCCTTACCAAGGACAAAGGAACTGAGGCTTTCGAGCGTGCTTGTGCTGAAAAGGAGCGCGATGGTCTTATGGAGCAAGTCAAGATGTTAAAGAAGGATGTGAAGACGGACGTTGAGGAATTGAAGAGCGAGTTGAAGCAATTGAAAGAAAAGAACAAGGCACTCATCTTGCAAAACTTCGCCATGAAGAAGGAAGCAGAGGAGGTACGAGCCGAGAAGAAGAAATTGGACGTCAGCTTCGGCATCATCTCTCGCGAGCGGGATAGTTTGCGCACTGCCATCGACAACATGAGAGGAGAGGCACCCTACCACGTTTTGGCTCGCTGGATGGAGAACCCTGGCTATGGCTTCGGCTTCTGAACTGAATCTTGTTTTGACTTTTTCTTCACAGACACGTTACTATAAGGCGATGGTTGGGGAAAGAGAGAAAGAAGACGGAGGATGAAGCAGTGTCATCATGTGGAAAGTTTTTATATCCGGTTCGACTGATGGACTTGTGGATCTTTCATGACGTTTGTTTTGCAATACGAACATGGGCTGTACATTGCGGGCATCTCAAAACTGGAGCAGACATTCCTTGGCCTGAAGAAGATGGAGGGAGAGAGCGGTGTCATCGTGTGGAAGGTTTTATATCTGGAAGCTGATTGACTTGTGGTTTTCACAGCGCTGTTTTACATACGGATATGGGGTGTGGCTGTACAATGGGGAGGGGGGCATTTCAAAAAAATTGTTGTGGTTCGTCATTCGTTTGCCTGGAGGAGTCTGTTTCTGTTTTTCCCTTTTTTCCTTGCTTTCAGGGGATTGCTAGTGTTGGCTGAACCTGTCAATGTTTTTCCAGAGGTGGAGAATTCTCTCCTCCTGACATTCGCTATTCTCACGTGGAGGAACATGTGGAGATTCGTCTCCTGACGCTCACTCACTTCTATATCATGTGGAAAAGACAAGAACGTTCGCTTCTATCTCTTGTGGAGGAAGATGACCATATTTGATGTGGATTTGATTGTGAATGCAGAATAGCAAGCTTTAGTAGGTACTTAGGTGTCGTCTCGCTTTATTATAAGTAGAGTGACTGAATAAGTTTCAATACAATTGCAATTTACAAAACCTTCTTCTTTCCTGCGCTAGCATTGAATCTTGATCTGCAGTACAAAAAGATCCCTCTCTCCATCATCATTAGTATTTGACTCGTGATATACAATACAAACGCCCTACCACTTCTCTACATTGGTCACATCCCCCACAGGGCCACAGCACAAATTTCCTGCACTATCATTGAACCTTGATCTACAGTACAAAAACCTCCCTCTTTCCACCATCATTAGCATTCATTCTTGATCTACAACATAAAAACCTCAACACTTCTCTACCTTGGTCACATCACCCACACCATAAAATCCCTACTCTCCTCTACCCTGACAATGAGTCACACCCTTCATCAAAAAAGTATTCACACCTCCACAGCCAAAAAAAACCATCGAATTCACCTCTCAGCATCCCCATGAACCCTCGCGGACCCCGCCGTTACAATACTCTAAGCGAGGAAACCCCACCGCAGCCAGCTTGGCTGTACAGTAACACAAGAACCTCTTATCAGCCAGCCCAGCATCAGCGATAAGAAACCCTCCCCTCCCCTCCATACCTAGGTATTTCCAACCACAAATACTTTCATTGGCCAATCGCTTTCCTGTCTATAGTCAATGCTCTAAGTGGAATCACTACAATCCTGCTCTACCGTATATCTTGATTCCAAATTGGAAGATAGGAAAGGAAAGAAAAAAAGGAAATGTCCGACTCAGAAAACGACCTCTTCGCCATCGACATATCCCCCTCCGATTCCTCACCCACCCAAACCACAACACCCCCCGTACCACGGGACTTCCAATCCCCCTCGAACTTCCAAGACCAAAAAAGGAGTTGGAGAGCTAAATTCGAAATCGGAGAAGTTCGTTTCCCCTCCCCCCATTCCCCTTTTCCTCATCCTCACACATCTCCCTCCACATAAACCCTCCACACATCCACACGATCACAATAACAAACTAACCCACCCCCCTCCCAGCTCCACAAAACCCTCACCCTCCCCCCCAAAAACCCCTCCAAGCCCACCTCCCAAACCATCCTGCACGCCATCGAGGAACTCTATTTCTTCCGACGGTACGCCGAGGCGCTCGAGGTGGCGGAGGAGACGTTGAAGGGCGAGTTGACAACAAGTGGGGAGTTTAGGAAGGTGGTGGAGAGGTATCGGGAGTTGTGTGAGGGGAAGGGGGGGGAAGGGTTCGGGATTGGGGTAGGATTTGGGTTGTGTATAAAGAAAGAAGGGTATTAAGCAGGTGAGGAAATAATCCGAGATACTCGAGTACCTCGAGTAGGTGCATGTCAATGAATCTCAAGACTTGAAATGAAACGCCATTTGTGGGGAAGTTTCAATTGAACCTTCACATGCGATAATGAATTGAAATGGTACTCATACACACATGAATTCTTTGTTCTGGAGAAAAACTTTTGCCCATTGTGGCTCATTTAGATTGAGCTGAGACTAACCTAGCTTTTGCTTTGTTTTTTTGTTTTTGTTGATATATCACAAGCCTTCTATAGGGGTTTTCTGTCGCCCTCCTCTCTTCTAATTGCCTAGGAGCCCACGACTAGAAGTTGCACATTTAGTAGAGTACAACGCAAGGAGATTTTCCAATGCGTGGAAAAAGCAATCGAACCCTCTATAGCCCTTGAACGCCATGCTGAAAGACAAAAATCCCAATAAAACCAAAAACATTATGTACTGTCCCCAGTCTTTCTACTTTTATGTACCCGATTCCCCCTAAACCTCTTTTTATGCACGCCGATTGAAGGAGGATGTATCGTAATGTGTCGTAAATGAATCCAATCGATTGGTGAGCCCCAAATGTCCCCAATCATCTCCTTCTTTCTCCGTCTATGACGTCTAAGATGCTGCTATTTTCTCCTGCTCTCGTTGTCTTTCCTCGCTGAATACTCGTCGGCTCATCTCTAAAACAGCCTCGAATCCTTCCTTGCCCTTGATGGCATTCTCCTTGAATGTCTTGACTGCATTGTCCTCAACGGCCGTCTTGACCTTCTGCCATCCGCCACACAGCGCAGTGACCTTTGCGTCTTGTTTGAATTGTGTTCGGGTGGCGGAGAGGGGTTGATATACGACAGATTCTCGGACACTGAGGATGTTGGACCAGGTCAGATTCTGCGAGACCATGGTGACCTTTTTCGATTCGGGGTCGACGTAGGAAGTTTCAAAGACGTGGGAAGTATCGGATGCCCCAAATAGAGAGCTCAGCCATTTTGGTGCACTCTGTTTGCAAGTGATCAATCGTTCAGTTCGCAGCTGGTAAATGTGTTAGCCAAGACCACATGCTAGAATTCGAGGGAGGGGAACCTACAATTCCAGTCTTGGTGTCGACATGTCGGGATAATGTATCGACGGCAATGACATGTGTTGATTTATCGTTCCAGGGACAGTACTTCCTCCAGTTGGCGGTGGAGACCTCCTCCCAGGAATAGTCGAATGTTTCCTCGTTCGAGAAGACCTTCATCTTGCTCGTGTGATGGTTGCAGGGCTAGTCCCGATGATTATCGTGGGGCTAGGCGCTTCGGGTTTGATGGATCCTTTTCCTTTGTGAGGTGCGATCGTGTGTGGTTTATATCCGCAATGTGTTAATGCGGAGTCGACGTGGAATGCAGATGGTGGTTGAATACTTGTGGGTTTGCAGTGAAGTGAATGTAACGCAGATGTGCTCGTCAGAAATATGAATTGCAGGTGTTTTTCCGGTGAGGACTGGAGTGGAGGGTCAAAGTGGAGAGGAAAAAGCCGGGGCGAAAGAAGTTTGCCTCCCGACCATCACAGGTGATTAGCGTCATTTCTTTGCCGCACCCCGGACGCGATTTCGGTTGGTGAGAAAGACCAAAGATGCAACGCCAAGACATATGGAAATCCTCCCCATTTCATTTGTTCAATCTTTAATCAAGTTTCTAGCTTCGCCTGGAAGGTTTAAGGGCCCAAAGGTTCTCTTTTTTGGAAGATCTCCGTTCGTTTCAATCTTTGTTCGGACAGCTACATGCGGATGATGAACATGAACCAACTTCCATTCTGGATCCCGAGATTCACTCCAGGTTCTTCGGTGGTCTCTCCTCTCCATGAAAAGCCTCATTACCGGCCACACCAAATTTATACCAACATACAACTCCAACTGACACAGAAATCCCCTCAGACAAATCACACTCACACGCACACTCACACTCACACGGTGCAACTGCTACTAGTCATACTGGACCTAGGCTCAAGCTTAAGTGTGTTGTTGATCGAGAAGCTATACCTCCACTACCTATCCATACCTAGATACTACTCGAGTACCTACCTGGAAGGTATACCTTATGACGATCACGTGCTAGGTCTGCATGGAAGATGCAGGTGTTTTCCTCTTACAAAGTGTCAGTACTCCGTACGGTAGCTACGGGGTATCCAAAGCTGGAAAGGCCGGGTCCATTTGTCGCATTACGGAGCACTTCTACTTTCATGCTTTCGTCAACCCTGCCCAAAGCGTGTGCTTCCCCAGAAGACTGAGTGTCTTGGGCACGAAGCAATATAACTCAAGGCCTGCAATATAGGTCAAGTGTGCTCCGTGCCGGCCATATGGCCCATATAAAAGTACACAATACTCGGTACCCCTATCCGTTTGATGCCAAAGTATGTACGTAGTACCGAGTACTCATAACTTAGGAGTATCAAAATGCTTACCTATGAAAATCTTCCTGGTGGCTCAGTAGAAGCTTGCTGGGTGCACGAGCAGTCCTTCCCAGTGGCTTCTTCATCTTATTTGCTGGTTGGATAACTTTTAGACGCTGCGCATCGCGCATCATAACCTAGACAAGCCCCTGACCCCGTCGTCACCATCTGTTCGAGTAACAGGCCAGCCACAATTTATAATTTAACGTCGGCTCAACCTCAACCTCTTCTGTTCTCTTCCCCTCTCTGTGCTCTTTTCCTGCCACCGACAACCAACAATCACCACTAACAAACTGCCTTGCCCACCTGAACACTCGCATCTACACTAGAGCAAGCTTTCACATCTAAAACAGCTTCTTCTCTCTCCTTGGCGCAATCCTTCCTGCTTGCGCCGAACCTCACAACTCTTTGATATTGCGCCATTTGATTCTCAAACTCACCCCCAACATCCTTCGACATGCCTCGCGAACTCAGAAAACGTAAGGCGCCTGAGGAGCCAGTTGTAACTGCTCCTGCAGCGAAGAAGAAGGGACCTGTTGCCAAAGTGGTTGCCAAGGTCAAGGAGACAGTCGCGCCAAAGGCTGCTGCCGCGTCAAAGGTTGAAGTTGGCGCAACTATTGATCTTGAAGGGTTCGGAGGTGAGATTGAGACTCAGGAAGGAGCCAAGGTCACGCTTAAGCAACTCGTTGATGAGAGTAAATCCGGAGTTGTCCTGTTTACATACCCAAAAGCCTCTACCCCTGGATGTAAGTATGCGACTTGATTCACGAATCTCACCATCCTAGATTTCACTCACTAATCTGAACAGGTACAAAACAAGCTTGCGAATTCCGTGACAAATACACACCACTCACTGCCACTGGATTCTCCATCTTCGGTCTCTCCAAGGATTCACCAAAAGCAAACACTACATTCAAGGAGAAGCAAAAGCTTCCATACCCACTTCTTTGTGATCCCAGCGCAACCCTTATCTCGGCAATTGGTCTGAAGAAAGCTCCCGCTGGCACTACCCGAGGTGTTTTTGTAGTCGACAAATCTGGAAAGGTCTTGGCAGCCCAAGCTGGATCTCCATCTGGTACTGTTGAAGTCGTTGAGAAGCTCGTCGCTGAAGGATCGTCTGAGCCAGTTGAGGCCAAAGATGAAGTCGCTACTAATGGTACTAACGGAGCCACCAAGGAGGATGAGGCAAAGGCTGAGGTTGCTGCTCAGGTAGCTGATACCGCGGAGAAGTTGGATGGTAACGAGGGAAAAATCGTCGCCGCTTGAGATCTTCTCTCGTTGAGTGCGAGGAGAATTAGGAATCTTTAATTTATCTATAGGCGGGCTTCTTCACAGGACCTTTGATGTCGTTCGCTGGTACACAAAATGGACCCTGATACTGGATGAGCGCGTTAATGGATGTGGATATGTACTTTATTAAGGCTAGGATCAATTGAGCTTGCTTTCTATTTCCAATCAATCTTTGAATGTGACCTTTTCAAAACTGTATCCTAAAATCAGCACGAAATCACGAAATCAAATCTTGGAGCGGGGGCCCAAAAGTAACTGAGAGATATAAGAACAAATTTCGCCTTATGCAAATGCTATGGTACTCGGTCCTTTTCTTGGAATGTTTTCACAAACTAACATGAGATATAAACCAGAATAAGTTTGTAGTTGGCGAGAGATGTCACACTTCGTTTCAATTCACTTCTTGTAATACCAGAGTTCTGATAGGCACTCCCGGTAAAACCCCGGCAGCTTAACTTGACGACAACACCTTCAATCATACTCTTATACTCCCCAAGCACAACCCTAAGCTAATTCCCTCTCAACACACTCCGAGAGTAGGAAACATGTCATCGCAGGCAGCGGTCAAAGTCGCGCAAGCCACCAACCGCGTCATCGACGTCAAAAAAGTAATCGCATCCCCTTCCTCTGCCGATTTCTTTTCCCAAACGGCCCATTGCGAAAGGGAAAGAAACTAACACGACCCCTCTGTAGAAATACACAGTTCAATCTACCGGAATCTGGGAGCTTGTCCGTCGCTTCTTCGCCGTAGACCCTACCCGCTCCAATGGTGTCCCTCTCAATCCCCAATTCCGCAACCCACCCCCAGGATCCAACGATCCCCTCTCCTTCAAAGATCCCGTTACCCTCCCCGCAGGCGACATCGCCGATAACCCATACTGGAAGCGCGACGCAAGACGTAACTACCCACAGCTCTCCTTTGTCAACCAGGCAGATGCCGTAGCGCTATTGAGCATTGGAAGTGCGAGTGCGCCCAAGAAGGAATTGATCGGGGAAGCTGGCAGCAAGGAGCTGATGACTGTGAAGGAGGAGGGAGAGACGGGATTATCTGCTTACTTCAGTAAAGAGGGGAAATCGGGGGTCCTGGCTGCGCTTGGGAAGGATGGTATGCCTCCTTTGCCTAGTGGAGCGAGTTTGAAGGTTGGGGCGGATAAGTATAAGTTGACGGAGGAGAATGCTTATCCTCAACGGTGAGTTGTTCCTTTGCTGGAGTAGGAGGGAAATGCTAATTGATTGTAGATACCCATGCCGGACATTCCAGTAGAGTGTGACTAAGGGGCGGTTTGAGGAAGGCGTCTTGTACATAACGGAGAATGGCAAATTTTAGATTTTCTATACAGGGTGCTTCCATTGGGCACAATCGTATATTTGAGATCGAAGCCAGCAAAAAAGACACCCAGCTGGGTTTGTAGGTGAGGATCTGTCTATCCATGCACTAGTAGTTTTTTCAATTGCAATGGTGAACACGTATGACCGCACCCTACGGTTTACTCAATCGAAGAAGACAAACTCAGAATCGATCAACAATGCTTTGTTCAGACCGAGTTGCAAGAACAATAAATAGTCAAATTTCGTTGGCTTTGAGGTTACTTGCCCAGTGGCATTTTCTGGTTAGGCCCGAAAAAGGCGATTGTCTTCGTTCTTTGAGTATTTCCTCCCAAAAAGAATTAGTCAGTTGACAAAGACATTTACTTTGGATTGTTTAACAATTTGAGACGTGCAATACAATTGTATATTTTCGCTTATTTGATGGAGGCATCAAGGCATTTCCATATTCAGCTTCTGTATAGCTACACCTCCATTACAGTCCAAACTAACAACACATTCTACACCAACAAAATACTTTATATCAATCACACATCCTACCATACCTAAATCAAGAACAATGTCTACAACCTTACTGACATTTCCAAAGGAGATCCGCGAGCGAATAATTTCCGAGGCTATTTCCGTCGAAACAACACCTCATTTATGCCATGGAAGGAAGGCAAGATTTTCGGCGCTAGCTCAGAAACTTAGGTTGAAGAGTTTGGAGTCATGGAATGGGAGACAAACACGGCTTTGGCTCTCTTTCAAGTCAACAAACAAATCAGTCGTGAGGCCATGGAGTGCTTCCAAAGACAGAACACACACCTATCTCCGTCGTTTCCTTCAATATGACTGAAATGGGGCGTTCGTTGTTGATGCGAAATAACTTCATCGAAGCTTTCGTAAGGAAGATGATTCCTACAAAACGCATCTCTTATTCCAATGAGAAGGAACCCCGAGCGTCACCACCAAGTGGTTTGGTTATGGACCTTCAATTCCATGACTGCCACCCAACAAAGTGGAAGACAGAACTGCCATATGACCATTCGCCGCTTACATATGTGAGGCGTACTGCACTCCCCATGATGTCCGCAAGACATCTGCCTCTGTTGGTCAAATTGATCAACAGTACATTTTCATCTGCTCTGTCGCATAACCTTTATACAGCCAAAGGCAGCAACACATCACCCAAAGATCCACTTTACAAGATCTCTCTGGATTTCAACGACACGATCAGCCGGGAAAAAGCACAGCAGATAGCAGAGAGCCTGAGGGGATTACGTGAGTTTCGATTCCAATGGAAGCCCTTTTTCGAACGAGCCCCAGACCCTATTGAGCTCTGGCGAAACCGAGTTAACTTGTACGATAGAGAAATAGTCATCACGGGACTGGACCTGGAAAGCGCTGATAAGTTAAAGGCATCATCGAACCTTCCCGTTCTCAAATCGGAAGAAACCTTGGAAGAGATCTACCAGTTCATTGAAACGGGAGATCGCCTTGCGGAGGCAGGAGCTTACCTGCAAGCTCACGCTTACTATCTGCTTGCCGTCAACACCCTGCGATATGACATGATTCCGCATGGAAATATCCCCCAATGGACTTTGCAGCGCCGGACACGGTATACGGTACGTGAACTCACCCAACCTTTTCCGCACATCCACTTCAGGCTTCCTCAACACATCGGCCTCACCCTCGGTGTTTGGAGGAAGCTCGCAAGAGTAGCTTTGCAGTGTGGGTTAATGGACAAGCACAGGCGTTGGTGGGATGCGATCGGTGGGGCTTTGGCCAGTACCGATCGTGGAAGTCCCGAGCAGCAGGTGAGTATTCTTCGCGAACATCTTCGTGATGTTGTGGAGCATGGGGAGGTTGAGATGGTCATGGAGGCTTTTGTTGGTAGTGAGGAGCATCCTTTCCAAGGTCTTGAGGAGGTTCAGAGGGAGTTTCGCCATTTGGTGGGGAACTCGGAGTTTGGGGATTATGAGGATTACTTTGTGCCTGAGATGTTTGATGAGGATGAAGTGGAAGAAGACATTTACATTTCTTGCTTGGATTTCTTGCTTCTTAACTGAGCAGTCTATCATTGGATATCCTCATCTCACCCTTCTTGTTACTTGCATTTCAATCACAATCCTTTTGCTAGACCAGTTCTTCTACTTAAGTTATAACTGACTAACAATAAGATCGATTTCTTTATTCCAGTGTCTTTTCACCAATTAAACATCCCTTTTTCAAACCCGCTCTTCTACTTATCATCAACTAAATTTACTTGAATTACAAACTAATGACACAAATCTGTATTCCACACCCATCATCATCCACAAGTTCTTTCCCATTTACAGAAATTCTCAATATCAGCAACCTCTTCTTTCCCTACCCTCCTCTCCAAGTGCTTCCCATATGTGCCAGCCGTTTAGAATTTGCCAACAGACTGGTCGAATGACCTCATCCTTTTAAATCTTCCCGATATCCTACACCAAAAACTCTCCACCTCCAGAAAGTTTCCGAACTACTGTCTAAAGCCATAAAGATATAGCAAGTCATGCCATGGAACCAGCCAAAAGGGCGATGCTGTCTCTCCGTCTGAATTTCATGTTTTGATTTTCACCACGTCGAGAAATCTTCAAACACTGAATTTCTCCGGAAGTATACGCGTATGATGAATATACCGAAAAACCACAACACTCTACCATATCAAAAACTCTCGCATGACGCTGTATCAGACCCAGATTAATGTGATCTACACAAAAAACTTGCCTGTGTCCTATATTGCTTACAATTACTACATTCATCACAGTCAAATTCAGAAGACAGTAGCATGGTTTTGTAACGCTGTGTCTTGATTTAAGCGATATGTGGCAATGAACAACCACCAAGACTAAGTACATGAAGCGCTGTGTAGACTACCCGCAGGTAGTAGCTACACCCTGTTCTGCTCCGCCGGCAGACCCCATACTCCCACCAATCCTCCCCAATCCTCCCCAATCCTCCCCCAACTCCCCCAACTCCTCACCACCACCACCTCCCTGCCCCCCTGCTCCGCATGCATTTGCGGACGTGAGGCACAGGTATTCCACCCCCTCTCCTGTACCCCCCATCATATCCTCCCACTACCCACCTCCACCACAGAACCAGTGCCAGACTTCTCCCCCCAAGTCTGCACCAGGCCCTATCCTCCAATCCCTCGCCAGGCACTGGAATTCATGGACCCAGTGCCAGACTCTCCCCAGTCTGCACCAGACCCCCGAATCCGAGGATTCCAATCCTATGAATTAGCAGTAAAATGTTCCCTTATTGTAAGGGAGAGAGTTACTTGACTCTGATAACAAGACAAAGGAAAGCACAAATTCCGGTGCAAGCAGATTATATGTTAGTCCCAGTATTTACCTGGATTTATTTGCATTTTCTGGCGCCGAGGCACCAGAGCACAAGAACCACCAAGTGCCCCGATGCCCAGCGTCTTTTTTTTTCAACCTTTTTTTTATTTGTTAGTAGTTTTCCAGTATGTCCAGAGGGCCAGGTCAGAGTAAGAACTCTGCCGCTCCTCGGAGGAACATGTATTTTCTCCTGGACTGTGGATCCAGATATGGCCAGGGAATCCTCGAACCGCGGGCCATATGGTCAAGGACAATTTTTCTCAGCTCCAAGGCGGTAGGCTTGGGCTTCTTTGTCCTGGATTTGAATCCCGGGTCTCTGATGTTAATGGGCGCCTCAAGGCCTACTCGGTATTGTCCCGAGACTACATAGGGAGTCAAGGAGACATATTGCCTGGTAGATCCCTTGGGACCGGGAATGCAAAGTCCAGAGGTGATCTTGGAGGTGAACATTTTCAGATAGTAAGCCTGAGAATGTTTGGAATGGGGTATATATTCTTTGAATGGGATGCCTGTGAAGTTTTTATGTCAACTTTGATTGCAGCAGTTTTCAAGATGATACTTAGCACTTGGTTTGGTCAAAATAACTTCCGGCGAAAAGAAATTCTTTTCGGGGGGCGGGGGAGGGGGGAAACTCGTCCTCATATACTGAGGGTGTGGGGCGGAGGAGAAAATCGTCTAAATCACGAGGGCGCCGTCTAGATCAAGACGGTGCTCTCTAGCTCACGACGGTGTCTTTTAGTTCACGACGGTGCCTTTTAGTTCACGACGGTGCCTTTTAGCTCACAACGGCGCCTCCCGCTACCTGAATGACGTTCTCGAGGGTTTACTGACCATACTTAGGTAGTACCGCACCTACAACATACCCAGATATTAGCACTTCCAGCACCTACCTACGTTTCAGCACCCGAGTTACCTCCTCAATCCTTGTATTCCCTACCCCTACCCGCCAGCGCCAACACGACCAGAACGCCAGCACACGCATCACCTACCACGCGCTTCTGTAGGCACTGGTATTAGGAACTACCTACCAATACCCACGACTGGATTGTCTTGGACTGTAAATGTAAAGTTCATGCAGGTTCGCCTAAATCCTTGGCGTAATAGGGGTCCTTCGAAGGGGAACAATATTTTGTCCAACACAAATACTGGTAAATATGTTTTGTCGAAAACTTGGTTCGTGACCAACATGCGCTGGCGTGTGGTTGTTGCGAAAGATGGAGTGTAGATTTTGCAGGTACCTATGATACCCGGAACTGAACGGTCCAGGTAGCGTGGGTACTGCGGGTACCGTACCTATGACAGACACCTGGAACTGAGGACTCTGCTCAGGCAACGCAGGCTCGAACCACACAAAAAGAAAGAAAGCAAAAACTCGCATCTCCATCTCCGGATCCAAACACAAAGTCCAGTAATACATCAACTGCCTGGAACTTGAGTTCGGAGGAGATGGAAATTCCTGTATGTGGAATTCCATTCTGAAAGGGTGACAGTACGCAAGCCTAATAACCCTATCAAGAACAGAAGTATGCTTCAGGAGAGAGAAGAACATATACAATTTCCCGGATCCCAGGATAAAAAATGGTTGCCCTGGCCAATACTTGGTAAGTATGACCCATGAAAATTCTTGTGGACAAAGAAATGATGCTAGACTCATCAAAGTCCTTTAGGTATGAAAAAGCATAGACAAAAAGCATAAAAGTCTAGACCCCAAGACAGAAACCGAAAATAAGATACGCAAATCGTGAACAAGGCAGTGAGTGCACCGCAGGAAAATAGAAAACGAAAAAGGCCACCAAGGAAAGGAATTTCTATCAACAGAAATTAAACTTGATACTAAGAAGAAACCCCATGTACCATATACCCCATAACTCGCATCATTGTCGTCATGTATATCATACAAGTAATGTACAAACTCCCAAAAAGTCCCCCAATTTTGAGAGTCGCCTTGCTGCTTACTGTTACTGCGTAATAACCCTCACGCATTGAAGCAAGATCCCAAACATCAAACCCTGGTTAACCTCCTCAATTTGCAAACAATCAAATACCCTACCCATCGCCTCCCCCGTGGCAGCCTGTCCCATAACTCCAGTTAAAGCAGCCGGTACACCTCTCTCCACAAGCAATTTCCTGGCTTTGATCCTCAGCCTCTCTTTCTCTTCCAGCGTCATTTCCGCGGGCCAGGCCTTCAACTCCTCTTCCGTGGGCAAGGTATTTTCCCGCAGTTTTTTAAGGTGAGAAGCAATGCCCGCATCAGAAGTATTGGATGCGATCAGGGAATCTTGAATGAGAGTCTGAATGGAGGATAACGATGGATTCCCAGGACGTAACAGGAAAGTCTTGGCTGCGTTCAACAAAGTGCGGCGGAATTTCCAGGCTGAGGAGAGGGTATAGAGCTCGCTGACCATGGCGAAGAGAAGTTCTACTGCCATACGGGTTTCTTCCTCTGTCACTGGCTGTGCTTCCTTACGTGGTTTCTGAGGAGAGGTGACAGGTACAGAGTTCCTGCGAGTTGTGGACATTGACGAACGCGCGGGTGATAACTGAGGTGCGGTACTTGTTGATGTTCGACTTGCTGACGTAGTGCTTTCTGTAAAAACACTTGACTCTGTCCCGTAGTCTTCGGACATAGCACTGGGTGGCGGCGGAAGTTTGAGCCCTTCTATTGTGGTTTGTGTAGGCGATGAAAGAGGTGTCCCTCTTCGTGAGGGCGCTCTACTTGGGTCTCTACTTGGTACTGCACTCCTCTTACCACTCATCGAAGATCTAGCGGAAGTAGATACTCGTGGCTCCCGCTCACCTTCATCTTCTGCAATTGAAATATGGCTAAGCCTGCGTTCCATCTGTGGAGATTTTGCAGGCTGTGTTTGAACAATTGGTACGGCTCGAAGATTATCTTCGCTCGCTCTCGCTTTATGATTGCTGCTGATGGAAATATTACTGTCCATTCGAGACAAGGTTGAGGTTGAAGATTGGCTTGTGTGCCTGGCCATAATTATACTATCATTCGTGGTCTTCTTCTGTCCAAGATTCCCGATGGTATTGAAAACGTTGGTGATGCCTCCACCGATTGCTTTCCCGCCCTCTGCTACTCCCTTTGGAGCACTAGTAATCACGTCAAACATACCCTTCCCCACAGTGTCGAATCCTTTTCCCACTGTATCAAAGCCGGGATGAGGTGGTAAGCTGATTCCAAGAAATCCACTCTTGGTACTTGAACTTGAAGTGTTCTGCCCCTGGTCCTTTTCAAGAAATCGTTTCATGCCCTCGCTTTCAGCTAGGTGCTGATGCCAGCATGCATCTCTGATATATCGTTCTAGCTCACCCCGTAGAGAAGATTTTGTATGATCTTTCCAATTAGGCAGTGAGCTATGTTGCTCAGCAAACGCTGTGACTCCGGACAGCTTTGCGATTCGTCGGAGAACCTCATGCAAACTTTCGAAATCGCTGTACTTACGCACTGTCATCCAACCAGGATAATCAGAAGAAGCTGGCTCGACCTGAATGAGATATTCGATAGTGGGTTTAGTTCGAATTTTCCCTTTGTCCGATGCTATCGAGTCATCATGAATGATAATGCTTGCGTTATGAAGCGTGAGGGCAAGTGTCTTGCGACGAGGCGAGGGATCTTGAAAGGCGGTAGGAGCAGGAGGCACGATTTGGTCAAAGCTGGTGAACGGTGCGGGACTTTGTGTTGGCAAGGAGCCATCTGAGGTAGAGGGAGAAGCTACTTCCTTTCGCGCTTCTGAGACGGGAGAACCGATCATTTTATCACCTCCTCGGGGAGATCCATTGGATTCTATTGTGTTAGAATTACTGTTTGGGGTTATCGGAACCGCTGGTTTGGGTGTGATTGGTATGGCCTCCTCACTCGTTTTGGATGTCAAATCCTGTGCAGTTTTCTCGACTGCGATCGCAAGCTTCTCGGGGATATTCTCTAGAGGATTTTGCGAAACCTGAGGTGCCTTTGCGTCCTCTTCTGCTATTAGCAGAGACAGTCTTTTGGCCTCTAGCATTGCTTCGTCCATGGCCTCCCCAGCTTCGCTTACTCGTTTCTTGTGGCCCTTAGCACTATGTTGGTCTTTTCTGGAATCACTTCGCTTGATAAGACCAACATTACCCACATTTCCATCTATTTCATTGAAAGGATTGCTGAGGTCAACACGATCTGCCATGGCCACATCAATCGCTTGACTCAAGTCTGGTTCTCCATCCTCCAAAAGATAGACAATCCAGCCATTGATCCACTCAGGCTTAGAGGTGCTTTTCAGGGTCATATCCAACACTACGCCGGCTAGTATCTCTCTGAGGAAAACCCTTGATGGGTCACAGTCGTACGTTCGCTTCTCCAGGAAGTTCTGCAATACATCATCCGCGACCATCTTGAACTTGTTCATATGCTGGTTTTTGTTTAATACGTTGGCTAGATTTGAATCCGGGTTTGCCGATAGATATGCGTAAACTGCTTCTGCAGCCGGCATACTGGCTGGCTGCGTCGCTAGAGCGCTCGACAATTCATGAAGAAAAACAATCACGATGGAGGATGAATTCGTGAGGAAATCGAGAAAAGCATCGGCTGGCCGTTTACGCGACAAGTGCGAAGATACGGACAGGAGGAAACTCGTCAATGTCCGGCGAGCCGCAGCGGGAAATGTTGTCTCTTCTGGAAGGATAGGATTGTACCACCACTTCACATAATCTCGAATCACAGCTTCTACCAGTTCATTTAGCGCCGCTCCCGTTTCTGGTCGAAAGCTCTCGAAACTATTCTGTAGTGTCGAGTCCCCTTCCTCGTCCAGGTTCTTGGGTTGTAAGTCTCTCCAATCCAGGATACGCTTTACGACGTCTAGACCTTGCTCTCTGTGTATGCTTTTGACCTCTCCGACCAAAGAACTTTGTCCTTCCCAAGTAGTATGCAGAACCACACCCCCCAATGCGCCGATGAGAATCAATCCCAATTTCCCCAGAATCAAATATGTACATGCGGCCAGGCCTACTGCGATTGCGCCGAGGGTTTCGGGGGCGGCTGTGGAGAGAAATCGAAGTCCTTGGGTAAGGGCATCGTCTGCCTTTGGAGGGGGCGCATCTGGTGTTTTCGTCGCTATCGGCGTGGGCAATTCTCGAGGGGGTTGTGTGAGGCCATCGCCATGTTTCGGGTCTTCTCCAGTTCCATTCATCGCGCCCGTGTTTGCTGCTTGCGCATTATTTTGGGGAAGAGATGAACTTTGAAGAGGCTCTTTGTTTGGCAGATGCGGGGCAGGTGAAAGGGCTCGTGGTAAGTAGAAGAACGAAGTACTGGTACGAGTACTCGAGTATTACTCGTACTATTATGGCAAGGACCAGGACTAAAGGTGTAGATGTTTCGTGTCAACTACCAAGTACTTGCACTGGTACGTACTGTACTCCTGCAGTAGTGGCAGTGGTCTGGCACGCACAGCACAAGTTGCATAACGCGGCGGCATCGTATTGGCGCATGTCAGACAAGCATCAATTACCTAGGCGGCTAGGCGAGATAGGTAACCTGGAAATCTACCTCCGTATGGGGTTGCGCCACCTCAGCTTCTCCCGTTCGCCGTAATTTCCAGTTCCGCGAATCCGTACAGTAGAGCATCGCTGCCGGTGCCCCGGGCAGGCATTCACCTTCCCGACGGCTCCTTGCTGTAACCGCGTTTCCGGCGCGTCTCCCCAAACGCGAGCAACTCCATTATCTAACTCTACACATACTTTACAACACTACCAAACTCTCTTCAATCTTCCGCATCACCAGCGCCTTCTACATCTCCCAATAACTCAGACAGACCACAAGAGCAAAATGCCCAAAAGGGGAATTGAGTACGAGTCCGATGGAGGTTTCGTTGAAGACGGCGAATCCACCTCAGCCCGCAAGACCAAGAAGACCAAGAAAAACACATCATCAGAGTCGAAGGGCAGTGCTGGTAGTGTCTGGGAGGTAGGCGATCTCTCTCCAACTCCCAGTTCAGCGCTTGGCTGATGCTGGTAGCTATCTTCTGGTAGAACTCCAAGACGAGTGGAGATTTCAGAGTTCAAGAATATGAAGTTGATCAACATCCGCGAATTCTACGAAAAGAACGATGAATATCTACCTGGCAAGAAGGTATTGGTACTCACTTCTTCTTGCTAGCGATTGATTCTGATCCTGTTGTAGGGTATTTCGCTCACGGTGGACCAATACAAGGCCTTTCTAAAGGCCATTCCGGAGATCAATGCGAGCCTCAAAGCTGCTGGCGTTGCTGTCGAGGAGTCTACCGCCATGGACGAAGATGAGCCCGTCAAGGACGAGAAGCCGGCAAAAAGAAAGACAAAAAAAGACGCCAAGAAGGCAAACATCGAAGAAACAAGTGATGAGGAGGAATGAGGAATGCTGGCGGAAGTGTCACTGTCACGATATGAAGATTTGATATGAATATTTGCTTGGGTTTTATGCTTGCTACGATATTGTATCTGGGCTGGAGTTTTTTTACGCAGGAAATGTGTCTGTGCAGTGAGCTGGCAGATCAGAAGTCTTTCAATGGACGCATTTAGCTGTGGGAATTGTGTGATTGAGATACGAGATCCTCAATCCATATGGATCTGGTCTCTACTGGCGATATGAACTGCCGTTTTGCTGGATAAGAACAATACATAATATCATACGCCTGGTCTCCCGTGTAACAAGCTGAACGGCGGATTATATCTCCTTTTTGGGCGAATCTGCGTTCTCTGAGTACGCCGCTGTATGAGTCCATTTCTTCATCCCCATTGCTACATGGCTTGAAACCATGTCTATTGGCACCATGGCTGGCTCCCATCGAAGCATTGGATTTGATTCACTCAGAATGTCTCCGACAGCCATGCCGACCCTCAGTGGCCTCCGCAGTATGGACCTATCGAAAAATTCACTCAAAATTGTGATTAGGGTATCATCACGATTCACTACGTCAAGCTTCCTGAATACACTATACCCATATGCAACACCATGCAGGAGGAAGTGAAGTCCTCAAAGCACAGTGGCACTAAATCATCACGCCATCCAATCAACATGCGATCGCAAACCACCATTTCCTCCATCCCCAGGTGAAGCATCCAAATACCCCACCGTCCAATCAGCAACCGATCGCAAACAGCAATTCCTCACAAGTGAAGCTTTGCAAATAAGTTCCATCCAATCAGGATCCGATCGCAAACCGCAAAATCTCACAAGTGAAGCCTTGAAAACACCTTGTGGTCCAATCAGCTTCCGATCGCAAAACATTGAAGAGTTGCGATGTGCAACAAAAATCTTTTTCATGCTTCACTTTAGGAGCTCCTTTGCGATCGGACCCTGATTGGTCGATGAGGTGTTTTGGTGCTTCACTTGAGTAGCTTCACTGGCGTGGGCTGTTGAGACTTGGGTGTTGAAGCTTCGGCTTTACATGCTTCACTTGAAAGATGTTGCGGGCTGGGAACTACGCGGCAAAGGCACTTCCTTCCTACCTTGAAAAACGCATATAATCTGCCACCTCACTGGTGGGTAAGCTGGACTCTGGGTGATGAAGCGATTTGCAAGGAATACGTTATATATTTGTAAGGAATACGTTATATATGGTCATTCACTTAAAAGAGAGTGGAGATGGGATGATTGGACGATCCGTGAATAGGGTGGGATTAACATCACTTTTGAGGCATAGATAGGTGTTCATATTTTCATGTTTGAGATGCAATTACGGGGGGCAAGGGGTGTTTTATTGTATAAGGGGGTAAGATGTAGGTGTTTGCATAAGGGGTGAGTGGTTACATAAAGGGTCTAAGTTTTGAGGTTCATTCTCAGCCTTTATATTTTTCAATCCTCCCTCTCGATCGGGGTTCTACCAGCGCAGCGGCACGAAGACGCGTTTCTTCATCCTCATCATCCTCATGACCTTGTAGAGCTACCAGAGTTTCTTCTGGCCAAGGGTAGTATAGATCATGAGCCATTCGTTCCAGCTCATCTCTCCGGATCATTTCCTCAGCGATCTCTTGTAGGTCTTCCGGCGTAAGTCGTGGTTCTTCAAACAACGATGCTGCACTCTTGGAGAGACAACTGAAGAATCCGCTACGACCTACTGTAATTTGCGCGGGTAGGGTTCCGAAGCCTACCATTGGTTTATTGAGAGTGGAAACACTAAAGTTTGGCAGCTGGGTCACCACTGAAGTGCCTGAAGAAGATCTGGAAGTACTGAGTTGACTGGTACTGTCCGTTTGCTCTACGAGAGTTGGTTCGATGATAGTGCTGTGACTGCACCATAGTTGAGAGCTTTCGAGCTTCATCTCTGGCTCTTGGCGGTATCTTGAACGAGTGTTTCGAGCTGGTAGATCAGGTTGGGGGCTCATCGTTGAAATATCCCCAGATGATTACGTATATCCCACAGGAGTGATGCTGTCTTCTGAGCTTCATCCGAATTCTTTGCCAACAACAAATCAATCCTACCAAGCATTTTGTTGAACGTGTCTTTAGCAACTTGGAGAGCTTCTAGTTGACGAGCACTACTTGCAATAACTTCTGCAGTTGTTGGAAGCGCTACCTCTTGACTGGTAGATGATCCAGCGCACAGTTTCTCGTCATCTGGTTTGCAGTCCCGACTACAAATTGGACAAGTAGGGCCCACGAAACATTTCATGCCAATGTTATGGCCGCAAGCAAGTGGGCCGACAAGGGTGTCATCTTCCGAGGGATTCGTGCGAAGTAGACTGTCCTCGGCTTGCGGATCCAATAATTGTAATAGTTGGAGGACTGTGGCAATTTGCTCCTGCTCCGTTAATGAATTCTCAGATTGTTGACTCATGATGATATTTCGTAAAGCTGTAGTATGGCAGTGAAAATACTGACAATTACGAGAAGAATTCTCTATTCTATGTTCTTCTTCTAGGCATGCTTTTATTACTGTTTTCTAATGGTCTAAGACATGGGTCAAAGTGTTCTATGAGTACAAACAAATAAACAATACCATTATAACATTTGTTCTTTGGCCACGTTGTTCGCGCAGCTCTATTGTGTTACTGTGACACAAACATGAAACCCCAAAAAGATTAGAAGACCAAATAATGTTTAAGCCTACATTAATGTGTAATATCATTTTCAAGGGAGGAAGGTCGTTCAATGAGTTAAGCGAAGGGTGTGTGCATTGACCACATTCTCATTGTCCGTTTCTTTGATTGCTTTGTCCTAAGCTTACCGCGGATTGATGTTCTAGTTTTAGAGCTGCGGTCACAAAATTTGTAAGCTAGGCTAAGCTGGCTTGGATTTTGGGAGTGAGTGTCTTTGTAATTGTTGGGTCATTTCTAATCACGTGGGTGGCCTCAAGAAACTGACTCAAGAGAAGGAGCTTTAATTATTTCTTGGAATTCAGGATCAGAGCAAGTCACGGGAAATCATAGTATCGTTGCAATGTTTTATCAAGTTTGAAGTGTTTGGTGAAAGTGGATTTTATTTTTATTGTGGGGCAAGAGGGGTTAAGAAAGGGGGGTGGTGGTTGAAAGGTAGCAGAGATCAACTTTACTTAACATGCAACGAAAATCAAAGGAGTGGTAACTTTTTTAGAGGCAACAAAGATCAACTTTAGTTGCTGTTCAATAAAATGGAAGGGAAACTGCTCCAATGCTTAATAGCACACGATAACATTTTCCCCCTTCTCCTACTCCTCGTTAGGATCAATAACTTAGTTAGTCTCACCTCGAAGCCAAGCAACAAATTCCTCGGCAAAAGGCTCCCCTTCCCTAATCTGACCTCGAAGAAGATCAAAGATATCTATGAGAAAATCACCTTGCTCAAAAGTCTCGCCATCTTCATCTTCCCCCTTCTCCAGCAGTGCTAAGAAGTTCTCCTTGATATCCGATATAGGACAACATAGTTCTTTCAACCTGTCTATGAAATTTTTAAAGAGCTCAAATCGCTTTTCATCTGTTTCGCAAGCCCCCAATTGTTCCTTAAACTCATCTATAAAGGTCAATTGTCCCTCACACTCGATACTGCCAGACTTTGGAAAAATCATCTCAAGAATTGCAACGCAATTTCGAAAGAAGAAATCTACTGGGTTATCAGTGGCAATAGAGGCTAGGTACAACTCGGCTGAATTTGCTGCATGGAACCCTGCGTCGGTGACTACAAGGTCCGTAAGCACAAGGGCGGCTGAAAGGTAGAAATGGGTTGTAATAGTAGTAGAAGACATGCTGTATGCGTGAGATTCTATTACCAAAAATTATGGGAATAAGTCTGCGTCTTGTGTTCCTCTTCTAAACTTGTTTTTGTTGCTGTTTCAGATAATTTAGAACAAAGGCTAAATCGTCCTATAACTATAAAGACACAAACAATCCTATTGAAATGTTTGTTCTTTGACAGCGTTTCCTGCTCATGTTTATCGAACTGTCACATCACTATGTCGAGATTCGTGGCGGACATGAGAGGACTAAGATATTCCGCATATTGATTTTTATAATTTTTTTTTGAAGCATTTTCAGGGGATAATGGTCGTGAGATTATAGGCAGCTAAGCGAAGGTATGCTATGACCATATTCCAATGGTTCTTTTCTTCTGGCTGCTTTGTCCCGATCTCTCCCTAGATTCAAGCTTCTGCTATTAACACTGAAACCAATTTGGAAGGTAGGTGGGGGACTTACCCAAGGCTTGTAACTTTAGATATCTTGTTCGGTCACGCGACTATTAGAGCTAGAAGCTATCCAAACAAATCACTTTCATCTATGCGATCTGGGATCTGGTTAACACAAGCCAAAACGTGTCTATTGAGGTGGCATTATACTTCTCGGAGGAATAGTAATCGTGGAATAAACATCCATTTTCTCAAGTTCAGAAGGTCAAATATAGCGGTCGGGGAATTGGAAGAGAAGTCATGTGGGAAGGTAGTTTGCAATGTTTTATGAAGGTTTATAGTTTGGGGTGGGGTATTTTTTGAATTTATTTTAATGTAGGGGCAATTGGGGTATGGGAAAGGGGGAAAGGGGTTTGGGTAAAAAGGTAACAAAGATCAACTTTACTTACCTTAACAAAAGAAATGAAGGGAATGGCTCCGATGGCTAATTAAAAGCACACGATCACGTCTTCCTCCTCCTCCTTGTCATCAGCAGCATTTACAGAATCCTCGGTCTCACCTCGAAGCCAAGCAAAGAACTCCTCAGCGAAAGGCTCACCACCTTCAGGGTTCTCTTCTTTCCGCTTTTCAAGCTCTGCCAAAAACTCTGCTTTAACATCCGCTTCAGGGTTCACTTGTTCTAGCTCGCCTACAAGGTCTTTAAGGAGCTCGAGTCGCTCTGCGTCTGTTGGAAAAGCTTCGAATAGCTCCTCAAACTTCCTAAAATCCTCATCTTCTTGGCGCTGGTCTTCCTGGCGATCATGTCTATCCTGACGTTCTTGACGGAGTCGAGTAAGATTGTGCTCAAACTCTTCACGATCGAGATGATCAGCATGTTCCTGACGGAATTGGATAAGATATTTCCATGCGCTATCAGCAGCGAGATGGACTAGGTACCAGCGAGCAGCATTTGTTCCATGGTACCCTGTGGCGGAGAGTGTAGAGTCTACAAGGACGAGGGTGGCTAAAGTATAGAAACGGGTTCTAGTAGACATGTTGTGTGTAAGGATGATGGTTCCTGCTCCTTACTTTCAACGATGAGAAGGCTCTTCTTATGCCACAACATTTTGCATTGTTTGGTCAATCAGCCTATTGCTGAACAATGCTATTCTAGTGGTTCTTGGGGAGTTGAACAAGAGAAGAAATCTCTTTGTCACATCGCAATCAACAAGTGGATGTGCTGCCTCGCTCGTCATCCTAACTTTTTGAAATGAGCCATACGTAATACCACTTATCTTAGGTATTACTATTGTGTATGGTAGTAAAAAATTCGTGTTTAGACACATGCTGATTCAATACAGTGGTGATACCTGAGGATAATATACGGCCATACTTTACCACCATGATACTATTGACTACACTGCTGTAGCCCCAATAATAATATAAAATGTATGGACGTGACATAGCAATCATTTCGGGATGTGCAGAAGTGGGTAACTGAACGTCCCGATCAAGCTTCCAGGACAAAAGACTCAAAACCATTCCGTTTCCACGTTCAAACCGAATATCCGCTATGTATTCTTTAAGATTTCAACCTTTACAACAACATGTGTAAATAACATTTGGACTGGTGGTGTCCGGGTTGCAAGTTTTGTATGCATACTGTTATTACTATTTTAGTGATTTGTGTTGCATAGTAAGTGGGAGAGAATTACCGGTCCTTTGCAAGTTGTTGTGCATGCCGTCTCAAAGTCTACGGCACAATTTGCAAGTGCTCTAACGATACAAGTGGTTTTTTGTCGTTCTTCTAGCGGAAGAGTGGCTGCTATACCAGAAGAGACGAGTGCAAGTCCAAGGAGGCCGTGAGAGAACTTCGTATTGATGACTAGGTGATAGAATAATCTGAGGAAGCTTGTAGAGTCTTTGGAATTCGAAAGTAGTTGAAGTAACGACAACTAAATAGAAATATTTGATGAGATCTAGTGTCATGTTTATAGGATTTTCCAAGTGCAAATTCTTCGACAAAGCCGCTCTGGTGAGAGCTGACGTTTTCATGAAGTCGGGGGATACCTTGAAAGTATTACCTGGTAAGATTACATTAGGTGGGTATCTTTTACTTAGTATCTACCTCGAAGTATGTAATGAAACTCCGATGCACCTATGACTTCCTCGGATCCTCCAACAACATCAACTCCGCCGGAGTTATGTGATCGATCAAAGGCTGCCACCCAAGGTGAATTATAACCCATCTCGAGGGTCATGGCCTGTTTGGCGCAGAATGCAGGAATATACTCCATTCGATAGTGTACCCTAAAATCGACAAAACTTGGTAAAACGTTATTCGCTTACCAAATATATACTCGATGTTTATTACAATTATATACCGTTTAGATTATAGAAAAATTCAACTATTTTACTCTACTATACTTAGACGTGTAATTGCTAGTTTTAGTCTTTTAATAGTAGTGCTAATAGTTATAATAATTACCGCTACTGTTAAGCAAGTTAATAACGCTACCTGTTTAAATGGTTATATCTACTCGAGTATTCCACTTATTTACACTAGTAACATATATGCTTATATATATAAAGTGGTGTTGTTTATGGTAGGTGCAATAAGCGAGTTATACATCCGGCGAGTCCGATAGACCGAGGTTTTGTGTCACTTCCATTTTGTACCGTACATTCCGGACAAAGCCAGTTCACTGTATTCGGAGGGGTATTTTCCCCATCCGATGAGTGCGCCAAACGTTCTGTGTACTCGATACGAATCGACATTCGTAAAGAGTGTAGTGTAGAACCCGATTTAGTATGGCGGACCCTGAACACACACTCGGAAAACAGGCCGTGAATACCCTACCCTTGAATTAAAACGGTCCTTTAATGCGCGAGCCAAACGTTCCGTAGACTTAATACGAACAAGCATTCGTAAAGAGTGTGGAACTCCGAACAGGCCGTTACCAGGTACGACCTGTTCGGCTGAGATTAGCAGAATGTTCGCCATTCGGTAGCGGACCCCGGAAAACACAAAACCTACAGAAATCCTATTCGCTTATCAAGTGTTCTCCTGATAACAAGGTATTCGGATTAAATATCGTTTAAATGGAATCTTCTAACATTATACTTCACTTAGACGTATAATCACTAGTTTTGGTCTTTATATAGTACTTAGTGTTATACTACACTTATTATAAAGACGAGGCAAATTTACTATATATAGCTACCAAAGCTATAGTCTTTACGCGCTTATTACCCATACGACGTCTCTAAAGAAGGAATTGTATAATTCATATAAAAAGTAGTAGTATTTATATTAGGTAGAATAAGTACGCTATAGATACAGACACGGAAATAGAGGATTTTGCTATAATTCTTTTAATATAGTAAATTCCAAATAAAGCTATATCACTATTGTCGGAGCGGTATTTTCTATTCATCCGATGTGCGAGCCAAATACAAATATATCTGCCACTCAATACGAGTTAGCATTCGTAAAGAGTACAAAACTTTAATTTGTATGGTAGACCCTGATTATATATCCCGACTTACTCCGAGCCAAACAGGCCATTAGGATTAGTTTGGTTACACTTCTATCCTTAGCCTCTTGCAAGAGCAATGAACCCGAGGGGGTTTCGTTTAAATATAGTTCTCTGAATTGTCTTCAATCGTCTCAATTAGGCTTGAATCAGGAGAGCAAGGATATTGTTTAGTTACTCGGGTCGGGCTATATCTAGCACCTCGTAGATACTAGACATACTATACTATATCGCTTAATCTTCTTCCCGCATTCTCCGCTCCCTAATTAGCGTAGGAACAAACTACTTAATAACTCGAGTGCTACTTGAAGTCACTTAGAGTTAACTTAAATATAAAGAAATTAGAGTTACCGAACAGCTCGCTTCCCCCACCTCCCCCTTCCCCCCTAAAATCCCTATATATATGGAGGATATAACCCTATAACATAGCTTCCTATGCTAATCACATTATAAATTTATATAAAAGTATACTAGGAATCAACGAGTAATAGCTCGCTTAGCTACCCATCCAACCTCGCCTACTTACCTACTCAGTTTCGTTTTAGTATTATTCTAATTGCACTCTTTGACCACTACGAAGTGGATGTGAGTGGATGTGAGTAATAGGGAATTAAGCTAGTAGAAGTAGGGGATTTTAGGCCCTGGTTAGTTAAATCTAGAGATCCTGTAGCTTTCCGACTTCCAAAAATCTTAGATTTCTACAATCTACGTCTTTTTGTGGGTACTTTTAAGATTTGTAGCTTAGCGGTGGATTACTTACTATTTAATTAGAAGACTTAGAATAAGTAAAAGTAGGAATAAAATAGAAAATAATTAAGTGGGAGTACAGATTTACTCAAATACCGCAGGGCACCCTAGTAGCCCTATTTACTTATATCCACTTCGTGGTAGTCAAAGAGTACAATTAGAATAATACTAAAACGAAACCGAGTAAAGAGGGCGGACACATCGGACTATCTACCCCAGACACGGAACGAATATAGGTGGGTATAATCTACTGGGTTTTAATAGAATTATACAGCTTTTGTGCTGTAGCTAGGCGATTTCCAGCGATTTATACAAAAGAAATTAACCAAACTCAGTAAAAATAACATAAAATAAGTAGTGGTATCTGCGTAAAAACCCTACCTATATTCGTTCCGCATTTGGGGTAGATAGTCCGATGTGTCCGCGCCCTCTTTACCTACGGTCCCATTATCTTATACGTAACACAACGGTACTGTACTCATCCAAGTCCTACTATTACAGACGAACTATCTGTCCGCAGTCCTAGGCGCGCTACAGGGACTCGGGCCGGGCCATCCCATACTACTAATAACCTATAAGTTATTCAAGTACTTGCCACTTGGCGAGTTGGTTTAAGTTAAGTAGGTACTTCTCAACTCAACCCAACTCAACCAATTTTCCACATTATCCCCAATTCGGGAAATTCCATTCCTACTACGGAGCTTCGCAACTGACTATCACGACCGCACTATTAACTAACATAGACAACAAGAACACGTACCTACTCTCCTTTTCAGAGCAATCAAGAGATCTCTCTGCAACAAACCCTTTAGCAGGGCCGAAGCTCCCTTCCTGGTGATCTCCAAGAACCTCTCTTAAGTAAACAACCTCTTGAGAAACAGCCAAACCATAAGTGCAAACACCGCTATCAACAAAAGCTACGACATGCAACAAACAAAAGCTACGAGAATATATAATTCCTCAATCTGGAAGTGAATCTCACCCTCCACAAGGTCACGCACAAGCACACACTTCAAAGGAACGGTAACAGCATATATAATCCAGTGAATTCAATCCATCCAACCAACCACCCAACCGTCCAATCATCCATTCCCTAATCTTTATGGCATAAACATATGATCCAAAAAACCACAGAAACCTACAAAAACAAGAGAGCCACCCCTAAATCCAAGAATCGATAATAAAAAAAAAGGGAAAAGGATTCGCTCTTTCGCTACCCACAACCCACAATCCAAACACAGTATCCACATGAAATCTGTCGTGGCTAATTTTCCACCATACCACCAACAAACTACTCACCCCCCGCTCATCGCAAAATCGGCCTTTCCAGCATCCCCAACCACTGAATGGGCTTCTTGTCTCCCCGTCCCCCCCAAAACACCAAAACCCGATAACCACTGAACTGTGCGAAGCCCCTCCTAATTCACCAGCGAGCACCAACGCAGTGTAATATGTAGCAGAAACCCCTTTCTCAAAAAAACAGCAAGACAGAAAAATCAATTGGATATCAATTCGAACAACAACGAAGCCAACTCGACGTAAAACCACCCGCTCATCAAATAGGCGCAAACACAACGCACGCACGAAGAAAGATAAAGAAGAAAAACACCACAGCCTCTTTGGATTTGCAGTCGACCGCTAGTTGTCACGGCTTGCACTGACATAAAAAGTTCATGCTACCGCGTCCGGAGGATTGGACCTTCTTGTCAGCTGCCTGAAAGTGATAGTAACAAGTCAGCAACTAGCTGAGAAGTCGTGATGGTTGATAGGAGAGAGGGTTACTAACATTTGCGGCACACATATCTACACAATGTGCACGCACCGATTCCTCGCTACAGTAGTCTACCCTTGTTTGCAATACCAGTGAAGCGACGCTGGCAGAGGCAAAAGTGAGAACCAGAACAATAAAAAAAGACTTCATATGGAGTTGTGGAAAGCCATGGGAGGCGAGTTGGGACCTTTTGATAGCAATGGTTACTTAAATGAACTATTTGATTCTGGATCGACTCAAAGAAGCCATGTACGAGAAGTAAGCTCTTAAATGCTAATATTACCAGTGTGCCAGACTGATGATCCCTTGAAAGCGACGTTTCGTGTTATGTACGAGTCGAAGTGTTCTCATTACGTCCGTTTGATCTGAATCTCACATTATAGTTCGTCACAGCCTTCTCATAGCAAAACGCCACTTTAGATAAGTCACCACCATGAAAATGGAGGATGTCGCTGAAAGGGAAAGAATCCAATGGTTCCGAGACCGCAGATAATGGCCTTAACGCCTTGCCGAGTGACTGAATGTGAAGGAAAATGTACATTTTCCGGAGAGCCTTCCGAGCATAGATACTGGTGTTTGTCGGTATTGTTTATTCAACGGGCAGATGAGTGGGCGAGTATTTGGTGAGTTAATTATTCAGTGATGGACAGGCTTCAGGCATTGGCGAAGATTTCGTGAGTATTTTCGATGATGAATTGCACAGCGTTATTCTTTGCATGCATATCAGTCATCTCGCGTTCGAGACTATGATCTCTCATGATCGTAGGAGCGAAAACGACAGCAAGATTCTTGGGTGTCATCTGGTGTCCGTTAGCAAAAAGCTCATTGGTTTGAGTTTAGGTTCGATAATATACCAGATTCTCACTGTTTCTTCTGGCTACGCGATCAAGATGGAATATCAAGAACTCAAGACAGTCCCTGTGCTTTGGTGGTAGCATATTGAATGTTTTTCTAAGGTGAACACATCGCTCTTTCTCATCATCGACGGCTAAATTGATGCTTAGCTAGGTTACAAAAGTGCGCGTATGTATAGGTGGACTTACAAGTTGATTCTAATATGCGGTCATAGACCTCAAAGGTCAACAGAGGAGTTGGCAGCTTTCTAAAGTATTGCTTCAATACACTAGTGACAGCTGTGATATCCAGGGCGTAGTCGGAAATATCGTAATCCTCCATTTTCTCGAAGCCTTCTTGGATAGTCTTGACTTGACCACTTCCGCCAGTCTTTCGATAGATACCTTCAATGTCCATACCTCGAAGCTCGACTTCCTCAATACATCTGGTAACGACGCTTGGAATCTGTCGACGTTCATAATCGGCTCTTTCCACAAGGTCCGACCCAAATAGAACTGATGGAGCTGCGGCGGCTTGAACTTCGCCATTGGACATGGTCTTTGGTATGGGGGTACCCTTTTTGAACAAACCAAATCCTCCTGCTTGTCTGGGATCATTATTAGCCGGTCGAGGAAGATTGTTGTTTGGGCCAACAGCAGCAGCAGCAGATTCAACTGGCGCAACAGTCATGTTGTATGGCATTCCGATACTTTCACCGGTCTGCCCCTGCCACTGTGAATTCTTTTCCTGTTGAACCGAAGCAAAAGCGCCTTTAAAGCCCTTGGAGACACCCTTGGCAACAGTTTGTCCACCCTTCTTCCAATTAAATTTCTTGGCTTGGCCCTTGCGAATGTTAATCACATGAGGCTGTGAGAGAACGGTGGCGGGCTCCATTGTAGAGTCTTGCTCCATTGACTGTGGATAACTATTCACACTACCGAAAACAGTCGTACTACTTGTCAGTGGCCCCCTACTTGAATCATCCATCGATGCCAGTGTGACAGATGACTTGTCTTTTGAGTGGTGTGTATAGATCCCCAACCCGTTTGTTGGTCGTGGGCTTTGATTTTCGATGTTGGCCGAACTTTGCGCTTTGAAGCGTTCTTGAATTTGGTGAGTCAAATCGTTGTTCATATCTGCGAGTTGGGCGTTCTTTGAAGACAATTGCTCGAACTCCACGAGGGCCCTATCGCGATCGGCTATTATCTGGTTCTTTTCCTCGAGAAGATCATTACGCTCTTCGTAAAGTGCCTCGACCTGCCCAGATATAGTTTGCTTTAGCCTATCTAGCTTTTGAACGAACTCTTTAACCGAAGAATCTTCCAATTCTGCGATATTGATGGGTTGTTTCGAATTCTTGGCTCTCTCAACGTGACCTGCCAAGACTTCGAGTTGTTTGATCATGATTTCTGTCTGCGAATCCAATACCGAAACCGTTTTTCGTTTTTCCAATAATTTCTTGTTCAAGGATTTGATGTCCTTTTCGCTGGCAAACTGCCGCTCAAGCTCAGCAACACGCTGCTCCGAATTCCGAAGCTGTCTGCGGAGCAGTGCTGGGTCTTCGCCCGATACGGGTGAACCGACAATTGAGATAGGGCTACTAATCTCCTTCGCAGTGGTACCATCCTCGAGTATCGGAGTCTTGGGCCAACGTGGGGAAGAGATTGTTCGTGCTGTGCTTTCACTAACACTGCGACCATGGCCATAACGACCAGATGCGCTTGCCTCACTACCAGCTCTCTGATGGCGTACAGCGTTGGAAACACGGCGCAGTATCGATTGCGAGGGTTCATCTGTCTCGCCAAGTATCCGCGCCATATCCTCTTCCATTGTGAAGTCGCCGCCTGCGCTCCATCGCGGCAAGGGAGATGGTTGACCGTTAAGATAATTCGGATCCTTTGCAGAGTGAGGACCTGCTGAAGGTGGCGCTGGAGGTGCTCTTGGAGCCATGTACGAATCGGTCAATCTCACTGCTGGTGCGGTCGGGCGGGTAGGCGCACGACTTGGTGGTGCAAGTTGCTCTTCTATTGGCGATTGCAGTAATCTTGGTCCCGAGATTGTCTTGCCATTGACTTTGGGCGTAAGGGCAGGAGTACCAGATGAAGAATCAGTTGAAGGCGACGTTTCCACGCCCGATGACGAACTCATTGAGCTCATGGTGGTCTTCGTGGCTCCAGCCCCAGACGCGACGTCTTTGCGATGAACAGATCTTGATCCCTGCGGCGAGGAACCATTCGAATCAAGAGACGGCCTTGAGACTGGTTCGTCTCTCGACCTGGATTCTTGTGAGGAACGGGGGGTGCCAGACTTGTCGGCAGCGAGTAAGGGTTGAGGCGAATCTGTCTTCGGAATGCTCGCCGACGATCCTTTGCGAGGTGGCATGGACGAAAGCCCACTGCTGGTTGTAGATCGCGAACCATTTTCAATTTCCGAGTTGGAATTGCTCCGTGATGTGCTCGCTTTCCTACCTTTGGGAACTTCGCCCAATCTGAACTTTTCACTAGAAGATGGGGCTTTCGAGTTCGAAGCTCTTCTTGGAGGGGTAGCGATTTGAGTTCGCACTTCATCGTTTGCAAGAGCTGGGGAATTCTTGGCTGAGGACGTTCGGCCGACACCTCCCGTCTGCGCTTTACGTATATTATCTTTAATCTGGGCCGTTTCATCTGTGGAAGCTGTGCGACCTTTTTCTTGAAACGCTATGTGCGGGGTTGAGACGTTGGAATGAATCTCGGAGCCTTGTCGCCCATTATTTTTGTTACTGGTAAAGTAGTCCTTGTCTTGGGGGCGCTTGTTCTCCTTAGATTTTCTCTGGTCTGTTAGGCTCTCTGTGGCCGATCGAGGCGTTACGGCTGGCGCAGTATTCGTATCAAGAGCCAAAGGTATGAAGAAGCTCTCCTCAGCACCACCACCGAGGACATCTGAAGCTTGAGATATAGCCGAATGTCGATTTTTCCGGTATGTAGATGTTGGTAAAGTTAGCTCATCTCTTGTGGTTCCTTCGCTAGCTCTGCGTTCCGAAGACGCTTCTCGGGGCCTTCGTGAGCTACTTCTCGAGGAAGAATCTCCCTGATATATTTGGTGTGGTCTTGGGGACAGTTCTGTGGGAGTATCATTGTCCAACACTTCCCCTACATCTCTATCGGGTGAAAATGTGCTCCTCAAGTCCGCATTTGGTGGAAGTGCTGGCAGCGACTTATCTACCAGCATCGGAGACTGGTCTTCCTTTTTCATTTTTGCATTCGCCGCCGCCCTCGATTTCTTCCTTCTTCGTGCCATCAGTGATTCGTGACAGCTCATACAGAATATACCCTGCGAGGTTCGTGCATATCGTAGATTCTCGATTTTTCGCTTGCAATTCCGACATCGAAAGCATGTTGCACAGAACGCTTGGTCGCCCGTCAGAATCGCCAGATCTTCAATTTTGTTACCACAAGCGCTGCAGCTGTATGTACAATTGTTGCATATCAGGGACCCATCGCCAAGGAGCAAGAGATTCGCATCGGAGTCGAGTAGAGTACCGCAGGTGTTGCATCGGAAGCAATTCAGATGCCATCGATTACCGGCTATTGCATTGTTAGCTATGGGTGTTCTCGAGGCCTACAGTGCATGTCGAGCGCGACATTGTCATGCAGTCTTTTGTGAGCGACCGCAGCACTTTCTCCTCACTCACCAAGTTCAAATGCCTTTCCCTCCTCGAGTATCTATGGGGCCTATTAGCACTTGACGCAACCTTCTGATTCAAGTCCAATACATACATCACCGCAACCCTTACACGGATATGCCACATCGTCACCACCATCCATAGGAGAATCCAAATAATCGGCCGGCGATTCCATGGTGGGTGTTGGTCTGACTGTCTAGGATGACAGCCGTTGGTCCTCCTATATTTCACTGAAACTGAAACTTCCTCTGTCTTTCGTCACGTCGTTGTCGCTGTCGGGCTGAGCTGATCATGGAATTCGCAATGCGATCACTCCTCGTCGGTGGTGATGGTGGTGGTGGTTGAACTTGAAGAGGAATTGAGGGCCCCGTTCTCTGGAGTTCTTGAGACGTTGACTGGGAGGCAGGGCAGGGGCTTGGCAAGGATGTTGAATGAGGTGGAAGGACAGGACAGTCTGATGGCACGTCGTGCCACTACACTGGGGTGGGGATGGGATGCAGATGCGTAAAGAGTCAGTGAGGGGGTTTATAAAGATGCAGTGGCAGTGACAGTAAAATGGTGATGGTGATGGTGATGGTGATGGTGATGGTGAATAGACAGCTGGCGGGTGTTTTAGTGATGGTGTTCTAGTGGGCTGACAAGGCCTTAGCTTAGTGGATTTGGTTGGATGGTATGGAGTACCTCCGTACGAGTACTGTACTAGTATGAGGAAGGGTATGGGCCACTGCCACTGTCACTGCCACTACTGTCATTCCAGGTACCTCAAGCCTAAGGTGGACGGACGATCTTCCAGATTTCCCAGAGGTCCAGAACAGCACTCACTCATTTGGCATTTGGCAGATTGGCAGATTGGCAGATTGTCTCTAAGATACCTCCGTACCGCTCATTCAAGGTCCTCGCCTAGGCGCAGAGTGATGGACGGGTCAGTCTGGTCAGAGCAGAACAAAGATCCTACCGCTACCCCACTGGCCTGGCCTGGCCTAGCCTGAATCTGGCGTAGGATGAGCTGTAGGGTACAGTGCCATTTGGTATAGAGTGATGGTGGGGGGTGTGTTGGTAAGTGTTGGTATTGGCCTGTCTGGCCTGTCTCCTCTCCTCCTTGCAGTCGCAGGAAGTAAGCTTGTTATTGCTCTCCTTATCTGACAATAAACTTTGCTTCCTCCTCCTCCTCCTTCCTTAAGGTTCCATCAGTCTTTAGACTTCCATCCTCAACCGCAATGACTGATCCATACCAAATTCAATACGGCGTACCCGTCGGTCAAGTGTGTGAAGGGAGCACAGCATCAAAGTATCTGCAGTGCAAAGGAAACAGTACCAAACAGTACCTGTACCGCCAAATCACATGGAGGCGTGGCTTGTTGGTTTAGATTGAGGGGCGAAGAATACCAATCCCTTCAATTTCGGTCGCGGAACATGACCACGAATCTCATAAGATTCCATTCCTTCACATTTATTATGGTTAAATTATCATATCACTTTCACCCGCCATCCATCGCCAAAGTGAGGCTGAATTCAGCAACCATAATGCCATTGAGTCTCTGCTGATTCTTCTCAAAACGCCTTATCGTCCACTCCAGTACTCTGTTTTGTATTAAGGTTAAGCCAAGCCAAGTGTTTTTAATCGCCTACATCCCGTACATCTAGTGACAGATCATAACCCCACACCGCCAATATCAAAACACAGATCGAGACCCTTGCGACCGCTGAATGATCGCCCTTTGAGAGGACGGGGAAAATGTCCGAGTTCTTACATGTCGAGATGAAATTGGGTACGGAGTATTCTTCAGTCTTCCTTGTCAATCCATCAAACAAAGTGTAAAGTATACATTTCTCCGCCATTTCTAGGCACCGGTACTTGAATGTCAGGTACAGATAAACCTGGATATAAGGATATTCGTGGGGGCAAGTTTCGTAAGGATATAACCGAGGTTATCCTTATAGCGAGGGTCTTTAGCATATACCAAAAGAAATCGGGACCCAAATTTTAAGGATATAAATGAGGTTATCCTTATATCCAGTATCCTTATATCCAGGTTTATCTGTAATCAACCACCTACCGGTGGACAAGAAAAATGGCAGAGATCCTCTTTCCCTTCTATGAGCGTAAGTTGAATCCGAATATTCAAGTATCCTAGTGACCGATTTTGATTGGCCGAAATAAACAGAATAATAAAAAGGGTTTAATTCAAGTTGCGCCAAATGAAGGATTCTCTTGTCCCCCCGTGTAAGTCCGCCAATAATCCTTCGTTTCTTCTGGTAGCCTGGTATTTCCTTCAAGTACTCTGTTACGGACTGGGCAGGTCATTATTGTATTGAATTCCGTCACCGTGAAAAGAAAATATAATATATCAAAGGCCTAAACAAGGATTTCGGAAACATTCCGCAGCAGAAAATCAGCCGCGAATTCGCGGTTTGAGTGGTGCAGGCATACGATATCTAGGAGGCATTCCGTCAAGGATTCTCAGCCTATTCAGCCTTCTTGCTTCATCCCAAAATAAGTTCAAACTTTCTACACGTCAAAACTTTAAACCAAGAGGTCCCATGCCATCAAGAAATTATTGTGGCTGAATAGTTTCAATTTTCTTTCATCACTCATCGAGAATCCACTGGCCCCTCAAAAATGGGGTGCAGGAAAAAAAGCAAAAAAGCTAGCCCAACCGAAACTCCACCAAGAGGAAAAAACAATATGGTCGACCTCCTTTCCTCCATGGATTCCTACCAGCCCCAAGATTTCCCTTGAAGACAACCCCTAGCAAACCTGGATATATAAAAATTTGAGAAGTGAAAAAAACCGAAAGAACTGAAAAATATTACGCAAAATAGAAAACCCCCCAAAGGCTCACTGGACCCTAAATACTCCGTGTTTTGGACATCTCTGTTAACGGAATGCCCGATCCGAGAACCCATCTGGACTTGCTGGGCTCAGTGGCTGACTCCTGACTCCGCTGAGATCGCCGCTGCCAGTTCTCCTGATTGTTTGAGCCATTGTTTCTATTGTCAACTCTCCATTCCCATGCATCGAGGTTGGGCTTCCTAGAGCTTTCGAACGAGGTGACATGTCTACACCCATAATCGAAGCTGATTTGCTGGTTGGAGGCGAAGTATTGAATCCCTGTGACGATACTGGCGATCGTACGGGCGAGGGCGATCTGACTCCTGACGATAGCGTATTGAGACCACCAACGTAGATGGAGTCTCTACAACCGGTATGTTCTGCGTGTTCGGATTGCACGATATCAGAGAATGAAATGAAACTGAGTCGACGTACGTCTGCACTATCCAATGCACCATAATTGGAAGCAGCATCATCTTTATCGGGATGCGCAACCAAATCATCGGCCCAATTACCGCCAGTTGGTTCACTGCTCCCGACACCTGTCACAGTGACTGCTGCTGGCTGATGAGATGAATGCATGACGATTTCAACAGAGTCTGGGTCCAGGTTGTTGTTGGTGATAGCTTCAGACGAGGCATCTAGGACTGGTGGTATGTGGTTTTCCGTCTGGATGTGTGATGGAATAGCGGGTGAATTGGGTGATAGAGTGCTACTTTCTTGTACATCTCTTTCGAAAATCTGCGAGCCTGCCGGTGACACGACTCGAGGGGAAGAGGAAGAAGGATTCCTTTGCGGAGAAGAGGGTACTGGGTAGTGTTGACTAGACCGTTGACGGGAGGTGTTCTGCAACGGAGCTCTCTGAGGGACGGGCGCAGCCATCTGAGTCTGCGCAATACCAATATCCATATTCGACGCTGGTTCGAGTTTCTCCTTGACCTTGCTTCTATCGTCGTCTTTCTTCTTTCCGAAGCCAAACAATCGGCGCTTCCCGTGCTTTCCTCCCTCTGACGTAGTATTGGTTCCCTTGTGCTCGAGGTCACTGTTTTCAGTAGATAGTGATACAGCAACACGCTTCGATTCTTGAAATCCTTCGCCGAGTAGAGGCACCTTGGAGGTATTTGCAACTGGATGGCTGCCCTGGACGGGAGTATTTGGTTGCAGGGTGCTGGCTTCGGACGCACTCATCATCGACGAGTCCGGGACGCCGCGGAAAGTTGGATGAACAGGTTGAGAGAAGCAGACCACGACGATAAATACTGTGGTGCGTCAGTTTGAGCCTATATGTCGGTGCGTTATTGCGGGCATGGGCATGTACGGGTATAGGTGGAGGTATAGGTGGAGGTATAGGTACTATGCAGCTTAATCTAAAAGCAAAACACCGGACATGAAAACCTTGGAAGGAAAGTGAGGGTGATGGGTGATATATACCTGTGGCACCTGGGTGGTAATCTTACCGCGTTCAGCTCCTGGTCTCGAGTACCTCTTGGTGGGGTGGAAGGGATAAGAACAGATGCGAGGGCTGATTCTAGGAAGGTGAGGGGGCACTCATGGTGCGCTGGAGCTGGCTTGGTTGAGTTCAGGAGAGTTGGCAGGTTGGTACCGGTACCTATCTAGGTAGCTGGGCCATCGACTAGGTGACAGGATTCAGTAATGGTATTAAGTGCCCAGGTGGTCATCAGAGCTTCGTTGCTGCACTGGTTGGTGGTGCGAGGGTGTCACTACCAGTCCAGTACTCATACAGTAAAGTACTAGGTGGTCTTGCTGACCTAAGCCGATTGGATTGCATCAAAGACTGCAGGGGGGCATATGGCCTGAGTTGGCCTTACATGCCTTGGCGCTAGTCCCGAGGTCCCGTGCGTCTAGTCCACTTGGTATTATCACGTGACTAGTCAATTCAGAGCTCCAAAAATGTTCACGACAACGGCAGCGTCGACCCTCGATTTCCCTTGCTATGCTGCTACCCCACGCGAGTATCACCATCGCCACCTCCTTTCCCCCACAATGGAGTCCAGCTTAATCCGGAGACCCGCGGTCAATATCCTCGCTGGTCGACACCAATGTCTTCTTCAATTCAGTACCTCGTTTCGGCGTCATGAACAGTCCTACCGGCGCACACAGCATAGACTAAATATCCGTCCAGACTCGTCCTTTCTCCAATCCCAAGACTCACCAAAGCAAGCCCATATTATATTCAATCCTCCATCTTCTGCTCCATCAGTATTTCACACGCCACTCAAGTTCTTACCAAAGGGGGACAAACGTCGAGCAGCTCAGGTCGCCTTGGAGGCAAAGATCAATCCAACTCCAAAATATCTACCGCCGCCCGTCTTTAAAAAACCTTCAGTTCCAGTTCACCACTTGACCGACGCAGATATTCAGGAGATCCAGCGGCTGAGGAGGGAGGAGGGTGTAGAGAAATGGACTACGCACAGGCTGGCCAGAAAATTCAATTGCTCGCAGCTGTTCGTGATGATCTGTTTGAGGCAATGTGGCGGGGAGCCTCCTGACCCGAATTACAAGAACGCAGAACAATTGAAGATGGAGGCTATTGAGAAGAGGTGGGGACCGAGGCGCAGGATGGCGCATGAAGATAGGCTGAAGAGAATGCAAATGGCATTGAGAGGCGACTAGGTCTTGAAAGATGAGAATGCAGAAACGACTACGATAGAGGATCCGGCACCATGGTTGGCTCGGTCTCAACGTTGAGGCTTTCGGGGACTTGCCATAATAGCAAGGGACCATGAATCCAATTGTACAAATTACTACTCACTATGAGCATATTTCATTGTGTTTGCGAGCCATCAGCATATATGATGGCGGAGGGCGTTATGAGAACTTTGTAGGAATATGTATGAATCAAGTTACCAGAACTCAAATCCACATTTACAAGTAAGGGTGACGAACTCCTTGACATAGATGTATAGGAAAATTCTTGTTCTCGTAATGTTCTTTCAACCTGGAAGTATGGTACATCTACTTTATCCAATCTTCAACTACCTGCTTGCTCACTCTTCCTTTCGTTCCCTACTCCCATTCATTCAGTGAAGTTATGAGCTCAGGCTAGTTGGAAAGACATGGAAACTGAAGAAAGGGTTTGTCCAAACCAATAATCTTGTATGTTTTTACAACAAGCGTGGAGATTGAAAATTCGCTTACAACACCCAGTTCTGGTAAATTCCGTTCACTTCCACGCTTTAATTTCATTCACAGTTCATATTCAAATGGGATTCGTCAATCCCGAAATATACAAAATAGCACACCCAGAAGAAGGATTCTTTTCAAAGTATGTCAAGAGACCTGTACATTACACTGGACATACCTTGAAATCTGTTGTGCTAAGGTTCCAACAATTAACTTAATTTTCCTAAGTTACTTGGGTTGAAAAGTTATGTTGATTCCAATTATCCTAAAACGTTTGCATCACTGCTTTTGGTTTTGTGAGGCTTCTTAGATAATAATATTGTTCTAACTTAAGTATGTGTTCAGCGTACTGAGAGAGCTTATACTTGACTAGGTCAAGACTCAAATGTTGATTATTTGTTAAGCTAGAACAATCAAGTTGTTTGTGCGAGACTTTTAACGTGATGTCACTATGTATGTGTAGAGCAATGACGATGCCCCTTGCAATCATCACAGTTGGTCTTAGTTCTTGTACCACATTGTAGTGTTTATTAATCCTTAGCGTTCGAAAGAACTACTTAACAACTCGAGTACTACTCAGAGTTACTTATGTTGAGTTGAGTTGAGTATAAGTAGTAGATCTGGTTGAGTTAAGTTGAGTAGTAGATTTAACTACTCGAGTAGTACTTAAATACTCGAATAGTAGGGGGTTAAGCCTACTATTACCTATTCTGGAATTTGTAAATATATTATATAGGGGTGCGGGCTAATTCCGAATATTCGGACCGGTCGTCCAGTACTCGGCCCGACCCACTCCGTACTACTTAAGTAGTACTTAACTCAACTCGAGTACTTGGCGAGTCGAGTTGAGTAGGTACTACTCCTCAACTTAACTCAACTCATTTCGAACGCTGTTAATCCTACAAGTATCTTGTAAGGCCAAGCATTTCTAGCCCCGTGTCATTATAGAATATAATATCATTCTATGAATCTGTAAGACTACTTTGTTTGACAGATCAATCTCTAAATACTCTTTGAGTCCATGGGAACAGTAAAGAGGAGAAGAGAGTACGTTCAACGGGAAGTTTAGTGAATATTCCTAGACACCTGAGGTTCACAGGAATAGCAGGACACCACCGTACTGAGTGACTATTTGAGACACCTGAGCTCCTAGACATCTTCCTATCTCATACACACACTTCTTAACCTACGGTACGTTCTCCCCGCATAATACTACTGGTCCCCTTCAGCTTTGGATGATGAACAGAGTCTGACGGCAAAACAAAAGTATGAAGCTTGAGACCAATACCAGAATCTCCATCCTTGCGCACGATGGAACCACCATCAAAAATCGTAAGCCATTCAGGGAAAGCACTTCAAGCACCCCTGGCAGCTTCTAAATCTCAGTCTCAAAAAGATGTTCAGTCACCCAATATAGTCGTACCTCTTACATCATTCCCACGCTTTGGAGAGTTGGCCATGGAGATTCGCCTTCAGATATTCAGAGAGGCCCGTCAGCCAAGAACTCTTGTGGTTACAACCAATACACACGGAATGATTGATATGCCACAATATATGGGCCTTCCGAATGTACGCCCAGCTGCTCATCTCATGGTTCGGGAACAGCGTAAGTATCCCCACCAATGCATTGCTCCTGGTGTACACTTGTGAATCATTATTTTACCATTTCTTTCTCATTTTGGTCATTGAACTAATACCTCTGCCTGCAGCTCAAACCCAACTTCCTCTTCCAAACAGAGAAAGTCTTGCTGAATTACTCCGAGAGAAAACCACCCTCATCCCAACACGAAGCTGGCTTTCCACCCTCTTCTTCTTCAACGCTGAACTGGACACCCTCTACTTCACCAGCGAAGGCCAAAAATGCTTCTGTCCCCACGCATGGCATAATCTCCTTGTCCACCTCGCCAACTACGGTCAGAAAGTTCGCAAAATTGCCGTTGACCTCAAACTGCTAGCTTGCCACAGCTCCGGGGATCAACATCGATATGATAACCGTTGGATATACAAAGCATTCCGAAACGTTGAAGAAATTACCATCGTAGTTGACAAAGGTCCCGAACCCGCAGCTAGGGAATTCTGTCTCTGTAAGTCTTACGATAATGATCTTATCATTACACATCTGGGACATTATCTACGGATGGTTGAGAACCTTACGGTTATGGATTTTTTCTGCAGTGGGATGCGCGATTTCTTGGCATGGTTAGACTACCAGGCCGGTAGAAATTGGAAGTGCACTTGCTGGAAAGATGGACCGACGATGCCAAAGTTCAGACAAGCAATTTGGGAGGGAACACCTGGATTTCATTTGAGCCCCACTGATCCTGGCCTCTTGCCTATCTTCTCGAACCCGGTAGAGAATTCGTGTGATTGCGAGCATGAGGATACAGTTGAGGGTAGCATTTGGGCTGAGGTTGAAGTGGATTGAGGTTAAGGTTGGCAGTGGTTGACAGATGAATATACATGGGTTCTAAAGCTCAATACAAGGATTTGTGACTTTTGACTTCGTAGAATTAGAGCTCTGAGATAATACTAGAGTTTTAGTAGTGGGTTTGTACATACTGACATTTCCTCTGCGGACCTCAGGGATAAATCTGCGTATTTGTAACGGCTACCTGCAAAGTGTTATATATATTTACCTAAAGCCTTAGCGGTGATGTATAAATGGAAATTGGGAAACGAAAGCCAATGGTTTGCCCACAGTTGGTGAGTTGACTTTCGATATAGTTCTCTGTATCTTTTTGTCTATGTCAACTAAGAATTATCAACAGGACCCTTTAAGAGCTTTTAGTCCCTATATCTATTGAATTTTTCTCGCTTGAGGGCGAGCTGTTTAGCGACAAGAAATTGCCAGGCATCCTTGCACATAAAGAGACATCGTTATATCATTAAACATTTTATTTACTATGCTGAATTGGTAAGCAGAAGATATATTTCATAGCTTTCTAAGAAATCCTCGAAAACTATTGCTTTCTTTAACAGCATTCGTTAATCTTGTCTTTTTGGGGAAAACATAATTACCCTGGCTATTAATTAAAACATAACTTTTGTTTGGATTTCCAACAAGAGATAATTAATCATACTGAATATCCCTGATAGCTTCTCTTCACAGATGTGTTTGTTTTCCTAAATTCTTTGGCGAAAGGCTAAACACTGCGTAGATATCCTTTAGGAGTATGTCAGATTTCAACTCCATGTCTCACATAGGACATGAGCCACCTACGTCACATTCACCATGAACCTCTCAGGTTCTTATCACATGACAGGCAAACTCTTTCTGCCCAATCAATAGTTTGTTTTCTATATTTTGGCGGTCAGATAAGCTCCGCTTATCCGAACTTAGAACTTATCTGTACGGAGCTGTTGCTCTTTCATGTAATTTTAACCAATACTGCAATCCTTAACAGAGCTCCCTCTGGTTCACCTTACAACAAAGATGTCTGAGCTCCCAGTAATTGTATGTAAACCCAGATTTGCAATAGATTGATTTCTCACAGGTTAAAGGCTAACTCATCATAGCCAAAGCTTGCCCCCATCAAAGAGGCTTTCAAGGCAACAAGCACCAAGCTCAATGGGCTTATAGAGACTTGTATAGCCTCAATCAGTCCAACCGACAATACCATCATGCTCAGCATAGCTCCTTCTTTGCTTGCTGAGCTCTCTCAACATAAGAACGCTGCTCTAGAAGTCAAGAAGGCACTTGATTCAAACAGTGCTATTGCGAAGGAGAAGATGGACATCGCCAACGAAAACTGGGTATCGTCAGGAACCACCGTCGACTCCGCCAAAGCTGAAGACAAGCAACCTCTTTTCTGGCTTGACAAACTTCTTCTCGTGCAAGATTTCTCTTCGAGGTTGTACCAGGAGCTTGCCAGAGTTGACAGGCTGCTCGCGGATATCGACACCCTGTCCCATACCACTTGTACGATCCTTCGAAAGTGCCACGACGACAAAGCAACGATAAACCAATCTCGGAGTGACAGTTCGTCGCAGACCTTGGACGAGCAGCTGGAGAAGGAGGAGGAAAAGAGCATCGAGAAGGAAAAGAACACCGAGAAGGGAAAGAACATCGAGAAGGGAAAGAACATCGAGAAGGGAAAGAACATCGAGAAGGACAAGAGCATCGGGAAGGAAACGAAAATCAAGAAGTAAAAAGACTCAACTTGAGCTTGGGTGGCGTGAGGGGCGTGGTAGTTGAGAAAACGGGAATGTATACCTCCAAGCAATTTTGGGAGACCATTTGGATGGATTCCTAGAAACTGAATTAGTCGTGCATTCTACAATTCGAATTAACATCACACTCCTGAGATCTGAAATACATGTGTTATGCTTTCTGTGCCCTTTTGTCTTCGTTTCAAAACTGAAGTCTTGATATCTTCTTTTATAATACAGTATTCACCTCATAAGCTGACATTTAAGATCTCTGACAGCAGGTATCCTCTCTCTCTTCTTACTCTCTCCCCTCACAAAACCAAGAAGGTCAACACAACCCCCACCAAGATTGGCAGTATTAGCTTCAAATACTCTCACAAAATCAATATGCCACCAAAACCCAAAGACAAGCCCACCTCACCTCACAAACCCAAAGATCTCCGCAAGTTCCTACAACGAGAGATTCTCCGCGACCAACTCAAACCCCCATCAGGTGGACCAAAGCGGGGTAAGAGAGATGAAGTTTCCTCTCTCGCATCACTTTTTACGAGCACGCCGGAAGAAGACCAAACCGACAAACTTCTAGACCAGAGTGCAAGCTGCTGTGACGTGGATTCTATCTTTGGGGATGAGATTTTGACACACGAGGAGATCCAAAAGCAGAAGCTAGACAAATTTCTAGAGGAGACTGAAGCACGGCACGCAAAGGTGAAGACCACGAAGAGTGAAGATGGGTTTGATAAAGGAGATTATAACACGAGAATCGAGGAATTAAGGTCTGGGTTAAGGGAGTTGGCGGTGTTGGAACTTGATGCAAATCAACGGGAGAGAAGCTTGATTCAAAGACAGAAAGAGGCTTTGAGAGCTGAGATTTCATTTTCTGAGAGGAATAAGAAAGTACCTAGAGAGGATCTTTCTCTGGGTATGTACACACAGAATCTTGATGGCTGGTAAGGTAGGAGCTAACGAATCTTCAATAGATGAGCTTAATAAGGAAATTAGACAATTGCCACCACCAATGAGTCCTTGGGAGATAAAACGTCTCGAAAGAACACAGAAGCGGGAAGCCAAGAAAGCCGCAGAGGAACTTGCAAGAACACTTGAAGAGGGAACCCAAGTAGGTCATCTCTAATATCGAAGCTGGCATATCACTAACTTCCAACTGACTTTCACTCGCCAGTCCCCCAAAACACCAAAACGTAGACGGGACCCTGCAGAAGCCGATCTTGACGGCGAAGGGCTTCTTGAGCTCCACGGGGAGAAAATGTTCAAAAAATCAAAATCAAAGAAACCAGCTATACCCGTTGGCCGATGGCGTTCCGACATACACGATTACTTCCCCGAGAGCGAGATTATAGAGGCTGAGCACCTATTTCGGGATATGTGCAAGGAGGACAGAATGCTGTTTCGAAGGGAGCTGGCTGATGCCGGGGAGAAGATGGTCAAGGCAAATCGGTCGAAGAGGAAAGCTGCTTGGCTTTGGGATAACGATTCTTGGTTTGGGGGAGCTCTTCGGTCTGAATGACTTGGGTTGGGAAGGAGGATGGTTGGCCATTTGTATGATCATTCTTGTTCTCGTTGATTTCGAATTGTATTGATATCTTTCTTTCGAATGATGACTAAATTGGCCTGTCATATGCATGGCACACCCCTAGTCGCAAAGTCGTGTGCCTTGCCGATCGCAATTCGACGGGATGAGCACCGTTTCTCCATCCTCCAGAAATCGGTGTAAAGATCATGGCAATCTTAAATTCCCACCCCCGTTGTGGCAAATTCCCATGTTCTTTTTCATGTTCATGATGGACCCCACTCGCTTAACCCAACCCCTGTCGGCTGCCTAGAATGCCAAGGCACAAGAACAACAGTTCGCTCCGCTTCCGCAGGCACCTCGTAGGCAGTGTGGTCTGCCTAAAAATCTCGCGATAGCGTGGTGCGAAAGTACCAAATTGGGAAATCTTCGCGTGGCGCGAAGCCGTGACAAGTGGAGGAGAAGATGTATTTAATAGAAAGGAAATTCGCCGTGGAAATGTATCTCAACCCTTTCTAACCTTCATCATTGACACAATTTCACAAAGTAAACTTCTGTTCCTATCTCATAAAAAAACTTCCATTGCAACATGGCAAATTCAACACAAGGAACTTTCACCTTGTGGCACTCCTTCCCAGTCAAAATCCAATCACTGATTATGGAACACTGTTCCACAAACGACCTTGTATGCCTCCGACTCACATGGTAATCCTCACATCCCATCAAACCCAAATCCAAATCTAACATTCCCAGTAAAACCCTCTACAGCCTCTCCCCAATCCGCCAACGTGTTCCGCTTTGCAACAGTAACCCAAATTTTCAAAGGAAACCCGTCTGTTTATATAGCAACTCCACAATCACCGCAAAAAGTCGGGTTCATCAAAGTAATGAAAGCCGCGCTTACGGCTACAGCCTGAGGCAATGGAAAGAAATAAAAAAATATTCAGCATTAGCCTACAGGTTACGTGAATAGGTACCGAAGAACTTAAAGTATTGCGGGGTATGTGAATTCTTTGCAAAGAGGAAGGCAATCTATAAAGGAAGATGTAAGTTCAATCGTCAACTCCGCATTCTATGAATTGTGGGAAGTTGATCTTTCTTTTGTAGGTTATCATGGAGGAGGGAAACAAAGAACATGCACACCTATGTTCTGGACACATCGTTCGAGGAATGGAGCCTTCGGAAAAAGAGTGTGGAAAAAGTGGGTTACTAACGCTGATATGAGTGCATACGAGAGCCGTTTGAGGAGCGGGCAGACGGAACGGGCGGAGAACACAAGATACGCACTAAGAAGTTTGCCAGCGCGAGATGTCGACACATCTTCAATAAGAGGTCATGGGGATTATCTAGATGAGTAGCGTGGTAAAAGGAGACTTAGGCTTTGGCTAGGACGGGAAGATACTAATTTTTGAGACGTGGTTCTATGTAGCCATCATTTCACTATGGAGCACGCATCTTCATGGGAACTTTCTAGCTATGCTGTTATTAGAGTGACTGAAAACCACTTATTTAAAAAGGATTTCAACTTCACTGACTTATGGACGTACAACTTGACATGATACTCGGTTTTATGATTCAGTTTATAGTGATTTTGGATAAGAGTGTGTCAGTCGAAACTCGCTTAATCAACCTTACTCGTCATTACCTACGTATCTTACATTCAGACCTGGGCACGATATTATCGATGTGATATCGGGGGGGTCTCCGACGATTATCGTATCGTAGATATATTGACGACGATATATCGGATTCTTGGCGATAACCGATAGTTTATCGATTATCGCCACACGTGACATAGAAAAACTATAAATCCGGAACCGGACCAATCAGCATGCTTTATTCGGAATCGATTAAATGGTCGCCATGGAAGCTTGGGCCACATCTGGCACAAAACGTAGGCACCTAGCAATCTTCATACTACAAAAGAACCAAAAATCATATTCCACAAACCCTAACTTCTAACCCTAACCCTAACCTAGCCCTAACTAGTCTACATTTAATTTCTACTCCTAATAGTGAAAAAAGAAATTGTTGTTTAGAGTAGTATTTTAGTAGTAGAGGAGGTGTGGGGAGAGTTGTAGTGGCCCGTGCCTGGGATTATACATGTATTATTTATGCCGTCGTGGCGACCATTTAATCGATTCCCTTTATTCTACCCCTTCGTTCCTAATAGTTAGTACGTCTTCCTACTACGCTCGACCGCTGTCGCTAGCGCACTGGCCATTTAGCTTCAACAACTCTATCACCAACAACACTACCACTAATATTACTACTAAACGCTCTAAATTCAACTAAAAATCCCACCACTTAGTTCTATACCTAGCCTCCCTCGTAGAAACCCTGAGGGAGCTCGCGAATCGTCCCTAAAAAGCTGGGGTATAATAGCGGACAGTAACGACGAGATTTAAGGTGGAAATTAATAAGGAAGGTGGGATTATTAGGCGCTAGCATATAATTAGTTAATATAATAATCCTATTTTTACTTGAAATATCACCAATTCTGCCCTGAAAACCCCCTTAAAAACACCCCAAAATATACTAAATTTAGGTACAACTATCGATATTACTCGAATATCGTTACTTTTAAACCCACGATTATCGTATCATAGAATAATATATCGGCGATATATCGCAATCTAGTATAATGCTATCGTCTCGATATGGATTTTTCCCTCGTTCCTTGGATCCCTAAAGGAGACTCTAGAATCCTTCGTGAGGTCTAGAACGTCAAACCTAACCTACTTGCTACTTTAGGAAGGAAAAGTGGGTGCGATATGTCAGCCGTAGGAACACTAAAACTCGTCTGCTGCGTGCAGCTCTTTACGCCTACATAGCGGCACTTCTATATATCTGAAAGACGTACAAATAAGACATGTTTGTAAAGACAATTAAGCACTATTATACTCTCAAAGCATATGTGTGCGGCTACGTAGGTGCAAAGAGCCGCACGCGTGCAGGTGAGGCTTAAGTGCGTATACGGCTCTCGGTGCGGCTCCCCGTGTGGCTAAGTGTGGCTGTGCGGGCAATACGACGTATACGAGTTCTGGACCTCACGAGGGCTGTAAGAGTCTCCCTGAAGACTCTTATACTAAGACTGGATATATCGCGATATATCGCCGGGTATTTTCGATAAATATCGTATCGGTGCCCAGGTCTACTTATAACTTAGAGGAGGTGTTTATTAGAATAGGTAGAATAATTAGATTAAAAGTAGAGAAATTAATAAAATATAGTAAATAAGAAGCTAGTTAAGTACTTAATTATTCTACTATAGATATAACTAGTTTATATATATCTAGCTAACAAAGAGTCTACTATAGATATAGCTAGTTTATATATATCTAGCTAATAAAGAGTCTTTAATAAAGTAGACTTAATATAGTAGAACGGATTACGTAATTTTAATATCCCCTTAATTCGTACTACGAAAAGTAAGGCTATTCCTAGATTCTTAGTCCTGGTATATCCCTGAATTTATATAACCCTTCTTATAGGAGAGCTTTTATAAGACTATTAGTAGCTATATAGTTTATAGGAATATATTTATATATAATTATACTAAATTCTACTTATTCCTACTACTATTAATACTAGATTTTAATATATTTTATCTAAGGTATATAGTAAGGGTTTTTAGATAGCGTAATAGCCCCTTAGTTATTAGCGAATATAAGTAAGTTATAGGTTTATTATTTATTTAAATACTAAGCTGTTAGAGTAATTATCGAAGCTAAATAGCTTCTTTTCTAGCTAAAGTTCAACTAAATAACTTAGCTTTATAAGTTAATAGAGCTATAGTAGCTTATTATTTTAAGCTTTATAATATAACTCTACTTCCGAGATTAAATAAGTATTCTAACGTTAATCGGCTAGTATTTTTATTATTTACCTAGCTAGTATTAGTATATCCTTAGAGTTTTATATACTATCTTTTAAAAATAAATATAAGATTAAGTATACCTTTAAGGTATTAAAATAACTTTTAGAGTACTTATTTATATATTTTTATTAGTTAGTAGAAATAGTAGCTAAGTACTAAGACTAAATATACTATATCTTAACGTATTCTTAGTATTATAAATATAATACTACTAATCTTTTACTAGTATTTAGTAATTACTTTTAGTTTCGCGTTTAATCTAAGGGAAGCTAGCTTAAGGTAATAGTTTAGATCTATTAGTAGAATAAATAAATTATAATTACTTATAGTAAATTAATCTAATACTTATTTAATATATACTTTTTAGTCTTAAGTTATTCTAATTCTTAGGTAGTATAATATAAGTTTTATATCTATTATATTAAAGTATTATATAAGTAAAGCTTTAAGTATAGATATATATTTTTATCGGTATACAATTCTGGTGAATAGCACCTTGTACGAGAGCCTGGTGGATCTATATGCTTTAGGTCATGTGAGTGGCTTGCCACTCATATACTTAAGCTTGTAGGGTACCACTGTCACGAATCACGTAAGCATGTGACAAGTGAAGACCAGGCGGCGTCCTGACAGGTCGAGCACTATCATATCTCTTATAGCAAATAGGGATGCTTAGACTAGCTAAGCGATCCAGGGATTTCATTACATTGTAATCACGTGACCATTTGCATCGCCAGTATCGACAGGCGATGCTGGCGACATGTCGACAGCATCGACAGGCGATGTAGGCGACGGCGGAACATGAAGGTTCTATATAAGACTGGCACGTCTGCCATTAGATAGGAGCTTCGTGCTCAACTTAGTTATCAATCTTATCATATTAGTTTGACATCTTTGATACAAGTAACGAGTTCACTTCCAAGTGAACAACCCGATAGTCTTCTTCTTATCATAGCATACCAACCAGCGAACACCCAGCCAAGTTTAGTTAGCCAGTTTGAGTATTCGTTACAACCACCTCTCTTTACCTTTACTCTTCATACACGAATGAATACAAAGAGAGATTATGTTTGTGTATCACCCTTTACGACAAAACCACCTCTCTTTACCTTTACTCTTCATACACGAATGAATACAAAGAGAGATTATGTTTGTGTATCACCCTTTACGACAATGTAACGAATACTCAAACTGGCTAACTAAACTTGGCTGGGTGTTCGCTGGTTGGTATGCTATGATAAGAAGAAGACTATCGGGTTGTTCACTTGGAAGTGAACTCGTTACTTGTATCAAAGATGTCAAACTAATATGATAAGATTGATAACTAAGTTGAGCACGCAGCTCCTATCTAATGGCAGACGTGCCAGTCTTATATAGAACCTTCGTTCTCTTGTGCTAGCTTGCTAGACACGTCGCTCGGTCGCTGCTAGACTGGTAGACCAGTCGCCCCGTCTAGCGACATATATCACGTGATAACAATACAGAGAAATCCCTGGATCGCTTAGCTACTCCAAACGATCCCCATTTGCTATAAGAAACCTGGATGTGCCTGTTGAAAATTGCGCCTCTTATTATGACAAGTATCATGTGAGCACGTGATTCGTGACAAAGTAATACAGTTTTATAGAAATTTTATAATTTCTCATTATAACGAAATTTAAGTCTCGGGGTATTTTCTAATAGATTCAATATAGAGATCGCGATTAAAAGTAATATTAGTTGTATTTTATTTAGTAAATATATCTTATAGGGGTATTCTAAAAAGAGGCTATAAGTATGTTAGGGTATTACTAGGAGCGTACAAAAGACTGTTCCAGAATATGGTTGAGATTAATCGCGAGTGAGCTAAGAAGTCCTAGAGCTAGCTATTACTTATATACAACAAGAGGCCACGCTATTCCCCATTAGGCAGCTCCATACTATCTCCGATTAGGAAAATCCAATCCACTATTGCCTTTACTAAGCGAAGCACCAAAACACTATACCGAGCTACATTCACGCCCTCACAAAGTACTCTAAAGAGATCTTTAGGCCTAGAATCTATTATATTTTAGCGATTAATCCGCTATATATAGGGTATCTAAGAGCTCTCCTAAGCGATAAGTATATAGAGACCCGAGCTAGCCCTTTTACTTTACCCCTACTAATACCCTATTATAGGCCTATAGGCCCCCATAGAACCCCTAGTATTAATTAAACCTTGATTATAGGGGTATTCTAGCTAATTAAGGCCTTGGATTCAGGGCATAGGCCCTAAATAGTAGATACCTAACTTAACTTTTAACCGCGCTCTCCGTATAGTATAAAGTTTCCTCTCGCCACTCAAAAAAGGCGGAGAGAAAAAAAAAGAAAAACCAGAAACAATGATTTTGATCACTACGAGGGTCGAACTCGCGACCTTGGCGTTATCTAAGTTAGATATTAGCACCACGCTCTAACCAACTGAGCTAAGCGATCGTTGATTGGTTGATTTTGTTGATTTGAAATGTTGCTATTCTGATAATTATTGTGGTGAGTGAAATTGGGAACTCTCGGGCCGGAATCGGACCTTTGTATGATTGGCCGATTAAGGAGAGTGGTGGGGTTTATGCCAAGACTTCACTCAGCCTATACTGGCTCCAGGGATTGTCCTAAATGTGACCATTTTACTGTTCGTCTGATTAGGTATTACTTAAGATAATCTCTAATAATAAGTTATTTTACAGTTGTTTCTTTTTGGAGATCTGCAAGAAGTGTACGAAATTCTTTGTGGCTGACTTACTTCATGTTACAAATAATTGTTCAAGTGAACTAACTAAATATCCAAGCAAAATTGTCTTTGGGCATTCATATAGTCGTCGGTGTTGGTTGAGGCTTTTCGCTTAAGATTTCTCGAGACGACAGTGGAGGATTTCCAGTCTCAAGAACTAGGGAATCGATCAAGATAATCACCACTGATGGATAGCTTTCACTCTTCAGTCTCTCCTGCCCTTTCTTCCAATCCTCTCAACGCCAGTATCATCTTTTCAATTTTTTCAGCAGCGCCAGGTTCGACAGGAAGCGATGCATTCTTTACGCCAACTTTACGAGCTCTATTACCTGGGTCGACGGTTATAGAGACTCTGATTACTTCAAAGCAATATCCAAGTGACCTTCATTGCAACCACATTGACCCAGCTTAGAGTGGTACTTGGTATGAGCACTGTGAGAACTGCTATTGGCGACATTCTTTCGGAAGCTGTCTTGTCTTTTTCTTCGAATCCTGCAAAATCTGCAGCGGCAGCGGCAGCTACGGCTTCGCCCTCAGTTCATGAGTCAAATACAGGTTCTAATCCGTTTCCCCCTTGATCTAATACATCTTTTGAGAGACAAACATGATATTTTAGATTCAAACGACTCTGGTAGGGACTTAACGATAGCCCTTGGAGCACTTAGTCTTTTGTTTCGCAGCACAAATAGTGCAGTAAATAGCACACTTGCTAACCTGGAATCAACTGCGACTGGTAATCTAACTGGAGTTGGTGTTCTTGTAGCGCAGCTAGCACTAGTTGATTTGTGTGCGTGGCCACACTTGGGACGCTTACCAAATCGCTTTAAGAAGAAGCTGAGGAAGAGAGAGACTCGACATCAAAAGAGACCCCGACAAGCACCAACTAAGACTCCTGGTTTCTGCGGCCTATTGGAACCCTGCGATTTTGTCAGGGAACAACGTCGGCCGGAGGAGGCTTCGGGACATGTCATGCAACACACGAAAGATGTGGTTGTATTGTAAACGTAAAAATCCCTGGGTTCTGTAGAGCCTAACCCGAGCTAATTGCGACTTAATTTAGAACTTTTTTCTAGGATACCCGCTATAAGAATATCCATAGTTATATCCTTAATTGTATATGTTCCGATTTTTGTCCATAGTACTTGAGAACATCCTCATTATAAGGATTGTCCTTAGTTTTTTATAATTTCCCAACAACTTTGTTATACTAAAACTACCCTCGATGTTATCCTTTGGGCTATGTAAATCCAAGGTTTCTACCTATTAGATATTGATCCTAAGTAAAAGCCCGAGAATTTTCAGATATAACACTAGGACTTCGCACCAAAAGTCACAGAATTGTACCAGTCCGATACAGGTACTACTAGGCATTAGATTATATATCCCTAGTACTTAGATATGCGACCTTGTTGTCGTCCATGCCAAGAAACTCACGATAAGGATATCCTCGTTTACAACCTTAAGAATTAACCACCCGCGGTCCGACCGCATCCTAGTAACGAGTCTCTAGTGTATCCACTTGTCTAGGAGGAGGCTCTTTTGGCGTAAGAGCAGCATTTGGACATTGCTCTGTTGCGGATTGAAAGGACTGTTTGTGTGACTGTATACTTCAGGTACAGTACAACCCGCAGATCCCTCCACACAACCCCGACAGCCATGCGATAGAGACTGCTTGGCCATGCATGCCCACCGATAAAGTTAATGGGTGCCCTGACCAAATCTGTACTGGGGAGGATAGAATAGCGGATAGATTCTCACTGGGGGGTTACCTTCGTAATCACTTTGTCGATTGGTGTCGTCTTGCATCGTACAACAACTGCTACCTCGTCCTCGCCCAAAAGTCTCACACGAGGGGCTTCCCAAATCAGGACTGTTACCAGAAGAGCGCTGTGCAGGCTTGTATCACAAAAAGGCTTTAGAATGTAATTCTAGGGATAACTGCTTCGGACCTAGTGTTTTTGTCAGCGGGGGACCATTGGTGGGGTTGGGAATGATGTGTTTGTCGAACTTTTTTGATTAAGACGCACTGACTATTATCGATAGTATAGGTTCTCCAATCTTAATGGTGCCGGGGGCGATGTTTGAAAGTATGGGAATTCCGGGAAAGTGTTTGTGAAGTAAAGAGGGCGGACACATCGGACTATCCACCCCAAATACGAAACGAATATAGGTGGGTATAATCCACTGGTTTTTAATAGAATTATACAGCTTTTGTGATGTTGCTAGGCGATTTCGAGCGATTTATACAAAAGAAATTGGCCAAACTCAGTAAATATAACATGGTGTTTGTGTGAAAACCCTACCTATATTCGTTCCGCATTTGGAGTAGATAGTCCGATGTGTCCGCCCTCTTTACTTGACAAGCTCCGTACTCCGTATTCCGTATTAGTCGAGGCGCCCCGGTTTCCTTCTCAAAGAGGCTAGCAAATCAGAGGCTTAAATCTCGATCTAGAATTTTGTTACAAATGATTTTCACGACAATGTTTGACTTAAAATGTCCACCCTGTTTACAGTAATATCTCCAGCGAATGACTCCCTTCTGTTTTACGCTTGGCCGTGTGGGTTTCTTCCTCTTCTAAAAGACAAGGACTTTACAGTAGTCCTTGCTTCACGCATTACATGCTTTTCACCTGCTCCAGATATTCTGCTTCTAAGTTCTGAGTCTTCTCCAAGAATGTTTTTGTTGTAGCTCTCATAGTGGATTATTACCCACGATTCTGTTGCTAGGTGAAAGAAGAGAGACACAGTTTTGCTTTAAAGACCAATAATAACGAGACACCTCGCAACTCAAGCATTTTCAAGTAAGACTTGCGCTTATCCCGTGGATCAATCAACTAGTCTCCTACTTCTTATATGAAGACGAGCTATGAAAAATCATGTTACTTCACTGTGACTTCAAACTCCTAAATTTGTAGTTATCATGGCATGAGTCATTATACTTCGTCGCAGGCGAAAGAATTGTAACTTTCCTGGAATTGCCAAGACGAGCAACAGGAGGCTCTGTAAAAAGCCCTGAAGAGGTTGCAATATGTCGCCCGTGACAGTGCAAGATACCGGTAGTTCAACGCTCGCTTCTTCATTGCACGAAACTCCAGATGACAGGTGACAACCTTATTCCCGTTTAAAAAAAGCTTCTGGGACGGCAGGTATTAGCGCGCGTCACATTGTGATCCCGGCTCTGACACGGTGGGTTCTCCTTAAACTTTAAAGCGGGTCCCGCACCTGGCAGGTCCTCCACCCTCGGAACTTTTGATTGTGTTTAATTGATTGATGCTTAAACCCACCACTATTTGCCTTTCCGAGATAATATCGACCTGGGAAAGTACCGCTCAACCCGACGAGTACCCGGAACTCTCGCAAAGTTTGTGCAGATGCGTGTAAAAGATATCCAGAAGAGGAAAGGAGAAGGGTGAAGCGAAAAACGAACATCGGATGACATGTTTTACACCCCTGCCAAGTACTGGCATCAATACCGAGCTTCAGAAGCGAGTCCCCTGTATCCAGTTTTTCTCTCCTATTCTCGGATCTTGGCCTGTTTTCAGATGGGATGGTTTTCATGATCGTCCAGGGTTTCATGCAGTTGCTATAAGACCAGGCTGTATTTCCCTCTTCTCATGATCATCGATTTGTTCCACTATCTCATTCTTTGCATTCTTTCTGCCAGTCTTACATTCTTTTCTCCGCAATCCAAACTGCACAGCTGGTCTTGCCTTCTGCTTCTTCTTGTATAATTTATATTACTACCACTTTTTGAAAGTTCAAATTTCATCGCAGATATGCTTCCCCAATACCTCGTTGCCGCTCTTGTCGCTGGTCTTGCTGCCGCAGGTAAGACTTGATCTTCCCACAACACTACGAGAAAACAAGTACTAACTTCAGCGTTCAGGACCTATCTCTTTAGAGAGCCGACAAGCAAAACTTTGCACCCTCATCGGAACGCAAACACTCCCCAAAGAAGTCCAGGACGCCGCCGATAACCTCGCAAGCAAAGTCACCTGCGACCCAACCAAGAAGACCATCGAGGGCGTTCCAGATGCAATCTCAGGAACCGTCTCCTTTTCCTCCATCGACTTCTCCAAGTCGAAGGACTCGTCTTTGACATTCGCCCTCAAGACATTCGCAACCGCCGAGCCCCTCGCCTCCTCTGACGTCGCCCTCTTCACAGATCGCTTGAACGTTTACGTGGCAACCGAAGCAGGTGTCCGAAGCGTCGGAGGTTCCTTGCAAGTCAAGGCTCCCAAGTTCTTCCAGAGCTTCCAACTTGCCAGAATAAAGGCTGCCTCGGGGGTCAAGGAGACCGACCCTGGACAGACTGTTGAGCATCTCTTGGGCAAGGTTATCAAGAACGCACCCAAGGGAGAGAGCCCGGCTACCTTGGATGCCATCAAGGCTTTAGCCACCAAGTTGACTTAAGGGGTTTGATTGGAGAGAAAGGGCTATCTTAATATCTACTTCATTGTATATATGGATGACCAAATAATTTAACTTTTCAAAATCATTGTGTTCTACTTCTTCCCTTATGAAAACTAAAACTTGGCAGTTTTCAAACTGCGCACAAAAATGGCATTTTGAAAGACTCTGATTATAACCTCAAGAGATTTCCAAGATTAGGTACAGTACGATTCTCTGTCAGCTGACTTACGACTCTGGGGAAAACAAAGGAAGGTATCATACTTCAAGACTTGCAACAGCCAGAACTAAACCCCACTTTTATTACTGCCTAGGCTACTAGAGCCTCGCGTAAGCAATTGGTGCATCATGCTAATGGGTATTAGTGAGTTGGATCCACTTGTTTAGAAAGCTCATGATTGATATTGTGTTGCCTACACCTAATTCCTCCCTAAGCGCTGTGCATGCTATAGTCTTTTATGTTCATTATCTTCATTTGCTGGCAAGCGCCAAGCCCTTAAATATCTTTCTATGTCCCTCAAATCTTCATCTGCTATTTTCATTCCCCCATATTCGTCTATTCTCGCAAACCATATTCATGCCAGTGTGTAATCTAGAACCATGCTCATTGTTTCAGCCAACAGATACCTCGACCGCTTCCATCCTGCCATTCCCGCTTCCGCTGACCACTTTCTTCGGGTCTTCGTTTTGCACGTCTTCGTTTTTCTCTTTCTCTTTCTCGTTCTCGTTCTCGTTCTTGCTCTTGTCTGCCGGTGGCTCTGATTCGGGAATTCTGAGTCAGCTCGTGTACCACCCTGATATCGAAGCGAAGTCGGGAATAGGATGATAGCAATTATATCAGTAATCTGACTTACCTGCGTCTTTCACCTCTTTCTTCTGCCTCGGCTTTCGGGGATTCATAGAATTACTACATTTCAAATAGTATTCTTCCCACTCACTCAAAGACCATCCTTGAACTTTGTTGCGCAGACTTGAGCCTTCAGGAGCCTTGGAGAGAATATATACTTTCCATGCCTCTGATTTTACGGCAATCTTGCCACTACGAGTCTTAATCATTCTCAGCTCGCCAGAAACTTTTCCTTCGTCCTCGTACTTTTGACTCAAGCTCATTAGTGCAGGTCCTAGCTCCACCCAGGTCTGATTGTTTATTCTCTTCGTCTTCTGTTTGATTGGCCTGGCTTCATCTGCTTCGACTTTGATACGTTTGGTTCCCACCTCATCGGCAATATCAGGAGGTTGGAAGACATCAATCGCGTCCGTTGAAGCGGCTTGCGAGATCATGGATGCTTCGCGCTTCTCAGCGGTACTGAGGGGACCAGCTGGGGCCAACGAGGCGGGTAAGCCGAATTCCTGGTGCTCAATTCGCTCCAAAGGAGTGCCGCGAGAGACTCTGAAAGGCAAGTTAGCCTGTGCCATGATATGTGAAGGTACCACGGTACAAACATGGCTTTCAACTCTTGCAGCTCAGATGTCATGTGGGAGATCATGGTCTGTTGGTTCATGGCAATAATCTGTAATGCGTGGGCCATTGTTTCTTGACGCGACTGAAGAATGTCATACTATGGCAGATTTCTGGATCAGCGCTCCTGTCTTCCGCCAGACTCAAAAACAAGAGAAACTTGCAAAAGACGAACCTGGTGACCGTAGAGATTGTAGCGGAACTCTGCCCAATTGCCCGGATGGAAGAGTAAAGTTTGGAGGATTGGCTGAGGAGATGCAGGGCGTATCGGAGGTGGAGGTGGCTCTGCGTCGACCAAGACTGGGACAATTGCAGGTGCAGCACGGCTGCCAGATCCAAGTCTGTCTGCCATGATCAATGCCCTGGTCACCCGCGTCCAGTCAAGAAGTTCTAGATGCAGCGGGCTACTCCCAGGTCTCGTTGCAGGTGGTGCAGGTGTCGCGTTTAAGGTTACCAGGTAGACTGTGGAGAAGTTGCGGCCGGAGGTGCAAGTGTTGCGAGAAGAAGCTCTCGAGGCAGGCGCGTCTCTGCCGAATCAGTCGCGACTTGACTTCAGCCCTCTTAGAAGAATCAACTATATTACATATAAAATCGAAGCGCGACTAAGGATAGAAACTTTAACCTAGTTAAGCAAATTGCCTTTCAGAGAGAATCAAATTCGACTCAATCTAATGAAGATAGTGTCCTCTTAGAATGTTAGGGTCTACTCTAGATTTGAACTTCTGGGTCTCTGATCAATGCTCACTTGAAATTGAAACTCCACTGTTTCCTCCAAACAACGGTGACATCTGGGTCACGTTCTGCCATACTCCTAATTCCATCAAAGACATTGGGTGCACCATTGCTCTCTTAGATGTCTTCACTTTGGCGATGGTTGAACCCAATTAGCCTGGAGTGCAGTTTTGGATGGTATGGATCTGAGACTTTCTGGTACAATCTTGTGGGGAAATTCTATGTACAGGCCTTTTAATCCATATTTGAGATTTACTGAGACTACATAGTATATTATACCAACTGTGTTGATTCTGAGTGGCTTTATCTTTAATTTCATTGTATTCTCACGTTCGTCTGATTTAGCTCGCTTAACAAATTTCTGACTCATGAGACTAGTTATAAGTGAATAGATGTATTGGGGCTACTTTTAAACCCAGCAATTGGAAACCATAAAGGCTAAAAGCGTCATACATGGTAGATTGAAGAAGAAAATTATCCGACTGGTGTACCTAAGCTTCCAGAAACTTCCTATGGCAAATAAGAGGAAGGTTCTTTACACTTTATTCGCTTAAGTGGAATCTTATACACCTTGCCCAGCCTGGAATCTAAACTCCAGCTTTGGGGTGAACAATGGCTTTGATTTACACGCTCGAGATTCGTTCTCTCACAGTTGAAGGGAACTGTGACATGACCAGATTATCTTCAACGCTCGCATTGGCAGAGGTAAGGTGTATTGACAACTTAAATGGGAGTAACAGCCAATGGAGGGGTGTGGATATCAAATTTCAAAATAGTGTTGACTCAAAGCACTAACAACTATCAGATCGTATGATTCTTCGCCAGACTGGCTCCTGGAAGAAAAGCGGCAGCGAATGGCACTCTTGCTCTATTCTTCTAGGCCAACTTGGATGATTAAGCCAGTCTTTTGGGTCAATCACTACAATTGAAGTACTCGCAGATCAAACAATTATCACAATCACCAGTTGTTCAACAAAGATAGAACAAGACCTCCCTACTTACTGTCGCTTTTCTCGTCTATCTATCGGATATCGATGGAGGGACGAGTCATGAGGAAACCCTTGTAAATAAGTTTCCAATAGGCTGAGACCACCAGCAAATGACATTCATCAGCTGGTGGTGTATGGACCACCTTCGTTGGATGAAGGTGTAACAGAACAAAGAAAAAAAAAATACAGCACGGGAAATGACCTGTGAACCTCATCTCATCTTTATGGGTGGGAAGAAAAAATATTAGATTTTTTGATAGCCAGTCTCCAATGCATCTAATCACGCTAAGAGTGCGCACACACCCAGCCAGCCCACCAGCATAACCAGCGCCAACCCCAACCCCAGGCCCAGCCAGCAAAGTGGCGGTATAATTTTGAGGGGCAACAACGGCCAGAGCTGCGCTACTCAAAACAGTCCACTGGACTTCGCCAGCGCACCACCACAACTTTGCATGCAGAAAATATTGCCACCATGACTTCGAATTCCTCTGCAGATATTGCTACATTCCCAACTGGCAGCGCGCACAGCGACGAGGGCGCGAATCACGAAGCTGATGTCATCGAGTCCAATCACCATCTACCAGCGAGGACCATGGCCCACGGTGGAGATCGACGCAACCAGGAGGATGAGCCCGCGGAGGATGCGGCCACCACAGAGGCAAGCGAGGAGCTGAAGCATACCACAATTTCAGACAAAGTTCTGCCGGTATTTCAATCCAACCAGGAGCCAGAGGGCGTCAAGAGCGAGGCCGAAGATAAGGAAATGAAGGAGATAATCAAAGATATTACCCCAGAAGCTGATCTCACCGATGCACAAGACGAGAACATGCGAGAGCAAATCTACTCTCCCAAGAAAAAGAGAGGCCGTGATCAGGACGAAGACTCAAAAGACTTAGAGCGAAACGGCGAAGCCTCAGGGTCGGCAGATGGGAGCGGCAGCAATGGTAGCCGCTCAACAAGAGATGGCCCAGAGAAGAAGCGCCCTCGCGACACATCAGAGGAACACAGAAAGGCTGCTGGTGAGAAGGAAATTGACGTAAGAGCTTTTTCGGTCCGCGTTGCTCGATCTATTTTCCTAATTTTCTGTCTAGGCGATTTCCACTCTCAGTCCCAAAGATACCCCACCGACCACTTCTGCAGAAAGCGAGACGTCGAGACCAAACTTGGATACTTCAAAGAAAGCCGTCTTTGGTATCGGTGTGAATGATCAACGCCAAACATCACCCACTGCCTTTGCGAGCTCAGGCTTTGCCTCCCTCGCCGCTGCCAGCACATCTGGATTCGGAAGCATTGGTGCGTCAAAGCCAAGTATATTTGGTGCAAAGCCTGGTTTGAGTGGGTTTGGTGCCCTTGCTGCAAAGCCAGCGAGCGATGCAAACAAGCCAGCAACACTGGGTTTTGGAGGAGCTTCAAGTTCTGGCTTTGGCGGCCTAGGAACAACCAGCGCCTTTGGCTCGGCCTTAGGGAACGGATTCGCAGGTGGATCGGGTCCAAAACTTGGAAGTTTTGCTGCCCCAGGAAAGGAAAATGCTGCCCTTCCCGCGAAGCCTGCCAAAGCATTTGGTGCCCCTGAGGTAAGCGACGAGGACAGCAGTAACGAGGACGATAGCGATGGACCTGTGGGATCTGGCGAGGAAGAAAGTGGACGTACAGGTTCACAGGAGGAGAAAAAGAAGTCGAAGCCAGTAAAAGGTACGTTTTTCCACGGTATCGAGGCCTTTCTTGTTTGCTAACATATTTCATAGTCATCGTTGAAGACGGAGAATCTGGCGAGGCTACTCTGCTGCAATTGCGAGCCAAACTATTCGCCATTGAATCGAAAGACGCCGGATGGAAGGAGCGTGGAGTTGGAACGTTGAAGATCAATGTTCCAAAATCCTGCGTGACGCTTGATGATAATGGCGTTCCTATATCCGGATCTTTTGATCTCTCTGGCAGTGATGACGACGAGGAAGGTTCCGAAGCCCCCAAGATTGCGCGACTCATTATGCGACAGGAAAACACCCATCGTGTTATTCTCAATACGGTAATTATCAAGGCCATGGAATTCAAGGACAAGGCCTCAGCAAGCACTGCACAAATCATGTTCACCGCTTTTGAGGGTAAGCCTGAACCTAAGCCTATAAGCATGCTCCTTAAGGTATGATTCCACCACTTGCACGTTTTCGACACCAACTAACTTTGTTTTTACCAGATGTCCGAAGCCAATTCAAGATTATTCCACTCCGAGATCTCTTCAATTCAACATGAACTATAAAGAGCTATGTGACTACATGGCCAATTGGAGATTACCCTCTCTCCCCACCAACCACCCTTAAGCAAACTCGAATCCATGGATTTGTCTTTAGAACTTACCTACACAACCAGTCTGTCTCCCCTCTACGATGGGGCTAGATGACCTACTTCTCTTTTTGTTTTCACGTTGGGTCAGCAAGGGGTTTGCGTGATACTTTTGTGTGTTTTTTCCTTTCTGGAAGGACGGAGTTTGGCATACCAGCATAGCGGCGGCGGGACTTCTTTTTTAATTTTTGCGGGGTGCTTGATCGGGCAAAGAAAAGTACCGAACACAAGAGCAATTCGGCGTATCGATTCTGGTCTTGAATGAATGGGATCAGAAGGGAAGTGGGGTACATGTAGAATGTGGGGACTGGATGTAGGAGTCTGATTCAGTGGATAATTCCAGGAGTGCGTATGCCTGCAAAGATAAGGAGATTTGCATACATAGATAGGGTACATGAATATGATGACCTACTTTTTTCTTTGACCTTTTAGTAGCGTGTGGGATGGCACTGGCGTAATCGTTGATGATAGATACATATGACTAGTTAGTGTATTTCGTTTACTTGGCTATCCAAGAGGAAATAAGTTGGGTGCATACGTAAGCTGTCAATTAGCATCTTCTAATAACAAAAGTGAACTCCATGAAAATACAATGTAAGAAGCAAGAAAAGAAAATAGTTCATAACCAGCATTCATATATCATCTCAACAAAGTGGTACAACTTAATTTCAAACCCAACCCGCAAAAAAAAAGAGAGAACCCCTTAGGGAAACCATAGAGACCCAAACCTCCCAAACGCTTATAGTACATCTTGATCTCCATCTAATCAACCTTTCCACCCCCATTCGCACCACCTAATAGTCCCTCCTTCTCATCAAGCCTGAAGAAACCGCCACGCGATCTTCGCATTCGCCCGCGTCCCCAGACCATCATACCTAATGCCATACCGGCAAGTACTCCTAGTGAAAGGAAAGGATGTCCGGAGATGGCACCCCGGATATCGAAGAAAAATTTCTCGAGGCTAGATACGGTGGTCTTGGGCTTGATCTTGGGTGGGTTCTGGTTTACTTTGCCAATGGTCTCGAGAATTGAGGTCCTTGATGCCATAATGAAGTTACCGCTGATAGTTGTATCCCAGTATCGGCGTTGCTGGAAGTTATTAGTATATACTTGGAGCCAGCAAAGGGGGAGAAACTTACATCTTCGTCATTGATGATGACTTTCTCGCCGTCTTTTGAGACTTCGATTCCGTATGTCGATCGCACCCATCTCTCCCAGAATACACCGTCAACCCATGCGAATCCGACTTCCTTCAATTCCGACTTATCCATGTTAATTCTGATGCTCTTTGCAGCTCTCAGGGCACGCTGATCATTACGGTCTTCTGCTTCTTCAATTCTCAATTGTTTGGCATCTCTCAATTCTTGTCGTTCACGTTGGAAAGCTGCAGTTGTCTTGTCCATCCATTCCAAAGCGGCGCTCTTGATCTCCTTTTTAGCCATAGCAAACTCTTCCGGTCTCTCTCGAGTCAAAATACCCAAAACTACCAACTTTCCATCCATAATTTCTCTGGAGTTGGAAGAGGTGAGTTCCGGAACGATTGGCAACCATACGGATTGCATCCAATGAAGGACTTGTCGGAAATCGCGCATATCTTGTGGTGCCAAAGCTGTATAATATGTTGGACGCCCGTCTCTAGAAACCAACAATCTAGGCCAGGTAGTGATCTTAAACCTTTCAGAAAGCTTAGCGCTATTCGTCTTGACAAGTTTTGCATGTCCAATCAAGCTCAAAGTTAAGCGCTCGAGAGCCGCAAAATCTTCGCTTGTGGTTGCGTGGTCGTAGAAATAGACGAATATAACCTCTTCCTTTTCTTCCAATTCAGCGAACTCGGCAGCATCAACATCCTTCACTCCGCCACCAATATCAATGGCTTTGTTGGCATACGTCACAAAATCCCCGAGACCTCTTAGGCCATCGTATTCTACACGTTCACCTCCTCGGAAGAATAGGATGGTAGGGTATCCTCGTAGGTGTGCATCTTTGCATAATCTCGACTCAACATCACAATTCACTTCCCCAATATTTAGCTTGCCCTTCATTTCCTTTGCGAGCTGGACCCAATTTGGGGCCATAGCTTGACAATGGCCACACCAAGGAGCATAGAATTTGATGAACCATGGCTCCTGGGTCATTGTGACAGAATTCTGGAAACTTTCTGCGGTGAAAGCGATCGATTTCCCCAAGGGGTTTGGATTTGAATGTGGCTTGCTTGGCGTTTTGGGCTTTTCGCTCTTGACAGGTGTAGCTTTCAATACCGCACCTTTCGTCTTCGTCTCAGGAACCTCTGAACTAACAGATGGAACAAGGCTGTCTTCTTTAGGGGCTGGTTCTGCAGTTCCCGTAGGCGCCAGCACTGGAGCTGGAGCCTGAGCATCTTTACTACTATTTTCGCCAGGTGCTGGTAACTCAGGCCCCCCAACAGGTCTTGAACCAGGTCTAATGGTCTCTAGAGCTTCTTCAATGAAACTACTGATATTCTTCATCTTCTTCGATCCCGTGAATCTCTTGAGCTCTTCTCCATCTTTGTATAGAATAAACGTCGGGAAGGCTGCGATACCGTGCTCGGTACAAGTTGAACCATAGGCAATACAGTCCAAAGAACCAAATTTGAATTTATAATAAGCCGTAAAAGTGTTCATGGAAGTCGTAGCAGTGTCTGCGGGACCAGAAGGAACAACTTTCGAAGTGTAATAATATTCGTATAAGGTTTGCCAGGTCGGCGCAATCTCGATACAGTGAGGACAATATGGTCTGTGGGTGGTAAGTTAGAAGACTATGAACCACAGGATCGAGGGCTGGACTAGCAAGGGGATAGACTGACGAGTAATGCTTGACAAACCAATATCCTTCCTGTACCGTCGCATTGAACGATTCCCCCTCTATTTCGGTGAGAGGAGGGACTGAAATTCCATTAAATATCGTAGGCTCCGGAGTTTCTACAGCGTCTTCCGAAGCATCAGACCCTTCGCCTTCGGTCGATTGTGCTCCAACAAACGACACGCAGATTGCAAATAGAAGAGGAACGGAACGGAGACGCATTTTGGCGGATTATCCTTCTCCTGAGGCGGATCTGGATGGGAATGGTGCAGGTGTCCAAGGTCGGTCGGCGCAATCGCCTTCGTTGCTGGGGATATAGCCCGCAATCGCGCAGCACTGCCTAACTCTGAAAGTGGAATCAACGCAGACTCAGACGCCTCCTATCCGGTAGTAACGAACGACGAAAATTGGTGATACAGTGGTGGGTTCGGTGGTTTGCAGACTGTCTTGATGTGCCCGTGGTCCAAGAAGCTGGTCCGATATGGTGCTAACCCTTTTACGGTCACCCTCGCCCCCTGCATCTTAGGTAAGTACGTTTAGGAGTACTCTATTTGTGACAAGAGACGCAACACTTGAGCTCGTTCGTCTTCGTGTCTTCTGGCTTTTCTTCCAAAAAAAGACGTTTCTCCTAAATACAAAGGGAAAGAACTCAGATCGTACTATTTCTTTTTTCATAGGATTGTTGCACTTATGAAGTAAGTAAATTTACGCGGGAGATTGGAAATCTGATATTCAGAACACGAGTACCCCGGCTGGACTTGCCCCCGGATGCCGATGCCGATGCCGATGCCGATGCCGAGGCTCGAGGCAAGTACTAGATGTGGTTCACGACCAGTGAATTCACTATCAATCCTGCAACACAACACTCTCTTCCTCCATCTGAAAAGGAGCATCGGAGCATCGCGTTTGTGTCGCGAAATCATCAACTTTCACTCTCTTTCTCGGGCAATCGTTGGTGATATTTACTCGCAGACTTCAACAGACGACGGGCTATTTTTAGCACAATGGACGGCGACCACCAACCTGAATTGCCTCGAAAAAGACGGAAACTTGGTGATGAAGATGAGTCTGGTCGAGAAAGGGCACACCACAAGACCTTAGATAGGTCGGTTTCCCCACCTCCAACTCGACGCATCCGAACTACGCCTCCAAAATTGGTTCCCTCGCCTTTCCAGCTCACGTGGATCCGAGATCTCCCAGAATCCTGCAATGTCGATGCGGTTTCCTTGAAAGATATACTTGGTGATCCTCTGATCGCTGAGTGTTGGGAATTCAATTATCTTCATGATCTTGATTTTCTCATGGAAGCATTTGATACCGATGTAAAGGATTTGGTCAAAGTTCATGTTGTTCATGGGTTCTGGAAGAACGAGGATACTTCACGCCAGAATCTGAAGGTAGGTACTCCGAGTCCATAATCCTCAGATTTTATTGACGTGTTTCACAGCTTCAAGCGGCAAAGTACCCCAATATTACTCCCCATACGGCCTACATGCCAGAGATGTTCGGAACTCACCATTCAAAGGTAGGTCATAATTAGTCTCAATGCCACTGAGCTTGTAGGCCAAGTTTCCCCTTATAGGAGCGTGTTTTTCTGGACAAATTTTCTTATTCGATTGATAAGTGCTATTTCTTTAGACAAGAAAAGCCTAAATCAGTTGCTTAGCTCCCCGGATTTTCTCCACTGTCCGTGGAATGATTGAACGCTCCCCTTCCAGAAGACCCTTTTATCACCACTATCATTTCTTTAAATTTCTCTGTCTCACAATGCCTAAAACACTTACTTTTGCTTTGTCTCTGTCTCTAGGATTACTAAAACTTGAAGCGTGTTGTCCTGGGCTTAACTGATTTTTGTTCTTCAAGATGATTATTGTACTGCGCCATGACGATACCGCCCAAGTCATCATCCACACTGCAAACATGATCAGTTTTGACTGGACTAACATGACTCAAGCTGCCTGGAGATCACCTCTATTGCCAAAGTTATCTAGTAACACCCCGGTTGAAAGAGAATCAAAGGAAGTTGGCAGTGGGGCAAAATTCAAAGTCGACCTCCTGAATTATCTCAAAGCTTACGACACTAAGCGAACAATATGTAAGCCTCTTATTGAAGAGCTATCCAAGTACGATTTCTCGGCCATTCGAGCTGCTCTAGTGGCCAGTGTCCCTTGCAGACAAGATATGCAGACGGACTCGAAGACTTCTTGGGGGTGGGTAGGATTAAAGAAAGTCTTGGATGTGGTACCGGTCAAAGGCGACGAACCTGAGATTGTGGTCCAAATATCTTCGATAGCTACTCTAGGTCCGAATGACAAGTGGCTTGATAAAACATTCTTCAAATCACTGCAGTCTTCGAAGAACCAACCACGCCCAAGATCTACATTCAGAATTGTATTTCCAACAGCAGAGGAGATACGGAAAAGCTTGAACGGATATAGTTCTGGAAGTGCGATCCATACCAAAATCCAGTCAGCCAACCAGGTGAAGCAATTACAGTACTTGAAGCCACTTTTCACACACTGGGCTGGGGACACATCTGAAGATAGCCAAGGTAAATGATCTCTAATATTAGCATATCTGTATTCTGAGCTAAAAGTCCAAAGCTTTCTCTGTCTCGACTTCAGATTCTGGACGCAAAAGAGCAGCACCTCACATCAAAACCTACGTACGATTTACAGATAAACGTAGGTCATCAATTGACTGGATGCTTCTAACCTCAGCAAACCTTTCAAAACAAGCATGGGGAGAAGCAACCAATTCCGCTGGGGAGGTCCGCATATGTAGCTACGAGATCGGAGTGATGGTCTGGCCTGAGCTATATGGAGAGGATGCTACAATGATACCCACTTTCAAGAAGGATTCACCACCGGCGGATTTGAAAACGGAGAAGGTCTTGGTTGGAGCTAGGATGCCCTATGATTTTCCGCTGGTTCCGTATGGGAAAAATGAGATTCCCTGGTGTGCAACTGCCTCGTATACAGAGCCAGATGTAAGTTATTAATTGCCTCTCCTTTAAATTTGGGACCAATGAAGCTAAAATAATGTCGCAGTGGAAGGGGGATACTTGGAATGTTGGTTAGATAGATTGAAGGTACTGTACAAGAAATAGTCGTATTAGCTTCGCGTTAGTTACCAGGGCCCCAAATAGCTACATGCCAAGGCCTCAAGTCAATTATCAAGCAATCACATAGCAAGGAACATAAAAAATCAACTACCTAGTATCACAACTTGCAAAATGAATCATGCCATTATGAATGTAGAAGGTAGATGTATTATCATGTACCACCCAAACCTAATCCTCACGAAAAGAGATCACCCAATCATGCGTCTACCATCGCTCAACATGTGCGTGTGCGTATATTACGTGATGCGATGAATCGTCCATGTACAAAGATGGTTGAGTTTCTCATGCACCGGCGCCGACTTCCTCAGGAGCCTTGTTGGCATCATAGCCATATGTGACCTTCATCTTCTCGACCAAGTCGACGTATCGCTGCTTGGCAGTTTCGGCATCGATTCCCTCGTCCACGACTGTTTGCCACGCCTTCTTCTTAGATTTTCCCTGGATTGGAATTGAATGTCAGCTGCCCATCCTGAGACGCGACGGGAGGGAGGGAAGAAGGGAAATAGTAGTGCAAACGAACCTTGATGTCGAACATTCCGGGTGTCTCGGCTTTGGTGATGTCTTCTCCGTGGGCTACTTTGTATAATCCTGTTCGGTACCCCTCATTAGCTCATGTCCACTGAAATTGGGGAGAGAGGGGTGCGGTGTATATGCTGTATGGAATGCTGTGCAAGAGAAGCAGAGGAGAGGAGAAGGATATACCGTAGAGAGAGAGGAGATCATCGCTGTTGGGCTTGGAGGTAAGCTTCTTGGAGTCTGTGACTGCGGTCTCGAAGGCGGACATGGTTACGGTTGGATGAGGGGTTGTCTGTGTGAAATGAGTGGTTGGTTTCTGGGAGGTGGAAGACAATATTAGCTTTTTGGTCGTGGATTCTAGATCTGGTGTGAGGGGTACAGAATGGGGAATGTGTATTTGTACCTGTTTGGTGTGCTTGAGGTTGTGAATGTGGCGGTGGTGTTGTTGAGGCGGGGAAGGTTTGGGAGAGGGGCAGCTGGGCAGAACCTTGGGAAAGAAGCTGTGACTATCGTCATCGCATGACGGGATCAGAGCTCAGCTGGAGAGACATTCATCACATGAAACTTCCTCGCGTAGGTAAAAAGATTTACCAGCAGTGCATTTTTGGGGAATCTGGTTTCAATCAAGAGGCCATGGCTTGCATTTGCCTCTCTCAACTCGTACAATTTTTACCAAAACCCAAGAGATACCAGTATTGAGGTGATGTGATGATCCTGGGCCCGCAATGGCAATGTTTACCTGCATGAGCATGAAAATGCAGTGCCTGGTCTTACAAGCTTGCACAGAAAATCGAATCGCGCAATCATTCATCCCTATTCGTTACTTTTTCTGTTATACAAGTACCTACCGTAGGTACCAGTACCTAGATGCTCTTGCGGCATTCCAGATTTACCGGTACAATCACCTGCATGCTGGGGTCGCTACCTATGCTACATGTATGGTGGGCTGACTTTGAATTTTCCTACCTATTTATGAAGGAATCGCAAATTGTCATAAAAATATAGAACAACTGGCTATTTAGTATTACTGTATACAGCCACTTCTCTTGCCCGTCCGGGCTTCTGGTGGCTCTCTCGGCTCATCAGATACTGCCTATCAAACGAATTGTTTTTGAGCTGTAAGTTTGTAAGACTTACTTTCCGGTACGAGTACCGAGATGGCAAAGATATATAAGGTTACTTTTCTGTACAGCCTCATTCCTTTTTCAGCTTCCAGTATTATCCTCTTGAGCTTGTCAAACTCGCCCTTCCTTTTCAAACTGTCAACTCCCCACTTCGCAATACCAGAGCTTCCAATAGAACAATACTACTGCTAATCAATAACGAGGGCTCAGCTTAGAAATCCCATCATTACCTTAACATGAAGATATATATCAAAGCGCATAAGTGCACCTCATCGGAAACCCTCAACAGCACAATCTTCAATTGTTGCCTTTTCTAGAACACAAATCTGACATGTCCTTATTTTAACACAAAGCTCAGTCAATGCCAGAACTATTGAAATCAATTGCGAGGACGATGACACAGTTCGCAGCATCATGCAGAAGGTAGAGGACCGTGAAGGCATAAAAGTCGACGAAATGATATACTCTGGGAAGAAATTAACGGGGGAAAGGCAATTGAGAGACTATTCCATCAAGGACGGAGCAACAATACACTTGCCGTCAAACCAGCCACAACTTCGATCAAACAACAACGAGAAGCCAATCTTTGCTCCTAGTACCCCTCCTGCAAGCCATGCACCCACATCTTCATCAGCAGGCGTGCGGGGACACTGAAAGAGATGTAATGAGGAAAGATCACTGCACCTGAAAACCCGGGATTCAAAACGTCCGGAAACAACGAGGGCCCATTGCAGGAGCAATTCGTCGATCAATCATTTGACGAGGACGATTACTTGATTGACCCGGAAAACCACTACGATAAGCTGAACAGCCTGGAAAAGATGGTAATAGAGCGGTCAGAGCACTACCACTCAGATGGAAATTACCAGCCAACGATAAGACATATTGATAGAGATGTTTTGCTAGCAGACCTTCGTTGCGATCAACTGTTTTCAAGGCGCCTACTGCAAATTGCACCTCTTTCAAACACTTTCTCACCCCCCTCAGAAGGAGCAGAGCAAAGCATAAGATCTGCTATATTGAGTCTTGGGAACAGCTATCTTATTCTGTCCCAAATCCTCAGGACAATGAACAGCTTGATGGCAACAGGATTTTGTGGTGATTCCATCACAGTGTTGATACAACGAGGTGCTAAAGGTGACGCCCTTGCAGAAATGGTGCAGATCGAAAGGGACGCAATCTTGAACTTCCACGTGGGCATTGCAGAGACAATCAAGGGAATCTTGGGACGTCTAAAGATATTATCAAAAGGCCGTAGGACAGCCGTCATCATGGGAGTTCTCTTCCCAGCATGTGATAGAATCATGGAGATTCTTGGAATCACATTTGGGGATCAGCTTTTCCCGCACCATGTTCTACTTCTCTGTCGTATACTTACATTGGTTCTCGACCTTGGGCTGGTTTCCTACGTGGGGTCCCATGGTTCTCGTTTTGACCTCGAATATTTTGAAGTTGATAAACCAGAAATTGTTGTGGCATCTGACATGCATAGCAAGATTGGATTTGTATTTTCCCTTCGAAAGCTAGCTTGTCTCAACCAATTCTTGAATCATCAGCAAGTCTGGACATTTCAACCATTTTCAAGAGATTCCCTAAAACTCGGGCCTCCAATCTCAATCTTGACGTCAATTGAAGCTTTTGCAAACACCTGGGGACCACTTTGGGAAGTACCTGCGGGGGAAGATTTCCCTAATCATATAAGGCGACTAAATGTCGCCACAGGCTATATTAGCCGTGCTGAGCCGGGTACTGAGTGTCAAATCGAGGATGCGGTGGCCTGCCATTGGTTTGAGTCCTCAGATGTGGCTCCTCGGCCATATGAACAGGCGCATGAAAGCACACCCATTGAAAGAAACCAGAGAATGGTCATTGGTGCCTCAAATTACTCGGCTCTAACAACAAACAAGACCTGCACATATAAGCTTGACGACCTAGAAAGAGAATATGGACTCCACATGTCACCTCTAGATACTTCAGCCTCCAGTTGGACCTACGATGAGCGACAAGTAGGTTTCTCGGCATCTCAATACATTGGAATCACCGTGCTAGGAACCCAGAAAAAACTACCTTGTGTTACGCAGAACCAAGCTATCTGGAATAAATGGACAAATCAGCCTACACGAGCAAATCCACGCATCCTCAATTCCTATCTTGGTGTTGAAATTAGCCGTTGTACTGGAAATGCCAGGCGAGTCAAACTACGTGACCTGTTCACCATTGAATCCATTCAGGCACTAATAAACAGGCAATTCCCAGATTGGGCGTCATCCACTGGATTTGGACGAAGTCTTGAATCGGCGTTGCTGAGCGATAACGGCTTGGCAATTGAGGAGATTTGGGTAAAATACTTCAAGTCACGGCAGCAAATGGCAGAAATCGTTTGTTGTGTATTAGAGATGCTCGAGAAATCAGGGACCTCAGCAGGAAATTTTACTTCCGCATTCTTGAACCAGAATCGAGAATTGTCGATGCCTATCGAACCTCGCTTAAATAACTGGACCGAATTTCTGGAAGACTCTCATCTAACAGCCGTTTATGCCATCGTCAGTGAGAATTGTCTTGAAAGTGTAGAATCAGGTTACTCTGTTGCTACTTGCAATGATATGTCAAATCCCTCGGAATTTACCGTATTGCAAACACAAATCGCAGTTCCCGACGCAGTGAACTCTAAAAACAAAATCTGGCTTAATCAGGGAGGTTGTATACAACGAGAAACCAAGTTGAGTAGCGGTACCCAACTTCTCACCTGGGAGCAGAGTAGAGCTCGCGAGCTTGGTGGCAAGATTGGCAAGTTCCTGCGGAGTAAACATGCTATTCCACTGAGTCGTGAAGTCCAAGACGACAACGAGCTGGGTGGTCAACACTTCCGGGTTTTCGTCAGATCAACTGTTCCTAGTCATGGAGGGCTCCGAACTAGACAAATTCCAAAAGTTCATAAACCTTTGCAGCAGAAAGTTGAGTCGTTGGATGGCTCGGTTCCGGTAACAATGAGAATCGGGGTGCCTCTGCCGCTTCAGCATGTTTCTCTATAGCAACAACAGCAGGCTGGACTATCTATACAATAATTTTAGGGGAAAGTGACTATTATATCATTCATTTGAAGATAGTATTGGGTTGGATTCACCTCCGACCTCACCAATATGAGCCGGAAGAGGCGATATCACCTACCATGCCGCAGCCAGCGACCACATATTACGAGAATTCGTGTTGAATCCAGAGTACTACACGTGGTTGGCTGACCATTGCTTGCCTTTCTGTTGGTGATTCGTTAATGGCTTTCGAGTATTTGCCCTGAAGATGAAAAACTGCTTCGCAGGAGACCCGAGGCTATTTAACGGCTGACCAGCGTTTACTATCTTCAGCAACTTGACATCAAAACTCGGCCAAAGTATCGCATACAGTGCGGTCTGAGGTATCGACGTCGGCGCGTCGCACATTCGCGAATGCCCTCGCCAAAGTGGGTCCACCTCTACCTCTACCTACCTCTACCCACAACCCCACCCCCGCCTCTGTAATTCAAGACCACAAGACGGTCTGTTCTCAACCAGTGGGCTCCGGCGTGGGCGCCACCAGTTCGGCCACCTGGTAAAGTGGAACGCTCCCTTCCCTAGTGGAAGGAAAAGCACGACTGGAATTGGTATCGACAAGGGTAGAGAGACTTAGGGCGGGCGGGCCTGAATTCTTTTGCCAGTCAACCTTTATATTTTTTTGCATTTTTTTTTTATACCTTTTGCGTGGTTTTGTATTGTTTTCGTGTTGTTTTTTTGTTTTGGTTGTCGTTAAGCGAGTTTTCTTTTCCAGAGTCCTTGGAGATTGGTCTATGCGCTTTGTTAGGTGGTCAAGGGCCGCATAGATGGAATTGTTTTGATTGTCTCAAATAATCAAGATAATTAACGAGAAATCACTCTACAATTGATTTAGTTGTCATGAGAGATTTAGGTCAATTACCTACCCACCGTCGACCCACCCGACCCACCAAGGAGGAACAGTAGGTAAGGAAATGGCTTACTGCTCTCTTTCTTTCACTACGAGTCTGCGTACACTTGACACGATACTCGGAATAAATTCACACAATCAATCTAGTTATGCCAGATGCTTCGAGTAATTGGCAGCTATAAGTTACTCATTCCGGCACTTCTAGCACAAGATCTGCTTCAGAGGGACACGGAGCATTACCCAACCCTCTTACGAGACTTCTCCTGTAGAACTAATACAAAGAAGAGGTGGTATCTACTATCCATGATCTATACCAAGTACTAAAGGTTGTTTTCAAGGTGGATTTTGCTGGATGAATTGGTTATTAGAACCCATTCCGCGTGATATATTTTCGGGCCCCTCGAAATGAAGCGGTCTGCCACATCCTGTTCCCACCACCTGCAGGCGACGCAACAGCTACCTATAGGTACCTAGGTAGCTATAGGTAGCGTGTGCCGGTATAGGTGAGTAGGTACGAGGGTTGGTGTGCATATAGTGTGAGGGAAGGCGCGAGTCTACAGGAGTGGTCGAGGTCGAAGTCTTGATCGTTTCAATGGAAGTTTTAAACTCAAATCCGCTCCTTACCCGTAACCAAGTGATCTCCCTCAATTGACTAGGTAGTAGGTACTGTACCTTACTTCAAATCCAGCTCCACGGCTTCTTCACCGCCCTGAAGTTTATCACACTACCGTCCCCTCAGGCAAGAAATCAACCTCTCCACCAAGACTCCCAAACAAATCCCCCACATACCCATTCGCCTTGATACCGCCCTCGAATCTCTCCCAGTCCCCCAGAATCCCCTGGATAACCTCAAGCCCAGCCAGATACAGATTCCTCAGTGCCGGTTCAAGTCCACCTTCATCGATGGCATATGGCAGGGATGCTACATCCTTCTCCCGCCATCCACGATCAAAATTCGAGCCGGAACGCATGAGGATGATGCGCTCAAAGTCAGTCTTCTTCTGAATTGCGGAGCGAAGGAGGGCGGTTAGGATGGCAGTATCTTCCTGTGCAGTCATCGTGTAGACCGCCTTGCCATCCGTATACGTCTCAAAAACACTCTCCATACCCTCACAAAGCAATTTCCCATGCCAGAACGTATTAGAAGACGCAACATCTCCCCTGAGGACACTCGGCTCCAAAGCCGCCCTCCCATACACCCCATTTGCCGAGCCCCCATATAACTTCCTGTGCTCCCTCGCTCTCTCACAATCCTCCAACAGCGCACCTATCGCAAACTCCAAACACACATCCCTCAAATCCCCATTCAAAGAATACACTTCCGAGCCATGCAAATACCTAGGGAACGACGAATGGCTTTCCGCCCCCATGGGTACGTACCCCGTCCTCCAGTGCGCAGGAATCTCGCGGCCATCGAATTCCAGCTGGGTGTCTACTTGGACTGCGTATTTCGCTAGCGCTACGCTTCCTATGGTTCCGAGTTTGGGGTTGACACCTGCGATCCCGGAGAGGAGGAAGTAGGTTTTGGTGAAGTCGAAGGAGGCGGTTGTGGTGAGAGTGGAGACTGAAAGAGCGGCGTTGATTACTATGATTCGGTACGTATTAGTTGTTGTTTATTCTGTCTACTTAGGTATAGGTAATGATGGGACGAGGTAGTACAAGCAGTTCCCGTGACCATCAAACACACTTCCTTATTTTCTGTAAAGTAAATCGTCTCGTATCCTCGCGAGAGCCCTGGAAGCGTGATTCTATGTATGAGCTTCAGAGGACTAGTTTCAGACAGCCAGTTTGTGACTTCTTTCTTGAACTGTTTAGAGAGTTGCAATCAGCCATTCATTTTCTAGATTGCAGGAAGCCATGAGACGTACCATGACCAGAATACATATTTTTGGTGCATACATTTCAGAAGGACCTCGCTTGCAAAGTTTTCTGGGTTCTGGAGAGAGGATAGGGAAGATACAGGATTTTCGTGGTGGCTGGTTTAGGATAGTGTTCTAGTTTGATGATGTCGTTGGGTTTCGCTGTAGGAGGAGCCAAGAACTCACCTGCCTACCTAGGTGGGGGCAGAGAGGAGAGGGCTCGGTTAGAAGCCCGTGAGATCACATCTGAACGTACATTAAGAACTAGCGTGTTTTATTAACCATTGTTAACACTGTACATATACAACGGTAATCACTTATTAACAATATTATTTAACTAATTTCCGACAACGTGATTCCATAAATATACTTTAGATACTCATATAACAAAATACTTCTATCATTATGTCAGAACTTAAACTTAAACATCTAATTATATAAACGACAGCTTAACACAAAAACTTGTTTATCCCTACCTACATCCTCTTATCCTACTTCGAACCAGGTACTGAGGGGTAGTTAACTATAATCTTTATTTCCCACCACAAAGTTAATTACCTATTCATTCCCAACAGATCAACGAACATCACTAAAAACACAAGTGTAAAGAGCATTGTTCTTTCTACAAATCTTTTCCGCATGAAGTGACTTAAGCGAAGACATGAACAATACCCTCCCGTCCTTCTCGACCATAAATACCTATAGAGTAGCACTAGCATGAGTAGGCAGTAAACAAGTATCACAAGATAACCTCCTCGATTAAAAATAAGCTCATGGAAAGAATTCTTTCTAATTTTCGTTTCTTCTATCTCTAACACACACTCCTCATGCGCTAGCCCTCACCCCATTTTGACCTCTAGTCGTTACCTCACATGAAGATAAGCAGACCCGCTCCCCAGGAAATATACAAATAACCATACAAAGCACCCAAGTTAACGCCCACTCGCCTTCGCAACATGCCGACGTATAGGGAAAGAGACACAAGTGTATAGACTGAAATGCAAAGGTTGTAGTCAACAAAGAAAGATGTTGAGAACCAATACGCAGACCATAGGAACAAATGGCGACGAATATGGAAGCCAATAAAAATAAGCAAAAATACAAGCAGAAGCAAGAAACCCGCCCAAGATGCTAAAAAGGAACAAAAAGCAACTTTAATTACAAGTGATATGTATGAGTAGTATGTAAAGAGTCCCAAGTCTCTCTGATGAATTTTTCTCCCTCCCAATTCCCAGAAATATAGAATGAATGACTGGTCAAAAGGGAGAAGCATGAACCGTCCTTAGCCATGTGTAGAGGGAAAATATAGAATTTTGTGCTGTAGGGTATCCTTGTTTCATTTTCTCTCCGGGCTCAACTCCTTCTATTCCGTTAACTCCGCCAATGTGATGTAAAGAAGTAAAAGTTGGAATCATTGATGGATGTAATGATGCTCTCCAGTTTCCAGAACGGTAACTTCGTCTCCCACTCTCAGAGCGCTTTCTTTGGAGATGGGTACCATCTGAACTCCCAAGCATCCAATGTTTGGTCCCGCGCCTGCATCTACGTCTCGGAAACTTCTCAGCGTTCTGTCTGGTTCGCTAGGATGTCTCTCCCCGGTGACTTGGTCGACATTGGGCATTTTGCAGCGGGCTGTTCTAGCGCATACATCGTACTCGTAGTATCCAATCTTGATTCGGCGCCATGTATCTTCGAGGTAGGCATCTGGACCAGTGATGATCAAGTTTGCGCGAAATCGTTGTGCAGATATACGTGGTTTTGGTGTTCCTTTGACGTGGGGTATTTTACTCTCTACATCGCGGACACTGGCAAGATTGATGAGGTGAAGTGGGTACTGAGAAAAATTAGCAGGTATACTTGTACGTGGCAGTGAATGACTTACGGCGTCTTGGAATCCAGTCACTGGTTGGTATCCTAAATCTTCCTTTTTGGGGGCATTGCGGTGTACCTCTCTCAATTTTGAGTTGTCAACCCTGAATAGACCTAGTTTGTTGCTTATACCAAGATAATATCTCAACTCATCTGGGATTTCAATCTCCATGTTCAAGGCAGAAACAGTTTCTTTCCAGATTGTCATTTCTTCGAAAGAGTAACCGGCCTTTTCGATTTGGACTGGGGAGGGGTCGAATGGAATCCTGAACTGCTTCTCAGGGACTTTACCCATGAATGAAGCACCCCATTTTGCAACGGTTCCCCTCCAGCCAGCTTCTTGCCAAGGGAAACTCATGATTACAACACCACCGCTTTCGACGTCCTCGGCATGTGGTTTGTACGTATCAACACTTTGATCTGGAACCCACATCTCGGTTCTAACTCTGGCCAATAGAGGGAATTGTCGCTGTGTAATAAATTCCCACTTGTGCGCCGCCTTTTCTTTCTCGGGGGTTGCAGCATTCACTGGGAATGGGCTCCTTAGTTGAGCAAAGGTGAATTGGCGGTCATATTCCATTCCGGTCGCAATGATTGTTCCTCTGTTCAGCTCTACACCTTTGCAACTCTTGACGGGGTAAATCCACATGCTCTTCAGGCGCCACCACTCTGCGGAAGTCTCCTCGGTACTCGGCGGTCTCCCCTCCGCAAACTTTTTGTCGTACTCATTAAGCAGGTTGCTCTCAATCTTCAACCCGAGTTTTCTGCATCCTTGGGGTTGTTCTGCTAGAAGCTTTGCTTGTTCGCGTTCGTAGATTATCAGAGCAATTATGGGAGGTATGCAGATGGCGAGGGCGGTGACCACATAGGTGGTGGTCGATATCCGTTGAAGCTGTTCCCCTAGTTGCTGCGAGTACAGCTCGTAGTACTCTTCCGCCAGTTGACGATATTGCTCGATGAGGTCGGCCATGTTGAATTGATTTGGTTTGGAGGAAAAAGGCACGTAGCGTGCGTTTTAGTTTCTACATAGGGGTAAGATCGTTAGTATTCTGATACCATACCAAGCTGCCGAGCAGGGGGGATCAGCATCGGTGCGAGAAGGAGAAGGAACATACCAAACAATGTACATGAGCTTAGATGCAGGTTAAGAAAGGGGCGTGAGGTTGTAAGTTGAAGGATTAGAAGAATTAGAAAAGTCTTGAGGGGGTGATGGAAAGGGAAGGGAAGGAAAGGGAGCGCGTGATGTGATGCGCAGGAGGTTTGATGGTGATGGTGGGAGAGGGCCTGGAGGAGAGCTGGATCGGGGTTTTCCATCTGAAGGGGTACGGGAGGGAGGCAGAAGTGGAGACCCGAGCCGAGATTATAATTTTGGCAGCCGTTTGACAGGTCGCGCTCCGTAGCAACTAGGCCGAAAATGGAATAGTAGCCTAGTGAATGAGCTAGTGGGACTAGTGGGACTGAAATGGCACCAATCAGCGGGCTCACTGGCACTTGCTATGTTGCTTTTTTACCCAAAGCGACTAGCGGAACTAGTGGGACAAGGTAAATTACTCCGTAGGGACGAAGTACTTCAAAGTACTTCAAAGTAAGTTCAGAGTTCAGCTGGTATGGGACTAGACTCCGCCATCAGTATCAGTATGACAATACTCGTACCTACAGTAGTTTCAACGGGCATCTCCATATATACCGTAGTGTCTCCTACAGTACTAAATTCAACCGATCCTCCCACATATCACCGCCCCTTTCCGATGCTTATTTGTTCCTCTCTCGGTTTTCAGGAACAAACGTCGTTCCGCTGACACTATCCCAATGGTACCGGGTAAAGCATTACGTGCAGGAGACGCATACGCAGACACGCCGCACGCGCAAGCGTCCCAAGTCGGGTAACATACAGGATACGGCATACAACGTAAACATACCTGTGTGCTTATGACGAGTATGCCACTTCCACAAACTCCTTCAGGACTCGGCTATGGTAAAGGGGCTCTCCTGATTCTTGGTGCCACTACTACTGCCATGGCACCAGTTTGGAGGACCAGTGACTGGTTCGTCCTCAAATGATCCCATTTTTCCACAACTCAATCTCAGCGTGCAGTTCGGACGCAGCCTGCAGGACGCAGGACCCTTCCCTCACTTGCCCTCTGCAGACTGCCAGGTGGACCCTGAACCATAATCTAGACTCTGGACTGTCTGGTCCCTGGAATCCCATCAACTCAGCACCAATGATGGTGTCGCATCGGTACCGTGCAACCCCGTCAGACCGAATGGCCAGCACCTCAAAGACTTTATCCATATGGACGTGATTGGTTCGAGGTCTCGGGAACCATGGTCATCCTGTCAAGTGTGGCGTACCGTACCGCTTAGAGTTGGTGCAGCTCCGTGGCGCAGGTCAATTTTTCCATTTCTTCCATCTCCAGATCAGGAAGCCAGTCTGCCGCCAGCTGTCTGCTCTGCTGTCTGCTTCCAAGTGTTGCAACTTGTGACAATAGCAACACCCGAGTCGAGTAATGTACGCTCTTGCAGAAACCGGATTACTCGTACAAGGCATCGCAATCCACGCCTCAAAAAGTCTGCATCAGGCGCTCAGACGGCTTGACAGCAAACCGTTGACAAGTATTCCGCATCCCCAGCTTTTACCATGTAAATTTAGCTTGCTCTCAACTTTCGAGACCCATGCGAATACGGCTTACGACAACGAGCAGAAGTTCGCAGGAAGAAGCGGCGACCACTCCAGCTGCTAGCAACGCGTCCCATGTGTGTAAACGACAAGGAACCTTCCACGCAAAACCCAATTCCAGTACCATGACTGAGTATCCTTTCCACTTCAAAACATCATGGTTATGAATGAACATCACGTTGACTCCCAAATCATGCCAGACCAATCCTCATTTCGCCAAGTATATTTATGAAATAATTCTTCAATCAAACCAGACAAGCGCCTCCTTCTGTGGTTAACATCTTTCAACCCTCGGAGATTGGGCCCGCTTCCGCTCTGATTGAATTTATCGGATCCAATTTATCCCACCTTGTGCTTGGCATGGCCTACAAAAATTGCAGCGGCTGTGAGCCGAACAAACGTCGTCTTTTGGCTTGTGAGAATGCCAAGATGCAACTCGTCATTTTCGGTTACATGTCTTGATACCAATCATTCTGTGACGTACCCTGTTTGTTGCAAGTTTGAAGGCTTGTTCCATGTCGGGCGAATCTATTATTGATATCCAAACATATCCAAACATGTACTCGTAGTTTAGTTGAAAAGAAAATAAACCCTACTTCAACATTCCATAATATTTTCTTTCACCTGATATCTCTTCCATATTAGAAAACGACTTTATTTTACGGGAAAGAGGTTATACTTCTATAAGTGAACCCTTCTACTCCACTGCGTGCACGTTTCGCGCACACTTTGTCCTCTTACTCTTCCAGTCTGCAACTTGGAAGGGGATGTTGAAACAACACTTCGCTTGTACTTCTAGAAGTAAATAGAAACCAGCGGGGAAAAACATCCATGTACACAGATCAAGTACTCGTAAGGCCGGATGAGCTTGTGTCAAAACCTGTGCGTAATATTTGTTTGACAACACGATTCTACGAAAGCAAGGAGCTTACGATGAAGTGAGAACCGTTTGTTTGATAACACGATCCTACGAAAGAAAGGAACTTACGATGAAGCGAGGACCGTTTGAGTGATGATTTTCGATGAGACGAAGTACTGATTAGAAAACGAGAAGTCACGACTATTCCCGCTCGTTTAGTTTTCATCCCAATTCTCTCAGCAAGACTCGACTAGGGATGTTGATTATACCCGAAGATTAGAGTAACAAGATGTGCAATATATACGTAAAATCAACCAATCCCCTAAAAGTTGTGTGAAAACGAAACAGTCAAATGATATCGCAAAACTGTCAACTGCTATGTGAAATTCGACAACATAAGTTTCATAAACAATCATACAATCATTAGGACGCCCCAACCATTACGGTATACCTAGGCAAGTCACCTAACCAAACCAAACCAAACCCGTTCCCGAACATAAAGCAAGGAACAAACCCACATACTCCAGACACCAAACCTAGAAATATGCCAGTCAACCTATGCAAAACTGGAGCCACACACATAATCCATCATCGCATTCCCTTTCATCCCTCTCTTTACTTGAAATCCGCAGCAGTCAACACCTGAACTACACTAGTCCCTTCACTGAATCTCGTTCTGAAAATGCGATTGGCATTCTGGAACATCCCATCCTTCAAACTAACGACAATGAACTGACTGCCCTTGAATCGCGTCTTGATCAAGCGTCCGATATTCTGCGTATGAGACAAATCAAGAGCAGCATCCACCTCGTCAAGAATGTACATTGGTGCTGGTTTGAATTGGAGGAGGGCCATGATGAGAGACAGCGCGACCAGGGATCTTTGACCACCACTAAGTTCAGTGAGAGAGGACTTCCAAATTTTTCCGAGGCAGACCTGAGATCGTTAGCTTCGTAGAGAAAAGGGGAGAGAGCGGAGTAGGTACCTTCACTTCTAACCCTTCATTAATAGTTTTTCCCTCTGGAGCTTCGAGTTTACAATAACTTCCCGGCAACAACTCCGCGAAGATCTGTCCAAAATCACCATTCACCTTTTCCCAAGTCTCTTGAAGAGCCTTCTTCTTGTACTCATCCAGGGTGACAATCGTCTCCTCAATCTTCTTTTTATCCCGGATGACAGTCTTCATCATGTTCTTGAGAGCGACTTCCTTCTTCTCGACGGAATCTATCATATTCATGACCTTGGGGTTGATCTTCTTCTTCATCCCCTGAAATCGTTCTGTCAAGTTTCGGAGGGAGGCTTTGCATTCGGCGATATTCTGTCCTTTGAAATCGTAAGGTGTTCCAGTACGTCCAAAATTGTCTTTTTCGTCAGCAATCCATTCGTGTTCTTTCTCCATGTGAGCAACCGTCTGGACGGCTCCTTGTTGTTCCTTATGGAATTTCTCGATTTGGTGACCCAATTTTTGAATTTCAAGACCTTCTTCAGTGATGCGTGAGGATTTGGATCGAGAGGCTTGTTCTAGAGAATGAAGCTCGTCGTCGAAACCTGTCAATTTTGCTCTTTCGTCATCAAGATGTGCTGAAGCGATGTCATGAGCGTCCTTGACTTCCTTTTGCTCCGTGACTAGACTTGCAATCTCCTCTGTTTGAGACTTGAGTGTGACCTCGACATCTTGAAGTTGTTCTTGAGCAGCGGCAAGATCACCTCCAACCTGCTCAGAATCAAGACGAGCGCCCTGAAGTTCTTTTTGTAAAGCTTTTACAGAAGTGGAGTTTTGGGTGAGGGTCTTTCGTAAGGCATCCAACGAACTTTGAAGCTCAACCAGTTTCCCATCTTTGTTGTTGTCAAAATCCTTCATATCCTTCTCAATACGTTTGACATCTTTGTTGGCCTCATCTTGACGTTTCTTCGCGTCTGCCAGATCAGTCTTTAGTTGAATGATTGTTGCTTTCATGTTCTCCACCTCCTGAATGATGGAAGAAGATGAATTGCCTCCAATTTGCTCCTCGGTAAGCTTAATCTCGTGTGATTTCAGGTCCAACTCTTGCTTAATCTGCTTTGCTTGGTCAAGTTTCTTCTTCTCTCGAGTCATTGTTGCGTGAAGCTCCGCAAGTGTTCGCTCTTGGACACCAAGTTCTCTAGTCAACTCGTTCAGTTTTTGAAGAGTGACCAAAACACCACTTGAGTTTGGCGAACTACCACCAGAGAGAGTTCCTGCGGGGTCATAGGAGTCTCCCTCAAGAGTGATGCTCTTCATACGAACGGCAGGATCAAACGTCACTCTCTTCGCAGTTGCCGCATCAGCACAAATCAAGGTATTGCCAAAGACATAGTCCATAGCTGTTGATACCTCATCGTCGTAGCCAATCAAAGAGAGAGCAAGATCCACCTTCCCTGGTGCAATTCTCTGTGCAGCACCAATCTTTTCTGCGGATGCTCGGAATGCTGCAATTTTGTTGAGAGGAATAATTGTAACTCGTTTTCGGAGCTTTCCATTCTGCAGAAGTTGTGTGCCCGTGATTTCAGTATCAACGACGACATTGTATAACCGACCGCCAGCACAAATTTCCAAAGCAGTTCCTGCATCGGTCCGGTCTTTGTCCAAGGTAAAAAGAGAAGCTACCAATCCTTTGACCTTGGAACGATCAAATTTAGGTGATGGATCGGTGTAGTTGAAATCGATGTTTGCCACTTTTCGCTTAAGAACATCTGACTGTTCCCGAAGGTGTCGAATAGTCTGCTGGAGAGTGCTCTCCTGTTTGTACATTTCATCCTCCTGGTCAGGCTCAAATCCGAGTTTCCCAAGCTCCTTTTCAAACTTTTGGGCTTGGGACCGTAGACCTTCAAGATCATTCAACAGTCCTGCATTTTGCTCTTTTGCTTTCTTAGCTCTAGGCTCTTCTTCCTTGATGCGTTTTTCGAGATGCGATGCCTTGAGCTTCGCCTGCTCCTGTTCTGTTGATGCTGCACTTGCTCGGTTCCTTGCGTCTTGGAGTTGTCCTTGGTAACCACTTTCCTGGCCTTCTTTGGAAGCGACACCGGTCTGTAGAGTTTGGAGCAATTCCTCTTTGGTCTCCGCCTCCAGGTTTTGCTTCTCCAAGTCCTCCTTCGCCTTGTCGTACTGTGCTTGTATTTTCTCGAGAATCTTGGTTTTCTGCTTCAATGCGGTCTCGAGTTCGGAAACAGTCTTTTGGATAGTGGATTTCCGCTCCTTCTCCTCGGCCATACTTGATTTCTTGAGGTCCATTACAGTTGAAAGTCGAACAATTTCATTGGAGTGTTTTTTGACCTCCTCTTCTAGTGCTTGCGCCTTGCCACCTTTCTTCAGCTCCATGTCTCGCTGCGCCTTCACTCTCTTCACATCTTCGGCGAGATTCTCAATTTCGTTCTTCAGTCGTACTGCATTATCCTCCAGATCTTTCGCCTTCTGCTTCTTTAGTTCCAAGTCTCCAGCTGACTGTTTGAGTTTCTCCTGGTTTTTGACATAATCGTGCGCTACCACCACACGGGTCAATCGCTCCAGGTCATTTTGTGTCTGCTGGAAATCCAAAAACGCTCTCTTTTCTGTTCGTAGCTTTTCCAGTTTCGGTTCAATTTCGTCACGCAGTAATTCTGTGATTTCCTGGACCTTCATCTCCTTCTTTGCCATGGTCTTGAATGCCTTGTCTCTTCGGTCTTCGAACATTCGTGTACCGGCAGCCTCCTCAATCATCGCAAGGATTTCGACCGGCTTCATATTCAATACTTTTGTAATGCGACCTTGCATAATCAGAAAATTTGGGTTGTTGATGTTGAGCTGTACAGACTGGAAGAGATTCTGGACGGTTTGCTGCTGCGCTCGGTGACCATTGATCAGGTATTTACTCGTTCCTCCCAACACAATCTGTCTGGTAACACTGATTTGCGCATATTCCTCGAAACCTATGGGCGACTTCTTCTTATCGCGGTTGTCGAAGACGATCGTTACGCTCGCTTTTGTGACTCCGGCTTGTCCACGTTTGTAGATAAGATCCTGCAGAGAATCAGAACAGGCGCAAGTCCGAGAAAAAGGAGCAAGTAAATACCTGGAGGTTTTGCGCGCGAACAGTAGTCATATTCGTGATACCCAGAACAAAACATATCGAGTCGAGGATATTGGATTTTCCACTACCATTCAGACCAGTGATGGAATTGAAACTTTCGTCCCTGCGAGGGGGTTAACTTGCAGCCAAATGGTGGGTGATTTGTTTTGTTTACCATCCTGAGATTACCGTTCGTACGGCATACGATTTAAAGCCCTGAAAGTCAGTTAGCATATATCCCTAGTGTAGAGAGGGGTCGCATACGTCTATGATAACTTCCACAACCCTCATTTTGGCGTGCTGGAGTCGTTCCTGTAGTTAGTCTGTGGAGTTTGATTTTTGGTTGCTGCGGGACGCGGAAAGTCAACAAAACAAGTCAACGCGAGAACCTTAATTTATGCCTGAGGCTCGAGATCCACGTTATCTAATCTCCCGTGATTATGATCATCACCTCCCGTCACTGAAAGGTCACAAATGCAACCCATCTGCAGGTACCCGACTGGGTAAGTAACTTTCGAGCATGGGATTAGCCTGAATGAGTGTGGTGAGTGCTTCAAGGTAGCATGGAATTATGTACTACTCCGTACATACTCGAGCTTTTACTCGAACTCCCACCATGTAGTTCGTTGCACGGATACATTAAGCTGCAAGCCAACAACACCCTCGAAGAATCCAATCGTTAATAAACAAATCACTTGAGTCTACCAAATGTCGACATTTCACCTTTAACATGCTCCATAAGCCATTGGATAGCAAAAGGGATGAGATTCGTCTTGTTACGATCCTGCCAGGAGAATGTGACGACGAAATCAGCTGCACAATATCACATGTATCTCTTCTCGACTCTCCTCAGTATATGGCTTTATCCTATTGCTGGGGAGATGCCAGAAAGACGGAGGATATCTACTTGAACAACCAAGTCTTTCCAGCTACAGCGAATCTGAAGGCGGCTCTTCTACGACTTCGAAATTCAGAATTTGCTACTTGGTGGATTGATGCTATTTGTATCGATCAGAAGAATTTAGAGGAAAAGAGGGAACAATTACCACTCATTGGCTCTATCTACCGAAAGGCGATAGCTACCGTTGCCTGGCTTGGCGAAGAGAGTCGTGTATCCCACCTAGCCTTCTCTCTCATTGAAAGACTGTGGCAAGAAGAAAGGCAACTCTCTGTTGAAAAGGAAGCGACAAGAGAGACGAATGACGGTGTTTTTAGATCTCGAAACCCGCCACTGGTGCCCGTAGGAGAAAGGGATGCTGTAGCTGCGCTGTTAGAATTGCTACTCCGTCCTTACTGGAAACGAGTTTGAATCATCCAGGAATTAGCTTCAAGCCACGCAGTTAAGATCCTGTGCGGAGGCCATAGGACTGATTGGTCGGCTCTCACGGTCGCTCTCCAAAGGCTAAAGAATTCATATTCCGTGAGGGTGACACGACATAATGCATTTTCTCACGTCCTTAATATCCAGAGGTTTAGACGAGATGCTACCAGCAACAGACCGCTTCATTTCGTGGATGCGATCGCTCGAAGTCAAGCATCACTTGCTACGGAAGCTCATGATAGATTGTTTGCACTAATCAACTTGTGTTACAATGGAAAGGAGTTCATTCCAGTGCCAGATTACAATCAAGAGATTGAAGAGCTTTGCTGTGAAATCACTATGGCTGCTATCACCTCCTTCAAATCACTGGATGTCATTGTCTTTCTTGGGAGCTCGACAATTAGCTACCGTGGACCAGCTTGGCAGCCACAATGGCTCTATTCTACTCCTCGGTGGGCGACTCTGCCCGATAAGAGAAGGCTTGATTATCTTTTGGGGAAAAGAAAGCTTTGGGAATCGTGCACCACAAAGTCTCCAGCTTCATCGTACAGTGTTACAAAACGCTGGAATGCATCTCAAGATTCACGACCAAGCCTTCAGCTCTCTGGGAGTGTATTAAGTGTCAAAGGTTTTATTGTTGATTCCATATTCCAGCTGACTTCTTCTCTTGACGGTCGTCCTGGTGGATGTTCCGCTGAATTTAGTCGACACAATGAAACTAAACTGAGACCATATCAAGCAAGAAATGCGACGCCCTCAAGCAACAGGGAGATCACCGATCGTATCTTCAAACTCTTCTTCGACATGGGAGCCTCAGTTCGATATACTGCAGGAACTGAAGAAAAGACATCCAAAGCCTTCTATAAGTGGTTCCCTAAGCGGGCCGAACTCTTGCAAGAAACATACCCTTCACTTGTCGCATGGTTCATCGAAAACTCAGATTTTGAGATCTACGGCAAGACTTTGGGGGATTGGATGAAGGGACCCTCCAAATACACATTACCAAAATGTTCTGACCTCTTGCCATCATGTTTTGGTAGTGCGGATATGGTACCACGGGCACATACCATGGATATTATACAAAGGGCATTGGAATGGAATATGCATCTCATCATCACGGACTTTGGAAGATTGGGATGGGCGAATATGAAAGCGAGACCCGGGGATCAGACTGCCATTCTCTTGGGATGTAGTGTTCCTGTGGTGCTTAGGAGAAGAGATGGCGGGGGCTGGCTGGTCGATGGAGATTGTGTCGTTGATGGACTTAGGGATGGGGAGGCGTTTGAGAAGTGCAACTTGGAAGAGGTGGGATGGATTGATTTATACTAGGCAAGATTATAGGCTCTTGAATATATTCCTAGTAAAAGAGGCCGTTATTATTGTAAACTTTCCTAGGTTATAACAGCGTGGTAAATTCGAGTAGTTGAGTTGAGTAGTGATACGTACTTAGCTTAACTCGAGTAGTTAAAACTACTAATCAACTTAACTCGCCAAGTACTCGATTAACTTACAAGTAACTTGAGTATTGTCTACCCGATACCCCGTAGCGCGCCCGGCCTCGCTGGCCGACTCTGGGCAGTCTGTATATGACTTAGCCGAGTAACCCTACCTCGGGGCTAATAAAGTATCTAGATAGCTCCCGTTACCCCCTTCCCTATATACGACTTATTATAGGTAGGGTATAAGCTTATAATATAACCCTCTTAGTTAATTAGATTATCTAATTTATATAGAGGTATATTAGAAAGTAACTAAGGGGGGTAGGGGGCTAAGGGACTAGAGCCATCTAGACCTATTATAATCTTAAAATATAGGGACTAGATCTCTAAATAGTTTAGTTACGTTTTATATGACTACTCGAGTGTTACTTAAATAGTTAAATTTATAACTTAACTTAAGTACTACTAAAGTCGGGTTAAGTATTTAATTAGAAGTCTTACTACGGTAGGTTAGAATGATTTTATCCTAAAAGCCTCGAACAACCAAAATATTTGTACGAGCAAGTTTGGACCATTAGAACCGGTATATCTTCAGAAACCGAAGTAATCTGGGACAAGTAGGTTAACTGTATATGGACTTCTAGCATAATGGATTCGTAGGGTATGTCCGAAATCATAGACAAGTCTCTTACAAAAGCAAACAGGCAACTAATATCCCCCCCAAATCCATCTTCAAGTTCTCTCGATTAAGTAAAGTCCACGTGACTGCAACAACAAATATATCCAATTTACAAAAGCAAATATCCTCAGTTAAAAGCCAGCACAGAACCGAACAACAAACCCCCACAGACTTTCATGAACCCGTGATATTAATATTGCCAAATCCACACAAACAGCCTCCATTTCAAAGAAGCAATATGAGGCTGATACCACACCTTGTGATTCGCCTCTGTACACCACATCGGAACCGAGCTGCATAACAAGTGCTTTGGTGGTTGCACGACATGCCTACCCATCAGCCTCATTCATGCCCAATTCCTATATCTAAGCTGAAGCATGCCCATCCCACCGATATATAATCGCGAGGATCAAATACTTGCAACACCATCACTTGTTGGGAACCCAACGACGGTGCTCCATATCAACCAAGTCATTTCAACGTTCCCTACTTGTACAATGCCGAGAACCCGAAAGCCGGAAGGAAAGGAGCAATATGCAAGACCCAAGGAGCCCTATGCAAAACCAAAGGAGTCCTCAGCGAAAAAAAGCAATAAAGGCTCTTCCTCAGAACCTCCGGTGCCGCGCAGTGCCGGTGTTGAAAAGCAGTGAGTTGGTTGATAGCGCTACAGCATAACTATAAGAAATTCAGGGGTTTCTTATCCTTTCGAAAGCTCCTCATTCTAAGAAGTGAGATTTCACTGACACGCCCTGAGAAGATTCAGAATTCTCTTTAGGAACTTGGTTGTGTCCAAGCTCTTGATGGGGCAACCGCAATACTTCTGCGTCAAGGTTATTCTGCTCCGTTTGGACGACCTGGATCCCCTCGCGCCGACATTTCAGAGCGAGCTCGAGTCTATGCGAGACGTCTTTGAGAATCTGTATCATTTCGAAGTCTTGGAGCCGGGGTGGAAGATTCCTCTTGTGGATAGCCATGCGGCGGTCTTGCAGAAAGTGCAGCAACTGATTGGCTCTGATGAACCTACGACTCTGAATATTGTCTATTACAAGGGACATGGAGCCCGGGAGGTCGGCGCACTGCATTGGAAAAGGTAATGGGAAATCAAGCTAGCGAATGATACCGAAAAAAGCTGACCTTGTACATAATCAGTGACAACCAATTCGCAGAGTCTGTATGCTGGGATGGTGTTGGTGGCATACAAGAGCTTCTAGAGAAAGCCCGCTCACCCGCATTCATATTGCTGGACTGTTGCTTTGCGACGAGTGTCAACTCGGCTTATATCAATCAGCAGGTTCAGGTTCCTGGAGCTGGTCCAACCTGGCAAATGGCAGCTTGTAGCTACAACCACGTTTCCTACGCTGCTTCCAATTCGTTCACCACAGCATTAGTGCGAGAACTTCAAGCTTTAGCAAACCTTCCACAAGGGTTCGATATTCAACAGCTCCACTCACGAATCGTAGCCATATTTTCCGTGTTTCCGCAGTATGACAAGTACTCTCAAGCGCCGGTCCTATCGCTACTCACATACGATATGCCAGGACAGGACAGTGTATGGCTCAAACCACTTCTCACCGATCTGGCTTATGTGGACCACAGTACTACAATTGGGCAAATAATCAACAGGTCACGCCCAAACCTTCCACGCTTCGGCAAATTCGGCATGTGGGCATACGTCCTTGACTCTGCTCGAACTCCTCATGCAACAGTGGCGGTATTCGACTTGGAAACATCGTTCAACTACGTCTCTAGAAGCCGGGTAAAGCTCTTGAAATTGAAGGAGGAGTTTAGCGGTGGGCCAACGTCCCGGAAATGGACCATTTTCAAAGGGATGGCGGGTGAGACTATGTCCACTCGTTTTGTTGTGCTACGGTTCCAGCTTGCTGAGCTTGATGCTTCACGATCCCGACCGGAAGAGCTGGAGAAAGAATTCCGGGTCGTTCCATCGGATTATGGTGGTCGATCTTTTGATTTTGCTTTGGGGAGAGATTTCATTGCGCAGCTCGACCTGAGCGAAGTTCTGGATGAGGTGGATGGTATTCTTGCCAATGTCCCTGCAAATGAAGAGCTGTAGTCAACTATACCAGGCGATATAAAGACATTCTTCTAGAAATCCATTGTTCATCGTGAGCAGTTTCGTTTGTGCGTGTGCGTTATTCGACAGACACGAAAGCTTTGGAAGAGTCTTCTTGAAAGTACGGAGTACAGTTAAAGCACTCACTCATATCTGCCAAGATAGGGGTCCAACCAAGCGCTTCTCGGGTAATGTAAAATTGTGGAATGGCGGGGTGGCGAATCCGCATTTTTGTACTTCATTCAACATTTTTTCTGGAAGGCCAGAAATAAAAGCGGAGATACTTCTACATACCTATCCACACCATCACGTGGAGATATAGGTGGGATATGCGATATGCATCCATCCCTTGCTCCAAAAGTTGTTGAGCGACTAGCGGGGTATGATTCAACCGAGGCATGTTGGATGTTGAACCTGTGCCTCTAGAGTACGAGTACTCGTACTATACTGTAAACAAATGGCACATGAACATGACGTTGGATAACTGGATGTTTGATTTCTTTACGAGCAAGATACCGGTACCAGTCCCAGTCCCAGAACCGGTCCCTTGAGGGCATTATTGATATCTGCGATACTCCGTACACGCTTTCCGTATCCCGATCCCGTCTTTGTAATGAACCACCTTATCAGAGTTCAGGGCGGGAGTCGTGTCCTATCGTCATGGCCTGTGTTTGGCTTGGTCGGAGACTTGTCACGCTTTCCGTTTTGTTGATGGCGGGGCAGGCTCGCAGGTTCCCTGGCGGGTGTTTGGTGGTGCCTGAATCCTGCATCATGATCAAACTAAACCCTATGGAAAGTCTATTTGTGCGTTGGGGCACTACAGCGAGCTGTCATCCCGGAGGACCCATCACCGATGCCCACACGAAGTACAAACCACACGAGTTGGGCTGAGACACATTGCGTGAAGATATATATAGATACTGGTATATTACTTGGAAGGAAATTACGCTGTGAAACTGGAGCTACTGGTATTGGAGAGATGCCGTTCACAAGGAAAAGTACCTAGGTAGGTAACAGCATACCTATGGGTACCTACCTTAGGTATGTAGTGAGAGGTAGAGACAGAGGTAGGTAGTCTTGCCATGGTGCATTTAGGATGCAGGGCTGGGTAGCCGGTATTTCAGGGCGTGAATAACCGGGGACTTGCAGGCGCTACCACCTCACCCGTGGCTTGCCAAGGCGTTGACCTCCCTCCATGGGGATGGAGAAGCCGCTGGGCCCCTAAATCGCTAAGCAGCCAATCAGCACGCAGCCCATCCAAAATTGTTGAGGACGAAATCTGTGGGAGAGCGTCAAGAATTGTGGTTGGTATGTGTATGGAATTCTTCGCGGCACATGCCAGCAGGGCGAGAAGCTCTGCATGGCGGCATTCAATTGGGACCTCGGGAGGGACTCTGGACAGCAGTTCGTGAATCGAGTTACAGGCGCCCAGATCGTCATCATAAAACACCCACAATCTCCATCGTTGGGAGCTTCCCTGGGCATCTCCTCGAGTAATCACTGCAACTCACAGGTATCTACAAAGTCACACCAGGGAACAGAACAGCTACCTACCGACCGGTAGAGCCTTCTGGCCTACGCTACTACACGCTCGCCTGCCCGATCGCCGTCGCCATCGTCAGCATCAACCAGAAGGAAAGCGCGTCCCACCAAAAAGCTGGTGGCCCCTCTTGTTCCACTTCTTCCAAACCGATCCTCCCCTTCCCCACGCCATTTTGGCCACACCACACCTCAACCCCCCCCTTCCCCTTCCCCTACCCCTGGTCTAACAGGCCAAAAATCCACTAGTGCCTCGGGCCTGCCAACAATTATAAACGTCCTTCTCTNCAACCCCCCCCTTCCCCTTCCCCTACCCCTGGTCTAACAGGCCAAAAATCCACTAGTGCCTCGGGCCTGCCAACAATTATAAACGTCCTTCTCTCTTCCTCCCCCCTCTCCTCTTCTTCTTCCTCCACGACACTCTTTCCCACCAAAACCACCAACAATGGCCACTCTCTCGACTCAGCCAGCTAGTATGGCAAAGCCGTCAGAGGCTCCCGTCCGGGCCACCAAAAAATATGATACCAAGAAAGCACATATCGCCGACGAGGCCATCACCAGAGCCAACTGGTACAAACACGTCAATTGGCTCAATGTCACCCTCATTGTGGGAGTTCCCATCTACGGAATGATTGCCGCCTACTCCACTCCTCTCTACTGGAAAACCGCCCTCTTTGCCTTTGCCTATTACTTCATGACTGGTTTGGGAATTACCGGAGGTGTGTCATATTCTCACGACGAGCAATGTTTTTTCCGTAGCTAACATTTCAACCCGCAGGTTACCACCGCCTTTGGGCACACACCTCATACTCGGCTCGCCTTCCTCTCAAAATCTTCCTCGCTGCCGTCGGTGCTGGTGCCGTCCAAGGCTCAATCCGATGGTGGTCAAGAGATCACCGAGCTCATCACAGATACACCGATACCGACAAGGACCCATATTCCGTTCGAAAAGGACTCCTCTACTCGCATTTCGGATGGATGATCATGAAGCAGAACCCAAAGCGTATTGGCCGTACCGATATCTCCGATTTGAACGATGACCCCGTCGTCGTCTGGCAACACCGAAACTATATCAAGTGCGTCATCTTTATGGGCATGATCTTTCCTTGCTTGGTCACTGGTCTCGGATGGGGAGACTGGAAAGGAGGATTTATCTACGCTGGTATTCTCCGAATCTTCGTCGTGCAACAAGCCACCTTCTGCGTCAACTCTTTGGCCCATTGGCTCGGTGATCAACCTTTCGATGACCGCAACTCTCCTCGTGACCACGTTATCACCGCTCTCGTCACTCTTGGAGAGGGTTATCACAACTTCCATCACGAGTTCCCATCCGATTACCGAAACGCTATCGAATGGCATCAATATGACCCTACCAAGTGGTCTATCTGGATCTGGAAGCAACTTGGCCTCGCCTACGATCTGAAGCAATTCAAATCAAACGAGATTGAGAAGGGTCGTCTCCAACAATTGCAAAAGAAGCTCGACCAAAAGAGACAAACACTTGATTGGGGTATCCCTCTCGAGCAATTGCCAATCATCGACTGGGAATCTTACCAAGCCGAGGCCAAGAATGGCCGTGCTCTGGTTGCAGTTGCTGGTGTTGTTCACGACGTCACGGATTTCATCAAGGACCACCCAGGTGGGAAGGCCTTGATCACATCTGGTATCGGAAAAGACGCCACCGCCATCTTCAATGGAGGTGTCTACAACCATTCCAACGCCGCTCACAACTTGCTGTCAACAATGAGAGTTGGTGTTCTACGAGGAGGTTGTGAGGTTGAGATCTGGAAAAGAGCTCAACGCGAGAACAAGGACATCTCATTCGTCAGTGACTCAGCAGGCAAGAAGATTATTCGTGCTGGCAGCCAGGTTACTCGTATTGCAGAGCCTGTTGCGTCTGCAGATGCAGCATAGATTCTCTTTCTCTGTTATTGCGTATAATTTTAATGAGCTGATGACCCCGGGGTCGGGTCCCAGGGGGAAACAAAATTGTCGTTTTTGGTTTTGTGAGCGTGTTCAATAGATCAAGGGGTGGCGTTATATGGATGGGAAAGACTACTTCTTTTTTTCACGAAATCAGGACGGGGGGGTTTTATGATTCGAGCATTCGCTGTGTATTTGGTACTTAATCCAAGCCATATTGTTGTGTGCATGCATGGGTTGGGATGGACATTGGCTGGCACACATGGCTTTTTCCAGATTCCAAAGACAAGACAGACAGACATGTGCTCTCTTACTCCCTTTTTTAGAATCAATGGGAGCTACAGAAATACAAATAAAGATGATACTCCTACCTAAATTACATGATCTTTCATATTTTTGCTTTCGTTGAAGGAGCGACCTGCCACCTGCATGAACTTTTCAAACGCTGCAATAGCTCTACTGTTGTCTTGATAGTGTATTTTTGTTATGACGAGTGTTCTGAAATGGTGAAATCACGGTGACGTCAACTGATGTTTAGTGATGTAGAGTATATATTGGGAGATGGGATGGGTTACGGATGATGAGCACCTTTGATGACGGGTATGTTGGGTGGGACCTTTTCTCTGTTGGGGGTTAATTCATCTGTTATATTATGGAGGTACCGAGTAGGTAGTTGGTTTCCTTTATTCTTCTCTTTTTTTATTTTGTAGTGTGTAGAGCTTAGTCGATGTTTTGCTTATGTTGGTGGGAAGGATTGGGGTGTTGTGCTTTTTGGGGGGGTTTGGTTGGGGGGGAAGGGACTGCACTGCGTTGGATTTTGGTGATTGGTGGTTGGTTTAGAGGAGATTTGGGGATACGGTATGGTATGGATGTAGAGATGTAGAAATATAGAGATTTAGAGATGTAGAGATGTAGAGAAATTTAAGTTGAGGAGGTGAGGGGGTGGATATGGCTGGGGATGTATTTTGGGTTGGAGGGTTTAATGTGTTATATTGTAGGTTATGGAGATTTTGCGCTTTTCTTTTGGGGGAGGGGGTGTTGGGTGTTAGGTATGCTGAGAATTACCTAGGGTGTTTTTGTGTTTTGTGTTTTGTGTTCTTTGGTGGTTGGTGATTGTTTGTAAGTTTTAATTTGGTCTCTAGAGTTACCTATAGTCGGTAAAGGGGGTAGACAATCAATACTGGACACTATCACGTAGATCATATGTGAAAAAAAGTCTATACTCGTATCGCCTAGATATAAGTCTTTGATTCGCTGGTTTTACGTAGCTAAAAGGCGGGGCCGAGACGTACTATAACCAGCGATAGTATCTAGCTTTAACTGTCTTACTTACCCCTTTAAGTTAAGCAGATAGATACCTACTCGGTATAAGTACTGGAAGACTATCTAGATGAGCTGATATGTTGGAGTTAGACTAGAGCTTCTTGGTGGACCTTCCTTGATGGTTGTAAGAGGGGTGTATACTGTTACTTTACCTATGTTTGAGGGTCTTTTTGGGAATTAGTAGGGCTATAAGATAAATATAATTGTAGATGTTCTGGTTTAATTTATACATAGAGAGTGATTATGTTTAATAGATGACTATCTTGACAACTACATACGAAGATGCCTTAAGTGGAAACGCGGTAGTGAATTAACACTTTCCTGTCTCGTTCTTGCAGAATGCTGATATGATTGATTTAGTTGCTTTGTGGTAAAAATTTAGCGGTGGTATTACGGAGTTCATCTGGTTCATTGTTGTCATTGTATGAATTAAGTACAAGAACTATAAGATACGAAGTAAGTTACAATGAAAGTGCTATATGTTAACTATTTCCTTATTTTTACCTTCGCGAGGATACTTCCACTCTGTTACTTCACGATTTTTGAGGGCGCGTCATGCCGTCAGCTTTCTTCTCTTTCCGCTGGCAGGATCTCACATCAGTCTTGCGCGATATATTCGGATTGCCGGACGTCAGAGAAAGAACAAAATAATGAAGGGCCTCGCAATTGGGGGCTAGGGACCCTAAGCTCTGAGTGATCTAGAGAGAAATCGAATCTACTCGCTCTCTGTAACAAATAAAAAGCAACTTCTCGTTTGCCTCCACCAAGTGGAAGAGATCGTCGGAACCGGCCGGTCATGCATGAATATTCTAGTATGTAAAATTGGCTACATTACTCCGTGGGAAACATGGGAATTTCTCTGGGGCGAGCCATCACGCGGATCCCGAGTTCTGGGTCGCGGGTTAGGATAAGGATTTGATAGGGGATTGGGGGACATGTGTAAAAGTCTTGAGCCGTGCGAATTACGCAGGGGAAGAATGTGGTCTCTGATTGGTCAATCCGATTTCTGGAAGCTCGCCTATCTAAAGGGCGGGACCATCCGTCAATAAGTGGAGGCTGAACCCAACTTTCTTCTCCATGATCTCCAAGGACAATTTTTTACGACCCTGGAATGGATGAAGCTCCAGATAAGTGGTTCTATATAGAAGGATCTCGCTCTGCTTTGGATTTCTTCTCTTGTCATCATCAAGCATTCAGTTGTAGAGTTGAATCTGGGATTTGGCACTACTCTTCCCGAACCCCGCCACATAGGCCTCGATATCTAGGTTCCACCCAACCCTCAAAAGTGTTCCTTTTCCCTTCTAGTATTATCAACTTATTTCGCTTATAATGTCCGTCACGATTGATAACGGTCCAATGGACGGACCTGATCAGATTGTACCTGAGCACAGCCCGAAGAGATCATTTGGAGAACATATTCAGCACATTGTCAAGGCTTTCACTACCAAGGAAGGACTTGTTGGAACATATGATTATGGTTAGCAATCCAACGATAAATATGAGTTTCTTGAATACTTACAAGAAGTATAGCATTTCTATTCAGACCGAACCTTCCGTTTATGAAGAAATCCAAGAAACGAGCCCCATTTTTCGGTCTTCAGGATAGAATGCCTGTTGTACTGGCTCTTCTACTCGGATTTCAACATGCTTTGGCAATGTTGGCAGGAGTAATTACACCACCCCTCATCATTGGAGGGTCTGCAAATTTTAGCGCAAATACTACTCAATATCTCGTTTCCACCTCATTGATCGTATGTGGTATTCTTTCGGCCGTTCAAATCACCAGATTCCACATCTACAAAACTCCATACTACATTGGCACAGGACTCATCTCCGTAGTTGGGACTTCATTCGCCATCATTCCTATTGCTACTAAGGGACTTTCCCAAATGTACTCGAATGGAATGTGTCCCTCCTCAGCAGATGGAACTCCCTTGCCGTGTCCCGAAGGATATGGAGCAGTTCTCGGAACATCATCACTTTGCGCGTTATTGGAAATTGGACTTTCTTTCCTCCCTCCATCAGCATTGAAGAAACTTTTCCCGCCTCTCGTTACTGGACCTACAGTTACACTTATCGGTGTCTCTTTGATTACGAGTGGCCTTAAGAATTGGGCTGGTGGGAGTGGAAATTGCAATGGGAGACCGGAGACCGGGAACTTTCAACTTTGTCCTTCGAATAGTGCACCCCATGCTTTGCCCTGGGGAAGTGCTGAGTTTATTGGCCTTGGAGTTTCGGTCTTCGTTACTATTATTCTAAGTGAGAGATTTGGAGCTCCTATTATGAAATCTTGTAAGTTCACTCTCTCTCAGGAAGCTTAATAGATACATTACTGATGCTTTGATAAAGTGAGTGTTGTCATCGGTCTTCTCGTAGGATGCATCATTGCAGCAGCGACAGGTTACTTTGACAAAAGTTCAATCGATGCTGCACCGGCAGCATCATTTATCTGGGTTGAGACATTTCCTCTTTCCGTCTACGGTCCTTTCATCCTTCCGTTCATGGCAGTTTACCTGATTCTTATGATGGAAGCGATCGGTGATATCACGGCAACTTGCGATGTTTCTCGCCTCCAGGTCGATGGCAAACTCTTCGACTCTAGGATTCAAGGTGGGGTTTTGGCCGATGGATTCAACGGAATGCTTGCTGGTCTTTGTACCATCACCCCTATGTCAAGTAAGTCCTACAAAAACGACGCTCCTCCTCCAAAAATCCCAGAGATCTTAAAGAATGATTGCTAAACATATACAACAGCCTTTGCCCAAAACAACGGAGTAATCGCCTTAACCCGCTGCGCAAACCGTAAAGCTGGCTACGCAGCCTGTTTCTTCCTAATCGTCATGGGCGTATTCTCCAAATTCGCCGCTGCACTAACATCCATTCCCTCTGCCGTCCTTGGAGGAATGACTACCTTTCTCTTCGCCTCCGTAGCCGTCTCCGGCATCCGAATCATCGCCACCGTCCCTTTCACACGACGAACGCGCTTCATCCTTACCGCTGCCATGTCCCTAGGTCTGGGTGCTATCTTGGTCCCTGACTGGTTCTCGTACGTTTTCACCTACAAGGGGGGCAATCGGGCGAAAGCGGGGTTTTTTGACGCTATTGCGCTTGTGATGGAGACGGGATTTGCAGTCACGGCTTTTTTGGCGGTGGCGCTTAATTTGATGTTGCCCGAGGAGGATGAGGGAGAGGAAGTGGAGAGTTTGGCGGGAGATTTGGTGGATGAGAGGAGGGCGGAAGAAGCTGAGATGGGAGATCCGGAATGGAAGGGACATGATTCGGAAAATGGAAGAGTGAGACCTAGTGGGAGTACCAATGGGAATGTGGAGTTATCCAAGGCTTGAATAGTTTGTGGATTGGTGTTGGGGGCTGGGTTGATTTGCAAAAGTACTCTCTTGTTTTTCTACATAAAAAGAGGGGGTTACGGGCGAAATCGGTTGATGTATCACGAAGCTATTGTTAATGTATATTTATGCTATGTTAAGTTCGCATGCTTCTGTGGTTGTACAGTATTACTAAGTAGGTGAGAGAAAAGGCAACAGTGAGGAATCTAGCAGAATGAATATGGCATTGGTATATGATTTATTCCCCCAGGAATAAGTCAAAGCATTTACGACTGCATATTCGCCTAACAATTTACTACCCTTTCCCTGTGCAATCTCGCTATTGACATCTAAAGAATTAGCAAATCTCTTTTAGTATCAGGAGTTTCTAATACTGTTCATTATTGTACAAGGGATGTAAGTGAACCAAAGCGTTTGCATATATATTCTAATATTCTAAAGCATTATCTACTGTTACTCCCAATGTATATTAGGTTACCTCGTATTCTCAACTGGATTTTGTTTAATTAGGCTTCTAATATATAGTAGGATTGTCTATCGTAAAGTTACTGTTTATAGGGCTAATGAATCTACAAGCGGACTAGAGTAGAACTAATAATCAACGGGGTCATTTCCATCCTTGATTCGCTTGACACTATTGGGTGGTTATTATTGCATAGCAAATTTACATAAGTACTGTTCAGATTCATATATGTATTAGTAGTGGTTTCATATTAGAGGATCCAAGACAAAGGTATTGCCAAAGCATGATTCTAGAATGCTTTATCACCCAGAATATGCATTAGTATCTTCACTATTTGTGTCTCTTGAATTTCATTAAATTAGTGGGTCATATGGGGCCACTTAGTGTCTTACTATCAAGGACATCCACCGACTTTAAGCCGACATGTGACTTGTGACTTTCTGTCAAAATCTTTCTATAGTCATCAATAAGCAATGTCATTTCGCCTTTGGGCATTTGGTCAACGTGAAACAATACAGAGAAGATTAGCATGGCCCCTGCACTAAGGATGACACGCTCAATCAAAGAGAAGCTACCAATCTTTTGGACTTTTTCCTACATGTCCTAAGAAGTTGGCATGGTTGAAGTGAATTTTTATTGTTTTTTTGCCCCTTTCTATGAGTACAGTATGTCAACATTGAATTCTCTAAGCCTTGATGCCTCAGGCTTCAAGATACCTGAACCCCAGTCCCTGATAACCTTTCCTGATAACCCTCCCGCGTCTCCCCACAACCACGACGCGTCTCTGGAACATTATGTAAATATGGAGGATGAGGGAGATTCTGGAAAGCCATTCGCAATACCAGACCTTTGGGCGCCCTCAAAATTGTATCTTGGGGGATTGATAGAGGACGGGTTACTTTTTTCCCAACTACAACTGGATGGTTCGCATTTCACTTTATCTTGCTTTCATTACCTACACACAATTTTCAATAACTGATATGAAGCAGATATTGATGAGAAGCTACCAGCGATCGCCGATGCCACGAAGAAGACCGACACATATTTCAACCTCCCAGATTATACTCTTGGAGACCCTATTGTCGTCCCGGTAGATATCGAACCCAAGAGTGACCCAGCCGCTTCTGCCGATGGGCCTGGAGACGAGAATACGAAGGACGTCGGGGAAGAAGATATATGGCTGGGCCTGGGAGAGACAGGAATACCACCAGACGAAGCAGGTTATTTGAGTTGGGATGCGTTTGAGAATCACCATTTCAGAGAGCGCCAAACGCCCTACATAACCGAGACCGGGCCTACTACATTCGATGCTGCAATTATAGCGCAAGAAGATTTCTTAAAGATCAACAACGCCGGCCATGTTGTCGTTGATACCAAGACATATACAGCAGCTCTGTTTGCACTGGCGCTGGGAAGAAGTTCGGTTTTGTTTACCTGGGTAGAAGAAAAGCAAACTTTCGACTCGGCCTTTCCTAAGATGAGAATATCTGGTTACAGCGGAACATTGCTAGAAAATATCTTAGTCATGTTCATGGATTGTGGAAACATCACAGTGTCCCTCCAGAAGTTTGTTGACAAGTCTTACACCGCGCATGCATCTCCAGGTCGAATTGCTTTGGCAAATTCTGTCTCGCAATTGCTTTCCACAATACAAGCGCGGTTTAACGCAAATCCCTCTACGCAAAACAGTATTATGCAACTGCAAGCTTTATTTCAATCCACCCACTCGATTTTGAAATGCTTCGGCCATATCACAAGACATGTTTCTAAAAGTCGAAGTGACGAGTCTATGCTTTCTACCATATACCAAGAGATTCAGTTGCTCGAGCACAGAACAGATTCGCTCAGAGGAATTCTGCTAGAGGTACTTTCCCAAGTATCTCGGCCCTGGCTTGAGTTCTCTGGAGTATGGCTTGGATTGGAACGCGAGACGACCATACCTCTAACTAAGGAAGGCAAAGGAAAGAGTTTCGTCAAAGTTGAAAATCGAGAGTGGGTGGACGAGCAAGGACTGGAAGTTAACGAACCCGACTTCGTTCTCGATCTAGACCGAGTACCTGCTTTCATCTCTTCAGAGGATGCTCGTGCGATGTTTGAGGTTGGGAGGAGTCTTCGCTTTCTAAGAGATCACCATTCCGATCACCCATTGGCAAGAGCTGAAGTTATAGCTTCTGCATGCCCGCCTTCTCTCGATTGGAAGTTTTCATGGGAGGATATCGTCAAAGTTGAAGGTAGAGCTTTGCAATACGAGAGTGATTTAACCAAAGCTATCCAAGAATTTGGCAAAAAGAGCTCTGAGCCAGCAGAAGAAGATATAAGTCTAAGTCAGAATCTGGTTGCAAGCTCCTCTCCACCCAATTTCTGGAGTAGTCAGGAAAGTGGAATGGAAGCACATTTACTCGCCACTATTGATATGTTCAATAAGCCATTGGGAGAGGATGTTCAAGTCGACAGCTTTTCCGAAGAGCTCAATGCATATCTTCGTACGTCGGGAGACTCGGTGCGAGAAGATACCTCTCTCTTTTCTCCTCCAATTTCCCTAGTTCCAGTACTCTCGTTCAACCCCATCATTTCCGCCCAGGCCCGAATCGTCAATGGTACTTGCATGCGTATATTTTTCAAATCACACAACCTGCGGGAACATCTCAGTGTCCAGCGGAGCTTTCATTTGCTTGGTAACGGTGTATTCTCTAGCAGATTATCTCATGCTCTATTCGATCCCGAATTGGAGACAGCAGAGCGACAAAGAGGAATCGCCCGCTCTGGTGGCACTATGGGTCTTCGTCTTGGAGGCAGAGACACATGGCCACCTGCAAGTTCAGAACTGCGACTTGCGCTTATGGGAGTCATGACTGAGAGCTACCACACAAACAACTCCCCGGATGCAATTCATGCCGGTACATTTCTCGACCAGACCTCACTGCCAGGTGATCTTAGTTTCGCGGTCCGAGACATGTCGGAGGAAGATATCCAAAAGTGTATGGATCCAGACTCCGTTGAAGCCCTGGACTTCCTTCGATTATCATACAAACCCCCAGCCCCTCTTGATGCTGTCATCACACCCGTCATACTGTACAAATACGACCAGCTGTTCAAGCTCCTCCTACGCGTAATACGAATGCTCTACGTAGTGTCGGCTCTTTTTCGCGACGCCACTGACCGAACTGCTCGCTGGCAAGGAATTGAGAATCTAGCACAGCGCTTTCGGATAGAAGCTCATCACTTCATCTCTAGTATTTGCGGGTATTTCTTTGATACCGGAATTGAGACTACATGGCGGCTTTTTGAACGAAAGTTGGACCAAATTGAAGCTCGCATCAACCGAGATGATGGTAATATCGCATTAGGGCAGAATGAAGGCATCGACAAACTCCGGGATTATCATGAAAGAGTCCTTGACAGGATCATGTTTGCACTTCTACTCCGAAAGCGCCAACAACCCGTGTTAAATTTGCTCGAAGAAATATTTACCTTGGTTCTTCAATTCTCAAAGTATTCGAGGCAAAGAGCTACAGGATCAAAGAGAAAAGATAGTGCAGACAAGGAAGTTCGAGAGCTATATGCCAGGTTTAGGAAGAAAGTTGGTGTTTTTATTTCGGTGTGTAGGAGTTTGAGCGAGAAGAAGGGATATGGCGAGAGGAAATTTATAGACGGGAGAGCTGCGGATCAAGGGGGACTTTTTGATTTTGATGATTTGACGGAGGAGAATACCATCTCTCAGCTTCTGTCCAGGTTGGAGATGTCGAACTATTACTCCAAACCGTAGATGCCTAGATATTCGGCGTCAATACCAATCATCAATCTTTGTTCGGGTAGTCTAGGGGGACTTGTAGGCTGGTCTACACATTGTTGACAGATATATTTCTTCCTTTTCCTACTATAATACTTCTTATACGCATTGTCCAATCAGAAACGCTCCATTGGAAATAATCACATGACTTGTGACCTTTTGGATATCCGTAATTGAAGAAAGATGCGCATGTAACCATGTTATAAGAAATTGCTCTGCTCTCAGAAACCGTCGTGTATATTCTAAAAGTAGACTTGAGTCAAGGAATCTTAGATCAATAAATTGGATGATTTAACATGATTAACTACCTACCTTACTGGTACAGAGAGACATTGAATTTAGCGTCGTGCCAAGACGTCAACCTGGAAGCTCGAAGGGCTGTCGAACGCATTCACATTTGGATGCACGTTCATGCTCCGTCTTTCAATTCAACCCATTGAACATACTCACGATGCGCCGCACATTCCGCCAGCTGGCGGCCGTCAAGCCTTCAGCATATCTCGAACCTAACACACCTACTGGTCTCACAGGCCTCAATACCCACCCATCTCCGCGATCCGCCCTCCTCTACCTCTACTCGCGAACTCTGGACAAGCTCGGCGAATTCCCCGAGAGCTCTTTATATCGCCAGTCCGCAGAAGCTGTCACGAAGCACCGCTTGAGCATTGTGAAATCTGTTGTGCCAGAGGGACTGGAGGCATGGAGGGAATCTGCGAAAAAGATCGTAGAAGCACACCCCGAGTCCTTCGTTGCGGAGGATAACGTTGATGGGAAGGTGGTTAGTTTGATTGGCAAAATGACCAAGGAGAAGCATGGAGGGAGCGTTTTTGTCACTTCGAAGCCAGAGGCTGTGCCCGGGGCCGATGATGAGTGGGACGGAGAGGCTGCGATTAAGGGTGGCGTGGAGATGGGCGCATACATGAAGTATGAGACTGGAGGACAGAAGATTACCTTGCCAGAGGAGCCCATATTGACTGCAGAGCAGTAAGTTGTTTACTTCAATTGGAGTCTTGCAACGTTTCACTCGGAACAATGCTAACTACGGCCAGAGTTGGAGAAGTGGAAAACAGAATCGGTGCAGGTCTTATTGAGGAGGTTATCCAGGTTGCCGCAGGAGAGCTCAAACTCGCGCATGTGTTACTGGAAAGCAAAGCGTAAGTCGGCTACGATTTTATTTTCGTCTTGGGAGGAAGCATATGTCTAGGCACCGAGATCACTCAGAACCCGGGGGATTGAACAAGAAGGATTGAACAATTTCCATTTCTTGGGATTTGGGTTGGTGTTTCAATCGCACGGAATACTCTTCTTTGGCCATATCTGAGCCTCAAATACTGTTATTTGAAGAACCCTGCTAATCAATTACTTCGCAGATGGGAAGACTTGGTAGAGAAGCCCGCAGAGGGACAATGGGATTACTTCAAGCGCAATTCGGTGTCGCCACAGAATTAGAGCCTCACAGCACACCCTTAAGCAGAACTACGGCTGTATAACAAAATACTTGTAAACAAAACATGCACCATCATTGTCACTGAGTGCGTTTTGGTACGATTAGCAGGCAAGCTTCGGACAGGTGCGATCGTTTTTCTTGAAAGCTTACGCCGTCGGCCAATCCCATGTGCAGATGGAACTACTCCTTCCTTTTCATTCAACCAACACCAGCGCCTCCCCCGCGTTTCAAATGAAAAATTACTAAATAGACTCGTAGGATTGATTGTGGGCCTAGACTTATTCATCTATTGCGCCGTAGGCAAACTTTGTCGTCAAACCAACAACCCCAAGGCCCCAAATTGGCAGGTGATTTGGCATTTACCGGTTCTTCCATGATTACAGAGACGAGGGTGTGAGAGACACCTCGTGACTTTCGTCTCGGTAACTCGTGCGAAGAGCACCGCGAGTGTGGGCATACCTGCAGCGCTACGGGGCCAATATTGCTTTACTCTAATCGTCCAATTATCAGCTATCCCTTTTACGAGTCGGTGCGCTGAGATTGGATGGGGCTGAATTTCACCAAGTAATTCTGCACCTGAAGATCATTTCTAGAACCACGCCGCAGCCACGCTTACTGCTCACTCCCTGCTTGTACCTGATCTTTCGTAAGGAAGAAAGCATAGTCCAGGGGGTCGTTCTGGTTCTAGTGGTTCCAGGATCCCAGAGCTCCTTCAAGCTTGTTCTTCATCATCGTCCTTTCTCTTCATTATATTCAAGCTATAACAGTTGGGTTCCTTAATGGCCTCCCCTATCGATTCGTCTAATTCTTGGAAAATATCTGAAGGACGTGTACCAGAAAGAAGCCCTACCTCCAGGAAACTCAAGCCCCATTACAACGATGTTCAACATGAATCTTACAGCATGCTCGAAGTCGTGCCTCTGCCCGACGACAAAATCGCGCTTCAAGATAGCTCCAACTACAGTACTTTAGAGGCAATAATCCCAGATGCTCACAAGATCGCCAATCATGATTTTGCACAGCATCAAAACTATTCCACACTCGAAATCCCTAACGGCCTAGTGCCCACCCACTACCCCTTCTCAATCAGAAGCAGGAGTAACTCACTTCGTTCCCCTTCCATCCGTTCCCCTTCCATCCGTTCCGCCTCCTCTTCCATCCTCGATAGTCCCTTACCACCTCTTCCACCAATGCCAGCCTATGATTACGACCACCAAAACCAATATCTCTCCGTGAGTCGGAGTCCCTCGAGACAAACTCTTTCGTCGAAACAAAGTATACGGAGTCATATAAGTCGGATGGCAACGCAATCGAGGATCAAGGAATGCGGTGTCTGGTTTGATCGCCAATTTTATGCCGGTGATACGGGCATGGAGATTTGGATGAGCAGAAATTCTACGATTTTCCGGGATATGAGGTGGGAGGTCATTTGTGGGACGAGGAGGGTTCTGGGCATTAAGGGCAACCCTCACAGTTGGGGTCAGAAGAGGGGTATGTTTTTTTTTGTTGCTTTTTGTAAAAGTCTTTTTGCGTTATCCCTCGCTGAAGATTCCGAGAACACGATAACTGAGGGAAAGTTTTGCTAATGACAAGATGTAGAATTTACCGACACGAGGGGAAACGTGCTTTTTCGGACGAAGAAACAGGGTAGTCAGAGGCGAATTGCGGAGTCGAATCGAGGACAGACAGTTTTTGCTTTCACGAGGGATCCGGATACTTGTAAGATGAAAAAGCTGCGCTGCAGAGAATAAGGAGAGGTGCCTAACTCTGGAGTAGTAAATCCGACTTGGACAGTCGAATTCACCAATGCCCGTGATAAAAGGACAGTGGTAAGGATTTTCAACCTTTTTACAGGTTCTACGTTTGAACGTTTCGAACGAAGGACTGACTTTTATTGCAGAGATGGAGTGTAAGAGGAAGTGCAACAACGAGAGATGTATATATTAGTGTAAGACACCTGCCAATTACTCTGGACGCACCTTAAGAGTCCATTGTACTAGAATTCCTCCTACAATCAACTTAATCGTCCCAAATCACTTGGGTCCATAAAGATATATTGGTTCTAATCGTCTTAAATTGCTCGTAGAACTATTTTAGTTGTGCGAGACTTTTTAGGATAATTTTGTTTCATCGGAGGTGTATTCAGGATTCCGATGGATGGCCTATCTTATATTTTTGCCCTTCTTGATCTCATTAGACCCGTTTTTCTGACCATGAAATAGTGTTTTGGGGTTCCTATCGGTCGAATATCGAGGCCGGAAGGTGGAACTGTGAAGGAAAAGAATAGTGTAAGTCCCTTACAAGTTTTCGGGTGTATGCGTCGTTGCTGACATGTGATAGTATATTGTAAAAGTATCTCCGGGGTTTGATTATACAATTATGTGTGCATTAACGGTGGCTGTGGACGATTTCAGGCAGGGTGGAGGTGGATTGTAACGCTTTTAAGAAGACGGCGTGCTAATGATTAATGAGTTACTCGATCGGACTTCACTGTGTTATCTGTGTTTCATGGACATAGAGCAAAATGGAAGGATTCCTCTTATCTGCTTTATCTATGTAATGCTAGATTAAGGAGCAATCGATCGTACCATCGCGCCTGCGTATTGAAGCACTCTATTACTAGTTAGTAAACCATTTCTTTAGAAAATGTAAACATGCTATCTCTATAACGTGTCTAAAATGATTTAGACGCTAATGTCGTCTGATTTTAAAGTAAATATTTGAACGTAAGCACGAAAAGTCTTTACATGTAAGAGACGTGGTTGTTAACTCTGTACGCACTTCTCTTGGGATAATTCAGAATGATATTATTCTACAAGCCACGTACTACTAAAATATACATATAAATAATTTGAATAACTGTTCCTTCTTAGTATTTAGAACTTCTAAATTAGAAGCTTAGGTATATTAAGACAGTCGTTTTACTTGTGCTATAGTAGAAGTTTAATAAATAACCTTTTATAAAGTGTGTACAGAGTAATAACCAGGCCTCTTAACAAAAAGACTAACCCTATAAGGCTTACACGTATGTAAGTTCAGGAAGACTCTCGATACTCAAAAGGCCCTTACGGCTTGCGTCAAAGTTGTGTCATAATAAATGTTGCACAAAGATTGTAAACAGGACTTTTCTCGATAGCTGATACATCGTTGAACCTTCTCTTAATGTCTGCACCCATGAAATCCCAGAACCTGAAATACGTTGAGTTCCCTTAATCATACCCCAAGAAACCGATTGCACATTTCTTGGCTTGACCACGCGCCCCCATGGATTTCAACAATTGAATAGGCTTCATTAACATTGGCATCCACACCCACCAAAAGAGCTGTCACAGCACGAATAACTTCCTCCGCAGATATCGCGGCACGTGGCCTGCCCACTTGCGTTGCAGCCCCCTTGCTGTTCAAAGAATGTTAGTTAGTATGAATGGTTGGAGTTTGGGACAGTAGCAACATGTTCAAGGATTGTTGTGAGATGATATATATAAATTTTGTACGTACACGCTTTTCAAGACGGTCGGCGCTCGCCTCGGTGAAGAGTTCTTGAGGCAGAGCAGAGATACCAACGGCAAGGAGGAGGATAGTGGTGATTGAGAAACGCATGATGTTGCTTGTTGTTGATGGTGTTAGAGAGGCTGGAAGGGATTTGATGTTCAAAAGAAATGTGAGTACAGATGAACGAGAGGTAGTGATGTTGTGAGCTGTGTTCTGAGGATGTAGCTTCTACTTAGACTTATTCGCAATCGGGCCATCCGGTGATCTGCCTACATATGCTCTACGGAGTACACCGCTCAATTCTATCATTTATGAACTATGTTCGAGTCAGATCTGCGCTGTGCTATAAAATAGATTATACGACTTTAATAGCCTCCGGTCGATTACTCCGCGACTTCAATAGCCCCTTGGCGATAAATCGCCGCTTTTTAGAAGAGAGTGGGTACAACACGGGCAAATCGTAAATTTTCATCCTACTAAAGTACTAGAGTACGAATAACCTCAAAGATAATAGAACTTAGGAACCAAAGATTAGAGGGTGTTTTTCAGTATTTGATAAACAGTCTACGTATTAGCAACTAAGCGAGAAATCACCTATAGCGCCGAAATCAGGGCCCTTATACCGTAATATATTTATAGGTATAACTCTTCGTCCCTAGGGCCTAGGAACATAGAAGGTACTATAGCTAGTTGGTATATTTTCCGAGGTATATAATTTACTTCCAGAGTTCTGAATAACTTCAAGTTCTCGGTACTCGTAGGTCCTTAGATAAAAGCAACATCAAAGTACAGGCCTACGGGATTTACCTTTTCGGGACTACGTCCACGGGCAGGGACAAAACAGGGTACAGGAGTGAGTTTACAGGGCTAAAGGCCATTAAAGTCGTATCATCTATAACATACTTCGTACTACGAAGTGTCTTGGTACTTCTTATTAAGCATAAACGTAAAAAGTAGTAAGGTTTACATGGGATTTTCTGTTGAGTACAGAGTTAAATCCCCACTACAGTTTTACGTTTATTAGGCCTGGGACGAGATAATTTCTGACATCCTACACTACTTTTGTATTCCTGTTTGCAAGGTACCGTGGTAAAGCAGTTAGGAAGAAAGGGTCCAAAGCGATCAACAAGTGTGATTTAACGATCGCAGCAACAAAACCACTCGGTAAACCCATTGCGACGCGGCTAGGAGTCTCGGCGGCTGCAACAACTCCACCGTTTGAACTTTTTTACTATCTCCTCGTATCTTCATATGTACATTTCGGTTTTTGAATTCGGGGCATCCCCTTTTAGTCTTGTTACTTCACGATAGTACTACTTGATTGGTGCGGTGCAAGTCAGACCCAACCCCGTAGCCCGCCTAAGCATTATTCCGTCCGGTCTGACCACCCATATAGGGAATCGCAAACATACTTATTAAAATCGAAATGTACACATGAAGAGACGAGGAGATAAGACGGCAACTATTACTCCGTAACTCGAACCTTTCTACTAAGACCATAACTATTATTTCGCTACTTGAATTATTCTACTATGAGACGGTAACTAGTATTCCGTCACTTAAGCGAGCTTTCCGCTTCGTTCATAGTGAGAATGGAGTTTCTGGCACAATGTAGATCTCCCTATTAAAGACGCATTGATCGTCAGGCCAAGATGTCCGAACAACCCGGTTGTAACTCCTTTCCTATAACATTTTGGCTTTCCTTACCGCCATCATCCGCACTCTAAGGGACAACGAGTACCACATTACAGTAACAGTTACTTCGTCCCAAGCGAAATAATTGTAGGTTTTTCAGGGGTTTTTACCCTGTTGCTAACCTTAGCCACCCTAGCAAACCTACAATTGTTTCGCCTGGGACGAAGTATATCTTACCTCAAAATGGAGAGGAGAGATAAGGTCAAGATCAAGCTTCGGATTAGGAGGCTCTGTAAAACCTTGAATTTTAAAATAACAGCTTCACTGTTATCACAGAATATCTTTCCTTTCCTCTGACTCAGTTTCGTTTTGGTATTATACTATTTGCACTGTTGGATGGTGTTAGGGCCAGTCAATGTGCTATATTCTAGAACCTAATCTCTTGAATCGAGACTTTACGGCATTAAAAAATGCTAGGCTTAGGTGATCTGTCTATTAGAGGGTGCTTTCAAAATTTTTGGCTGAGTAAAACAAGGATCAATTGCTAGCTATCCAATTGGAAAGCGTAAAACAAGTGAAAGTGGAAAGTAAAAGACAAGATGATTAAGTGAGAGTACAGGTTCATGATCACGGTGAAGAAGGCACCACCTACCTTAGGACATCCTAGTAGCCGTACCCACTTCTGTAGGTCTGGAGTGCAATTGGTATAATACCAAAACGAAACGGAATATATTTTAAACACTTTACTTTGCTTCTTAGCAGGCACTTGTAAGACTACGCTTCCACCCATCCGCTATATTTTTCAACACCCCCTTCCTGATTTCTTTTGTGTCCTTCTAATATTTCCTTGCAAAATTTGACGTTCCTGCTTATTTATTCTTCGTTTTCTAACTCTATTCCTCTTCCTTCTCAAATGAAGCCTGCGGTCGTGATTCGAGACGAGTATCATCAACTTTTCTCTTCAAACGTTTTCGATTTTGATCTTTAGCTTCATAGGTGCTCGTTGATGATGCCAAAGCAGAAAACGACGAGGTGCTGGTGTGCGTGGAAATTGACGAAGGTGAAGAGGAACATTCTTGGGGCCTCAATGTTGTTGGTGTTGGTTCATAGGATGGGGTTGAGGGAAACGATGCTGGTGTTAAGCCGGTCGTTGACATAGTCGTTCGCTGGTTTTCTTGGCCCAACTCCCTTTCATCTCCATGTTGGCCATCTCCAAAAAGACTATTGTTCATTCCATCGTCATCTAATGACCATGCAGGAGGCTCGGCGGTCGCCAATTCTAAAACTTCATTGCTTGGTTCCACAGGAGTAAAGAGCTGCTGGACCAGCTCATCTTCCACAGCTGGTGGAAGAGGACTGAAGTCTAGCCCCTCTATTGATGGCGGTCTGTATGAACGTCCAGGATCTCGTGAAATTGAAGTGGATAATTCCCCCGAAGCTGGACTATTCGACGTGGCTTGCAAATTGGAGCTCATATCTTTCCAAACTTTCTCGAATACTTCCGAGACATCAAAAACCAAAACAAACTAGCAATCAATTTGAATTAAAGAATCTCAAGCGATAGAAACCTGGAACATCTTGACTAGATCGTTATACTACTCCAGATTCCTCCTAGAAATTTATACACAACATCATCTGAGGACCTGCTGACTAACAATGGAATGCTTCTGCAGTTACTTGACATCTCCGTAAAACCAATATCAGGCTATGCTATGCTAAGGAAACAGGGTTATGGCATTTTGTGAATTCCCAACGATTCCCCGCCTTGTGACCCGGACGCCTTGTTTCCCCGTCCCTTGGGTGCAGATCTGCGGATGCGGAGGTGGGCTGCCTTTCGATTTCAGGTTTTTGTGGTGCGTTGGTGGATCGAGGGGTGGAAGTTTGTCATCATAGTCTCTATGAACTGGTGGATGACCTCTCGTGAGCCTCGGGAGAAGAACAGGATATTTTCATACGGCAACTTTGTTGTTTTTTCCATGCGGGTTTTAGGAGATCGGTGGTGGCGATGTGCAGGTGATGATGAATGGTCACATGGAAACCTTTTCGTGTGATCTTCGGATGGTTAACAAAGGGGCAAGGGTAAATGCTTAATTTGAGTTCTCGAACTTGTGGGAAAAGTCTCTTTCTGGAAGATCTCTGGTTGATGTCATCAAAAGTGAAGCATTTAGTTTGATCGGTTGCTACTGTTCTTGCAGGTGCGATGCAGTTCTACTTTTTCAATCTTGAATCACCCAAGTTGATTCTCATACAGTACTCGGCGTGCTTACTGGACTTCCAGAAATATCTTATGCATGCTTCCACCCCTTGGGCATCACAAGAGGCAATAACAAGCTATTATTATCTAAATTGTCGGAATCTCTGGTAAATTCTGCGGACATTTGAAGAGAATTATGGCCATTCAACCCGAAAGCTGCTCTGGGGTGGTAACCCAATCTACTCTAGAAAGTTAGCACAAAAAAAGAAATCTGGTGCTACGTCAATCGTCCACGGTCATACCTCCCTGATTCGCAGTGTATAAGAAAAGTGGCAGAGATTCATTCTTGCTATCAGCGTAAGTTATATCTGAGTGTTAAAATGTTTAAATATCTAGAACAATTGCCCTCATTGTCCTGCCGTTCCGAATAAACCATTTTGATCAGTCTAAATAGATGATTCAATAATATAATACAATAAAGTTCAATTAAGTTTGGCTAAGATGAAAGAAGTCTCCTCGACTTTTCTTGTCCACTAGGAGCTGGTGGGAGCCTACCACTGTACCAGCTTCACTGCCTGCAAATACCACTTGGGCAACTACAGAGCTCTCAATCTTACAGCCTCTATTATTTATCAGAAAGCTGCATAGCTCCATCTCTATCTGCCTAGTACAGGTTACCACAGATCCACACCAATCATACGCTGGCTTCGTTAAATCCTTTTTGCCACAAGATTTCAATCTGTAGAACCAATATTACTCGCGGGAAAGAGAACCCGTTTGTATGGACTTCTCTCGTCCAGATGAGTGCCTGCCAATAGGAGTTGGAGTTTTGATTAGGGGAAAAATCAAGACTATGGATGGTTGTATCTGGTCAATTTTATCTTTCACAATCTGAGGACTTTTGGTTCTATCTGAGCCCAATCCAAGTCCACCATCTGTTCCCAGCCACAAGTGCTACGCCTTTAATCCATGTGACAAGATTCCAAACACCAAGAAACCCACGCTTGCCACCAAATGAATAGATCAGACACACCAATCCTCCTATTCCTGATTACCTCGCCGCAGATCCATATAAAAAAGCGTTGCTCCTCCCAAACTGCCATCCTTTGGAGAAATCCCATAATCAGGTATAACTCCCACCTATTAAACCCATCAGCCATAAATTTTCGCATGAAAATTAGGGAAGAGGCAAACCTACAAACGTGTATCCAAGTTTTGGGTACACAAGTTCAGCAGGACTCCCCGTTACAGTATCCAGCAACTACTCTCTCATTAGCTTCAATCCTCACTTAACCACTGTAACCACAATGCCACGTACAATCAAAGGTCTCCCAGCACCCAAAGCGACCTCCTCGAGCTTCGTCATCAGCCTCTTCGCAACACCCATGTTTCTGTACTCCGGCAAAACCAGTAACTTTTCCACCATGGAACGGAACGGCCCAGTCTGCGAAATGGGCATATCGAGGGAAACTATACCTGCAACTACCCCCTTCCCCGTTTGGGGATTAGATGCTAGTTGCATTATAATGAAGCGAGTTCCGGCTATGACTTCTTTGACTCGATCCGTCCACTAATTTGCCATCACTGTAAGATCCAAGGGTGGCAGAAAGGTTGCTATTGTGTAAGGTTCGTTGGTGATGCATGCTTCATGGACCGCGACTATGAAAGGGATCAAATGGGTATGGGTGGGTCCATGGTGGAATGATTGGTCTTTTCTCTCTCGCAAGATCTTCAAGGCGCCGTGAATACGTCGAGTACCCTCGGAAATCAAAAGGTCCAGACCCAAGCAGTTTATATGACTTTTACAATATCAAAAGCTGTTTTTGATGCCAGCATTAAGTGGACTTAAGTTGGTGAAGGCTTGGCATGGAGTAATGAATGGGTCAAACAACGCGTTCTTACTCTTCTGCCATTGGCTGCACTTGAGCCTGCCTAAATCAAGGTAGCATTTCTCAAGTGGTTCTAACCCAATATGTAATTACAATGTCCAGAGCAGAGTTTTTTCTCCACAGTAGCTTTTCTGCTCGATAATTCCAACAGCTTTTGAAGTTGGAAAGCGTACAGTATGTACAGTATAGCATCTACCTAAATATGACTTCCAAAGGGCGCAACTTCCATAGTCGGTGAAAGAAATGAGCACCGAACTCCGACTCGGGAAGTTCCAAGAGACCTTCAAGAAGTTTCAACACAAGACGAAACTGCGTAATTCCAGGAGAAATGAAGAAAGAGCGTGCCAATTAATATTTACTGCCTGAAGCTCCAGCAGATTACTATGAAAGTTTCCACAACAGAGGCCGAGCTAATTCCGAATACTCAAGTACGATGCTTTTCAGGAACGAAATGGCGCACAGCGCAAAACCTCGACATAAAAAGATATAAAGGCCAAAGGAGAAAGACCAGAATTTCAAACACCAAAAAGTGAGGCTGTCAGTAGTCATCATTACGAGGGTGTGGCATACCCGGCTCTTAAAATAACCTATTCGGCAGTAGTCAAGCGACAACCTTAATACGAGGCGAGGACGAAACCCATACAGTACTGTAGTTACTAATCAAGCAGCATACTTACCATCTCGTAAAATGTAGCGTTATTTCTGGCAATGTGGATAATCTAGACGAAGTGCCAGCGAGCTGTTGTTTTTCACTCTCTCATTCCCAAGAGAACTCTACATCATCGAGGATAACAAAGTGAGGGGTTATATTTGAAGAACCCAAAACCGCTTTCAACATATATAAGAAGTTGGCTCAGCAACTTCATACGCCACCATCGACTCTCGGAAACCGGCCAGACTTGGCATACATCGTTTATTCTCCGGTTATCTGACCTTTGTACGAGCGTGAGATCTCGTATCCAGGTAAAATCGTGTACCGGCGATAGACGACGGAAGCTCGTGTTTGTCTGTGTAATGGAACGCTGTAGAGTTCGTTTTCTCCGAGACTCGAGCGAGTGCTACTATATACCTCTTCTAGTATGTAAAGAAGCTGAGGGCGGGTATGCATGATTTGTTAGACGGAGGCAAAACAGAAATTATTCGTATATATATGAAGGTAAGGTCTCGTTTGTTTGCTTCTATCATCATCAGTCTCATCTTCTACATAATTCAGTGCCATAACACAACGACACCAACAACCCACATCTTCTATCACTTACTACAAACGATAATCCGCTACTACAATCATCAAAAATGTTTCTCTCAGCAGCAACGGCATTTGCTTTGATCGGTGCCTTCGCCTCAGCAGCACCAACTTCATCACCCATATTCCCTCCTCGCTCAACATCCGAGTCTTTCCGCTTGATAGCAAATGTAACAGCCAACGACCTCACGCCCTCAATAAACGGCTGGGAACTCTCATCATACCACACTGGAGCTGGTCAAGGATACGCAGTCCTAACAAACCCCACGCCATCAGTAGGACGTATCTTCTACACCAACGGAACAGCCGAAGATATCCGCTATCGTCAATCAGATATCCTCTCAGACGGTGGAACCCCGCTCTTTCCATTCGGAATCGTTCTCAACCAAGATAAGAGCGTTTCTGTAAATGCTGGACTTGGAACACCCGGTGTCAATCTTGCTTTGTTCCCGGATCCCATCTCGGCTCTGAGTACAGTTGGAAAGGATGGCTTTCATGCTTGTCAGACTGCTTTGCCTTTCTCGCCAGTTCAGATCTATACCAGGGCTTACGAGGAAGAAACGCCAGCTGGATGCGCAGATGTGAGGTTGTTGGCACAATGTAGCGAGAGCAGTGGTGCCGAGCATCCCTTTGGTGCTATTAGTGGCTGTTATGCCGACGTGAAGGGCATTGATTGGTCTATCTACAGTGCTTAAGCTGATAAGTAAGTTTAGCGAAGGAGAACCTAAGCCTCTTGCGAGGGATTCGAGGTAGAGCAGAGCTATAATAGGGGGATGTCAGGGAGACGGTGGATGGAGCAAAGGGGAGAAAATCTCATCATATACTTATTAATTATCATTTTGTCATATCATTCGAGCTTCGATGACTTCTGTAGCATAGCACAGCAAGGCGTTTTTCAATGAATTACCTCCAAGCCTCATCATAACTTGGTTCACGGCTTTCTTTGAGGTTTTCTTCGTAATCATGCTCTTCAGAATCATCTCCGTCGGCATCTTCTACCACTTTCTCGAAGTGAATCTTGTCCCCACCTTCTCTTGCAGACTTCTCAAATAGTAATTTAGCTTTGGCCCAGTGCTCCCTCTTTTTGAGTTTTCCTTGTTCGTAAGCATTTGTTCGTGTCATAAAAAGAAATCTTCGGTCCCTGTCAGCTTCCTGTCCGATTCTATCGGGCTTAAGTGGCAAATTCAGATCGCCAATATAAAGTGCAATCATTCCCCGTAAGCGAAGCATAGATACATCTCTATCGAATGGTGGTTTGTTCATGATTTCGTCCATGCGGGAAGCAAGTGCCTCAGAAGCAGTAAGAGCTGCAATACGAATATCATCCTGTCGAGTCCATAATTTTTCGGTTCTGCGATATTGACGAGACCGCTCTTTTGATAATGCTGGGGCAATAGAAGAAGCAAGATTGCTGTGTTCATCTTCATAAATTTCGTCCTCACCATTATCTGCTTCTGATGAATCGGAGCCATCTCCATTCTCCCGGCTTAGTTTACGGAGGCTTTCTCTTTGCTCATATTGAATCCCGTAGATTTCGCAGGCCGCCATCGCTGGCCAGAAGCTCAGGGAACTATAGTAGCTATGATATTGCTTCTTGTAGGGGTATTGAACAATCAGGGTTTCGTAGTAGGATTTCGCATTTTCACGACCAGATCTAGATCCCCACTCTTTCTGCTTATCGTCCAGATCTCCGTGCGCTTGTGGTACTTCATTTTTGGTCTCCTCTTCGTCGGGTTCTGAGTCCGTATTAGAGGTGTAATTGAATTTATTCGACTTTGCTTGCTCAGCGCTCCGCGCCAGCAACTCTGCACCAATCCCCCAGTATCCCGTCGATTTGAGGTCGACGGGATGTCCACCGACCTCTGCGCGCAACAGTAAAGAGTATGCTCTGGTCGCTCGAGGTATGTCGCCTTCAAGAAGACATCGGTGTACTATAGCAGTCAAGACATTGAGATGTTGCAATCGCAAGTGGTGACCGTGCGGTGCCCGACTCCTGTTTACGGTGCGCCTGTCCGTCTGCTCTCCATCTTCGTCTTCGGTTGCATCAATTGATTCTCTTCCCTTGACCTTGATATTCGCGTTGGCTGATTTCGAGGGAGGAAAAAAGTCGTTCTGCGGTGATTTTAGCGCTCGGTGTGGCCAGTCCACAAGAACTTTTTTACTGGGCAACTCCTCGTCTAGGGACAACCCCGCCAACCTGTACTGTGCAATCTCATCAGGGGCCAAACTCAGCGGATTCGTGGAAGCGGCGGAGACATTGTTGTTGGTGTTGTAGGGTGAGATGGAGTCTTCGTCTGATTGGGAATCCGAGGTTGCGCGAATGCGTTTCCGTTTTCGAGAGTTATTTCCAGATAGGTATGAGTGTGCAAAGTCAGGAAGAGGAGGTGTGAAAAGTGTCATGTTGCGGAAATGTGTTGATGAGTAAATTGTTGTTTGTACAGTAATTGAGTGGTAATGAAATGTCTTTGGCGGGGAGGGGAGGTGATACATGTAAGGCTGTAGCGCGGCCTCGTGGAAGCCCCAACTTTTACGAGCACTTGTACAGTCCGAATTTTTAACTAGATTGTCAATTACTTAGGATAATCCTAGGACGGTTCTAGGATAGCCTACTTTACCTAATAGTCTATAGACGGCCATATAAACCACCCCTTCTCCTTTGAAGAGGGCGTCCTTGGAAGGGCCTTGGAGGGTCTATAGCATAACCCTATAGGAACGTAGTATACTAGTACGCTAGTAATTTAAATAGAACTAGTTTTAAGTAACCTAGGTAACCTCCGTTATGTCCTTTAGTAAATCATCTGTCCCGCACGAATATCCCTATATCCAGGATTATCTGTAGACTTTCCCCGTTGACATCTATTTTTGATAACGGAAATGCGAAACCAGTTACAAAGTACCGCGTCAGTAACGGGCATCAACCAAAACCGTTCAGATCAAACGAGATTTCTCGAGATTTCTCGGCAGTCTTGACACTCCTGGGCACTGAAGTCAAAGAATGTATATAATAGATCAATTCAAGCCACTCCCATCTTCCTTCCCCAAAACATTTATCTACCTATTCACGCAAGTTCCACAACGCCTCCACAACCAAACGCCCATCAAAATACAAAATCAGCCCTCCTTCATTTTCACTTCCAATCCATTCAATATGAAGATCTTCAACGTCCTCTTCTTCCTTACCTTCGCCTATATTGGCCTCGCCTCTCCTCGCGATGAAACATTCGGTGGCATGGTACCCGTAGCCTGCGTTCGCGAAGATTGTGACAAGAAATGTGGCGGCGCAGATGTTAGTAAATCTACTTTTCTCCTTGCTCCCTATCCCAAGGTTTCTGTTAGATACTGATTTTTTTGCCTATCGCAGAAAGTAAAGACATTCACGTGCTTGAGTGGTGTAGTCACTTGCGAGTGCAAATAATGATCATCCAAAGCCGGATATTGCATGTGGGTTGGGGGCGACAAGAGTCATATATGCTGGACAAGAATGAGATTATGTCAAATCCAATCCTTTTTGTATACCGTACTATTGTTGATTTTTATTGTGATTCCAATTATCTCTTTTTTAAAAATAAAATAAACAATAAAAAATATAAAAACTCCCAGAACTTCATTCCTTCTCAACCCAAGCCGCGTCAACATCTCTCATCCCTCACACCCACCCAGCATACTCAAACTAAACCAGCAATTCCCCAAACCATCATCAGGACCTCATAAATTCGTAATGCAAGCTTCTCCAGCCTAACTCCTTAACAGCAAGAAAGACGCTAAACCCACCCGAACATCAGCATCGTCCTCCCACCCAAATGCAATCAAAGAGAAAGGGGAGGAGGGGAGGGGCATAAGACTTACACCTTTCTCCGGGTCATCAATATTGTTTTGGCATTTTGGAATGAATCCCTTCGGTGACTGAAGACGTGTACACGATTTTGGGACACTGAAGACCTCATTTTCCCCTGTGCTGGTACACTACATGGCGAATATATTCAGTAGGTGATTCTTGCTTGGATAATATTGTGAGAAGGAAAGGGGGGGTGGGGGTAAAGAGGGGAGGGAAAACGCACGCATAAGACAGTTCCATTGCAAGTAAATTTTTCAGGAAGAGATTCTGTCACCTTACTACAGAACTGGTTAACAGTCTGCGCTGATGCTACTGTAATTGCACAGCTAAGCATAAAAAAGATGGTGTTTGAGATCTGCATAGTTGATAAGTTTGAAGTGGTAATTGTAATAGTCACGCTATGAATAAGCCGGGCAATTTGGGATGATCGAGGTTTGTAGAGATGGGACGATTATAGATTATATAGACGTAGTAAATTTACGCCCACTTCCTAATAATATACACGTTCGTATGGACCGATGTTTCAGAGAGTTTCATACGCTGGCAGTTATCCACACATCAGATGGACAAAAAGCTTATTATTGAAGTGGTCTGATTTGGCAATACCTGTTTGAGTCTCACCTGTTTCCTTGTAATCTTACTTCGAAGTACTTCTATACAACCAGATTTATCCACAAAAGAATACGCCTTCAACGTTGTAACATCGTAACTACGAGAGCCAGGAAAGTGAGACCTGCAAGCCAAAAGGCGATCAAGTTGTGTTTGTGTGAAATGGCTGGATAGTGAAATCGGAAAATCTTCGCAAGAGAACTGCCTACCTTGGCTTGAACCAAGCAGTTCCCAACGAATCCTTGCATTGGATCAGGGGGAACAATCGAAATCCTACAGCTTAGTACATCAAACGAATCACCACAAGCATATCTGAACAGATTAGCCGACATCACGCATTACCTTGGTAAACAAAGGACCGAGATGGTCCATCGCATCTCAAATACCTAACCTACTGTTAGAATTACCTACGCCACGACAAAGTTAGTAACCATTCAAATCCAACAAATACACCAACAGAGGGAAGGGGAGGTTTGGCCGGCTCAAATCAGCCATCAAGACTTATCAAGGGGGAAAAAGACAGAAAGGAAAAACGAGGAACTCAATCCATCATCCCCGCCACGTACGGAAATAGGATGTAGAAGCTACCTATCTAACAAGGTAGAAAAAAGAAGGAGATATCAGCATGCGGGCTACCCGAGCCCGAAGAATAAAAAGAAGCCGCTACCAAACACCTAGGTAAAGCTAGCCTGTACTGCTATCCTCCCGCGCGATGAGAATAGGAAGGTCTATCGAACTATCCTCCCGGATCGCCTGAAGGTGGTCTAACCCTCTATCCCCCTAACACCATAACACCTAAAAGTCCAGCCTCCGCGATTAACCTTTCTAAATATTCCTCAAATGCAATGGTCATTGGTTACTAATATGCTTTTCTTCGGCCAACGCAAAGATGTGGAAAACAACACCACACCATGTTACAGAAGTTTCGTTCCCAAATCCCAATTCAGACTGCAAGTGCTTCCTTGGTTTCACTCATCCCATTGATATTGAATTCCTTGAGATTTGGCCCAGGGCGTGCCAAGACGTCAACTGGCTTCGTATTTTTAGTGAGACCATTTCGAATCTTTAGAACACTATCAACGATGACGGCATCAATACCCTCATTGACTTGCTCCTGCTCATATGTTAGTAAAATTCAACAACACTATTGTGACGTGGACTTACCTGAACTTTCACAGGGTCGTTGTTGAGAGTACCGTAGCTTACACACACCAAGCCACTCTCCTTCACAACCCTAACAAGTCTTGGGCTGTTGCACAACGGTTCAGCCGCACTGACAATGCCCAGGAGATTCCAACGGCTGGCAAAGCGAATAGCTTCCTGGAGACTACTGGCTCGAATGTCGCCCACCTCGCAACACCCCGCATCCGTCAAGAAGAGTACTGGAATATTTGGTTGCTTGAAACTCAAAAGCAAACATATATCTGGATTGAAGCTGCTGAAGATAATCTTCCGCTTCTTGCCCAAGTCGTAAACTTTGGTAAGAACAGTGTCTACAAAGCTGTTAAGTTCCACAGCATAGGTATCCATTTCTTGCTCTTCAGACTCATGTAACATTGGGTATTTCATCTCAACATTGAATCCGACATTTTCTGGAAGTTTGAGGAACATTTCTTCGAGCGTGGTAAAAGGTGCCTGGATAAAATTCCCGCGCGAGTTGGCTTTGTAGCCCTTTTGTTTAAAGTCACGTGTATGTTTCATTCGCTCTTCCATTTCGGAATCTGGCAATAGATGGCCTAGAGATAACGATCGCTGACGATCCATACCTCGGACAATTTGCACCTGAGAGTTTCCTTTTTGCGAAGTGTCCTTTGGCGGGCTTGGAGGACGAGACGGCCGCGGAGTATTGTCGTTAACGTGGAGGAATTGTTCAAGGGTCAACGTATGAACTGGTGCATCGATTCCTGTTTCGCTGACCAAGAAATCATGGTAGATGACCGGGACGTGATCCTTGGTGAGCTGAACATCGAATTCAACGTAATTGGCACCCAGGTTTGCGGCCGCAATGAACGACTGCAGTGTGTTTTCACCAAGTTGTAACGACTTGTTTGAAGTAATGTTTTTCCCAAGACCTCGATGGCCTATAACCATGGTCGAGGTCATTTCCTTCCAATACGTTTGCTTGGCTGTAACTCCCATATTTGGGTGCGAGAATGGCGTGATAACAAGAAAGTTGAAGTTCACAGAACCAATTACCTCAAGATTAGTATCCATGATTGGAACGCTCACGTCTCCCTGCAAGTTCATTCGCTTCAAGCCAATTGCCTGCTTGATACTTGACAGAATGGCAACTCCACGTCCGACTTTGTATTTCTCACTTCCTGCGTAAGTTGGAATAATATCAAAGTATAGCTTGACTTTCGATACGTCAGTCGTGGAGAAAACCATGGGCTCCGTGGATATGCTTTCCTGAACTGGAAGGTCGATGATTGTCGGTTCACCTTGTGCTCCGCTAGCAGTTACCACAACAGACAATGCAGTGTCTAGCTGTGTGGAATGTGCCTCAGCTATAGGTATTCGATCAAGCTTAACGGCAGGAACAGCTTTTCTCATATCCATAGACCCCAGGCTGACAAGAACCATGCTTTCATTAGTGAGATAACGATGACCAAACGATTTGACTGGCTCTGTGGCCTTTGGAACACTGTTCGAGCTTTGCGAACGTAGGGCATCTAATGATGAAATAGCAGGGGTTGAGAGTTTACCCATCATGATTGAGTCCTCGGATCCAGTGCTCGAGTTTTCTAGCCAAGCTTGCAACAACTTTTCGGCAATGATGAGGTGACCTCTCAAGGCAGCATGCTCTCTAGCGGTCCATCCAGATGCGTCAGGTTTCTTGATATCAGCCCCAACTGCAATGAGAAGCTCCACTATCGACAAATGCCCGTCAACGGCCGCAACGTGTAACGGCGTCCAAGAGAAAGAATTCTCTGCCAGCTCAACATCAGCCTTTTGGTAAGAGGTGCCTTGTAACAAAGTTTTCGCACATTCATCATGCCCAAAACGAGCAGCAACATGCAGGGCAGTTTCGCCAGTGGAATCCTGCCAGTTGATATCGACCCCGGCATCAACAAGTAGCTTCACAATATGGGTGAAATTAGATTTTGTGGCGAGAGCCAGAACGGCGCTAGATTTGGATATGTCTCTTCTCATCGCTGCTTTCTGGTCGCTAAGGCCTTGCCAGTTCTCTGCTTTGAGAAGAGCAGCAGTTGTAAGACGATGGCCAGCAATGACGCTGAGATGCAGAGGAGCGAGTCCTTCATTGTCCTGCCACCCCGGAGCATCAATTCCATTTTCTACATTGAACTGGCCCCAATCTTGCATGTATTTCATTACCAATTCACACAAAACGACGAAGCCGAATTGTGCTGCATAATGTAGAGGGAAACGCCCATAGTTGTCCTTGGTAGCCAGGGAGACTCGCTGAGCAGGTAGTAGTCTGTCGAGAATGTGCACGAGAATATCGACCGATGGGTCTTCAATGTCAAGCAACGCAGATTCCTCCACCTGATGGCGCTCCGGACCAAGTGGGGGAGATGCTGCAGCAGTCAGAAAGCGCATATGTTCCGAGTCAGCCCGTTTTTCTTGGGTGATTGGAGTAGCGGATTTGGTGCGACCTATGGAAATAACCAGGCGATGCAGGATGTTGCGCTGATTGATGTCGTCTTTTTCCTCCAGTGTGATGAGATCTTTCAATAAGTAATCGATAGACTTCTTTGAACGGCAAGAGATCGCTCTCTGAAGTAGATTGACGAGCAGTTTCTGTAAACCAGGATCGCCGGTCTCCAGGTTAGACTTTGCGAGAGCCTCCCCCAGAGTAGGAGTATCGTCGTGTCTAATTGCTTGGTCTACCGTGTCCAGAAGACCATTGGTAAGATTGACGATAGAGCGCGATGAGACACGCTTAATTGAGTGGACAGCCGGGACCGTTACGGCGGCAGCGTCGTCCTTACCCTTGGCCTCCCCCAATATCTCTAGCCAGTCGTTTATTTGCTTCATACTCCGACCCAGAGCATTATTTGTTGCGAAAGCTTTTGGATCCACCTTAGTGGTTACGTATTTGTGCTGGGCGCAGACATTCGGGAGTTTCTTGTCTAACTTCTTAGTAATCTTCACGAAGCCCCGTCTATTGACTTCGCCAAACCATTGTAATTTTCTTAGTTGGCCCCGAAGCTCTAACAAGGCCCCCATAAGTTCTTCGATTTCGTTTCGGTCCAATTCTGCCAGACTTTGTTCCAAGGAGCCATGACGCTCTTGCAAAAGTTTCAATCGTCGAGAGGCATCTGCGAACTTCTTGTTGTAGAATACGTCGACGTCTTCGAGATTTCGGTCTAGAGAAAACAGTACTCCTGATTCATTGTTACATTAGTCCAACTCATATAGTTTGTGCTGGTATTTGCTCACCAGTCAGGTCCACATCTTGGCCCAGCTTATAGGTGGCAGCAGCGGCTTTGATGAGTTTCTTCAATCCCTTGTAGTTGATATAGGAGGAGGACCATTCTGGCACCTGGTTTCGAGGTAAACTGCAACGACGATGTTAGTCATGTATCTCGTTTGCATGGCTTCTTTGTAGCAGAGAAGGTCCAACTATACGTACTTCCGTCCAAATTTCATGATGCCAAATTCGATGAATGATTCTCCTTTTACCAGAGAGCAGGATTCAGAATTTTGTGTTTCCAGACAAGGTACGGACCAGTGGAAGTTTGCAGGAAGCAATTAGCCCAAACAGGGAATTCACTGCAGAATACGTGAACCAGATTCCCGATGCTAGTAGAGTAGATGAAAGAAAGAAACGGAGCTTTTTTGGTCGAATAACACGTTCCCCGAGGTAGCCATTCAGAGTTTTTTAAAAAGGACGATTCGGTGGAAAGGAGGAAGGGTTGGCATAGTGGTTTGTCCTGGGAGGGGTCAATCTATTGTTGCTCCAGTTTGTTCTTTTGAGAAGATGCTCCATGTATCTGGAGTTGCGCTTGTGCACCAGTGGACCTCAGGGTCCCAGCGTGGACCAAGCCAAACTTGCGATAGGTCAGATCTCCAACCAGGGCATGGTTGGTTGGCAACGGAACAAAGCACCTTCGCACCTCAGGGCAACGCAACCCACAGCCAGCAGTGGTTGATCACAATGGTTGCTTGCATGATTGTTCATATTCTGGCCTGGGCCTATAAATATTGCAGAGTCAACATCGTGCCTGTGGTGGGTTTTTGAGCCGAGCGCCTGAAATTTGGCGGCTTGGATGGACGGTTGATGAGATTTATTTTCGGGGTAGTACCGCGTCACTTGTGATCGCCAATTTGGTCAGCTTGAGCAGCCATCCCTGGATGCAGCGCAGCCTCCCCCACCACACCACCACACCGCTGCTGTAAACGATCACCAGGTACACTTCTACACCGAGTTCCACCGATTCTCTGAGTATGGGCCACCAATAAATATCATTGTTTACATCGTACTCGTATGCGAAAATGTGTATATAGATCCTATTATACAACATCATTTTTTGGTAAAAATAATATTAGTCAGCTAGTGATAGACTCACGGCGTTGCAGAGAAGCACCCATGAAAGGAGACAATGAGAAGACTCAAGAGCATCAACGAATACTTGGTCCCACCAGGTGCTGGCCGTCTCGGATGCAATCAGGTGACATCACCGAGGTGGCATATCTTTGTTCCCAGGGGTAGCAGCACGGGAGTACCAAGTACAGCACTCTACTCGAGTACTCATAGAACTTGAAATAAATACAACGGACTTTTACCATCCACAAAATATTACAATTTTAGAGCAAACAATTCAAAGCTGTGCTAGGCTCTGCTAGTTTTAACCTTTTTGTTGTGGCGTTCATCTCATGAATCGTTCAATTTTGGTCCTACAACACACGTCCGGAACATAGAACCCTAGAAGAACTACTAGTTGCTCACTAACCCCCGTCTCAAAAATTAAAGTTCTTATGACTGTACTGTAGTCATGGCTCAATTAAAAGATTCCAATTGCATTTCATGTTCAAGTAGCTAGTACTGGTGGATCAATAGGTTTGTATGGAAAGTTTGTATGGAAAGTGTGGGGTAAGTGTGGGGCAATCTCAGTATAAGAATCGTCCGATTCACGAGGTACTCCGTCCGAGATTTTTGCCGCGACTCTAGGAAACTACGAAGTAGTTATTATTGAGTGTGGGGTGTTCTTAAATTTCCAAGTTCGACAAGTTCGGACAGCTCGGTAATTCTCAATGATAAAACGACGCCAATTATGGGGTTTGCTGCGTATCTACTGGGTATCTTTGAAAGAGGGGGTTGAAAGGCAATGCTTTCTCAGCGTCCTCTTTGCCCGCGCCCTCTGCCTCTGCCTCTGCCTCTCCCGCCACCCCTACCTCCTCCTCCTCCTCCTCCACCCCGTCGACCTTCCGCTGGCCCAGGGCCATTCCTTAATCTTTCAGCCTTTTCTTCCTCTGTTGCAAAAAACTTGTTTTCAATGTCCACAAGATCGCAAAATGTCTGCATCTGTGGGTTGTTGTATTCTGCCGGGCCTTCATTGATAATCTCTGCCATCCCTTCGTGAAAGATAGGGGCGGTAATAACGAAGTTCTCTGGGATTTCCAGCTTGTCCTTCTTGACAATGTTTTGTGTTACCCATTCCTGCTCCTTTGCTATGAGCTGGCGATAATGATCCTCACCAAGATTTGGTTTTATAGGCGCTAATTTGTCCCCAAGGACGAGCTCAGGAGCAAAAACCCGTGTGATGGCTAACCATTCAGGGTCGTATTCAAATTTGGGTTTGGGTCTAGGTGTTTGCGGAGAAGTCTCAACTGTAGACGCATTATGTGGTGTCACTTCAAGCAGCTGGAGAAACTTGCGACTGGGTAGGCATTTGTCCAATGCTAGAAATCTAACTGTCTTGTTAGTAACTCCGGGAGGGGGAGAGTGTCTGGGCTGTATTCCTCGGAGAATATTCATCGCAGGTCGAGCAAATGCAGCGGGAAGAAGTGCGCGAACGTCATCTGGAACAGTGGACTTTGATGGTGGGCTGGCTGTCGATTGCTCTTCATCATCTAAGTCTATTTCATCTTCATTCGTGACAGTTAGAACTGCGTTTGTAGTAGACTGTTTATGTGGTGGGTTGCTTGCTGATTCTTCCTCGTCCTCGCTACCCAAGTCAATTTCGTCTTGGTTCGTGATAATTGGAGCACCATTCGTGTTTGCCGCTTGTTGCGGAGCAACCTCGTCTTCATCCATATCCAAATCAATCTCATCATCGTTGCGAGAGACGGGGGCGTTCGAGGATACGACGGGAGCTAACTGCGGAGTAAGAGCTGGTATCGATGGATTTATTGACTTTGCTTCAAGAATTTTATCTTCATAGATTTTGGTGGCTGCGAATTTGCAGTGCATATGAGCTGAAAACCAGTATGGTGGGCGTAGACGATCCATCACATATGATGCGGCTTGATTGCCCAGGGTCCCGTCCTTTGATTCTTGTTCAAAGTCGGGTTTCTTGCGGAACAAGCTCCTTGAATCCCCGTGGTTTTCGATTGCTCTTGGCCAATCGTGACTAATTGCAATATCGACTTGAGATTGCAACTGGAGCAGCTTTCTGACGTCAAGTTCCCGAATGTGATAAATTGACTTGATATCATCTTCATTGTAAGGCAGTCGCTCGTGATGGTGTTTGTTGTAGTTATATCCTTTCCAGATTCCAGACATTCCAGCAATTCGAACGCCATTCACTCGAACAACATTGGCAGCGCCCATGTAATAGATATTTGGGGCTACCCAGCCGCCATTGTAGAGTTCCCAGAGATGACTACTGGCTTCATGGTTCCCTCCCACAAACACGGTAAGGTATGGAGCCACATTAGTGCCGTTATAATACCTGTAGAAATCTCCAATAGCTCGGTATTTTACCGGACATGACATTACCGTCAAATCAGAAGCATTTCGAACAGCCTATAGAAGTTAGATTCATGATCCCATACATTTCTTTAAAAGGGTTACCTGGAAATCTCCACCGATAATGAGGAGGTCTACACGATCCCAACCTCGAACCTCACACGCCTTTTTTACTGAAGCGTAGATAGCGTCCAGAGTACCATGTCCCTATATAGCAATCAGCATGTTATTCGAACCATGAAAATTTATCCTCAACTCACACATCCTTCAACAGCGATACGGAGGCCCTCTCCCTCGACAAGCGTGGGGCTCGTCATTGAATGAACCTTTCTGAGAAGCTTCCAACAACCTGAAAGGGAGTGTTGATAGAAGTAATTGAAGCCAACAGTTCTCAGAATTTTCATAGGCCTAGATAAATACATGGAAGACATAGACTCTGGAACAATTGGAAAGCGAAGGCCAGCATTTGTGGAATCTTGATAGGGATCATCGCGACCCGAGGTTCTTCCGTTGCGATGCAATCGCGCATTCAACGACATGAGGTGAATTGCGATCCGCTAGAGTAACCTTACCTTAACTCGGTGTACCTAGATACTCTACTGCACCAACTTCCGCGCGACCAATTGTCTGGAACACCAACCATTAAATTCGAAATGAAGGAAACATGGCGTCCCAAGAACTTTCTGCGCGTCTAAAATACTTAGATGAGGCTGCACATCTTCTCGCGCCAACAGCATCGGCGGCTTCAAAGCATATGATGCTCCAGTATAATTCTCTTCTATTCGATGCAACAGACCCTCACAAACCTCTAAAAAACAAGAATGCCTGCGGAGCGTGTGGAACAATAATGATACTGGGATGGGAAGCTGCGATGGAACCCTCAATTCCTCGAAGTCGCAGAAACGGAAAGAGCAATGGCAATGGCAACGGCAGCAATAGCAAAGCAATTTCCTACAAATGTCAGAGCTGTCATAGAACCACTCGATATCCTGTTCTTAACAGACAACGACGACAAAGGCCTGCACCCAAATCCTCGAGCTCGGCACATACCCTTACTCCTATATCATCCTCAAACCTACAACCAAAAACAAACCTTTCTGCATCGGCAGCATCCTCGGCAAACTCGAACAGCAAGAAACGGGCGAAGAGCAGAAAACAAGGCGGGCTCCAAGCAATACTAGCAAAGAAGAATTCCACCGAAGCAGCAAGCTCTGGATTCGGTCTGGATCTATTGGATTTTATGAAAAAGTAGTTCCTCTTTGGACATCTTATCAGAAAGACGTATACTCTCCTTCTCGGCCATTGCTTCGTCACCATCAATCGTACAATTCAAAATACCGAGGTTCTCTTTAGACTACAGAGAAGGTCAAAGCTTTTGCCATAAATGTAAGATACATGTTCCTATTCTGAGACCACATTCTCATTTTTATCAAGTTTTCTGGAACACACCCAAGTAACTTAGCACCAAAGCCCTCAGACAGAGCCTCACCAGCACAGATAACCTACTCTGCAACCTTTCAGCATTACACTAGCATCATGCCAAACAAAACCTCAAAGAAAGATGTGAAGGAACAGACACCCCTTCTCCCAAAGGACACAAAATTAAAGCACCACAAACACAAACCTGGATCCCACAAAAAGTGCCCCGACTGCCAGAAAGATGCTGGATTAGCTGCGGCTGAAGCAGCCAAAGCCACGAACCAGACAGTACCAACTATTGTTTGCGAGGATGGCCTCCAATCCGATTCGAAAGCCCACTCAAGCCAAAACTTGTTTGCTACTAAAGCACGAGCTGTGAAAAATGCCAATCGATTCAAAACATCCGAGGTGAACAGCGGGCACGGCTCGGGGCAAGAGCAGCAACCTAATTCCTTGCCTGAAAACTTTCAGCACATCTGGGATGATTTTCAAAAGGTTGGGCAGTCCGCCAAGGATCAGGTCACGAAAAACTTGAACTTACTGAAAGAATATGAGCGAGAAGCAGCTGAGAATATCCAAAACGCGTTTGGAACTGCTGATTCAAAGCAGAAGCCCGGTTTAGCCCGAACAGCTAAACGTGTCAAGAATGCCCATCTATTTGTTGGACAGAATAACCAAGATCAAGAGCATCAACGATCAGAGGAATACGGAGATGACGTTGTCGACTATCTTGAGGGCGAAGACCGCAGGCACAGAGATAGAAACAAGAAGATGTAAGTTAACAAGGTCAAGGTGCAAGTAATTCAATCGAACTGACCCAAAATAGTTTTGTTTTCTCATTCATTTTCGCCGTCATTGTTCTGAGTGGCATGGTAACGGTTATTAGCCTTGCTGGTGATGCAAAGCGGGACAAATCATCTTGAACATCATTGTGGCGAAAGGGTTCGAGTATGTAAGGTGGTGATATTGGCATTCTTCCTAGATCAAATTGAAAATTCTGTTCTTCCAATCATTCCGTTCAGTATCCAAAGTGGGATGATAAGTTGGTTGTTTCTAGGTACTCTATCCTTGAGATAATACCTTCACACAAGTGATTTCTTCTATTTGTCGCCTTTCTGCCTTTGCGGGCTGATACTTCAAGTTTTCTTCGTGCACTTCTATTACCAAAAGGACGAAGGCACCAGAATGATCCAGAATGATTTTTGATATTGATAGATCCACTCAAAATTTCCGGCTGATTTAAGGGTGTGTCAATAGACGCTTATCGTTATCGCAAAAACTCTACTCTTGAAAATAACCCCGCCATCGTCATCCCACATCCAAATCTTCTACCAACACCAAATCAAATCACGACAGCCGAATAAATTGTATAGAATGGCTAGCAATAACACAGAAGAGCCAAAGGTGGATGGCAAGTTGCTCGACGACTTTTTCGACAGTATCGGAAACAAAGCCGAAAAACTTAGCAATGACACGGCTGTCGCAAATGGCGTTGACTCAACGCAACCGCAGGAGGACCAGAGAATCGTCGACGAGATTGAGAGTCTGTGTATGAATTGTCGCGAGAATGTAGGTCTCCCGCAATCCTGAGTCGTTCTGCATTTCTGACGTCTATGCAATAGGGCATTACCAGACTCCTCCTAACCAGAATTCCCTTCTTCCGCGAAATCATAATCATGTCCTTCTACTGCCCGCACTGCAACTTCAAAAACTCGCAGATCCAATCGGCGGGTGAGATCCAACAGAAAGGCTCGCGCTTTGAACTCCGTCTCACGGCGCCCGAGGACTTTGCGCGGTCCATCGTTAAATCTGATACCTGTGTCGCGAAATTTATCGAGCTTGATATCGAGGTCCCAGCCGGGCGGGGACAGATGACGAATGTGGAGGGATTATTATCAATGATTATGGAGGATTTGGAGATGCAGCAGCCGCAGAGGAAGGAGCAGGTTCCTGAGGTATGGGCGAAGATTGAGGAGATCCTTGCGAAGGGACGGAAGATGATTCAAGGGGAAAGCTTCCCGTTCAGAGTCAGTCTTGACGATCCGGCAGGAAACTCGTGGATTGAGCCGGATCAGAAGGATGGAGTTGGGAAGTGGAATAAGGTCGAGTATGCGAGGACACCGGAACAGAACGAGGAACTGGGTCTTGGTGGAAACGAGGAAGAGGAGAGCAAGGATGAGACTGAGACCAAACCACATGTTGTTGGACAACCATCATTAGCCAACTTCGAAGACGACGATGTGGTTGTGAACGAGGTCTATTCTTTCCCCGCTGCATGTCCGGGTTGCGCGCACCACTGCGTTACTCATATGAAGATGGTTGAAATCCCCCATTTCAAACAAGTAATCATCATGAGCACCGTTTGCGAACTCTGCGGCTACCGCTCAAACGAAGTCAAAACCGGTGGTGCAATTCCCGAAAAAGGCAAGAAGATCACGCTCAAAGTCGAAAACTCCACCGACCTAGCAAGAGATATCCTCAAATCGGAATCCTGCGCCCTCGAATGTCCAGAACTGTCTCTCTCCGTCAACCCCGGTACCTTAGGAGGAAGATTCACGACCGTCGAAGGTCTCCTGACAAATATCCGCGACGATCTCAAGGCACAGATTTTTGATGTGGGTGATGATTCAGGTGCTGGTGGTGACTCTTTACCATCCGAGACGAAAGCCAACTGGAAGAAATTCTTTGACGGCATTGACGAGGCGATCAGGGGAGAGCGGAAATTTACTGTTATCCTGCAGGATCCGCTCGCGGGAAGCTATGTTCAGAATTTGTTTCTTCCTGAGAAGGATCCGCAGATTGAGGAGGTGGAGTATGATAGGACGGAGGAGGAGAAGGAAGATCTGGGGCTGCTGGATATGGTGACGGAGGGGTATGAAGAGGCAGAGAAGAAGAAGGTGGAAGATGAGAAGGCCGGAGTGATAGAGGGGGAAAAGGTAGAGGTTAGTAATGGTTAACAAACATAAGGTGGTACAATAGAAAAAGTTATATCCCCCTGGAAGATTCTGTTTTGTGATAATTTTCATAATGATCTCGAGAATCATATTCATTGTATCGAATAAGAACACTCGCGTTCATCTGCCAATTCATTACAAGGCAGCAGAAGAAACTCATTATCTTCTCTTGTCGTTCCCTTTTCTATGCTCACTCTGAGGCTAAAGTCTACTCCCTTCCCAACCTTCAGCAAGGTTAATATTCTCATACCCTCTCGAGAACTATAAGCGAGTGTCTCATTTCCTCGGTCACATCTGTAAAAATTCACTATGTCCAATCAGGATCCGATCGCAAACCAAACTTTACTCAGTTCCCTATTGAAGATCCATAGTAAAGAAAGTAATAACAAACCAATCTTCTCACGTGAAACATTTACTTCACCAACTTTCAAGCAATGACGCTATTCTTTCACTTTTCGTATTCAGTAGCAAGAGCGAGCATTTACATACATATGCCCATCCATTAACTCTCCCTCAACATACAGAAAAAAATCCTCTCGCTGATCAGAGAAAGTACCCAGAGGTTTCCCCCCCTAGAAACTCATAAGATCCACAACGAAACCCGTGTTTTCCGCCCTCCAGCAAAACAAAACCCCAAGGTATTAACAGATCACCATCCCTAGAGTATTATACGTCACGGAAACCCATTCTTTCCTTCGTCAAGATAACCCACATGAAACAGGATCAACGGCAAACTGGAGTACGCAAAGATGCTATTATTCGAAACCACCTTGCCCATTCGAGAAAACTGCAGAAGCCCAAATCCTGAGATCTGTAGCGGAGATAGAAAAAAATCCCAATTTGTTTTTTTAGTATTTGCGCCATCGCTCTAGTTTTGGAGCCAGACGTGCGAGTAAGATCAGACTGGGAGGGCGTCACCATCTGGGTACTCAGGCTCAGAGGCGGGCTTGAGAAGGGTCCACTTCGCGAACTGCAAAATATTAAAATATTCGGTTAGCTTGGACAGTCATAATTTTCCTTGGAAAAAACAAAAACTGAAATAGCCAAATATTTATAACGAAAATTGTAGTGAGCAAGGGATGCCGGGAGCAATGACTGATCCCCATCTAAAAGGGAAAAATACATACCTTACGTCCACCATCTGCTGTAGCGATACCATCATTTCCTGGGTTAGGAGATTCGAGATATCTGAAGGTGCCATCACGCTGCAGAAATGTAGTGAAAGGTCTACCATCGATTATTGTGGTACTATGGAAAGTTCCCTTCGCCGTGTAATTGATCAGTTCCTCCACCACAACTGTTTCCTCAAACAAATTATCCTTATACATGACGCGTCGTGCTACCTTTTCCGTCATCATGCCACCATTAACACGATTTCCATCAATGAGTTCAAATCTCTTCATCTCCAGGTTTGACGTGTGCGCTAGGACTTTTCCATTTCGTTGAACGGATGAGGGGGTCCTTGCAAGTTCATTGGTGTAACTGTTCATTGAATTAGGGACTGGGTCGCTCAAATCTCCGTATCTTCGCTCGTACTCGTCAATGATGCGCTTCTGGGTTGTGATTTTCTCGACCAAGTCAGCACACTTTTTTTCGTAATGTTGAACAAGCTTGTCTTGTTTATTTAGTTCGTAATTTAGACGGTTATCAATACCATTGATGGCGTTCTTTACATTCATCTTGAATTCTCCGGTGACGTGTTCTTCAAAGCCAGAAAGTATAGCTGTCAAGGATTGTCTTTGTTGGCTGCGAATAGTACTTGAATCAATGGGCGAAGGTGGCAATTGGACTGATTCTGGTTCAACGACTAGGGCGGATATTGCGTTGCGAGTGAGGTTATTAGATCCTGCAATCGTAAGATTAATTTTATTCTTCAGTATGGAAGAGCTCTTATTCACCATTTGAGTCGCGTACACTGATTCCCGGAGAGCTAGAAGCCTCCTTGTATTGGTCCAAAATAGCAGCTAGAACTGGCTTTTCAGAAATTGGGTCATCATCCTTTGATCTCTTGACCAGAGGATCCAGATGAGGTCTAGGGACTCGGGTGAATTTCTCTTTGATGTATGCTTTAGTTTCAGCTGGTGAATCTCTGTTGAATTCAGGTGCGAAGTTGACCTGTTCATACTTCATCGTCTCCTTGGCGAACTTAATGTTAGATAGACGATCAGCTTCCTGCAGGTTAATCTTAAAGGAAACAGCTGAATTCGTTGCGTTGTTCAACTTGGCGAAGATAGCAACTTTATTGCACTCTTTGTAGGTGCCTACTTGGATCTCAGATGGTTCCCACTACAGCGCGTTAGAACATATTTTTGGAGGTAGGAAAGAAGTGTAGAAATGGTAGGCATGCATGAACCACCAAACCAAAAGGTACACCAAGAGGTGTGCCTACTCAGTCACTTGGATCCTGTAACAAACCAGTGTACTGGTTGGGTCAATTAGGAGAGAGTGAAGTCACTTACAACGAATTCAGCAGAGGCTGACGGAGTGGTAGCTGTCTTGACAGTGATGCTTGACAGTTCGTCAGGGTCCTGTGTCTGGTCACGCAGTCTTGCCTTCTTTACAGCGGGAGTCTCATCTTTGACAAAGGGATCAATTGATAGCGAACTCCTTGATCGCACTCGAGAGCTGAAGAAGCCATTAGCTGGTTAACCTGAAGATGTTGCAGAAGGGAAGAGAGATAAGAGACAGAGACAAAGCAAGTGAAGGGTGGACAGCAAATTTTAAATTAAAATTTGATTGGACCGTGATTACAGAGCCTTGGATTTCGATTGACAGGTGAATGTCTTGTCTTACTCAGCTGTCGCTCAACACCTGTGGACATCTGAGGGTGCAAGTTCGAAGTACACAAGATTCTTATACTGGATGGTGAAAGGAAGGGTTTGAGGGATGAGAAGTATCTTTGCTTACCTCTGTGTGCTGTCAGATCTCTCCAGGTCTTGAGAGTCTACCCATTTCTGAGCGTGCTGGGTTGACTGACTTAAGGGCATTACGACGAAGGTGAGGGTGTGTGGTCAACTTTCAAGACAAACCCCAACAATCGAACCTCTGCGTAAGGAAAACAAGGATGGCGAAGATGACAGGACGATTTGCAGAGACTGAATTGGCGCCGCTGTATTAGTACCTAGCTCTCGCGTGTACCTAAATATGGATAGATACCACAAGAGGAAAGGGCGATCGAGGATCAGCTGCGACGACCCCAACGTCAGTGAAGCAGGTCGTCAGCGCAAAAAGAAAATGGCACCAATGGGAGGAAGAAAGAGAGGCGACAACTAACGAACCTGCAATTAGCAATTGGCGCGCAAACGGCCTGTCATGATGAGATGCGCTGTGTTCTTGTCGTGTTGTTGTTGTTGTGTTGTGAGAGATAGCAGCGAGGAGCAGAGGAGCGAGATATAATATGACCCCCTCCCCCGCTTTTATCTTGTGACTAGTCGAAAGAACCCTGAAGGGCCTATCGATCTTGAGGTAGCCAATCAAATGCAAGCAGTGGTATATCGAGAGCCAGTAGATATTGAGAAAGATCATGCTCGGTGGGTCGCCCTCGACCTCGACCGCAGGGTTTAATTACCTGGTAGATATCAATTCACTTGCTCATGTATTTCGACGCTTCAGATAAGATCGACCGTGTCATACCATCAGTAAACATAACAACATGCTCCAATTTCTTACTTTCTTTGTTTTTGTTGTTGGCAATAGGTGAAGAGTTGGAAGAAGAGCGCCATCTAGTTGGTTTTGCCTAAGCAATCGATATCTGCTGCAATTCAAACCCGACAGTCCAATCTGCAGATTAGTCAGCAGTTGTAAAAGCATTGCTATGATTGTACTTGTTCTTCAAATTGTTGAAATGAAATAATGCCAGTTTATACATAAGTACTCGCTAAATTGACAACAACAAAACAGTATGCAACTCATTCTTTTCAATGTATGTATTCGCACGTAAGCGTTAATCCACGTCATCATCCTCGTCGTCTTCATCCCCATCTTCATCATCATCGTCCTCATCTGAAACCTCCCCACCAAGTTCCTTGACTTTCCCCTTATACTTCTCGACCTTTTCTTCCAGATCACCAAAAACCATCAGTAGGTCGTCAAGTTCTCCCTGTACCGCCTCTTTCTCCTTCTCCTTCTCAGCCAATGCCTTCTCGCCTTTTGCAACTTTCTTCTTTGCAACTTCGATTCGTTCTTCAGCATCTTTGGCTTTCTCATCGGCACGCTGCAAGCGTCCTGCTTGCTCGCTTTGGTTTGCACTATATTCATCGTGCGCAGTTTTGAGATCTTGAAGGTGGTTTTTGTTTGTCTAGGAGCGTCAGCGATAGAGCTTTTGATAAGATAATGTGGTTAGCTTACCTTTTCAAGATCTGCTTCTAATCTGCTAATATTGTTTTGGAGGTCCGAAATCTCAGCCCCAGCACGCTTTCGTATGCGTTCAATGTTTGCTTCACTGGTCTTTTGGACATGCTCAAGTTGTCTTTGATGATCCTGAATAACCTTGTTATGTTCCTCTTGTAGTTTACTATAAATCATTAGCAATTTTGACAAAATATGAACACAACGCATCTAATCACCTCATCTCTTCTTCGTGATGTCGTTGAAGTGACTCGTTCACCTGCTTTATTCTTGCAAGCTCCACTACTGAGGTCTCCTTCGCTCGGCGATGGTCTGCCTGTTCCTGGCCAAGCTGTCTCTCCACAGCCAGTAAAGCTTCCTGTGACTTTTCCAGTGCGCTTGTCTTTTCTTCAAGCTGTGACCGAAGAGAATCGACCATTTCCCTCGATATCCCCTTTCGTATCCCATTTGCAATGACTGGGACCTCCATTCCTGGATCTCGGTCAATTGCACGGAGCATACGGCTGAAATTATCTTTGATGAACTCAACAAATGTCTTGTCAAAGAACACCTCAGGAAGCCCACCCTGAGGCGCCGAGCTGAGTTTTTGCGGAAGTACCTCGAAATCTCGTAAAAGGGGGTGACTTCTCAGTTTCATAACGCGATCAATGTATTGATCACGGCCCATCCGAGATGCTAAGATAGGATGTATTGTTGCTCTGGGGACAGGCGAGTCCTTGGTCGAGAACTCATAGATGGTACCCAAGAGCATAGCAGAAAGGCCGGGCACTAATATTACCTCAGCTCCTGGTCGTACCACTGCTTGAACCAGACTCTGAATATTGCTGCCCTCCCCGAGGAAATCATTAACTCCGTCAGGGTCCTCGAATAACCACCCGGACAAGAGCATGAGGTAAGCAACCAGTACCCGTTCGTCGGCGCTCTTTTGAATGCCAATAATCAAATTTTCTGTCAATGTTTGTATGCAAGTCACAACTTCCTCGCCATTGGATGCATCACCTTCGGCGACGGTCATCGCCAGACTTTTTGCCTCTCCGTCTTCATAAATCAAATGGAAGAGTATGACAGCTGCAAACCAATATCGATAAGGGTCACCACCTGCAACATGGACGTCTACGGGTTGTAGAAGCGTCGTCAACACATTCGCGGTTTCATCGGCCCCAGTGAGATGACCGTCGATGGCACGTTTGAGAAAATGCTTTCGGATAGCTGGATGGTTGAAAAAGTATGCTTTAATACATTCACAGGCGGCCATGCGAGAATCGAAAGCAGATACCGAAGGGACGCTCAAAGTGAGGTCTAGTAAACCATCAATCACATACACTTTAGGAACCCCATTACGCTGAGTACCAGCTCCATCTATGGGAGGCTCATCGAGAACAGAAGTAACTTGCAATTGGGCGAATTGCTCTTGGAGTCTGGAGTTGCCTCGGATTATGTCCGAACAGGTGATTAGAGCCTGGAATATAAAATCAACATCCACTCCTTTAGAAGGAAATTGATAACCTTACCTCCGCCTTTATCGGCATTTCCGTTGCACGACTGAACGCTATCTGAAGAACCATAGCCAGAATATCATGTTGCCAAAAGGAAGCTTGATTGGCCTGCGTGCCAACTCCACCAGTGATGAGGAACAGCCGCAGAACTGCCAAAAGCGCGAACGTGTTTCTATTCTTTTGCATCTGCGCCCATGCAGCAACCTCTTCCTCTGTGCCTTCACCGCTAATGGCGTTGCTTAGGAGTTGTGCCAACTTAGCGACACAATTGGTCTCTCGAAAGAAAGATTGGTTTGATACATTGAGTCGAAGCAGATTGGCAAGTAGAATCAAGCAGTCCTCCACTATACGACCACCCTGAGAAATGGAACCTTCTAGTTTGATAATATTGAATATACGTTCAAAGACATTTTCGAAAGCTACCAACTTCTGGATCTCCGAGGAATTGGGAGTCAAGTAGGTCAGCAGCGAAAGAGCCTCATCTCGCACCGCTTCCCTCCTGTCATCCAACACAGCGACGAGTCTGGAGATTCCCAGTGGCGCCATAAATATGCATTCTTCCGTTCGTTCCGTTCGGGAGGCTAAGATGGCAGAAAGGAGTTGTAGGGAGTAGAGCCTTGAGTAAAAGTCGTTTGAGTCCAGAAAATGAAGCAGAAGCGTGATGTTGTCCTGTCTCTGTGTGAATTCGTCTGCGAGCCACAGGGCAATCTCTTCTGATGCTTCGGGACTATTTTCGTTGGGATTGAATAGCATCCACAATGTTTCCAGCACTAGCTTAACCGTATCCACGTCTTCGCCATCTTTGCTTAAACTCGCAATTAGCCCTCGTAAGGCATCTGATGCGACAGATGCTGGGTATTCCTTTGCAAACGATCGAAGTCCTAGGATGGCAGCGCGTCGATCCTCAAGTAATGTGGAACTTGATAGTCTCGAGGCTAAAGTTGAGATGGTCTCAAAGACACTCTGTTTCGCGGGGGTACTCGCGATGGTGAACATTGCTCTGCTGGTGGGTTCCTAGCTGTGGCCATGAGCATGAGGATGAGTAGTAGTTCAAATCATAGGCATCATGGTCATGGTCATGATCACTGTGCAGATACGTGGACGTGCTTTTATAGGTGTAGGTGTAGGTGCATCATGAGATAGGTAACTTGAGCATAGCAGTTATTGCTGCAGGTGGCCTCTGAATTTAATTCATAGGGAGGCCTGGCGAGCTGGCGTCTTGGGAGGCACGGAGGCCAGGCAGGGAGCTGGAGCTTCGCCAATCGGCGGGTCGGCACTGAATCGGCTTCCAGCGGGCCGACTCTGCTCCCAGCGGCAGAACGTGCATACACCTGCTGTGGCTTTGGCCTAGCCTGGTAGCTTACTGCAGGAAGTTTGATCGCGACAAAGCAGTCGAGGGCTGCCGACTTTCTTTCTTCCACCTCTTCCCATCCGACATTTTTTGGGGGACTTGTCGCCATCCACCCAAAACGTCGCGACCATGGGTGTTCCCGCCCTCTTCCGCTGGCTGAGCCAGAAATACCCAAAGATCGTAAGCAATGGTAAGTTTGCCTTCCTCGTTTTGATTTGGTCGCATTGATGTTGACAGGATGTAGTCATTGAGGAACAACCGCGCGAGATCGATGGCATACAGATACCCGTCGACACAAGAGGCCCGAATCCGAATGGCGAGGAGTTCGACAATCTATATCTCGATATGAATGGTATCGTCCACCCATGTTCGCATCCTGAGGACCGACCTGCGCCCAAAGACTCGGAGGAGATGATGCTGGAGATTTTCAAATACACAGATCGCGTTGTAAATATGGTTCGCCCAAGGAAGCTTTTGATGATCGCAATTGATGGAGTTGCGCCCCGTGCAAAGATGAACCAGCAACGTTCGCGACGATTTCGTTCCGCCCAGGAGGCTCAAGAAAAGGCTGCAGACAAGGCTGAACTACTCAAAATGCTAAAGTCGCAAGGCGGCCGCATTGAGGAGCCAGAAGTCAAGAAAGCTTTCGACTCCAATGAGATCACACCTGGCACACCTTTTATGGATATATTGGCAGCAAGTTTGCGATATTGGATTTCACTTAAACTCAACACTGATCCCGCTTGGGCTAAGATGAAGATTATCATCTCTGATTCCACAGTCCCAGGTGAAGGAGAACATAAGATCATGGAGTTCATCCGATCTCAGAGATCCTCTCCTCACCATGATCCCAATACTAGACATGTCATATATGGTTTAGATGCTGATTTGATCATGTTGGGTTTAGCCACTCACGAGCCTCATTTCCGTGTTTTGAGAGAAGACGTTTTCGCACAAGACTCAAAACCCCGATTGTGTCGTATGTGTGGTCAGGCGGGCCATGAAGCCAGAGAGTGTACTGGCCAAGCCAAAATCAAGGACGGTGAGCATAACGAGAAAGATAGCGCACCACCTTTGAAACCATTCATCTGGCTCCATGTTGGTATTCTCAGAGAGTATCTGGAAGCGGAAATGTATGTGCCCACTCAACCTTTCAGATTTGATCTTGAGAGAGCGTTGGATGATTGGGTTTTCATGTGTTTTTTTGTTGGAAATGATTTCTTGCCACATTTACCCAGTCTTGAGATTCGAGAGAATGGAATCGATACCTTGATTGCTATCTGGCGTGACAATATTCCTTTCATGGGCGGTTATCTTACAAAGGATGGCCAGGTTGATTTGGAAAGAGCTCAATTTATTCTCGAAGGTCTAGCTAAGCAGGAAGACGCCATCTTTCGCAGAAGAAAGCAAACCGAAGACAGAAGAGAAGCTGGTGCCAACAGACGGAAGCTTCAAGCTGAACGAGGTAGGGGAGGTGGTCGTGGTGGCCGAGGAGGGAGCAACGACTCGCCGTCAAATGGCAGGCATGTTAATCCAGAGCACATTGCCCCAGCCGGCCTCCCACTTTTTGCCCCAGGACAGCTCGATATGGGTGCAGATGCCCAGGCCGTCACTCATGACATGGCAGTTAACAGAGGAGCGATTTACCAAGCCAACCTGGCCAACAAGAGCGCCGCAGCAGCCTTGAAAAGTCAACTCAATGGTTCCAAAGGAGATGCAGCCACTGACAGCTCAGCAGCGACACCAGAATCTCCTGCATCTGCACTGGGTAAGCGAAAAGCTGATATGCTCGAGGAGGACAGCACACCCAATACACCTCAACGCGGAACACCTGGAACACCCAAGACTCCATCGGATGAGCCACCAGTTGACACTGTTCGCTTGTGGGATGAAGGCTATGCTGATAGGTACTATTCGCAAAAGTTTGACGTCCATCCAAGCAACATTGAATTTAGACACAAAGTTGCTAGAGCCTACGTCGAAGGTCTCGCATGGGTTCTTTTGTACTACTTTCAAGGCTGCCCCTCTTGGGATTGGTATTATCCATATCATTATGCACCGTTTGCTGCAGACTTCGTGGATCTCAAGGACATGAAAATCGAGTTCAACAAGGGTAACATTTTTAAGCCTTACGAACAACTTATGGGTGTTCTTCCTGCAGCTTCAAGACAAGCCATTCCAGAAATCTTTCATGATTTAATGACCAATCCTGAGAGCGAGATCATCGACTTCTATCCCGAAGATTTCGTCGTTGACTTGAATGGTAAGAAGTTCGCCTGGCAAGGTGTAGCTCTTCTCCCATTCATTGACTCTAAGCGACTACTCGACGCTATGGCAAAGAAATACCCCTTGTTACCACCCGATGTCGCAGCTCGAAATGTCGTTGGTAGAGATGCGCTTCTGTTTGCCGAAGCTCATGCAGATCTTTATGCCGATGTCGCTACCAACTTCTATTCCAAAAAGCAGGGTCCTCCGGAGTTCAACTTAAACCCAAAGTCAAGTGAAGGGTTGACTGGTACAATCGAGAAGAATGAAGCCCACTTGCCACATGGCTCCTTGAACTTTCCGCTTAGCGACAAAATGCCGAGTCTTGACGAGGATCGTTCTATGACGTGAGAATAACCCCTTCCAAGTTTATATTGAATTTTATTGACAAGTTTCTAGTGTTCACTATGAGATGCCCAAATCTAAACACCATCACAAGTCTATGTTGTTGAGAGGAGTTGTATTTAAAGCTCCGGCATTAAATCAGGGGGACATTGATGCAACCAAGGGACGTGCTGCCAAATCTGGACGCTCTCATGGTGGTGTTCCATTGGATGGTAGAGGCCGCAATTCGATGAACTACGGGTCCGGGCAATCGAATCAATATCGTGGAAATGGAGGCGGAAACGGAGTCGGAAATGGCGGGGGATATGGTGGGCAAAACAACCGACAATCTTACGGTTCCCAAAACAACAACCATAATAGTTATAACGGTGGTGGCGGCTATAACAACCATCCTCCCGCTGCATTCCCACCTGGATGGCAACCTCCACCTCCTGGGTTTGGCAGTGCTCCTCCGCCACCACCTCCGGGTTACAATTCTTATGGACAAGGACCACCAGGTTATTCACAGGGCCGGGGAGGATATGGCAATGGTGGACGCGGCGGCTATCGAGGCAATGATTCTTATCGGGGCGGTGGTGATTCTTACCGCGGCCGACGATGAGATCCAAAAAGCAGACTGAATGGTGGTTTTGTCATGAACTATCGTGGTTCATCTGTATAATAGCGGCGCGTTGCGTGACACTAACCGCGGCTTGCCCTGCTCGGGTGCGGTAACATTAAGCTTACTTTGCTGATCGCTTATCTGCGAGTTAGTGAAGTGACTGATAATTGTAACTGACTCGTCACTTCCAGCGGTTTTTATCTCCTTTTTCTTCTTTGCTTGCCGTTTACTTGATTGGAATGAATCTTGAAGCCCGTAGTTCGGGCGGAACTTTAATAATTGATATATCCATCATACTGTACCTATACTTACAAAATTAACCTCTCAGGCTACAGACAACTGGCTTTGCGCGAGGGGCTGTGTGGAACGGCATTGGCAGTTCATTTGCTTGGAGACACGTAATTCCGTGAGTGTAACTCAATAACAAATTTCCTAGACGATCCCATTTCCCATCAGGTAGCGCGGTACTCGGTATCTCTTGTAAATACAGCGGTGACGAGTACGGTAGGGTACTGTACGGTTGCCGGTTTGAATGGCAAATACTTGTACATACTACCGGTAGGCGTTTTCTGCACGAGGGGGGCTCTGGATTCAGCTTGAAACCGATCCACATAAGGTTCGTTGAGCTTGGACTTGCTGGCTTGCTGGCTTACTACAGTATTACTGTCTTAGCCGCGGAAGAAAGTACCTATACACTGGCTCGACTGGCACTATTGGCACTGGCACTGGCCATCATTTCATTTGTAGAACTCCACTGCTAATAGTAGAGCGTTTATTGCACTGTGCACTGTGCATTGCACATACTGTACATTAGCACATTACATTCCCTGAACTCATATCTCTCCTTTTAGCTTCGACCTCTCTACTGTACTGTACGGGTCCCCCTTCATCTGCGTGCACCTCAGAACCTAAATCCCCTCCACACTGGGCTTCAGTTGGCCTACTCACATACTTCACACTTCAACCTTCACCCCCCAAGCTCCACCAACCCCCTGGCTCACCTTACCCTTACCACCCGACCTTCCACGAGCCACCCCTCCACTCCATGCATTGAATCGCGGGACCACAAATTTCGCCCTCCACCATCTCAACCACAAGAACATCACGTCTTCCACTTTCCACTTCGTACCCTTTTCGGCGCATGCGCTGGTGGAACGCATGCATATTTCCCAACGACGGCCATCAGATTGGCAGAAGGGGTTGCAACTCGCATAGCTAGCTACACTTCACAGTCATGAATGGAGACTCAAGTCTGGTGGTGAGACTTGTCGAACGCTTTACCTCGAGAGTAAGTACTCCAATGGCCCGTCCGAATCCGCAACGCCATCTTCTTTTCTTGCTGATGCCATGTCTCTTTCTTAGCTTCCTCATCGAACCGGTTCCGCTTCCTATGGCTTCGCCAGCGACGACGTGGTTGCACTTTCCCGCTCGACTTTGATAGGTGTTAGTTCAACCAGCATAGCAGTGGTGGTAGAAACGCTCGTCCAGCTTCTCGAGGAGCTCGCCAGGCCGTACAGAGGATTGCAATCCCACCCGATTCATGTTCTTTACTCAGAACTATACGTGCTGGGACTGTTGGCAGAATGCTGCACGACGCATTGGTCCGCCGTGAACAGGCCTTCAGATGAAGACGATTCGGATGACGATCAAGAGAATTCAGATGCGGGAAGCAGCTCAAGTCACCCCCTCCCCGGATACGATCAAAGGAGGAGAGCATCCCGAAATAATATTCAGGTACGGGACCAGCCGCCAGAACCATTGAAGGATGATCTTGTGGGAAGGTTATTCGAAGTTGTCAAGGTCTTTTCAAACCCAGTTTCGGAGACCTATGTTCTTCCAAGCTCAGACATACTGGACGATTCATTCAAATCCTTCAGCAATTGGGACATCTTCGGTCCTGAATTGAATGAGTTTGCTGGTGAACGAAACGGCACGGAAGTTTCCAAGTTAATCTCGAACAAAGCCGACTCGATCGACGCCTACGTTAGAACCATTTTGGAATACTTATCCTTCTCCAATTGGCCTCGAGCTCTAGAATACGTTAGGAAATCTTTACAACATGCGGCGCATTCTGCTGTCAATGGTGGAGTGCAAGCAAATCTTCAAGGCGAAGACGATAGAAGCGCTCTGATTATCATTCGATTCATCTCTTGTTTCTGGGTGGATTCTAGAAAACTCAGCATTATCATACAGGAGCTATGCGGCACCTTTTTGCACTTGCGAAAGTTATTCCAAACGACCGTCGCAATAATAATACCCCAGATGATCACTAGATGGTTGGAAAGATTTCCTCACGAGTTTATTGCGCTGCACACGAAGCAAAAACGATTAGATGCCGGTATGTCACACTTTTTCATGGTTTTGAGCTCAGATCGCCTCCCTTGGATATCTGAAGAGAAGCGAAACAGCTTTTGATATACTATTGCCCTACCATATGATATAGATTGTATCTGGCGCCTGTTTAACCAAAATCATAACAACGTATCTTGGTGGCTTCAAGGATGGCTAAAGGTTACTAATTTGAAGATGCGTAGGGGCCGAAACGCTGTTTGATATGACGAACACAATGATCGACGGGGGCCGGCGTAAGGGACTGTTGCTACCCTTCCAGACTTCCCTAATCTTACTACTGCCCGATGTATTCGAAGTAGCAAGCAATATGCGTGATGTAAAGAGCAGCAGCATATCCAAAAAGGTCACGTTCTTGGAGATGCTCCGGAAGTCTTTGAAAAACAGGAATGAGACCGCTATTTACTGTTTGACCTTGGTTCTGAGAGTTGCAAGACATTTTAGTCTGGATAGTGATGCGGCTATTCTCAGCTATGCTCTCGATGTCCAAGAAGAAGTCCGGGAGGCCGTGTTTAGAAAACAGTCTGGCAGTACCGACTCCTCATATATCGACACTTCTCTAATGACAGCTGTCTTCGTTAGTCTAACACATCTCAATTTTGAGCAATGTGTTGCGAGTCTGACGCCTGTCTGTCTTGCCCCAACCTCACCTCTAAATTTTAAGATAACCCTAGTCTCTTCGTGCTCACATTTTGCTCGGCAGTCGAATGCAGATGAGTATTTGCCTTTGTTTGCAAGAATCGCTGATTTCGTTCGCAATCAGCTCAAGGTATGTAAGCTTCTCATTTTGTGAAGTCAAACTAACTCTTAAAGACTTCATATCTCAAACCCCGGGATTCCTATCCCACAGAGCATTACTCACACAGTTCTATCTCGTCTGATATGATATATCATATCCTTCTATTTTTGGATGCCTCGCCCCTTACTCTCTTTCTCGGCGCTCCAAAAGCACCTAAGGAGATGGTTTCTTTCCTCGAGGCCTCATTTACCTGGTTTACAGTGTATCTTGTATCAGATAATGATGTAACTGTGCGAATGACAAGCACAGTGGCCCGGAAGCTGTTGCAACGGGGTACAGAAAGCTCCTTTGCCACTCCAAATATGGGCCCCAGAGGCGAGCCCATGGACTTGGCTATCCTAAAGCACCACTTCTGGGTATCAACGTAAGCCTCATTCTCTTCCTGGCGTGTTTGATCCTTGACCGTCCCACAACCATAATCGAGCATCGAATATATGAAGCTACGGTAGAGCTTGACAGTATTATTCTCTATTATTTTGTACAAAAGCCCGCCTAGCATGCTTGGTCCGCATCCCCGCAACCCATTTCAGCCACCATCATTTACTACTGCCTGGCTCTTACGTACTCTTTTTATCGCGTGTGGTAGGCTAACACCGATTTGATAGATCCAATGTTCTCCTGGCAGTGGCTGAAAAGATCAAAACGATGACTAGCAGTCGCGCTGCTTCACTCTGTTTTGTTCGCGATTACTTGGAGTCACGTCTATCCATCGTGAAGAAATACAAAGTAAGTACTTGCAGCAAGAGGTTCAGAGCGAATCGACCGTATTTTGATATGAAGGATTAATTCGGCATACTGACACTTTCTTGCCAGGTATTGGCCGATCTGGATGAGGAAATACCAGAACGTTCTGCTGCAACCTCAATGATGGAGACTGCATTCCTAGTATCTTTATGTTCGACAGATATCGGGACTTGTCAATTGGTTACTAAATGTATATGGCTGTATTGTGAAGAGGCTCGAATCGTGGATGATGCAGTGTCTGGACCGAAGGCATCAATGACACCCATGCGAAACATCGATGTCTACGTCCGAATTTCTTCAAAAGACTTTCGTTTTACTGGATTGGTAGCCTTTCAAAAGCGTATCCGAGGGTTTCTTCGGCAGATGACTTGTCCAACAGCGGGAATTTTAGCTGCCTGGGAAACCGTCTTCCACTCCTGGCTCAAAATCTCTAAGATGGACCATCTCCTCAATCGTTCCACGGATAGTAGGGACGAACGGGCTCTTGTAGAATGGCGCAACTATTCTGGATTTCTGGCCTCTCTTGGGGGTACTTGTATTTCAGGGCAATCTCTACCTTCAGAAGAACAGAACCTTGCCGGCCTTACATGGATCGATCAAACCCTGCCAGATAGCTTTGAAGAAGCACCTTTGACAAAGTACTTGAAGCAGAGCGTACAGTTGCTAGCTAGCCACAATGTCAGAATAAGGGAGGCCATGAGAGAAGCGCTTTCAAGCGAACTTGCCTCCTCTTTATACTTGCCCTTATTCGAGAATCTGGAAGCAGAACTAGGGGTTCTTTTTGACAGTTCGAGGGCCAACACATCGCTTTCCATCGAATCGCGTGTCATCTTCGGTGAACAAGCATCGGCGCTTCTGAGAAGCATCGTTGAGAAATTGGGGGGACCAGCTGAGGCTGGAACAAATATTTCCATCGATGTTGGTGCCTTGACCCTCAACTTCGCCAAGTTCTTGGATGAGATGACAGAAGGCGCGAGTGTACTTCGAGTTAAGATCAAGATCTGCCAATTATGTGAGATTGTCACACAAAAGAAGGACCTGCTCAATCTTAGGCACGATGTACGCATCAGAAATCAGCTTCTGGAAGTCATATTTAGCTGGATTGCTCGTCCAGACACACCAAAAGATACTGTCAGTGCTTCTAGCGCTACCAGCGGCAGCCGCATCGACGAGATTCTCAAGCTCCATAGAGATCTTGATCGAGCATGTTTGAAAGCTCTGGCTGATCTGACATACCGCCTTCCTTTACAGCCAGCGGAGGGTCAAACCGACGCCGATACAAGCGACCTGAAATCACAAATGTTTCACACGTATTTCAACAGATTTTTGTCCCTGCTAAACTACGAGTCGAACGATATAAGAAGGCACGAACTGCGCGCCCCACAAGGTGCCATTGGAGACCCTAATTCCCCAGGGCTTGCCATTACTGCTCTCTCAAACCTTCTTAGCGCAAATATTGATGTAGGACTCAAACATTCCCTTGGAATTGGCTACCACGAGGATCTCGACATAAGAACGGCTTTTGTCAAGGTTCTTTGCAACATATTGGTTCAGGGCGCTGAATTCAATAACTTATCAGATACCGCCGTGAACGAGAGATATGACGAGCTAATTGAAGTAAGTCTTCTCTGGAAATACTTGTGAATTTACGCTGACTCCCCCAGCTTCTATTGAAAAATATGGGCTTAACCATAGCTCTTTGCGATGCATGTCCAAGCACGGAAGTTGATGAGATGACAATTTCTTTGCTTAACATATTTGACTCACGAGGCTTAGGCTTTACACTTCTCGAAGGACTCATTGAGCACGAGGTTGAGCAAACTGGTATGTGCCTACAATGCTTCCAAGAATACTTTTCGACTAACATATTGCAGAAAACGAAGCTGAACTTCTTAGGCGGAATTGTGTCGCGACCAAGATGCTTTCAGTCTATGCTAAATGGAAGGGCGCGTCTTACCTAAAAGCTACATTGCAAAAGGTCCTCGAGCGCCTTGTTCTCACTTCGAAAGATTTGGATTTAGAACTTGACCCAGCCCGTACCACTTCTCCTGAAGAACTCCAAAAGAATGCATTGCAACTCCGAGTAGTTACCAAAGTCTTCATAGATGATATCTGTAACTCTGCTGCCCATATACCGGTTTCTTTTAGAATGATTTGCAGCATAGTGAGTCTCCAACGTAAAGCACTCTCCAAATCTGCACTTCTGACTTTATTATAGATATCCACAGCTGTCATGAAGCGATTTCCAGAAGCCAAGTTTACTGCTGTTGGGGCCTTCATATTTCTGCGCTTCTTCTGCCCCGCTATTGTTGCCCCAGATGTCGAGGGCCTTATTACCTCTTCGCCCTCCAAAGAAATGCGTCGCGGGCTGTTGCTTATCGCCAAAGTGGTGCAGAATCTTGCAAACAACGTTCTATTTGGTGCTAAAGAGCCATACATGTTTCCACTGAACGACTTCCTCACCCAGAATATCTACCGTGTCACTACATTCCTGCGAGAAATCTCTGTTAGTGCTACCTATTTATCTTTCTCTTTGGATTGACTGCTAAACAGACAAAGGTTGCTCCTACCATGAACGAGCCGTCCATCGACTCCGAATCCTTTGACTTCGGATCTTGTGTTGCACTCCACAGGTTTCTCTACGACCATTGGGATCATGTTCGTCAAAAGATAGTGGTTGGAGAGAGGAAATCTGCTGTGCCGATGCTCGACTTCGGCAGAGAATCTCTTCCAATATTGGACTCACTTCGAAAGCTTATTAACAACCTTGGTCCTCCGCCTATGGATGTCTCATGGAACCGACCGATGATCTCCCTTAATACCCCGCCATCCTATTCTCGATTTCAGCATTTCATGCTTCGAAACGCGGGCAGGAACACCGAATCATTGGTCTCAACTCGCGCTGTTTATGATGGGGGCGAAAGCAAGGTTTGTGCTGTCCTCAATGGTTTGGAAGCTTGACTAATCATAGTTTAGGACGGATTGCCGATGATTTGCGTCATCTTGAGAAATATCGATACGGAAGCTGTCGACTACGAACTGTTATTGTTCGGGTATCTAAAGATTGCCAGTCGTATGTGGCATCGTCCTTTTGGTATACTAGTTGATGCAACCTGCTATAATGGGCAGAATGAGCCACAAGATGCCTTGTTTCGGCAGTTAGACCTGTTAACGCCAACCGAACTTTCGAAACAGCTTTCAAGAGTCTTCGTGTACAATATGAACAGTGCATTTAGGTAAGTGGCCCTCTCCCACCTTCAGAACGCCAACCTTATTTGCCTCTTAGAAAATGTTTCCGGCGTATTTTGCGCCTTGCTGCCAAGAGCGAAATTAGTGCATTCCATCCTAAAAATGTTGATTATCACCTTATTGGTAGTCTCCAGGATCTCCAAGCTCATTTTCATCTGAGCCAACTCCATTTACCAAAAGAGACCATCAGCGTGGTTACCGATACTCGATACGTTTTCCAGCCGATTACAAGGCTGTCCAAAACGAAGGGGAAGGTGGAAGTCGTGATCAAGGTCGGAAGTCAATTTGTGCAGGTCACTACTGCGAAGAAGCAAGAAGTTGTGCCAGGGCTGAGACTTCACGCTACTGTCAACGACATCTTTCGTCTCTCTGAGGTGGATGAAGCTCCTACATCCATACAGACAGAAGACGACTCTGCCTTTGGTCTCAGAACGGAAAACGGAAAGATTGTAATGTACTTTACAAGTCCAAGGAAGCCGGATGTTCTTCAAGCAATCAGGGGAGCCAAATCCAAATATGGAAAAGAGCTGAGGACTCTCAAATCCTTTGAAAGACTCGTTAGGCCTCAAGATGTACCAGGAACTCTGCTGAACATTGCTCTCACAAACATGGCCAGCTCTGATCAAATTCTTCGGCTTGCTTCGTATAACTTGCTGTGCGCACTTTGCCGTGCATTCAAATTCGCCGCTGACGCCAAGTTCATGAGTACAAATGGTTTGTGCTTTTCTCCTTGCATTTTTTTACTTACTAACCTCCCATAGAACTTTGCGTTCCGCTTAATCCGTCCCAGTTTATCATTGATATCAGTCAGCAACTAGCGCGGTCTGAGCCTCAACTCACGGTGGACTTTCTCAACGAGTTTTTCGTGGGATGGGAGAGTTTTCCATTTTCGCAACGACCACTGAGTCTTGCATACATGGCGCCCTGGCTACCAAGTTTGCGGACGAGTTTAATGCCCACAGATATTGACAGCGACAAAGCCAGGGAGAAAGTTGCAACAATTTTTCGGAAGCTCATAGAAGTAGCTATATCTGATGTCACTCTCAGTACAACTTTGGAGCACCGGGTATGGCCTATTATCTGCCGGGATGAGATTTATACCGAAGTCTTCTTGGAAGAAGTCATCAAGGCGGCTCTGGGCTACGGAATTGAAGATGAGCGGACTGAGATCCTTGGATCCATCATTGCTTCTCTTGGAACGATCACAATACGTGGAAGACTCCTTTCGCGGCTCCGAAAAGCACTCAATAGAACATCGCTGCGCCCTACTTGACAGCTACCGGACAACACAGTATGGGGCGAGATATGTGTGCTACTTCGTCTTTGTCTTTCTACTTCGTTCGATAGTGGGGTGCAGTCACAAATCTACCTCCCTGAGCTTTCCCACCTTGTCACCATGCTTGCCAATACTGGGACGACCGAAACAAGACTTATGGTGCATCGCTTATTAATAAATACTATACATGCTATGTGTACATCTTTTCCTCTCGATGAAAGCAAACTCGCTAGACTGAAAGCTCTGCTTCTAACGCTTTCGGAGCCTCAAAGCGGCTCATTGTTCAATCTTCCATCTCGAGAAAATATGAGCACAAGCTCCATACAAGACACCGGTATCGCGGCTTTGAACGCGACCGAATCTCTAGCTAATCTGCTTTCGGAAGTGACTACGGTGGCTGCGCCTTCCATTGATGTTTCGAACGCCTGGCGTTCCAGGTGGATGAGTCTCGTTGCTAGCACTGCATTCCAGAGCAATCCTGCTATTCAGCCTCGAGCATTCACGGTTATGGGTTGCTTGGCCCGAGAAGATGTTGATGACGATCTCCTTTATCAGGTCCTTGTTGCACTCAGAAGTAGCATCGGCCGTTATATGGAAGAAGGTGACAGCGAGATGCTAATTGCTATTGTGTCTTCTCTGACGAAGATGATGGAAAAACTTCCAACTGCCTCTCGCTATGGCGTTCAATTGTTCTGGCTTGCCCTCTCACTCGTCAGGCTAGTTCCTCTACCTTTATACAACTGTACTGCCTCATTTTTGGAAGCTGTTGTTGGCAACATTGCTACTTCTGGAGATTTTGAAGATGGTAGAATGGTTTTCACGTTATTGCAAGGCCGTGTTCCTCTTGAAGAAGCGGCAACGCAGCTCGACGAAATGTATGGTATACATTTTAGTATGGAAAGTTTTCACTTTGCCGTTGTTGCTACGCTGGTTAAAGGTCTGGCTGATAACGTCACCAAGAATACTTCAATACGAGTTCTATCGACATTATTGGAAATCACTAGTGTCAGCACACCGCACGGCACGAGATTTCCAGATGATCTCTCTGGCATCCCGTATCTCGGAACATTGATAGCACGATCACTCAGCCCATCCAGGTCAGATACAAATAAATCCTTCTTGTTCAGTGCGGAGAATCCCGTTGGTGATTATGTCACACCCGGGGATATCATGCGCCTAATCGATATGGAAAAGATCAAGGACAAGGAATTGTTGTTGAATGTTGCCATTGGTCTAATTGATTTCACGTTCTTGGAAGACTCGGTGCAATATCGTTGTCTACTATGGCTCAACCAAGTCGCACTCCAAAGGCCAACTGTCGCTTTACATCTGTAAGTATTTACTCGTGCACATGCGTTTTCCAAACTAATTCTCGAAGGTGTTCTCCTATCATCAATATGCTCGACAATCTACTCATTTCCTGCCAGAATGCGGCAACACTCGAGTCCGCTCATGATTTACTCCGTACTATTACATCAAACCCAAAGTTCTCGGGCGCCGTAGATACTTCTGAAATGTTGGAAGATGTCCTTGAAGGAATTGGATTCGGTGGGCTTTGGCGCTCAACGACGTTTCATGTTCGGAATGAGAATGAGAGGCAGTGTACCATTCTCACAGACAAGCTTATTGAGGTATGTTTCCCTTGTCATATTCGCTTACTAGAAGCCATACTAACATTCTTTTTCACCAGCTCATTATTGCATAAACGAGGGGTAAAAAGCATGCATCATGGAGTCTTGTTTTTTTTTGTTTCTGCTACGCAAAAGAGCGACATATGCAATTTTCTTTGGTTCTGTTCCGTCATTTTTGCTCATTTTTGTTTATCGTTACTCTTCTATCGCATTTTTATATATCCCTTTTCATGGTTCCCTTTTTTGATGCTCTCATGGATTTATGAATGAATGAATTTGATAAAAAAGTGGAGGTGCATGGATAAAACGATGAGTGACGGTGATATATATATATATATATATGGTGGGGAACAGGTCGTAAGGGCTTGTGAAGGATGGAAGTTGATAGCGTGAAGGATTGTTGATATCTTTTAGGTAATTAAGCTGGATATATGATACCCTGTTGCTAGACAGATATTTTGCGTCCATGCCCCCTTTTCTCGCTGTTCATACGCTTTAACGGGGATGGAGATGAGATTTGCGGTGGTTCATTTGAAATTTGTAATGATCTGGTGAATATGACGGGAGACCAGTACACGACGATATAATCTTTCAAGCAGTGTATGTATTTGACCTAAAGACCTTCTCAAACGACGATCTGCGGGCCAATGATAGCATATTAGTACAGGAACACTTCGATTTTGGGGGGAAACAGTGTTAGTTTGATTTATAGCGGAAGTACTCTAGACTACAGGTATGCCATTCTATTCCCCCTTTTCGCACCCTCTTTCCGTGTCCCCTTAAATTCCTTGCACATACCAAATACCTGCCCCTACCTGGGCACCCTAGCAGTCTCCGTTGTATCCTCCTAGCAGTCGCATGCTCGCTATTATTGGTGTTATGTTCTCTGTCGATTTTTAGGTTAGAGATAACCACTTCAAGTCTTAATTCTCAACCAATATATAAGTTAACTAGTACGGAGCAAGTCGGGCCAAGGCCCTTAGCGTTCCTAAACATTATTCCGACCGGCCCGACCTGTTAAACAGGAAATCGCAAACTCAAAAAGCGAAATATACATATACAACGTTATAGAAAAAGCCTGGATGTCTTAAAGTTTTACTGCCGCAAGGGAAGTGAAAGCTGGTTAAAGAGCGAGGACCAACAGTAAATAGTCGCTAGCGCGACAACTGTGCTAGCTTCGTCTTTTTAGGGAGGTAATATTGGGGTTAGAAATAAGCGAGAAGCGGGACCAAGATATCTCCCCCCTTCTGCTCCTCTTTCTCTCTCTCTCTCTCTCTCTCTCCTGAACAATATACAAGTGTAAAAACTATATATAACAATAGAATTACCATAGGGAGAATACGACAGCTAGGATAGTAGAGTTGAAGTGTCTACTTTATTGATATTTTCTATATATATTAAAGTCGTTTAGCTAACCAGGCAGCAATTCGAAGCATTTAAGCCTTACTTTGTCTTAATTATTGTATTTACCTCTATCTACTTTATGCCTAGCTTACACCTAGCACTATTCAATTCGGAAGGGATAAATAGTAAGGATAGAACAGTAAATATACGATAGTAAGCATACAATGATAAGGGTATAGTAACAGTAAGGATATAGTAGTACGTACTAAGGGTAAGTAAGAATAGTAAACTCGCATATAAAATCAAGATCTCTAATCTTAAGTAAGGCGAGGGTGTAGGGGTACAGGCATAATAGTACTAGTAAGTAGGTATGTACCTTTTATAATTTACGATTTATAATTTAAGATTATCTCGTTATTAGTCTAAGGGTACTTTGAGGATTCCGTACCAGGACGCCGTAATAAGATTGGTTAAGCGTATTTATAAACTCTCCAAGTTGCACACGTACAGTGTAGATATTTGATCATATACCCCAAAAACTTAACTAGAAAAATAATACGAAAAGGCAGTTCAACTTTTAGAGCTTCGCGCAATTATTTCTAGGTCTGATTTTGATTTTGAGCCGGTAAGAAAACACTGTGTTTGGATTAAAAGGGAGGGCTCTTATGCATATTTCTTAAGAATGTCTGTCTGGTTTGGGAATAAAATTACGCGAAACTAGATTAGAACTATTGTTCCTCGCAACCTGATTATGGGAAGTCCTCTTCTAGAGAAGGATGTCTTTGTCCGCATATACAGGTCTCTTTATCTACAGATATAGCTATTATTGTTTCTTGTTGCGCAACCCCTGAATTCTAGCGAGTTGACTCGTTCAGCCGATCCCAACCTCTTAGCTACCAAGATTGGCTGCATATCTCAGGAGTTAGAACAAATCGCAGATACAACTGAATTTCTGGCTGTTGTATTTATTTTTCCAAACGCGCAAGCGTCACCAAAGAAACCGTCTGATCTGGCCCGGGGGAAGAGGCTATTTATACTCGCCAACAATGTTCCAAGCCAGAGTCAAAGCATGTGTCTTATATTGATAAATGGTTTGGATTCTGACTGCGATAAAGTCTACCTGAGATACTTTCTGAAACTAAAATCCAACCCACTTCTTATGCCTAACAAGCATTCTACACATCGAAATGATGACTGACGTATGACTTATAACCAAAAAAACACATGGTTAAAACTAGAAGTTCTTGTTAGCGATTGGGCAATGAAGTCAAACTCCTGAAGGCAACGCACCTGAGGTATTTCTCAGTGAAACCATATAGCATATAGACAGCTGAGACTTTTCTCAACTGATTCTATAGACATGGTGGGTAGTAACGTGTTTTCCGTCTTTCGAAAACTCGACAGTAATGTGTTCTCTTGGATCGCCTTGAGTGGTGTGCCAGGTGTCTCCGGAAACTCTACTATCTTATCAGCCACAATCTTGAGATGAGCTACAGAGAAATGTACACATGCGGAACTGGTTTGATGAAGGCAGCGTCAACCGCTCGTCTTCCAAGTCTGCCGTTTTCAACATGTCTGTTGATCTCCAATTCAAGAGAGGGGGTTCGTGTGCTCTTTTGGGCAATTGTGACGTCGATTTTGCTTGATCCTGCTTCTGGTGCCATTCTGGGATTTCAAAATACGAATGGATATATAAGTGGGGCTGACAAGAATAGAAAGAAGTGGAAACTGAATCTAAGAGGAGTGAAAATGGAATGGAATAAGAGGGAACTGCTGATGCTTGAGGAGTGATTTCAAGAAGGAAAAACAGCTGTTCATTCATAGATTTTTGAACCTCTTCTGAGTCCATGTAGAGATCTGAATTGTTGGTCTCGAGTTGGTATTCTCCATAATACTAATACGGATTCGAAGTGTTGCTTCGCTTTCTACATGGATGCTATCTCGCTTTGGCCATTTCCAACATGTTGAAGATAGATACCAGGCATACAGAGATCCCAGCAATAGATTCTTGACCCAGGAATTGTCCTCGGGGCGCTTGCTGGTCCCTTTAACAAAGTTAGCATCGAATGAAGAAAGCCTGTCTCACAAAATGGGTCCGCTGAATTATTTCGAGTTTGGCCAACCGCGTCTTGCGCCTGCCGGGACGGTCTCATGGAAAATTGGAACTAGTTCATAATTCGCTAGTCTGCTACAAAAAGGGTCAAACACCAACAGCCTTTGCATCTTCTACGTACTCGAGTACAGTATCTGTTTTGCAAAACTGCAAGCATTTTCGGACAAAGCTCGGCAATCGATGGGTTCTGTGTATATCTTTACCGCAGGGGATGATAGGACCGTAAGCGCCTTGGAGGGGCACGTCACATCGGCTTATACAGACCCATATAATCCGAATCCTCCGATGACCTTACAAAATCCGTATTGAGCAGATTGGTGGTTTTGATTCACCAGTTACTTCCAGTAGTGACAGATAACGAAAAATAGGCGCTGGAAGGGAGTGTGGCGGGAGACGCCAGCACCCTTGGTATGCCAAGGCAAAATCTACATGCCTTGCTAGCACAGCCCACACCAACCAACTCAAGCTAAGCTCTGCAAGTCCAACAAGAAGAGAAATATGCAGCTGAATGATTTCTCAACTCATACTAGTTTTGAGACGACGATATACGCCCTTCAGTTTCAAGGCTAAATTTTATTTGTCCCCTCAGAGAGCCATGTCTACCTCGCCCGATCCTCACTCTGCTCCAAAGAAACTCCTCAACGACAGGAACTTTGAGGAGGGCGAGATTCGATACCACAAGGGTGGGTTCCATCCAGTACGTCTGGGTGAGATATATAATTCCAAGTATAAGGTGCTTCGAAAGCTAGGATACGGAAGATACTCAACGGTATGGCTGGTGAAGAATCAAGAGTATGTGCCTATGTAGCCCCCTCACTCACAACACCGTACTTGCTAACCACAACAATAGGGCTCAGAAGCTTTGGGCTATGAAGGTTCTGAGTGCTGAGTGTTATGGTGCTGGTACAGATGTTTTTGAGCTAGAAATTATGCAACATCTCACGGAGAAGAATCCTGAGCATGAAGGTTATCCATATATTTCTACCCTCCACGATTCCTTTCGACACGAGGGACCAAATGGTTCCCACGTTTGTCTTATCATGAAAGTCATGGGCGAAACACTTTCCACTTTTGCAAATTGGTTTGACAATCGTCAAATTCCCCATCCATTGGTCCATCTCTACTCGTGGCAGCTCTTGGCGGCCTTGGACTATGCGCACTCATGTGGTGTTATTCACACAGGTATTTCTCCTAGACTATTTTCAGATTGCAATGATACTGATATCCATACTCGGCAGATATCCAACCGAGGAACATAATGATGAAAATCCCGGATGAATCAGTAATCGAGAGATATCTGGAAACAAGCGAGCCGGTCTCAAATCCCGACACTCAGGAATCCGCAGCTGGTTCGAATGTTGTAGCAACCCAGAGCTTGAGGGATGTTTACTTCCCGGAAAATTTCAATCTCATGAATGTCCATGTTGCACTGGGAGACTGGGGTGTAGCGAGCTGGGTGGATAGACACCTAACGGAACATATCCAGCCGGTACTCCTTCGATCTCCAGAAGTATTACTTGAGGCACCATGGGGTCCCGCGGTAGATATCTGGAACCTGGGAGCGCTGGTACCGGAGATGATATATGCTCAGCAGACATTTTCCGGAGAATCGCCTGAGGGGAAATACAGCACACATCAACATCTTGAGGAGATTGCAACTTTACTAGAGCCATTCCCAAAAAGCCTGCTGGATAAAGGAAACCGGGAAATCGTCAAGCCAGTTTTTGACGAAGATGGAAATATCAGTGAAAAGAGGTTGACACGCTCTGTTGGACTGGAGCAAAGATTCAAGGACATGCCTGATAACGAGAGGAACAAGTTTATTGAGTTTGTACGGGCACTTATGACCGTCGATCCAGAGAAACGGGAATCGGCGAAGGTTCTAATGGACCATCCTTGGTTCAAGTATGACTATTCTATTGGAGGGTGATTGGGGAAGGTGTAGCTGGGAGAATGAACAATCGGAGTGGTCTTAAGTGCCTCTCCATGTCGCCTTTACGGTCGCATATTTCACGCTTGTGCACCCTACAACCACCCTCTCTTTAAACTATTTAAATGAATCGCAAAAATATGAATTAAATCCCAAAGTCTTTGGCATCTCTTTTATCAAGGCAGAACTTATGAGAAATGCTATAATAGTTAGTACGTCTTCCCATCTGCGCTATCGCTTAAGATTAGCGGAAGCAAGTGAACTAGGTAAGCAAATAAACCCGCTAGGTATATAAATAAGATAGATTTATAGGTATAATTAAGTACTATTATATACTAAGGTAGTATGTATTTTCAGATACGATTTATAGACGATATAGACGTGTTTTAGTATTCCTACCTTACCTTAATTTCTATAGGGTATATAAGGGTATAGTATAAATACGGCTTTTTATATATAAAAGTACCTTCCCTAGGTACGTACTTATCTTTATTATTAATAATATCTTAATACGATACGGTCGTATTTGGCTCTTTAGTCATTATATTATAGAGCTAATTAAGGGCTTTTTTTAGGCCTATATAGAGGTTTATAGCTTAAAAACTAACTACTATTAATAACCCCTAAGCTAGACGGGTTCACTTACTTGCCTAGCTCACTTACTTCCGCTGACCTCAAGCAATAGCGCAGATGACAAGGCGCACTAACTATTAGGTAGGACTTTCCATAGGGTAATATAAAGCCTTGATCAAGTTTACGGATCATTTATTTGACCGCAACTTCGGACCGACCTATGATGAAATGCGCGTTTGCTTCCCAACAACAGGCACACAGTTACCCGTTACCCAACTATACATAATCTAACATCACTCCAACATTTCTGATTGTACTTCAAACAGCAAACCACTTTGTAACTAGTTGGAGACACATTTTATTTCAACGAATCTATATTTCCAAGAGCCGATTACTTGAACCTCTGATCAACAGCAAAGACTCTTCAGTGAACGAATAACTATGGTTACCTCATGCTCATTGTCAAGTCCAAACTCGAAGCTCATCACATCTTTGGAACATCTCAGCAACTTCCTTAATAACTCCTGCCAGCGAGCTCTACATCGACATGGAAGGGCACAATCTCTGTAGACATGGCACCATCTCACTCATCACCATCCCCATCCACCCCCAGAAGCTAGTGAAACTCATCGACATCGATACTCTCAGAAATCCCGCCTTTGAAATCTAAACACCTAGTGGAAAATCCCTCAACTCAATCCTAGAAGACCCCCAAATCCCGAAATACTTCTGGGACATCCGAATGGACGCCGATGCGTTGTTCTCCCTTTACGGAGTCGATCTCGCGGGCATCACCGATTCCACTCCTCGAGAACGCATCTCGAACCGGCGACAAGACGTACGTCCGAGGTTTGAATACATGTGTTCGATACGACCTAAAGCTCAGATTCACGAAAAGGGAACGCTGGATCCGAAGAAAGAACAAGATCCAAGCTTTCATGCCATACGGGGTATTTTCCATACGCCCAATATCAGAAAAAACCATCGAGTACTGTGTAGCAGATGTTCTCCATCTGCCCAAGCTATGTGCTTTATACTTGCAACGACTCCATCCGGCCATCAAAAACGATTGGCTCTCCAAGGTTGCAAAGGAAAGTGAGAATTGTGTACTAGAGGCTCATTCGCTGACTTGTGATCCTACATCGGAAGCGAGGAAACTGGGGCTGTGGAGACCTATACTGCCTCCTTTTGAGGGTTGTGATTTTGATTGTCCGTATGTGGATGACTGAGATGATGATGATATTAGGTATTTTGATGATATGGAGAATGATCGGAGTGGATGTTGTGCGGCGGATGGGGCGTTTGGTGACGATGCGTTTGTTAGTTGTTGGGATAAGAACTCCTGAGAAATTTGTGGCAGTTTTGGAGGATAGTTTCTGTGATTTGGAACTGTAAAAGCTTAAGTCTTGGGTTACTCGTCTTCAAGTGGGATCTAGCAAGGGCTGTAATTGATCATTGTATTTTCAAAATTAAATCTATTATTTTTTAACCGCTGGCCCTATTTCTTCCAGCTGGCCTTCAGTAGTGGCCAGTCTGCGGTATCATTAATTTAGAGTAATCATTTAAATTCTAACATACATCTTCCCACCAAGCCCCCTCGCTTAATCCACCTGGTGACCCAGCCAATCAACCCAACCACACTCGTACCCTCTACCCAAATACAAGGCCCGCAATCCAGCAAAAACCATCCCAACAAAAGCAAACAAGCAAGCAAGCGTATAAATTAACAACAGTATCTCCAACATTCCCAAATACGACGTCCCAACCTTGCCTTGCTGCAAAAATCAACTAGCAAAAATTCACCTCTTACCAGACCAACACACCAATTACCTCACAGACCCAAATAACAAAACATTCACCCCCTCTATCCTTCATTTACAAATTGGTTTATCTATCATCAACATCAAATCTTCATTATGTATCGAATTTGTTGGGCTCAAGAGTGTGGTGTACTGAAGGTCATGAAGAATTGATTGATTGTTTGAGAAGCTATTGTACAGAGTATTTATAAGGGAAGGAAAAAGGGCAAGATGAGAAAGAAAGGGGTAAATGAGAGGTGGAGCCGTATCTCAATACGGACGCTGTACAAATAATAATACAATAATGAATAAGTGGATTCCACATCAGGTGATATGGTGGATCCAGCACAACAGAATTCCTGCACTCTACATATTTGGTCTCATAACAGTAAGGTAAGGAAGAGAGTCTCCACACCTCGCTTGGTACAATGAACCCCCTCCAAGGAATCAGACAACATTAATTACCTCCAAGCACTTATCACTTTAAAGAATAGACTCACAATACACACACCTGTCTGTCAATCTACACTCACAACCCCAAGCTGGTGAAGCACACCACAAAGATTCAAGAAGAAGCTCTCCATTCCTAAAACCCACACGATCAACCCCCCCAAAAACTCTAGCCTCACAAATTTCACAAAGTAAAGGCGGCCAGGCCACAAAAGGAACAGGAGTCTCAAAAAATCTCATAAAATGACCTGCTACACTGCTACCACTACCACGCCTCAAGAGAACAGAGAGAAGAGGGAAGAAAATAAAGTGATAATAAAAAAAAAGAACGCCCTAAAACCCCAACCCTTCTTGACACAAGATGTCCGTAAAAAAAAATCCATATGTACAATGCTGCCAAAAGAGAAGCTAGCAATCAATCAATCAAAAACACATGTCCCATCCCGTGCCCCATGGTTGTTTTAAAAGAGGCAGTTTGACTGGAACAAAAAAATAAAAAGAGAGGGGAAAATAATACGCCTCTCGCGTGCTGCAATTTACACTGTCGTCGCTTTTCTCTCCAGACCAGACCTCATCCCTGCCTAGAACACCAGCCTAATGCCATTCGTCTGCCTAGAAGATGATCAAACCAAAATTAGCTCTTCTCTAAAATTCATTTCTATCATCTCCTTTCTTTGCCTAGCAAAAATATTGTGGCCTTCCAAAATAGATTGAAGTTCCGACTGATGGTAGAACTCGAAGAAATCGATACAATCATTTGGTAAGGGTTTGGACTACCGTCCATTTCCATCGTAACGTCCATTATGTTGGTCTTCGTGCTGTCCGTGGTGTTCATCTCCATCGTGGTGCAAGGTCACTGAATTGAATTCCTCAAACGGATCAACAACCGCTTCTCCTGGTGTTGCTAAACCAGAGTCTAGAGGTACACCTTTAGGCATACCCATCCCTCGACTTCCGCTGATATCAACACTCTCACTCTCTTTCACAGGGCGGAAGTTGACAGTGTCAGTACCCTTTCCTTGGTGTGGGATCATTGGTGGTTTCATGTGACGAATGAGCGCCCATTGCGTAGTTCGAAAGAATGGGTGACCCTTAACGTCTGATGCACCAGCTCTGGCGCCCAAACGACGGTTCTCATCCTTGATAAGGAGTTTACGAATCAAGGATTTGCATAGACTGAATTTGAGTTAGCAAATATATTCTCCCTACAGGAGACACAGATAAATACTGACTTTGAAGTCTGGGGGTTACCAGAGTGTTCAGGAAATGGTACGTCATCTCGTAAAATATTCGCGAAAGTAGCATTTCGGTTTTTACCCTTGAAAGGTGTGGTACCAAATAACATTTCGTAAATCAAGATTCCAAGTGTCCACCAATCAACAGCACTTGTATGGCCACAGCCCTTGATCACCTCGGGCGCAATATACTCCTCGGTTCCAACAAACGAGTTTGTCCTGAAATTTGCTATACAAGACTTGGTATCGATGGTTGGTAATGAATTGGTGTTTGTGCCATTTCTACCGACGATCATGGTTGGTTTTCCACCGGGGTCCGATTGTTTCGAGAGATCAAAGTCTGATAACATAATGTGTCCGGATTGGTGGAGGAGAATGTCTACAAAATTAGCTCCGTCTTGGTGAATAGTGGGGGACCAACATACTCTCAGGCTTAAGATCTCTATAAATGAACCCCATCAGATGTAGATACTCCAGGGCCGCGGTAACTTCTGCAGCATAGAATCTGGCATCTTCTTCTGGTATACACCTACCAGGACGAGTTTGTAAAGCTCTGAAGAACTCTCCACCACTGCAATATTCCATGCATAGATACAGATGATCCTCGGATTGAAAGGAATGGTAAAGGGTGACGATAAATGGGTGATTACTGGTAGCAAGAATCTCTTGCTCAGCAAGAGCTCTCTTGATCTTATTTCGCTTGATCATCTCCTTCTTGCTCAATACTATGATTTGTCAGTAGGAACAATTATCAATTCAACAGCGTCCATACCTTTCATAGCATACAACCTGCTGCTCTTCTTTTCTCTTACAAGATAAACCTTTCCTACATCTCCCTTGCCAATCAACTTAATCTTATCGAAACTCGAGGGGCCGACCTCCACATTGCGGACCTTGATCGAGTTTGAGCTGTATGTCCGTCTGAAAGCCATGTTTCGATTTGGTGGCTGAAGTTCGCCGAGCCCGTCCTGTCCGGGTATGCTAAGATTTCCATTTTTTGAATCTACCAGCGCCAGCATACTTGTACTGGCATTTTGTGCTAGTGGCTCTTTACCCAGTTCCGCCGTGGCAGGACGGTCGTCGCCATTCTTGCCGGAAGAAAATAGGCCCTGTGCATTGGGTGCACTCGCTACTCTTCTCAACTTCCGAGCCAATTCCTCCTTCCCAGCGGCCGTGGCTTGATCGTTTACACCTGCAACAGCATCCAACTTCAGTGTTGGTGTATCAGGGGGACTTGGGGGTACTGAACCCTCATTGTGATGTCGCAAAGCAGGAGGGCCCTGATGTGCAAAGTAGGGATTTGCGTGAGCGGTAGGGCTGAGTCCATCATCCAAGCCATTGCCTTCACTTGCTACCGTATGTGACCGATTCCGGCCAACGCTGGGGAAGAATTTGGACTGTCGAAAAGAACTCTTGCTCTCGGATTTCATAGATCCTTCGTTCTTCTCGCTATTGCTGCTTCCCAGACTATTTATGCGGAAGAAGTTCTTGAGCTTCTGCGGGAAGGGATTGTGGCTGTGGCCATTGCTGCTCTTGGTGGGCATCGTGAAGCCAGAGAACATGCGTTTCTCGCTCGGCAGCGAGTTTGGGGAGGGAGAGGAGGAGTGGGAGAGGACGGTCATGGAGACTCGGAGCAGCTTTCACGAGAGCTGCTACTCGCCTGCCAACTTCCCGAGGGATGTAAAGGTAACCTGTCGGTCTCCAGGGTGAATGTCCAGGAGGGGAAGAGGTTGAAGGCTGAAGGTGCTGTGAATATGAAGGTTGGGTTCGGTCGTCGGCGTCTCTGTTTCTGTTTCGGTCGTTGCGGTTGAGGTTGGACCGTGCCTGCAGCAGCTGGTTGCTAATCACTCAAGAGGTGCGGCCGGGGATACTCGTAGCAGCAGTGATCCTCGTATCGTTAGGTGTTATCGGGTGGTACGGCTACGGCTCCAGACAAGTCCACGGGTACTTGTACGGTAACGTCAGAAGTCGCAGGGTCAGGCTCGGATGGGGGGGAAGTGGCGGAGCAGTGACAGGAAACAATGCCTCGCATCTACCGGACCTGTGGCATGGCAGTAATGGATTAGAAATGGGAGGGGAGGGCTTGGTGTTGTAGTCCAGAAATGGTTCATGTAGGAGTATGGGAATCAGGGAGTCGTCCTTGAGTGGTTAGGTAGAGCGGGTGTGGGTGCCCTTGGCTCTTGTACTTCTACGTTGTACGGCGGTGGTGCGCCTTCTCAACGGGCCCCCGGCCACAGGCAGGCACCTGCCCGGGCGGTTTGCCAACCTCCGGACACGTGATCCGTCTCTGCGAGTCGCCCAATTCCCCTGAAGACGGGCAGCCCAGAAAGTCTCTTGGTTTGGTTGAAAATCTTGTTCCCAAGAGGCCATCTCGAGACCACCGACGTCTCTCTCTACTGTAGATCTCTCGATTTCTGAATTTCTAGCCATAGTTGACGCTGCGGTCGATGCTGGAAACCCCCACGATGCAGGCACCACTTCACCCATTTTATCCTCCGGGGATTGAGCTCTCAGGACATGAATACGTCGCCAATCGCCTCGGAGCGCTCGCTCTAGTTCTGGCCTTTGGAGCAGGATGCTTTGTTATTCTCGGGAGTGCCTTGATTGTCGCCAATTGGGCGAATCCACGATTGAGTCGAGCCGATCGTGCGCTTTTCTTATGGTTTGTTTTGTGTAAGTGAAAATCCTGTTCAGTGGAGAACATGACCTAATTCTGACTTCATAGGCGGAATGATCCATCTGCTCTTTGAGGGCTATTTTGTGTTCAATCATAGGACCATGGCGAGCAGAGACGATTTCTTTGGGATGCTGTGGAAGGAATACTCCCTCAGTGATTCAAGATATATGTTTTCCGACCCGTTTGTATTGTGTATGGAGTCTGTGACGGCGGTACGGCATCAATTGCAATCATACTGCAGTTCCAATACTCACAAATTTATAGATAAGCTGGGGGCCACTATCATTTGCGATGGCAATTCTCATCGTGAAAGACTCTCCATACCGACATCCCATCCAAGCACTAGTCTCTACCGGGCAGTTATATGGAGACATGCTTTACTATCTCACCAGTCTTTTCGATGACTACCACTCTGGAAAGAGGTTCTATCGTCCCGAACCTTATTACTTTTGGTTTTATTTCGTCTTCATGAATGCTTGGTGGATCATCATTCCTGCCGGTAAGTTTCTTATTCCCGGATTTGGGGTGGCTCTAACGGAAGAAGCTTGTCTGTTCAGCTCTATTCGCGCTACAGCAAAGGCTTTCGTGCTGGCAAAAAGAAATGCGGAGAATGGGAGTGCGAAAAAGACATCCTAGAAAGCCTTCTTCAATTTTTTGGATGGATTATGTGAAAAGTCGAGGGATTCTCAACAGACAGGAAGAAGACGCGATGATAACTTGAGTGTTATCAATAGAGGCGTGGCTACCATTTATGATGTTAATGATACGAAACAGGCGATGGCAACAGTAAAACTACAACTTCTCAAACCGAACCACACGCCCAGATCATGCGTACAACCACAAGATAGCTACAGCTTCATCCTCTACTCCTCAAGTGAATGCCTGTGTAGTATCAGGGCTAAGATCTTTTACGTAGGTAACCGTACTGTAGATTTTCACACAGCCAAGACCTCGTGTTCGACGGAAAACGGTATTGTACCTCAGTTGTTGATCTACCTTCATTCGAAAATTCATCGCCAGCCCAAAACCCTTGGATAGTTAAGCATATCTTCTAATAGCCTTGCAGTGGATAAAAATCACGAGGCCGAAGAGAACATTTCCCCCTTGTGCCATAATTCCAGGCTGATAACAAGAACCCTTTTACTTCAACCAATTACTTTAATTAAAACGAAACGATTGCGAAATGAAATCCTCGGAACGGAGGTACGATAGAACGGCTGTTTACAGACCATTATCCTCCGCATTACGAGCACTCCCTTCTTCAAGCCCAACCATGCAGGTCATTTCTCAATGAAAGAATAATAAGGGTTTCCCATAGGGATGGCAATCAAAAATTCCCCCGATCAGGACCCCGAAGGATACTGAACAGATCTCGATACCCCGATGTGCAATGAAGATCTCGTTCTGCCAAGTTCATATGCTTGAGCATGAAATCTTGTCAAGAAGGTAAGTATGAAGAGAAAGGAAGGAAAGAAGAGGGAAAAGTTGGGGGGAGCGCGAGTCTTTATACCCGGGGAGATGCGGCTTAAGCGAGCTGCGGTAAGCGGTGTGAGGCCTGGGCTGGGCAAACCGGTGGATCGCATCGCGTGCCAACCAGTTTGCTTGAAATGCAGGGCTCAACAGGTGATCTTTTTCGAGTCATGGCGAGTGGTGAGCGGCGAGCCGAGGATGGAGATGGGTTGTTATTCTTCAAGAATCGAGGTATCCAATAGAAAAGATGCGGAGGTCGTGATTTGCTTTCTGAGCATTTATGTCATTGTATTGACTGTTGTGCAACTTCTGTACTAGGTGAAGGAGTGCCGTACAACAACACCTACAAATTAAGTGGTTCAAAGGATACAAAAGCAATTAATCTTTTATGCATCTGATACACAAAAATTCACATTTTCATCTCGGTGCTTCTCAAACTATCCCTCAAACGAAAAAACGTCATCCCAAGTACGGAGACCAGGTCACAACAGACGAAAGCGCTAAGCTAAGCCCCCCGCCACTACTTCGCCAGGCCTGCGGCACCGCACCGCACTGGCTGAACTCCAATCCAACCTCTCACGTCCTATCTCTATCCCCCCACACACAGACGATAGCTGCTAACAACCTGACCTTCCACCATTCCTCCAACTCCAAACTTCCAACCACGGACCCAAGCAAAATGAAGTTCTCCCTCGCCCTCGCATCGCTTTGCTTAAGCTCCCTCGTCGCCGCCGACTTCGGTTTCTCCTACGGCAGCAGCCAAAAGGTCCTCGACGATAAGGGAGAGGCTGTGCCAGGCAGTAACCCGTTGGTCCACTGCAAGAAGGAACATAGTGATGACCTACTCACCCTCGAGCATGTGAACTTGACTCCAAACCCACCTGTACCGTAAGCTTCCAGCTTCCTAGATTTATCTTCCTCAAGGTTATATTAGCTGCATAAGCTGACTTTGGTTTCCAGCGGCCAAAACCTCACGATCGAAGCTGTGGGTTCCATATCGCAGGATGTTGGGGAGGGCGCATATGTGCTTCTAACCGTCAAATATGGATTCATCAAGCTTCTCACCACCAAAGCGGATCTCTGCGAACAAGTCTCAAATGTAGATCTGAAGTGTCCGATTAAGGCGGGAAAGACGACCATTACCAAGGACGTGGAAATACCAAAACAGATTCCAGGTGTAAGTGCCAAACTATATCATAGCTTTGTTCTTTATTAATTAGCGATTTAGGGAAAATATACCGTCAATGCTGATGCCTATACTGCCGACGATAAGCACATTGTGTGTCTGGAAGCCAGCGTCGAGTTTCCATAAGTTATGAGTGCAAATGGGTCTATGAGATGAATGAATGGGGATGATGGTTAGGGAGAGGGCAGAATGATCGGACTTGGACAGGGCTTTCTTATCAGGTTTCTACGTCTGCATTGTACAACGGAATGGATCAATCATGAATGTTTTATAGGCACATAATTTTGGAGTGAAAGGTAATTAAATTGAAGCATTATTGGGCGTATATTCATTACTCTTGTGATTTTAAGTTCTAGCAGAGTACAAGGCGGGTGATGTGTTAGCAGTTCAATCGATTGTAAAGCCATATTTTAATGTTTCAATCCCCCAATACTACCACTGCTGAGTATCTCACTTGGTCTGGCTGGCTATATATTCAGGAAAAGTGGTTGTTGCTTGATTTCGGTTGCAACAGAACTAAAGACTACCCATTTCACTGCATGGAAGTGATCTGTTTTTCCCGGAAAGCTATACCACTGTTGATTCTATGTCTCATACTGGCCTAATACACCTTCTGCTATTACGTCCCGTAACATCAGAAGAAGCTGGTTACCTCTTCATAACCAGAACCGCCAGAAAAGACCCAAACATCCCACACGGCCAACTTCGTATCTACTCTCCAAATAATCTTCTTACTCTTCTCAAGACGCTATCTTTCTCAGGGTCATATGGATGGTCTTTGCTGGGAATTTCAAGAAGCGCTGGGAAAGCAGCTGTATATGTATCGACTCGGTGACGGATTCTCTCCGCAATCTAATTCTTTATTAGCCTCACTTCCAGCTAAGTGGAAAAGGGCCGTACATGTTGGTTAATGAGCAGGATGCCAATGTCTTTCCTCTCGGTAGTAAATTTCTCAAAGGCCTCCTCGATAGCTGCGTTATCCGTCTTACTGTCGACTACGAGGAAGTTCTTCTGCGAGTCTGGGGGTTGGGTGACATGCTGCTCTTCGTCAGGACAAAATGGTCGATTCTTTGGAGCTATGGTGTACCTACACCAATGCCAGCTAGTAGTAAGCCAGTTACTGAGTCCTGTTCGTAGAATGGTTAGCTCCTAGCAACAAGATATAGGGACTCGAGGGACCTACCTCATCTCCAATGACTGCGAGAAATTGCCTATCCTTGTAGGCAGATGCTGGAGCTGCCATGGTGGTGGTGTTCTTGGTGATAGTGAAGCAACTTCGTCTTGCGCAAGGCAGAAGATGGGGTAACTGAAGCTCCCACCCACAGGCGGCATGACGCTAAATCCCATCGCTGAGCCGCGCCCTCGGTCCCCCTGTAGGACAGCTGGGCAGCTCCACTCGCGACTTCCGGCCGCCAAACAGCTACAGCGCAGCAACCTCCTGGTGCCTCCACTCCAAGTAAACAAAGAAAATCCAAACACTTTGTAGGGGGCTTCCTAGGGGTGAACTAGCCGTCGATTTCAGCATCGCGACACTCAACGACATGAAGCCATAGCGAACCAAAGGACCTACGAGTACGACTACCAAAATGCCACGCCTCATCCGTCGAAAGCCGCTCCTCGAGCGCATCAAGGATTACCTCCATCCAGGCGATTTTCTCCTATGGTTGTCGGAAGAGATCGAAACCAGGGACTGGGACTCCAAAGCATTTGCAGGTCCCTTCGCTTTGGGGTTACATGTTGTCTTTCTTATTTCTAGGGCCAATTCGGGGGTGTCTAGTGGCTGGGGAGGCGACGATGTGTTTGGGGAGGACTCTTCTGGCTCTGGCTGGCTGGCGTATATTGTAAGAACTCCTTACCGATCAAACAGAGAATCATGCTAATCTTTCGCCGCAGCTAAGTTTCTTCGTCTATGTATTGACGGCCTTTTCACTCCTGAATGCCGCATACACCTTCAACCGAACGAAGAACTACCGCCTATTCGAAAGTGCCATCGAAACTCCTCAGGACACTCCCTCGGCCCATCGAGTTCGTGTCGATTCGTCTCCAGCTTCCTCCTCACCCCTTCGATTCCTTACAAGCATACTTGGAGACACCACACCTGAATCGAGGGCACACCCTGATCCAACCCGGGATGTTTGGGAGATTTCGGTGTGGGATCCAATCCCAGTTTGCCTCCGTTTGTCTTGCTTGTTTAGCCCCGGCCATGTCCTCGTTTACTGGTTGTTTTTGCCTACGCATGTATCGGATCCAAGGCCAAGTATGACAGTATTTACTGCCATCGTTTTGCAATTCCTGTTGTCATCACAATTGCTTCTCCTGCAAAATTCCTTCTCTCAGCAAGAAAAGGACTCCGCGATTATTCAGCGGGAGGTGTTGAGCGAATACGATATCAAGTTCGTTCACCCACGATTAAACCCAATGATGCGTGATGTTGGGACCCAATACGACGGACCTCTAGAGAGTGGCGAGGAGGACTACGGAGATGTAGACACTTACACTCCAGCCGTCACAATCAAGCGTGGCTTCCGACCAAATCCCAATCCAAACTATGCCAAACACATCGACCCAGACAACACGGAAAACTTCTCTCGACAAAGTCTGACTCCAACGCGACCAACCTACGCATCTCCAACTGCTCCATCTCCATACACACCGTCTGCATATGGCTCACAGGAACCCGGTGTATTCTCGAATATGACGCCCCGACAACCTCCGCTTCGACAGCCTCAATTTAGACCGAATATGTCAAGTAATATGTCAAGGGGTGACGGTGGAAGTCTAGGAGCATTCAGCCATGCCCAATCGCCACTTAGGAAATCGACTAGCATGCACATTATGGGAAGCACCCCAGCAGAGACACCCAGAAACTCCATTGAGATGGCAGCACGTGAGCAAGGCGAACACAAAATGATTCGCCCAAAGAAAAGACTAAGCGATGCTCATCGAGCATTTCTTGGTCTCGAGCCAAAAATGGGTACACCACATGCTTCTTCTATTGATAATGCTCTATCCGGGCAGGGTGGCAGTAGTCCGTACAAGAGGTTTCCCTCTCGATTCTAGATTTCTTTACCTTGTTGGTGTTTTGTTGTTGTTTGTTTAGTTATACCCCCTCGCTGCTAGATTTGAATTCAGAGGGAAATGGATGGGATGAATTATTGATGCATGAATGATTGATTGATTCCAACCTTTGGATTGTTCGTTTTCCTTTTTCATGGTAGGTATGTAGGAATAAAAGTCAGGGTTCTCTGGTCTGAAGGTTCTTTTAAATTTGTTTTTTTGCTTCTCATGATTTGCTTGTGGGCTTATGGCGTTATTATTCTGTGTATGAGCTGTTTCTTTTCTTTAGTGAATTGACATGCGAGTCGTGGGTTGCCTTGTTTTCTTTTGGGATTTTGGGGTGTTTTTGGTGCTGGTTTTTCTTTTTTAATTTTGACTTGGGTCACTTGGGTTATCATTCATCTATACTGCATTTTCATGTTTCATGTCTTCGCTTGCTTCATCCTTCAATTCACTCTTCTTCAATTCACCGGGATTATGAATGGGGGTTCTTTGCTGGATGATGGCTTTTAATCTCTCGTTTATGGGGATTCTTTATCTTGACACGGAATGTTCGGATGAACATCGCAACTTTTGATGGATCTCCTCCCCTTACCTTGGGCTTGGAAATTGTCTGGGTTTCAATTGATGGAATTGGGAAATCGTGGTGTAGTGATCTAATTTTGGTTGGTCATGATGTCCTTTTAATTTGAATTCTTTTTGCTTTGCAATTGTCTTCTGAATTTCTACGATGACCGGGTTTTGCGTGCTTACGGCGTGAAGTTGACTTGTATGAAACTTCTCGAGTGGGACTTGTACGGTTGATTGATCGTGGAAATTCGTTCTTTAGGAGAATGCTCTCTTTTGATCTCGAGGTCCTCCAGCGGCAGGTGCCCCTCAATTTTGCGCACGTGATTCGCACCCATCCCCCTTTCTCGCTTACGTCTATACCCAGACAACATCAACATCTACCTTGGGCAGGCACGAAAGTTGATTATTCTTAATCCTTTGCGGAAATGTTGTACGGAAGTTTCTGGTGCAGCGTTTTATTCCCAGGTGTTTCCGACCTTGAGCAATGACGGAGTCTCTTACTCAGGCAGGAACGATCAATCTCAGATAAAAGAACAGAAACACCAACCGCCGTTCCCACAACTTCCAACTCCCGACTTCTCTCCATATACATGCGAGATTCTCAATGCGAGATTGGAGATACCTGCATTGGAAACATCAGAAGGGGATGGTTTCTAAGCAGCACCTCAAACGAAACCTCAGTATGGGACTGACCAGGACCACTGCTCCAATAGCGATAGTGTCACTTTTCACGCACGTCTTTAGATGGCTGCGTTGGTGGGTAGTCACCTTGAGGCAGTTATCGATGACGCTGTAGCTCGGGTTTAGTCTATGGTTAGTGAGGACAAGGAAGGAGCGAGGGGAGGTGCGTTCCTTCCTCAATTGTTAGTCTAGCGAAAATCGCCGCAGTATAATAAATTTTGCGTCTCCCATTTTCTTTCCTCTCTAGTTCACATCGGAACATGATTGCCTTCAATCATCAAAACTCAAGCAAAAGCTTCCAAATCATCGAACTTTCATCGAACTACATCACACTTTCACCGTATTCAAAGAAGAAAGCACATTCCTGCTTCTCAATCATCGCCATGGCAACATCTGCTGCAAATCATGGTCGTTCATCCTCCTTGGGTGCCGCTATCATCGGCTTCCTGAAACCCAATGGATCGGATATCAATCGTCTTCGCAATGAATTCAAAGACGATAGTCCTTATTCTGCCGCTGACCTGGTCTTTGGTATCACTGATCCGACCTCTTCTCAACGTATGGGCGGCAACAAAATTAGCTCTGGCGATCGCAAAGGCAAAGTCAAAGATTGGTTTAAGGGTCACAATCGCGACTTGGGTAAGTTTCCTTTCCACTTTTTTGCTCTACTCATCAAAAGAATATGCTGACATTGGACAGTTTTGGGTCGATTGGCTCATCACTCTGGACCTGACCGGCGACAACCAAGAGATGGACATAGTCCAGAGGTTCCGAAACGCACAACGGGCTTGAAAGATCACCTCAATCCGAAGAAAATCATCGAGAAATCCAGCGAGTGGTTCAAAGGTGGCCACAAGGATACAGAGAAGAGCCAAGGAGCTCATATCTATCATCACTCAAATCAATCAACTATTCTCGCACGACCACGCACTTCATTGTCCTTCATGGATACCGGCGCCACCAGTCAGCAAATGTTCCAAGACAAAAAGTTCGCTAGAGAATACAATCGACGCAGCATGAAACATAGCGAAGATTATCTTGGAGTTCGAGGAGCTAACCCAAGAACTGGACTTTGGGACTCCAGCGATAGCAGCAACGGACCTAGCAAAGTGAATGAAGAGGAAAAATTGGAGAATCGTCTTCGAAGAGCTTATTGGATTGCCAGCGATCATGAATGGAATAGTGTGGTTGAACCCTGCCTCAGCCCAATCCCACAGTCTGTCGTAGGCACTCCAGTCAGAGGTAAGTCACTTCTTCATACTCACTGAAAGGTAATTAATCGTTCAAATAGGTAGCATGCGCAGTGATCGACTTGTCCCTATGCCATCGGCAAGAAACCCATCTCCATATAACAATCAACGTATCTGTCACATCGACAGCCAATTGAACAACGGCTCTGAACCTCTCATGTCGATGCTCTGCGGCGAGTTCATTGATGCTAAGTCGACTTGGCCAGCATGCTCAAAATCCATCCAACGTAAAGCAGTTGGCTCAACACCAAGCCGTCCTCAAGAACACATATCCTCATCGACTGAAACAGTCATCCATAACAAAGGCAGCAACAATACTGCCGAATCTATTCAACCTACTACCGACCACAACATCGTTGCCGGAGTTGGTCATCCTTCGGAGCAGGCTAAGGCTGAGATGTACAAGCAGGGCCGCTTCCCAGGAAAAGTTCGCTGGGCTGCACAAAATCTTGGTTTGAAGGTTCCAAGAAAGCCATGCCCAGAGCCACAACAAGAGCCCACCATGAAACATCAAGACCAGAAGGCTTTTTTAGACATACAAGCATACGAAAGAATTTCGACCGCGCTCGCGTCCCTCAACGAACATCTTCGGAGAGCGGAGTTGGATTGGCTTCAGCAGTTCACATCCACCACCACCATCACTATTGGTGGCATGGACGGAAGCATTCAACTGAAAAGGGGAGGAGCGACGAGAAAGGGTCTTCGATTGAAGACGAATCCGGTTCAGGGAGAAGGAGACCTCATCAGGAAGGAGGTTCAAAAGTATTTCACCAGCGGACGCATCCGACTTCGAGAGGAGGGCGCTGTGGTGAAAGGACTTCGCTTGAAAGCAATTCAACAGTGATTATCAGGAGGGAAAAGGAAGGAACAAAAAAGCATCATTAATCATGGATGGAAGTTGTATCATTAGATAGTTTCTAATGAAGTCATGAATCAATGAATCAATGTCAAAACCTTCTTTAATTGTCTTTACATGTGATGTCTTAACTTTATGAGCTCGTATAGTTATACCCATTCCTGATGTCTCGATATAACTCGACAAATTTGTTCAGTGAGTATGCAGCGAGAACAAGGAATCAATAATGTACCGAAAGTTTTCTTGAATGTATCTTCTATGCCTAAACTACCAAAGGTGTAACATACTCCTCTATTGGACTATTCTCATTCGTTGCATGATCTTCCATCTCATCTCCTCCCTTCCCATCCAAGTCCAAATCCCAACTTTGCCACGCCTAGTTACCCTTCAAAATTGCAGAACACATGGATCCATGATCTGCCATTCTTCGCATACGCACGCGGTCATGTCTTCTGGAATATCATGGATATAGATATGGATACAGTTGTAAGCCTGGTTAGTGTGTAGCTCTTTTTGGGGGGCGTTGGGTTGGTGGGTGGGTGGATGTGAGTGTATTTGAGTGTTTGGATTGAAGTGGATTTGATATTGTTACTCCTTTCTCTTATCATATTCCGCGCCAGGAATTCCGAATTCACGATGAATCTGGATCGGGTTTGTTTATTGATTAGTGGTGTTTCATGATCTAGAGAGTCTTTCGAGGGCCATTAAGACAATCCTAGTTTAGGAATGGTTGGACTTGATACTGAGTCTTTTGCATTAATAGGAGGATAGATGGATGAAAGGATTATAGGTAGATGAGGGGTATGGAATATCTCTAGGTAGGATAGGGTAATAGAATTGGAGTTTTGGGGCGGGTTTGGTGGTGCTTTGTGTGATTGGATTTAGGGGTTTGATGGTGAGATACAGTATAGGTACTATACCACTGCTACAACATAAACCCCAAAATACCACCAAAACTCGGAATAAACACTTTACGTTATTTCTACCCCACCACTCTCTAACTTGTATATACTTTGGCGTAATTAATAATTCGATGATTACGATTCATTGTATCTGATTAGTTTGTATAGTATATTCGAAGAGATAAAGTTATTAGCTACCTAGGTAGGGAAGTTAAATGTACTTTTTATACCGAAAATAACCTAAAATTAGCATATAAATATGACGACCTTATATTTATTGATCTTGTAGAGCTATTTCTAAGTTTTGGTATAGCGTATTCTAATAAGTTTAGCAAAGGTTACTGTGAATTGGTATTTGTAGTTATAGAGAAAACGATTATCGGATGAATTAAATATATATTATTCTAAAGGAGGTAAAATGGGTGATTTTGGTAGGGTTACGGTTTTATATAGTAGTAGTATAATATAGGCTGTTTAGAAAAAAAAACATTCGTTCTCGTGCGATTCTATTATTGGCGGTTCTTACGTAGAATACTGGATTTTGTGGGGTGTAAGGTATGTAAGGTACGGATTACATATGCGTGGCAATGCAATGTATAGAACTGCAATGTATAGAATCCACATCTGGCCGGAACCCCGAGAACAACTATTTTACTTTCCTTTGCTTGGCTTCCATGATCCTGAATATGTGCAAGTTTGCGATGTGTTTGCTTTCGTCAACTTATTTACATGTTTCGTAATGAGGTGAATCTTGGACATTTTTATAATTTACCTTACAAGTAGATAGCCTTATTTGGCCTTGAGGGTTTGTTTTCCTCGTACAGTCATTCATGATCAGTTCATGATGGGAATTATTTGTAGATACTCGGGTGTTCGGAGCAGGATCGTGAACATGTAGTGCTTGTAACGCTTGATAGGTAGACAGACCAAAGGTGGTATGGCTGTCTCTCACGGCATTCACCTCCCAGGTATTCACCTCAAGATTCACCAGCTCTCCCCATCTCCTACGAACCCTGCTCAGCCACATGTGGCACCGCACTTCACTACCAGAACCCACTGCTTAGTCATCCCCAAGTTCTACGATTCCTACAATCCTCAACTTCGCCAAATCATCAAAAACAACAACGAAAACGATTAGAAGAACACTTCACAATCACACCACCATTTCAACCGCTTAGCCCTTCAGACACCCTCGAGGAAACATACAAACCTGCACCTCTACAAAAAAATATTTCCCAAAAGCTTTTGTCCAGTGCTTCAAAAGTTGGCCTGAACCTTTTTGGCACCGATGAATCCGTGAAGTGCGATGTGCAACAAAACTTTGACCCCTGTTAAGGCCGTGGGTGTGAGTGGCTCACTTACGAAAATTAGCGTTCTTGGTGACGTTGGGTTGGAATTCGAGGTTTCGGGGTTAACATTGGGGTTTTTCGTTGAGGATCGGGGTTAGGGAACTTTTTTTTGAAGAACTTTGAGGATGTTGAGGGATTATGTAAGCAACACGACCTTTTGCGGGTCCCAATACACTGACGCCCAGGCGTCAGTTTAGAGCTGACTAAGCGCGGGTTTTCACGCCCCCCCACCATCCACGAACACTCTACTTATACCTATAATTA